TGAGCCGACACTCAAGTCGTATGGTGTACAGTGTGCAAGCTGCATATTTATGCGATGTGTGACACATAAAGACCTCATTGTGCGGTGTGCTTTTCTTTCTTATGCCAGTGCTCGGCCACCAGTACCCTGTGATTGTGATTCACGTGTGTTTTACGGTTGCGCAGAAGTAGGCTCAGAGGCAGTCGCAGAGGACAAACTGCAGTCATGAAAATTTCTACACGGCAAATACACAAAGGTCAACTTTCAAATTTCGTAATTTATTGATGAAAATGAATACAATGCTAATGGATTTACATAGGTGTACCCACCTATATTGATAATAGAGAAAACACTTAATACACACAACACACAGCACACAAAAACATCTCCCAAGAAGTACAAATACGGAAAACACGAGACACTAAAAATAAAACTATAACGACACTTCTGCGCACACACACATGATGAAGATGTGAGCTAACGCGCCATATGATGCGACCACAATTACTCAAGTTCAACGACGACCACGAGTTCAACAAACAGAAAATTTACTGCTAACGACTCGATTTTTTATATTCCTCGCCTCTTGTGTGGGCGACAATTTATTCCCCGACATTAACTTAATGCATTAAAGAAAATTTTATATCTACCTCAATATATAAAAGCATACACCGTTATATTCATTATGATGAAACGCGAATAACAAAATTCAATTCTAAAGCATTCAAATAATCCCTTTATCAATGTCGCAATGGTAAAAAATAACAATATAAATAACTAAAGGATGTTTATGCTTTCTCATGTGGTCTAGCTTGCCAATTGAGTGTTCAAATAAGCAAGCAACTCATGCAAACCGCACACATATGATTATTCATTTCCGCATACGCGATTCAAGTACGAATACGTAAGCTTCGCATAAATATCAATATCACGCTATTTTCTATTAAGTAATGCTTTACAGCGTCTCCACGATGCAATTATTTCTGAGTATCTAGTCGATGTCCAGTTTGACGCGTAAATATTTTCAATTGTAATTATTTCCTTCACCACAAAAACACATTTACGCACCGCGATGATATTTATTTTATTTTATTGTAGGATGTGCGTTCGTTGGTCTTATTTATTTTGAGCATTTTTTGATTTGTGCGCTCGGAACGAACCAATGCCACCGATATTTTTGTATCAAACAAATCTAAAAATACACATAGCACAGACGTAAGTGTACGCCGACCCAAGTGAAACGAGAAGTACGTCTTGCGGACATTTACCACATCCAGCAAGTGAAATGTTTATCGATTGTTTGCAGTGTGTTTCCACTCTGTTTTGATTAATCAGAAAATCTCCATCTTAAACGGACAATTTTTTTCTTAGAATTATAAGTTTTTATGGAGACTAAAAAAAGCAGTTGCTAAGGTAAACATTATGAGAACTTCCTACTCAATTTTCTATCTATACTCAAACGTGTAGGTGACTCTGAATATCTGGCGAACACAAAATAAAAACTTGCATGCAAAGTTTTTTAAATCACTAACATTTAAAAAATTTCAAAACTAAATAATTGCTATTGTCGTGCAAGCTTCGCTTAATTAACACCTAATTTTCAACTTCATCCTGCTGCAGACAGTGTTCAGGCTGGGCTAAAAATAAAATATAAGAAGATACACATACATATAGAAAACATAAACGACGTGAAACTTAAACAGATCCATCTAGATGCTAGACTACGGCGCGTTATACACTTCGGATAACAAGTGGCAAGCATCCAAATTACGTACGTTTTCCTCACTTGCAAAAACTAAACGCTCACTAAACCTCAAGTGTCGTTATTAAAGACTCTTGTGTAACACACTGCAATCATGAAATTATGTCACATTACTTAATTAAATTTCTGCGCAATAGCAAAAAAAAAAACAACAATTTTCTCGAATTTTATTACTCGAACGCACACATATTGACGCAAAAGTCAACAACTTTATTGATCACATATTATGATATATTGCCAAACAAAAACCGAATTGCGTTCAGCTGGAAAAACAACAAATCAATTTGTTAACGCACACAATATAAAACGCGTGGCTGTAATGACTCTGATATAAACACTATTCAGTTTAACTTAATTGGATCTAACAATAATTGAAAGAGTCAACCGGACAAACATCTGGCATGTCCTATATTTCTAACAAAGACTTGTCATTTATGAATGTTATTGTTAAATTGCAGTCGTTTTTAGTTGTTATCAAATCTAATCAAACGGGTTTAAACCCGGTCACAGAAAAATTACAGGAATCTACGAGTTTCTTTGAGGGTTAGACGATAGGCATGCAACCTACCTTGCTAAATGCTTTTTTTTTAGTGAGATAAGTATAAGTACAACCTAAGAAATAATGTTGATGAACTGCATCATGAGAGTTCGCGTTGTCATGCCAACAAGCAAAAACACAACATAAGGAAAAACCAGCCCAACACGCAAAGCAACACAGAGACTGGACCTGGCCTGCTTCAAATCCTACCTGGATACAAATATACACAAATCACTTCAAAAGAAACATATTTCCAGGAATATATTATATCGTCATATGATATTGCATAGCTGACTAATCATTAATACAAACAACTTGAGGAGAAAAAACTCTCAGAAATCACATTAATATCATTTACAAATTCATAATAATCTAAATGTACATTACTTATCAGCGTGCAATTAGATAAAGTGTGAACATGCACACGCACACACTGTGTAAGCAATCATTGCAAAATGATGTTAATTTGAGATGAGGATGTAGGCGTTAAATTATGCCTTCGATCGGCGCGAGACTAACGAACAATGGAATTAATCATTTATGACGATCAGACTCGCACCCGCGAAGACCAGAATTAATAATCTAGAAGCAGTGTAAGTCATGCATACTGATAGATATAGAATATAGATACAAAATCGTGGCTTTGCAAGCGTCAATCTCTAACAAAGAAACGGCCAGTCACTATTGATATCAATAAAAGCAAACAAACGAAAATAAAAGTTATTAAATTAATAAACGTGCTTCAATTATGTCATTTTCAATATTGAAAACGAACGTTAAACGTTTCCTTTCTGCAAATACGAGCGTGTAAAACATGCATATGTAAATGCATGTAAACGCGTTGTGATAAATACAGCGGGCAATCAAGATATTGACTTAGAAATAAACACACACATAAACATACGTAGGCACGACCCGCATTGTGCCACTGTACGCCATTGCAAACAAAACTGCACTGGAAAATATAATAATGGAAATTTACAACACTTACCTTGCTCGCGGCGATGTTCTAGATGTTTCTTTTTACTTTTTGTTGCGAGGGTTGCAGCAGTGCAGCAGTCCTCAGCCCCCTTCGTTGCTATGGGGAACAATATAAACGGCGCACGTTGAACCCGTGTATCCAGAAAACGCTGTTTTTCGTGAGTGTAAATCTCGGCGCGTGATGTAACCGCGTTGTCCACGGTGCACGCGTTTCACAAGCACTCCGCGATTTCAATGCGATTAGAGTGTGAGCGGTACACACCTTTGATTTCAGTGAAACTAATGCAACGCAACGCCAGACACAACCTACTCGGTTGGAGCACGCTGCTGAACTCACCGAACGTGTAATAAGGCTCGACTGCAGTGCCTGCCGGTTGAGAGTGTCGCTAGACTAGGCAGCTGAACTACGCACGTTGCCACACATGGCGGGAAGTGAGTGAGAAAGACTCACACAGCTTACAATATATAAAACAAAGATAGAGAAACAACCAGCTGCAAGCAAACTGGAAATAACACGAGGATACACGAAGCTTTCCGAAGTGTTTGAATATCAACTTGAGTTGCGCTGTTGCCAAACGTCATTTTAAACAATTCAAAGAATTAAATTTCAACGTTTTTATCAAGATTTTTTGTTTATAAATAAAACAAAACTGATTATTTATAAGATATTACTTCGAAATATCATAAAAAAAAGTAAAAGGTGTGTTTTCACTAAAAGTGTTCAACTCGTACGTCGCACTGGTTATTTTCGGATGCGTTTAGGATAAAATTAAAGTTTAAATAAAATTAAAAGCGCGTAGTTCTTGCCTACACGCAACATGCTCCAACTTATTTCTGGCCGAGACAAAAATAACAAATATTATGCACTTATTGTTCGCACCTACTATTTAATACGACATTGCAGCTACAATTGCGCTATAATTAAATTTTCATCAGTTTTGGACCAGAATGCAAACAATCCGAACAAAAACCCGATGTCTATTTGATGTGCTCTGATAAACTATAAACGACAATCATTTCACCGTCATTTGGAGTACGTCCACGTGCCCCGGCTAAAAACAAGCCAGCAACGCTTTCGCGTTGGAAGCAATCAAATCGTCATTACTTTTCTAGATGCTCATCTAATTTTCTCGTCGTGAAATTGCCTCTCAGCACTCTTCAACTCAAATAACTGCATTGTTTGTATCTATGAAGTTGTTTACAACTTTGATGCGGATTTGATGAATAATTATAAACCAACTTAATTTTCTCTCAGCAACACATGTTTTTGTTGTTTTGGTTCTTGTCGTGACAATAATAAAAAGTGAGTCTAGGTCAGTAGTGCTACCGCACTTTACGTCGGACATTTTTAAACGATCCGTATTTTTTTGTTACTTTGTATGAACAAATATTAATCCACTGGTTCTGCTATAATGCGATTTTAATATACTACAGGTACACATTTTTGCCCACAGCGTTAGAAAACAGCTATAAATAACAATATAGATAAAATCGTGCCAGAGACGAATAACAATGAAAACGAAATTGGCGTAAAATGTAATAACGCGGGCGCGCGCGTCGCGAAGTGAATCCGAAACGGGAAATAAACGTGACGATAATAACGCGGAGATTACACTCCAACCGTCAGTCAAAACATAGTAATATTGCATTGTAACAACTAAATCACGTGCTTAAACTGTTGTACTCGAGATAATAAAATGTTTTAGAAAATTGTTTTAAATATTAAAAGATTAAACTCACCGCGGTGTGACGATCGTCGTTGAGAACGTTGAAAAAGTAAGGTTAGAATCATTTACAGTGCTGCCAACATAATACAATCCCCCAAGTAGGTATTAGTGTATAAAAATATATGAAAAACAAAACATTAAAAATTAAAAACATGTATAAACTTTAATAAATATTAAAATATCAAAGTGAATATCTCTGGCCAATGACCTCTTGGTTTCTACTTGTATTTATTTAAATCTCACACTCATAAAAAGTCAGCTCTTTGAAATTCAATTGAATGGTCATTGAAATTCTAAGCAGAGAAACATCTTCAGGCTCTTCTATAACATTTGATTAGTATTAGTATGCAATCATCGTGCATTTGTACAACACACAAGTATTTTCCTATTTTCAATCATTCAATAAACCAATAAACGTCATACATGTTTATAATCATAAATTATCCTTTCGCTGCAAATTTCCAATTGAATTTTGCGGTTGCAAATATGCCGCTAGTTATAATAAAACAAAATTAAATTAAAAACAGATTTTATATTGTTTTATTTTAAGTTCAATTACCCTGAAACTTTTATCTTTAATTTATCCAGATGACAATTGTCTGTTTAAAGTACGCGTACTAAGTTGACATACGTCGGATGTTGAACAAACGTAGGTACAAGATGAATAAATTTCAATTTTAGTTTGTGAACCGTGCCAAATTGGCATCGTGCGTAACAGTTGCACTCAGCACTCTCAATAGACCCCGAATATCGCGATTGAAAATATTTTGCTTTACTTATTTTCACTTGGCAATTAATATACCTGATAGACAGGCACGGCATACTACATACAACCGCAGATTAATATTAATGCTTTCATTCAGATCTAACCAAATGTGCGAATTGAGCACAGTTTAATACACAGCCATACCTACTTCTATTAATACTCGCTTAAATTATAGAATATAGTTATATTTCTATCTATTTATTGATGGATCTAATAATACTAATCAATTAATCATAATTTTTATCAAATTATATACAATCAAGAAGTATACTTCTATTAGAATGTAAAATATGATGGCAAAAGTGTTGTAAAGCTTGAAATATATTGCTTAATTAGAAAATAATTCATAATTTAGCTTCAAACTTAATTTATCTCTAAAGTGTTCATAAACAACCGCGTAGAAATTTCTCCATAGGATAATTGCACGTAAACACACCCATATCTCTCAAATTTCTCGCATTTCAAGCAATGGTTAGTATAATTAGAAATTTAAAAATGGTACATCACGACCAAACGCAGCAGTTGCCTTATTTGGTCACATCTTCAACGCAAACACTGCACAAGCACAAAAACAGGCAAGCCATTAAAGCTAAACTAACTATAATAACCTTAGGTACTTACTCACATCAAATCAATACACTGTTTATTGAATAAAACGCTTCGCAGTGCTGTGTCGTTGCCCATTGATCGTGCAAAAGCGAAAACTTTTCTAGCGTCTATGGTATAACACGACAAACACGCCATAAATTGGTCGGCGGCTAGTGCTCGCACGCGCTTTACATGAAAGTTTATGAAAGAACAGAAACGGTAAACCGTCATTCATAAACATTATTTTATAGCTGTGTCCCCGAGGCATTCTCACCGCAGAAAAAATATTCACATTAATGTTGATATCGGATCGATTTAATGCTAAATTGGATTTGTAGAGAGCAGCTGCACTTTTTTCAAGCGAAGTTCTAGGTCAGCTTATTTAGTTAATCTCTAAACTGGTTTAGACCTAGTTGGAGGTGCTTCTGCTTTTTACAAATTAGTGAAAATTATCGTTTCACGCCTGTCACCTTTAACCTATGCCTAGGTTTAAACAAATTTAATTATTTCTGCAATTATTTGCCTAGTTAGCATATGATATAAAGCGTTCTTTCACTTTTTCCAACTCAATATCTCTTATTCTTTGCAAATTTTGCAACGCGCGCACAATTATTCATTGTTATAACAAATACGCCTCACAACTGAGAATATCGTCCAGCATTTTCTAATTTTAGAGTGTTTATATAAAAACTAATTACTCTGCTCAGTGCCGACGCTAATTAGACGCATTACATTTACACGGTACTTTCATGGAGATATTGTTGGTATATTGCAGCTGGCAAAACCGAGAAAAATGCAAACCGCCAGCGGTTCGCCGTGTAAAACAAGTTGTAATTATAAATAGAAATACTTTTCACCATTTTATATCAAGTAATAAAACAGAGCGCACTGAGCACACATAAATGTAATTAAGTCATAAAACGTGCAAAATGTTTGTAAACGCCGAGTGAAGAGTAAAAAACTAAACTAAACATAAAAGCATTTATAAATATTTTAAAAATGCGTAAATGTGCTGTAGGCAACCAATTTTATACCTAAAAACACCAAAAATGTCTTTTAGTTGATGTTTTTATTATCATCTTGTTTAAATGTACAGATATTACAACATTTCGTTTTATTATTTATTAATTCATCAAATTTATGTTTCTCAATCTGTTGTCCGTGATTCTCTTCGCATATTCTTCACAATTTTCTTCACTCCGATTGTAACCTTACGTATTTGTTCTAAGTTTAAGTATGAATACATAATACGAACATTGTATCTGTTTCATTAATATTTATCATACAGTTTATCTCAGACCCAGTGATATTTCCATCATATCCGCCATCTTCATGTCCACGCTATCTTTATTTAGTTTATATCAATCAATCTTTAATCATTACTTTACATATTAATAAACAAAACATCCAAGGCACCGAACTTTCATTCATTCTAATTTGTTATCCGTAATTTAAGTAATTTTTACTTTAACTGTAATCGTAACTTGTTATTTTCTTATTATGCTAGATGATAACATTAAAATGCCATCTTTTTTTCATCATTTCATCTGTAAAAATGTCCTTTTCGTCATTTTCGTTCCGTTCGAAAACAAATTTTACAAGTTTTAAGTTGCATACAATGTATGTAAATCCTTTCCTTTTTGAGTCGACTACATGAAGAGCATTTGTAGCGTCTCAGTACACAATTAAATACTAAAATATCTACATTCAAATTCGCTTATTCGTTTAAATATTAAATATTCTATAAAATGTTCATAATATGTACGTACCGAGTGTTATGCATGCGTATGTCTTACGTTTTTATACTTCTTTGACTCCAAACGGTCGTTTTAGGTTGCGTACGTGCAGTGTGTGTGAAATTATTGCTTTTTTAGATAAGTCTTGCCTACCGGGTAACAGTAAAATATACGTATTATCGCTCGAAACGAAATGGTCACAACCATCATTACAATTTTTAGTATCTACATTATTTTTATTCTTGCCAATTATGATTTCATGTTATACTTTCCCATAAATATACCATGGGTATACATAGTTGATGAATGAGAGTGTTTCAAATGAACATTTGATGTTATTGTTTTGATAATATTTTTCCTGTGAGGTTAAATTTACAATGTCATGATTGCAATTCGCAGATTACTTGTAATTTTATGTTATTTTACATTGCATGGCAATACGTTATGCGTTTTGTTAGCTATTGTATCATATTATTACTTGTCTTGTAAATGTCAATAAGAACGTTGAACCGATTTTATTTCAAACATTGCACTTTATTTGTACTTTTCCTTTTTCATTGTGCACAACTCACTAGTCAACATACCCCACTAATAAAATATCAAGTAATTTATAACAAAGTATCTCCAAAAACAATAACAATCGCAGCACAAATCAAAATCAAAGTATACTGCTCTTATCAACATTTACAAACACTGTTTTCGAATGCGTCGAAACTGAATTTTTGTAGCGGCAGACTTAAATTTTCTATGTGTTTTTCTCGGGGAAGACAAATAACCTAAGGTGATTTTAATATACCTATGTACAAATACAATTACAGTGTTGGTAATTCACAAATAAGTTGATATTCAATGCTTACTTCATTAGTTTCTAGTTTATTATAGCTAAGCTATGTCTATGGTAGTGATATCTTAATATCAACTAGTGACTAAAATCATTTTTAAATACTACAAGTGACATATCAATAATATCTTTACACAACTCTTCATAAATTTCTCGGCTTCATTTAGAAATTCCACAATATCAAAGTCAGATTTTCTCTTCTCAGTTTGCAGTGTCTTTAAACTAATTTTTACAAAAATCCTTAACGCTAATTTACTTTAATGTTTGAAATATCCTCTCTTTAATTTGTTTTATTGCTTACGATATTTTATTCATTTCTTTGTGAAGAAATTCGCTACGAACAAACCGAAACTGTTGTTTTCATCGGATTTGAAATATGAAAAGTGAATGTATTCTATTGTCGTAAATGCAAACGTTATGTTCATTCAAAAACTAAAGATTTATTACGGAAATAATAAAGGTAGTTTTGAAAATGTATTGCTTTCGTACACTATCTAGTAAATATCACCAGTATTTTTTTTTAAAAACAATTTAAAAACAATTGAGAATAGTGTAGTAGTAATCAATTAACTGTCCTATAAGTGATTCGATTGAGGTTAGTGTAAATTGCTATTAGGTACTTGCTTGAAACTGATTAATATTCGTTTTATAAATAATGTCTATGTTCGCTACATGTTTATTTGTATTGTTTAAGATGTATCAAGTTCATTAGAAAAGACTGATTTAGTTAATATATAGGTTTTTAATTGTACATACCCAATAACTGATCTTACGCTTGGGACAAGTTGAAAAATCACAGTTTGAGCCATGTGCTAAGCAGATAATGTTCGTTCCTCAAAACCATACAGCTAGCGCCATCTACATTCAATCGTAGTAACCCACTTAGACTTGTTATGAAACTTGTGTGCAACTAACTGAATGTTCATTTGTATTAAGAAAATGCCTAGAATCATGATCATAGTCGTCTCTAGCAACGAATTTATTCACTTCTAAGCACTCTAAATCATCTTTTTGACTAATTTTTAATTATTGCCCATTACTGATATGTAAAATAACCATTACTTTTCATTTCCAATGTGAACCCGTTCAATTTCTCTTTTCTTCGACGACTATAATCAATTTTTCTGCACTAGATAAGTTATATTGATAGATACTAGTATTCTATGTTTATTTATCAAGATGTTGATTGACGATTTAATGTAGTTTAAGGTTAGAGATGCTAAGTTTTGTTAATTCAAATAGTGAGTGTGATTTATGTTTAGTTTGCAGTGGACAATTAAGATTATCAAAGAGTTAATCACAGATTTCTGACTTAACGACTTATTAAAGAGAGATATTACTTTACACTCCACGTTTTCATGATGCACAAACGCACAACCTTGTTTGCACATTGCCAATATCAAACTACCTTCACCACTATCCCCTTCTCACCTCTTATCTTCTTCCACCATTCTTATATTTCTTATGTGTGGATTTAAAATTGTTATTTGTAATAAAATACGTGTACTGATAATATATAACTAATGAATCACTGCTGCTTGTATTAATCATGTATCATAATGCTTTTTGTTTACTTAAAATTTGTGTGTATCAATATTACATATTTTTATTTCTCGATTAATAACAAGTACAACCTGATTGCTTCGTTTCGGTTTTAGTCACGTCACTTCACGTTCCAATTCGACATTTATCCTCACAGTGCTGCTGATAATGTTCCAGATTATGATCATCTCGGGGTGGTGATTGCGCACCACCGACATGTTAGTAATTTATGCAGAATTAATAAAGACGATAGAACGAGGATAAGTGAAACGCTGAATGATGACTTATTGCTATGGGAGATTGCTTCCAGACATTTACCTGCAAGCATTAAAATTAATATGTACACAGGATGAAAACCAATTTCTATCGTTAGTTACCTATAGAGGAAACATTGAAGACGAGCTCGCCGGTTATTCCCGGCCGCACACGGCGATCGCAACTGTCGTTAGAGGTGGAGAACATCACCACATCGGTGCCTCTTGCTTCCTTGTAGATGAAGCAGTAGGTGCGGGCGCTGTGCGACGCCCGGCTGAGCGGGGTTGTTATTAGATAACTTGTGCCGTTTTCCTCCCATCGGCCGTGACACGAATACGCTATTAAAACACATATTACGGGTGAAATTATTAAACTATTTTCGGGGCTTTAAAGTTTGCATTGTTCATTGAAACAAATATTACGTGCGTGTTACGAAACAACAATAGTGAAACTAGAAAAATCTGCTTTTTTTCAATTCAAAATTTTTTGCTCAAAATTATTTTAGTTTTTAAGTAAATTTCTTATACTTTATAACTACAAGTAATCGAAACGAAATGGTCACAACCATTATTACAATTTTTAGTATCTTCATAATTTTTTATTTTTGCCAATTATGATTTCATGTTATATTTTTATTAATTCCCATAAATATACTAGGGGTATACATATTTGATGAATGCGAGTGTTTAAAATGAACAATTGATGTTATTGTTTTGCTAATATTTTTCCTGTGAGGTTAAATTCACAATGTCATGATTGCAATTCGCAGATTACTTGTAATTTTATGTTATTTTACAACGCATGGCAATACGTTATATAATACATTTTATTAGCTATTGTATCATAATATTACTTGTCTTGTAAATGTCAATAAGAACTTTGAACCGATTTTATTTCAAACATTGCACTTTACTTGTACTTTTCCTTTTTCATTGTGCACAACTCACTATTCAACATACCCCACTATTAAAATATCAAGTAATTTATAACAAAATATCGCAAAAACAATATCAATCGCTGCAAAATCTAAATTTAATTATATTGCTCTTATCAACACTTACCAAAACTGTTTTCAAACACGTTGAAACTGATTGTTTTATAGTTTTTAAGTAAGTAAATTTCTTATAACTTTATAACTACAAGAAATTATGCAGAGCAAAAAAAGAGTGTCAATAAATACGCTAATTAGTAAACTGTTCTTTGAAGGCAATACATAAATATTTGTATTTATCTTTCAATAGTTTTCCGTTCACGACGGAAGCGAAAAGCAAAAGAAAACTAAACTTTAAAAAAATCGAATGCCGCTAGTGGCAATTTCCAACTACTTCTAATGACACATTGTTAAAGTTACACAACACATAACTTACTTGATATATAATCAGAGGATACGCAATCAGCACGGAACTCCATCGTGTCGACCGAATTACATCCGATGATGAGTTGCGAGAAACTGGGATTATCACAATCGCCGACATCGGGCTGCTCACGTTTGTTCACGCGTTTGATACGTCGCGCTGAAACATCGAACCGCATCGATTCCAAACGTCGCAGCTGCTCCTCTTCATCCTCCTCCTCATTGTCGTCATCATCGTCGTCCTGATAGTATAAATTCGGCCGGTGTGCGATTTTCAGCGAGCGCTGCGGCCGCTCGTTGCGAATTATATTATTCACATTGAACTTGCCCATGTACGGACATTTGCGTGGCTCGGGGCTATTCGCTGCAAGAATAACATCAACATCAACACAATTATCGGCCCTCCATTAGCAATTAATTTCAGGTGTTCAAGTGTGCCACGTGTATATAAATTTACGTTAATTGACCCATTCTGGCACTACGTGCCTCTAAGTTTCAGATCAACCCTGCGCACGAAAATAAAAACCAATACGGAAAGGACGAAATAAAAATAACCGTGTGTATAGAAACACTCGGAGAAATTGGTGCTGCTAATTTAGTAGTGCGCTTGTAGAAAATAAAGAAGTTTAGTTAATGTGTGTTAGTTTTAGAAGCGTTTGTCGACATACTGAAGCGATTAAATAAACAAAATTAAGATGCTCAAAGTACCAAAAATAAAACATATGTGCCACAGGAGAAATAAAACAAATGTAAAATGTAATTAGCATAGAATTTAAGTAATAATACCAAAAATAATATTATTTTACGTGACCAGCACGAAATTTATTGTGGGCGACCACCTAACGTGAAGCATCGCATCGCATTAAGCGTAATTAATGATTGTGCGTTTTTCGTACCACGGGAGACATGTGAGACATGTGCTCGCACGTTGTACGGAAGGATAGAAAATAGAATCAAAACGCCATTAAAGTTAACGGCCGCGTTTACGTCCTGACATCTTCCACTGCAATGTTTGGTGCAATTCAAAATAGATGGACGAAGTTCGTTTGCTTATATGTTTTATTTCCTGTTTATGGTCCACATAAGTTTGCAATCGCGTACAGAAAATAACTAAAAAATTATCTTTCGTTTCGTGCGCAACAAACAACTGATATTTTATCTATTCTCCAGTGTAGCGCAGAATGAATTTTTATTTTAAAGAATAAAATAGCACTGGTAGCGCCATCTATGTTTTTTTTTCGTTGTTGTGGAAGTAAATGTGCGCAAATGGTAAAAGTAATGCATATTTATTATTTTAATTAAACTCTCGGGTACTTACTGACGAGCGTGATGTACGGTAGCGTCGTTCGATTGAAGTAATTCGACGAGCAGGCATCCTCCGATCGTTTGGTGTGAGCACCCGTCTGCACCTCGATCACGTCGGCGTCCCGTCGATAGAACGTCATGCAGGCGAAGCCGCTCTGGCTGCAGACAATGCATTATTAATTAATTAAACGGTGCACTAATGCAATGTGCGCTCGGAAAATCAATTTAACTTGAAAACAAACAAAAGAACGCCAAAAACTCATAGAATTTCATTTGCTACATCACTAAATATCAACCGTAATGTTTTATGATCTTCCTGTCGTCGTATTTTGACGATTTTAATTGGCAAATATTTGTGGACATATTGTATACGCTCATGTGCGGCGATAAATTATAGTTTTGAGTCTGGCAGCGAGTTTAGGCCATTAATCAAAAATATACCCCCGGTTCTGGTATAAATAACAACAAATAACAACAAAGCAAGCGCATCGCGAGCGCCGAGTGAACAAAAGATAATTTATGTCGAGCTATTATTTGTCAATTAGTGAATAATTTGCTCAGACCTCTCGCGCGTCAAACATCGCGCGGCGAAAATGAATGTCAATTAATTAATTATTAAATCAATGAATATTTTAACTACGCATTATATTTTTAAACGTCGCAAATGATTTAATTAGCGACGCCGGCGGCATTATTAAAACTCTGCACACCGTATTTCACTTGATTAATAATCTATTAATAAATTATTATATTAACAAGGGTGACGCGTTTGACGTGCTTTGTGCCGTCGGCGAGCGCGTGAAGTTACAGCAACACAAACAAGCGAACGCAAAATACAAACGCGTGCAAAGTAAACGTCGATTAATACCATCCGGTGGTGAAGTGCGTCAATAGCATCACCCAGTTGTCCCCGCTGTGCTTCAGCATCGAACACACGATTTTCATCTCTTGCCGTTCGCCACTTGTGCTGACGACGTGCAGCGTGCTGTTGCGATGATGAAATGTGTACGTTGAGGAATAATCCAGCGTGTGCCAGTAATTATGCGCTGATATCCATTGTGGAAAACGGCACTTATTCAATGACGGCGCTGAAGGAAGTAAAATAATCGTAACATTACAATCATTCCAAGTTGACTAAGCGTTTCAGTTACCTTTTTTCAGTGTCATCGTTCGACTACCTTCGCTAGCGCTGAAGAGGCCATTGCAGGTCGCATCACCCGACTGGGCGATTCGATATTCGACGCCGTCCATTGCCTCTGACGACGCTGATGCTTTTTCGTATACGAAACATCGGAAACGATCTTCGTTTGAACTGGCGTGGTTATGGTGTACTTTCCCGACGAGATAACGCGAACTGCCCTCTTTCCACGTTGCAAGACATTCTAATTCTTCAACTGTGAAATAAATTTTTAGGTTATGTTTGGGTAGCTATTTAGGAGAAACTAAAATAACCTAAAATTTTTTATAAGTTGTAGTTTTCGTATTAAATCTATGGCGTGTAATGTACGTGCATTATGTGTTAAAAATAGATCACGACAGCGTCGTGGAAACTTTTGTGAACGAGTTATCAAAGCGTTTTCATATGATTGCGAACCGGAGGTAGAAAATCCATGTTGTCACGCTCGGCGTTTCACTCGCCTGGCGTCCGCCGCTACGAATTAAACACAACCCGATCTCAATGCGCCTTCGGATCCCATTTTCGCGCACACAAAGCGCTCACGCATAAAGGCATAAACGCGCACGACACGAAAATGCCAGACTCGACGACGTGGACCAAAACGAAACGCATATTATTATTGCACGAAAGCGTCGCGCAAGACTCGCAAGAAAAACGACAACGGCGAACGGCGTCGTGCACCGGGAGTTAAATGGAAACGCAAAATAGAAAACATGAGAGATTGCGAGGACATGATGTGATGACGAAGGATGATGCGCGAGCAGCCGGCATGAAAAGATCAACTAAACAACGCCACCGACAACGACAACGTTCATTTGTATCAAACTAAACGTGCCAACGAAGAAAATGTGAATGCCATTCGAGAATTCCACGAGAAACGAAAGCCAAGAGATATAAATAAAAATTTCCACGATTTAAATGAGAAATGAGAAATGGGAGAAATATGTCGCGACATTTAAAACGACATTCTCGATGTTGTAACGTGATCGAAATGTACGAAATTTCGTGCATTTGATATACTAGTAAAATAGCAAACAAAACAAGATTAAGACACGATTTATCGTCTTGCTCAATATCCGAATGTTAAATGTTACGATTCTGAATGTTGTATGTACTTGATGCGGAACGTTACAGTTACGGCCAGCATGTCGAACGCCAATATAAAATAGATGAGGATGGGTGTCCCATTTTCCTTCCTCAGAACCACCACCGACGAGAAATTGTCGTAGCGTACGAAATGTACCCGAGTTAGATAGCAAAAAGAAATTCATGTATATTATGTACATACACGTGTGCATGGCACACATTCATAAAATATAAACCTCGGAAAACGTTGTCGTTTAAATGCATGACTTGTAAACGCATCAATCAGATAGGTTTGCGTCTTATTATTCTTATTTGTCGTTACAAAGCGAAAAAGCACAGCGCGCGGATGTTTCCGGAAACAATTTTAATTAAAAAGTACAATCCAAGCCAAAAACTTTCGCCGACGTAAGGAAACAATACTTTGATCGGTAAAAATTGCAAAATTGCCGATTACGCTGATAACGGAAACTTTCGAAGGCGAACCAGGGGAAAATATCGGAAAAACGACCAACCATCTTGACACAAGCCGGAAGTTGGCGTTTTATTTGACCTCAATGGATATTGAAAAGCACTATAACCTACAATACTCGAAAGTCTCATCCAATAAATAAGAAATATATAGCCTCTTTATATATTTAGCAATTTGTCGGTTATGTAATGCAATATAATGATTTAAAACCGTGTTGGCGTTTGCGAAACACATTAATCCCTGAAACATCAAAATCAATATTGATTTTATTTGCGTGTGTACGGAGCACCCTCATCTATTGTTGGTGTTTTTTGTTGTGAAACGCTTAAAGTTTGCGCGCGCGTAGAGGTGAAACAGAAACATGGGGAAGGTTGGTGTTAAGTCCCTCGTAGATAATACCCTCATATCCTTATTTATTGCATCGGATTGTCGACTATACGCCAGCTTGACTGCAAGCCGCCGCATGATGCATAACACGCGCCGCTTCATTCTGATAATATTCGTCTTCGGTAACTTGGCGCTACCATACTGCCAGTCGGCGGGAAGAAGAATACACGAGTCCAAACCCGGGACAAGATAAGTCTACAGCTCAAACCACCCTTAGATAAGAAAAGTGCATCTTCGCTCACTGACAAAGTCACTCCCTCAGGACTACAGCCGACTTCAGACCGAGCAGGGCTTATAAAGTATAAGCCGGAAACTTTAATATTACAGGAAAGACAACAGCGACAAATGAAGATGTATTCGTGTGGAACATCATGACGAAACAACGAAAAACAACCGGATTGAGCAAATTTAGAAAAACACAACTTTACACATGTTTGAAAAAGATAAAATACAGAATTTTCCCATGAATTCAAACACGTAACGCCATCTCAGTTCGAATTATTAAACTATAACTTTCATCGCATATTTTACACCCTTATCATTAAAATTTCGCGATAAAAAGTAACCTATGTGTTATTCTAATATAAAATCTATAATATTGCAAAATTTCATCAAAATTCATTCAGTAGTTTTTGCGTAATTGATGCACAAACATACATTTATATAATATTAGTGTAAATTATCACTTACCAGCACTTTCCGAGCCGTAGACATCCGGACAAGCTTGATAGCTCAACAATAACCGACTATCCTCGATGCAGTTGTCAATATTAGACACAGGTGACTTACACTCGCCATGACCACGATTATAGGTAAACGCAAAAGCGCCATGAAAAGGACACGGCACCGCCAGCGCATTTTCTCTGAACATCGAATATAACAACGCATCGCCTGTGATTAACGAACACAACGAAGAGACAGCCTCACGTCCTTGACAAAATGCTGCAAAAGACAAAAATACATTCTTTTAGCAATATATAAATATAAATTCAGTATGGTTATGTTAATAAGGAATACGATTAGGATTACGATTATGTCAGAATTTAAGTATTAACTTAAACAAGCGCCGCGAGGAAGAAAACAGGATCGTCGAACGGGATCCAAAAAGGGTCGACACTTGTTAGTGCGTTTGACATTGTGGCTGCTGGGTTTAGTTTAGCTTACATCAGCCGCGACGGCTTTTCTTGTCGGTTTGTTACCGCTCTCAATGTTACTTATGTATTATGTAAATACGAAAGTTTCAGCATGGCCAAAACAGTGATTCATGTTGTGTGCGCGTTTTATTTAAATCAAACAATAAAAAAATATATCTTGAGTATCTATTAAATAGACTATTTGCGTAGTTGGTAAATGTACAAGTTGTCTGGAATGTTTGAGGAACATTTATCACTTTATTTCAGGACTTCCTTCACATTAACTTCTTCATACTTAGTTGCGCGGTTTAATGATAGTGTCAGTTGATGTGGTATATTCCGATTATAACTCTCATAAGTATTTTAGCTCATTTATCATTTAAGTTTTGTCTAAGAAATATTTTAGAAGTAAAAAGTATGCAACCAACTATACTAACCTTAAAAATTAGATGTAAAAAATGTATGGCTTTGAAGAGCAATTGTATGTGAACATGTATCGTCAAGTGTAAACGATGTTTGTTTTCGTAAAGTAAAGTTTATAGCTATAAATAGTAAGAGAGTGAGCGAAGGAGTGGCCCGGGAAATATCCAAAGAGGAGCAAACTGCCACCTCTAGAGCCTTAGTTGCCACCGTCGCGTCGAGTGTCTCTCAAGTTAATAAATCATCATTTAACTACTGTTACTGCCTACGTTCTCGACTTGTTTCGCGCACTCTTTGAGTTTCCCTTCACAATTGCCACTGAAACTTTCGAAAATTCATCATTCAACACAACAACGACCGAAAAACAACACACAAAAACTTCCGTGAATTATCATATGAGTCATCGAGTCATATAAGTGGGAAATAAAAATAGAAGTCGGAGTGATTTAGTAAATGTCACGACGACTAAACTTACTAAAGAGAATTAAAAGGTACAAAACAGCTGTCAAAACATGTCACAGTCAGCTTTTAAAAATGTTCAGTAATTACACTCGAGCGCTTTGAAAAAACAAAATGCACTTACATCGACTGCAATAAAGCCGTGCATTCGCAGTCAATTGTTTGTGCATTTTACAACATTTTCGAGTTGTGTATTTTTAGTACTCATCCGGAATGCCATGTCTTTTCCTTCTTGGTGTATAGTGGAGGGTAAAATTTCAGCTGTGGTTTAGGAACGTGGGGCAGAGAAAGAGAAGGCGAAAACGTCCCAGTGGTAAACCCATTCCGCATTTCGAATTTCGCGTTTCCCATTTCGCATTTCGCAATTCGCAATCAGCCATGGTGATTTATGCAAACCCTTGCAAATCTATAGCATATACAGCAGTGGGTGAGTGCCCGAGCACGGCGCATGGACGATCGCTCAAGGGAGGTAGTAGAGTACTACGTGGGCAAACGTACGAATGTTACCGTTTACACCGGTTATGCCTCGCCGGGAACTATCCGCGAACCGCAAGCGAACCCAAACTGTAACAGCGTAATGCCCCACGTAAACGCTAACCACCAAAATAGGATATACCTATTTTGTAGAAATGTAGAAATTGATCCCTAAGATGACACATTTCTTATGTGCAATGAACGTCATCAAACGGTTTAAAACAGCTAAATTCCAAAAGCACACACAATGGACCACTTCGGTGTGCGTATGTTGATTTTAAATGAGTCCCTGTTTGACTTTCCCCTCTCGCCGACTGAACAACTTCATGCATGCGAAATACGGTTTCGCCGAGTATGCGATGCGCGTCCGGCGCAAATCTGCCGAGGCGCAGGGCGAACTGGCTAAATGTTATTAAACAATTAACTGGTTCGTTGTGTCCGCGTCCGGTCCGGTTCGGGACGCCCGGGTACGAAGCACACGAGCTGCGTGTCCACGTTTACAATTCGCTTCTCAACGTTCCTATTGTTTGCCATCACTGCACCACCGTTTCGAAACGCGCACGCGCTGAGGGCGGAATACTGATATGCACGCCCGATACATATTCAAACATTCGGATGTCGGATCCCCGAAGTGGATGGTAAGCTTACATATTATCAGCATTGGTACATTTGTACATGTCTGTTATATCCGGCGTGGTATACATCCGCAATTGCATACCATCAGTATTCAAAATTGTGATAAATTTCGGCGCCGTGCGCTTTTTGTAGATTTTCTAATAAAATTTGGTGCAAAATTGAGCATTTTAATCATATAATTCGCAAAACGAAGTTGAAGTTGAGTGGCCCGGACCCGATGTGGCATGGTATTACATTCGTCGAATGCCGAAAAGAGAGGGCTGCACCCTGTGGTGGTGGCTTTAATTAACATTATTAGTCGGAATGCATGATTTATGGAATACGCGCGCCGCTGCGTTACGCGCCCGCCCCGGTTGGTGATATACCGTGGAATGGAGAGTAATGGCAACCTCGAACCAGCAGTGCCCTTTTGCAAACGTCGAAAACTACGAAAAGCGGCGCGGCGCACAATGTGCTGCGGCAATTATAAACCCTGGAAAAGTTCAGCGCGCAAACACACAGGACTGCAGTTAGCGCAGGCTCGTTCCCGTCGTACATCATGCAATATCTTTAAAATTGAGAAGTTTTCAAACACTTGGAAAGAACTAGAAGTGGTTTTGGTCGCTTTTTTACTTCCTATAACCCAAAAAACATATATATTTTAATGATTACTCACTTTCTTTGTATTGCAGGACGTTTGCGTGCTTCTCATGAATGACGACGCATCGGTAACACACTTTTTTACTGTAAAAAAAAACGAAACAAAAATAAATACCATAAACGAACATGAAAAACGCGTTAAATAATTAAATTTACGAAGGTATTCAACCTCAAACGGATGGAAAAAAGTTAATTTATTATTTATTTTTTTGGTAATTAGTTAATTAGCAAAACTCACTCGTCCACAACGATGAATTTGTCTCCCTCGGAATGTAGACAACGCCCTTTGCTGCTCAATCGAGACTCCTTGATGGTGATCGGCTGTCGCACGCCGGACTGAAACCACGTGCCCTCCCATCGCTCCGGGAAATAGCACCCTCCTGCAATGGAAAAGTTGTCAGCGTTAGATATTTGAATCCCGGCGTTTGTCAATACGAAAATAGGTGGGTATGAGTAGGAAATAAAGAGCTGTATGCAAATTGAGACAAATTGCTTGAAAGGAAACGCGAATTTTGGGGGCTGAATGAATTGCAGACCCAGAATTTTGCCGCGGGGGCTATTTTCATCATGCAGCTAACACATGGTCACAAAAAGGGTCCTCGAAATGAGGGACAGATGAAATTCAAAGAAGATATAAACCAAAATTGATGATTAAAGCTTTTTTTCATATAAATTTATGCCATTTGCGTTGTATTTTTAGTTGATGATTGTAATAACCCGGTGGAAAATTCGATTTTCAATTTAATTTCGTATTTTTTTGCATTTATTCGCAAACTTTTCGCACGTAACACACCATCCACTCTCATATCGGACGTCCCATGGAGATTTCAATTGGATCCTCTTGTGTCTCGGCGCATGAAAAATCACAAAAAATAATGAAAAATTCCCGAATAAACCACAACCAACAACCGAGAGAAGAGCAGAGGAGGAGGAAAAAACGAACGCGTGCGACCACAACACACCACGCTTCGCGCGCGCGTCGACGAGAGTGCCTGCGAAGGCCCCCGAGAGGAAATAAATGTCGTTAACATTTAAATTTCCACGCGCGTGCCCCAAGTTATACAGGCGAGGCGGGATGAAACGAAATAAATAATATTATGCGAAATGAAAATTGTCATGCACCACCACCACGCAAACGCACACGAATGTGCAAACAACTGCGGACGAAAACGGCACGTCGAATACGAAATAGAAAGATTTCGCGATAGAAACGCGAAAGAAGTGAGAAAATGTCGGACGACTTTTTGAATATATATATATATATAGCGCTGGTTGCCGGCAACCCGCATCGCATGTACTAGCTGCATCGCGCTGTGCGGCCTGCGGAATAATCGGGAAATCTCGACAAGGTTGTAAAATATATTGCTCCCATTCGGCCAACACAGAACAACTAGCTGGGCGTACACACACACACACACACACACATACAATCAGAAAAACCAACATGGCGACGATGACGAAGGTTAAAATATGGAAGAAAATTTTTAGTGCTGAATTTTAATGTAGTACTTTAATTAATATTCCGTTTGTGAGTCAACAGCGGTGATTTTACTGCACATAGAAAACTTTTTTTACAACAACCGCTACAATTCAGTATGTGATGAGGGGCCGAGGCATGGGCGTTAGTTACATAGTTGGCATGGCAACACAACTGCTCTCATAAATCCGCGCCGCGTTCAGTATATGACAGAATGGAAAATTAATGTTTTTTGTTATTGAGTCAATATCTCGCCGAAAACATTGTCGGAAGCGCATAAATTTCGCACAATTGAAATCAATATTTATTCAATACCTGATTGTTTAAATGTGGCAGTGTCCGTGATGAGAAGACAAAGCAATAGTGTGATAAACAGCAGCCAACGGTGATAGCCAAAGCGACTGCGTCGATTGTGACATCTCTGATATTGATAGCAATGATGGTTGCGCCACGACAGCCACCGGACATCCATGGTACGTATGCTTAGCACACCACACTCAACAAGCCTTTCTTCCTCTCAGTGCTGCGTCCCTCTTTCACATTTTCCTGTTTATCCTTGGCGTCCTTTGTTGTTTATTGATCTGCTGCTGCTACGGGCGCTTTCTTCACGCGGGCCCGAGTTCTGCAACAAAAGACACATTCACATTAGTTAAATAAATATTTTCGCACATGCAACATATGGATGCGAAAGTTCACCACTCTGGTGAAGGGTGTGTGAATGTGTGAAGTAATAAATTATCAAAGTTACAATGCTATGCGAGTATAAAAAAAAGTTGAAAAGTCGATTTCAAGTCCATCTAAGTGGAATTAATGCGTTTTCATTGTTTCGATTGTGTCGATTTTGCGTAGATTTGCGCGCCCCCTGGTTTTTGGTCCCGGGTGTAGAAGCAGGAGGGGACTCCTACAACACAGTCTACACCAATTTCGTTACCGTTCCATCAGCTTCCTCCAGCGCGGCTCAAATTCGCGTCGTTTATGGACCAAGTTAACAAAACTTTTGCACGCCGACTTAGGCGCTACGTGTTTGTGTTTGTTGGTATTTCGCATTCGTGTGTTACGCTACGCATTTAGCTTTCGTCAGCTTTTACGTTGCTTTCCCTTTATTACGTAACCAAGTAACGCACAAAGCAAACGCTAACGAAAGCAAGAAAGGATCGAAGCAAATAAGCTTTTAGTGAACAGGAATTTTACATAGATTTTCCGCCGATATTTAATTAAATCAATTCGGATTATTTGCCGCTTAAGGCGAAATTATGCTAGTGTGATTATTATACGTAATGACAAGTGCAAAGTAGAGAAATTCAGCGCGAACTAATTTCAGATTATGGCACAATGGACAACAATGGCAGGCGACTGCTGAAATGTCGAATTGAATGCCTTTTACATTCAACTCGACCGCTCTAGGAGGCAGCACATTTACCGAGTACACAAGTCCCTTGGTCTTTGATTATGAATTAAACGTTTCGAGCACAAAGAACAGCATTTAGTGCAGCATTAACACAATGATTAACACATTCGCGACGTAAATGGCCTCGACTCATGGAGATGGGATCTTCGTACTGTTTAACTCGGCTTTAAACGTGCTAAGAACACAGTATGTATTATTTTTGACGTCAGAAAATTTGTATCATTCTTATCAACTGATAAAAATTATTATTTTCTGATTTTATGAAGTAAATTACCGAAAAAACATTTTTCTTTGATTTTCTCATTTTTTTGAATTTCAATTGCGATTATCTCGAAAACTAAAAGCGATAGAAAAAACGGATTGAAGATTCTGAATCGTCTTGAAATTCTCTATAATACAACCTTAAATTCAATAATTATAACTTTCTTCCTCAAAACAAACTGATAAAAACAGAACAAAAACAAGTTTTATTGGCATTATAATCGTCCCTCAATCTATGCTTACTGCCTGCCAAGAAATTAAACAATTTATTTCGCAAATAAAGCGATAAAACAATAGAAAACATAAAACAGTTGCGTTTGGGTAAAGTACAAACATTACCAGCACTAGTTAGCAAGTTTAACAGTGTTACACCAGAAGTAAAAGAAGATTGTTGTGTATCCTGCTGTTCGGCAGTGTTTTCTTCAACTCGTCTGCTACTTTTCGCTTAGTTTTAATTCTCTCTTTTAGTTTTCTCGAAGCAGTAGCAGTTTGCTGGTAGTTCGTCGGGGATTTACTCTCGGCGTTGAAATGGTACGAAACTAACGCGAACGTAACGGGGAATAACAAGTTTGCAACTCTCGAAAGTCTACAAAGTAAAAATACGCGAAATAAAAGTGTGAAACTGCGGGTTCACAAAAATCCCCCACAAAATGACAATAATTGCAATTTTTTTTGTATTTTTTGTGTGTTTTTTAAGACGATTTGAAATATTAACAGAATACGTGTTGGAATACACCAATCGTGCAGGTACCTTTGGTTGAAAAACTTTGGTATGTAAAAGAAACGATTGATTACATCAAGATCAAACCCTCACCAGCCTCATCACGCATTCGTGGGGTGCAATGCCTTATGTATACATCCACAATTCGAGACGTGTGCTAGGGTGGTTGTAGGTAAAGCGCTAAATTCACCAAAACCTACTTAAACATTCTCGTTCCATACGTGCATACACCAGCCTTCGACCTGACTTGTGTCCGTAATAAAAAGCTGGGAATAAATTTATTCTCTTTTGGGACTTGATTCCGAACTTGTATGAGATATGTTGAGGTTTTCCGCTACCAGCAGATACTTCTGAACATGTTCGTTAAAAATGACATGACTTGAATTTATAATTCCACTTTATTCGCTGTTTATTTATTGTCTGATGAAGAATTTCTCGTAATATTCGTGCGAGATTTATGCTGATAAGAAAAAGAGAAGTTCTTTTCAATATTTCGTGAATTATAAGAGCGTGAAAAACAGAAAAAGTTGGTAAAACTGGAAAATATTGAAAGTTCTATGTGTTCTTCTTCTTTTCGCCTTTGTCGAAGATAGAAAAAGTTCCAATAACTTATTGGCGATGATGGTCGTCGGGGCATGGAGTGAGAAAACGTGGATAAAACACTGGGTGCGAGAGTGTCCCAACGCAAAAAGTATTGGCTGCGTTTGAAGAAGATGAAAAAGATGAAAGGAAAATGTCGAAAAACGATCGAGCTAAACCTTCGCCAAGTTGATCCAAAGGCAGGAAGGCAAAAAAGAAATAGGAAATAAAAAATATAGAAAAATGCGCAGCAAAATGTGTGTATGATTTGTCTCAACCCTGAATGGCTTAGCGAAATAGTGCGAAAATGAGCAGCCGAAGAAATTCCACGAGAAAAAAGGAAGAAACCGTGTTCAAGGAACATGATAGTAAGGAACGAATCGCAGAGTCTTAATCTACGGAAAATTCTCTATCAAATAAGCTAGTTAAATTGAAAATTTAAGAGATAAAATTTTAATTCATAAAAAAGAGCAAGGAATATCTCTTAACCTAAAACCGATAGCAACCAACGAATCGCAGATTATGAAAGATTGGAAAATTTTCTATCAGGTAGGAATATATAATAATTATATTTCCTGCAGTAAAAGATCGAAAACCGCGACAAAAAGTGCTAAAAAGTGACATTTTTTAATTTTTGCACATTTAATTCAATCGTGAATATCTCGGAAACTGAAAGAGATAAATAGGTACAAATCGCAGAGACTATTCTATGTACTATTATCTATAAGATAGACTAGTTAAAGCGGAAATTTGAGAGATGAAATTTTGAGTCTTAAGAAAAAATTACGCTCTGGGGTGTACTATAATTTTTTGAAAAATTCAATGCACGACAGTAAATTATTATTTTACATGTGTTCTTTTATACATTTTGCAGCACCCCAACTGGTGTGTCTATTGATGTAATTTTTCAACGCTGTTTATGCATGGCAAGGGTGTAAAAATTGTTTGATTTGGTTATTCGGTTCCGCATCAGTTATTCACACGCACACATCATGCCGGTTTGCCGCTGCCACGTGTCGGAAAGTATGCAGGAACTCATTTGCATTTTTTCAATCGGAAAAGTGGATATCATAATAAAATAAAATAAAAATTCACAGTATTGATCGCCGCTAAAAAACGCCTCAATAAAATAATAAAATAATATCTCAACTATAAATATTGAAATTTTATTAGCGAAAGTCAATACGTTGTATTTTCGATGGCAAAAAAACAACAAACACAACATTTGACTAAGAAAAATATGAATTTTGATATATTTGCTTTGCATGAAAATCAACATTCCACCAACAATCAAAGACCGACTGTTATTCGGGACGAGCGTAACGAGTTGTAACGAGCACTCGGAACGAATGCGATTCGACGATGTCGTTCCCAAATTGAAAATCAATATACAAATATGTAATACCCGAATACAAGTTGTAGGGTAGTACAAATTTAGAGAACCACCAAGAGGGCGGGGGAGAACGATGACTGAGTCGTTTCTCATTTCCATTACGTCGACTTTTCCGTCATATACGCACCACTAGTGTACCATGCTTTCCTTTTCGATCGCTTTGCATTATGCTTCCACTTTCATTTCATTTTTTCCTCTCCAAATTTTTTCCTTATACCTACATCATACAAATCGTCCAAAATTTTATTCCCTTACAAAATAAATGTAAATATTGAATATTTTATATAATAACAATATAATGTACGTTATTATATTATTAATAATATTATTATTTGATAAGAACACATTGTATGTTTTTTTTTCCGAACCTAGCCGCCATTACAGCCATCGACTTCAATAAAATTCACTGAAAGCGAGCGAGCCGAGCACTATACACAACAGATGCGACCAAGGACGAAAAGGAAGAAGGAGAGCTCCGAAAGACGGTGGATTATACATTTAACTATAACCAACACCACAATAACACCACAATACAGCCGCCTCCATGACTACAGTGGCCGTCCCAATAACGACGAGTTCGCTTCAAGTCGGAGTACATCAGCATCAAACACGCTTTACTATTACTTCTTCGAGGGTAGGCAAAGAGAGCACCGGTACTTGATCGCTTGATCTTTTATGGACGATGGGGTGAAATTACTGTGCAAATATGTGTGCAAAAGCCACCGCTTTTCATGCGTATGAATAATAATCCGATATTTATGTACTTTGGAAGCATATAAACCAAAAATTTGAAAAAAATATAAATTTTCTGAAACACCCTGTGTATTCATCTCAATAATCTGTTGTTTAGTTGTTATTTATATCCTTGGGAAGTAAATAAATAAATAAAAAAGAGTAAAAATTATAAATTTTCTGAAACACCCTGTGTATCCATCCCAATAATCTGCTCTTTAGTTGCGTCTTATAATTATGTACATTTATCTGCACATTGAATAGAATACTACTTCTTTTTGAGCGAGGAATCTTGCGAAATAAAAGTCATTGTTGTTTGTTTCTGTTGTTGCCCTTTTTTTTTAGTTTATTCGCTTGGTTTAAGGGGTGATTTAGAATCGAAGTTGTGGCAGTGACACGGACCGGCAGAGGCGCAAAGGCGGCGCAGGCCAAGCGTTCCAGTGCGCTCCAATACACTTAGCTACACAGTCAGCCACACTCGGCTACATTAACCCGAAGATAGATAGATATAGACGGATGATGGCAACTGCCGCAAGAAGCTTCGGGCAAGAAACTAAAATTTACGCCTGCTAATTTATTAGTGTAGATTTTGATGTAATTTTTTTTTGTCTGTTTCAGGAATAGAGTGTTATCGAAGATGTCGAAATGTGCATTGCATTTGTTTGTTATTCTCCTCTTGACTTCTCAACCAAAGTACAAATGTCAACCCTTTCTCTGGGTCCTTTTTCCTCGCGCTCACGCGCCCGGTTTTGGTTTATAGAACGCGCCATCTGCCAGTGACAACGTCATCCCTCTTTTCCGCCAATTCCACACCGCGTCGACCCACACACGCCTGCACGCTTTTGCCCACCGGGGGATAAAATAATGTACGTGCGCGCACACTTATCCCGGCACGAAGGGAGAAATGGAGATATAAACAAAATTGAACTATCCTTGCCGCGAACGCAAGTGGAATAAATAAGATACATTAGATCAAGTGCCACCACGCTGTCGAACACTATTCATTTCCAAGAATGAAAAAATTATAATTTTTTATAAAAATAAAAACAAAAAATATGTGAGACTATGTTTGTCAGGCTTTACGCGCGTGACAGACTTGAAAAATCCTTCATGTCTTCATATGTCTCTCCTGCAGGCGCAGACAACATTCACTTGTCTTTTCATACAAACGCAAAGTAAGCCCTGCATTTTGAGCCTGTCGGGGAGGTTGCGCGACGCAGGTTGCAGAATCCTGAAGATTCTTAACGGTCGGCCACGTCTCGTGCCTTTCTCCACGACTTTCGAGGCCTTTGCATCACCCACGCGCAACGAAAAGGCGCGCTCACATTCACACACAGAAACCCACCGGAGAAATATTGTGCATGAGTATTCGGGTTCGCCACGCTTAAGGCCCAGTGAGCGCGCGAGCGGACGAAAGCCTCCCCCAAAAGCCCGGTATTATCGACCCATTCGCGAACTCGTAACGCTGCGAAGAGGAGACTTGCACTTGCCCTGGCAAGTTGGACGCACACACATGCACACAGGTCCTAGTATAAACTACATACCTTCACATTCACACGACCCGCCAGCTCATAACTTTTATATATTTTTTAATTTTCTCGACATAAGTATGACAAATTATATTTTAATTTTCTGTAAAGAAATTTCATTCACTCTGATTACGAAACGATAATAAATTTTGAGATCATGTGTCGCTGGCTTCAAAGAAGTTTTATTCATTTTTTATTGCTTTGTTTCCACCTTTCCACCTGCTTTTACTTAATCAAATTAAAGCAAATCCTCGTTGGCTTTGTGATGCTTACCAGCATTTTCTTATTTTTCTGTTACTTTGCTTTCTTTTTTTCTGTTCGTGTGTCCGCTTTTTTTCTAACGCTCGCCTTTTCCCCTATTTTTATGTTTCATCAAGTAAGCAGCAAAGTCTCCTTTTCCTTTGTTTTCTCTTTGCGCCACCCGTCCGCGCGTATTTTATATCCCGTCAATTATTCCTATGCTTTCTTCTCATTGTCACCAGCCGGAGACAGGGCGACTCGACACTTTCTTATTATTCATTTTTTATTCGAGCCGCACACAAGCATAACGCAAGAGATACGAATAATTTCTTTAAAGAAAAGTTTTTCTCCTTAGCAGACTAAAGAATTGCCACTTCATTATGAAAATAAAGCAGAGTATTATGATAACAACAAAGCAATAATAATTCGACAAGAGTAATATATTATTTTTGTTGTCGATGGGGTAAAAAATATGCCAAAGGCAGTTGTTTCTCATTACTTTGCGCGCAGATCGAAAGAAAATCACAATTCCAGACACACAACTTGAGAAAATATCAAGTTTCTCACTCTGTCGCACTACAAAGACGAATAGAATGAGAAATGCGATTGTATACGGCAACAATGTCGAAACTCGTAATAGAAACAATTGAAAGGCAGAAATACGCTAAGGATTGAGAAGACGTTGTGAAAACACGAACCCTGTACAATTTCAAGGACTCGAGGGCGCTGAGAGCCTTGAAATCCTTATATAAACCTTATATAAACCTATTCTACGAATTCAACAACGAAAAAAAGAATCACTAAAAGCGTTGAAAATTAAAACAAAATTATTGACATATCGTAAACCACGAGAAATTTCAACGTGAATAGTTGATCATCTAAAATTACTATAGTATACTTCCGATAGTAACTTACTTTGTATACCGGCACAGCTTGCTGGTGGCGGCAACGTCATAAATTTTCCCGGTAAAGGCCTCCCATACCCGGCATCCCCAACGGAGCGCACACTCGACCTCCTCTCCAAAGGCAGAGGACGTCACTATCGCAACAATGCCCCAAGAGCACAGCACAAACACAGGAGAAAAAATACACACAAAGAACGCCAATGATTCTGATACACAAATACACATGTACAAACAAACAGACCGAGTCGAAGACGAAAAGCACCAACATAAATTCAAGCACGTAGCACGTAGACTACTAGCGGGTTTCGCTAGTCGAGTCATATATTCATATATTCAAGAAACATTCATGTATGTATGTGTTGCTAGTGTGTGGAAAATTGTGCGACGTGGCGAACACAAGCGAAGGAAATGAGTTGTGTGTGGCAATGAGATGAGTGTTGCCAACTTATATTTTCAAAGTTTCCAAAGTGCAAACACTACACATCACACATCACACACAAAAGGGTTTTTGATGACTGCTTGAAAAGAATAGCGATTGTAATTTAATTTCGTTCGATTCGCGCCAAAGTTTTTAAAACCTTTGTGTTTTCTGTAACGGGTTACGTCTGTAATGTGTTCGCAACTGTTCACACCATAAAGTCATAAAGTTATTGGCACTTGTGTTCGCATTTAGCTCACCGAGTCAAAACTTTGTGTACGAGCGGAAATCTTTTGAATTAATCTCCTATAATCCGCAACTTCAACAATTGTATTCGCTTTGCGCTGCATCTGGGAGGCTTCGCTTCGTGCACACTTCGCTTATTCTTTAATTAAGTTGAAGTTCAACCTCCTCGCAATTTCGCATTTTCAAACAGTCAAAACCTTCTAGACGCTCCAGACTTTTGATTCTAGAGTAGAAGAATAAGTTAAAGCTTAATTTAAATTTGACTTTCCGCTTCGGTTTCTTTTTTGTGTATGGGTGCGTGTATTTTGATTCGGTGATATTCGGAGAAGTTTTCTTTGAATATAATCATAAATACATGTAAAAATACTTGCTGTTTTTGTTTTGCACGGTGACTCAACTCTTATCTTAGTTGAGCAAGAGTTTCAGTTTCGATGAACGAGCCTATTGAGAATTGCACAGTAGCTAAGAATTTTGGAGAAGTTTAGCCAAGAATAAACTGAAACAATAAATGTTGAGCACACTCTACGCCGTCTACCATAAAATATGGACTTGTATGCTTGGTTGCATACAGTCAGACTTGTCCTATGCTTTGACTAGACGTTTTTTATAACAGAACATAGCACAAAACACACAAAACACAAAATCAAACTAAATATATTTATAAATCTTTTGTTTATTTGTCTAGAACATTAAATGCACATGTCGCCAATAATTTAAAGCCTACCAGACAAGTAGTAAATCCTTTGTTAGTACTAACTGCACACATAAATAACTCACAAAAGAAACAAAAGATAAATTCATTTGCAGACTTAAAATGTGAAAATAGCTCGTCATGTTGAAGATATTCTAAAAATTAGCAAATTTAGCATAGTAAAGGAAGGAAAAAGGCGAAGAAAAAACTCGAGGGAATTAATAGAAACCGAACGCGGCACTCGAAAACGCCAAATTAGTCAAATTAGCGCTGCAAATCAAGCAAATTAAAATACGCTCCTTTGACACGCTTCGGTTTCTGTAGTGGCAGAAAGGTTTTCCTCGTTCCGCCAAGTTCCTTCAAATCATCCGCTCGATAAGTGGAAACGAACGTTGAGGTTGATAATTAGAAATTCAGAAATCAAAGAGTCCAAGAATCCAACACTGAATGATAGAGTGAAGAGCAAAGAGTGAAGAACGATGTGCATAAAGACCTCTGAATGAATAATACTCAATTAAATACAGACGCATAGAACAAAAGAAACATTTGTTTGAACTGCAAACAAAACTGTATATTATACGCATAAAAAATAACTAAGTAAATAAGTAAATAAACGAAATGTAACTACTAATAACAAGTAGTTTGCGTGTTTATCGAATATACAATCCTATTGCTCCGATAAGAAATGCCACCTACACCCTCGAACAGTCTAAACAAAAATTCTGCGAATCTAACCTGGCAATCTTAATCTTAATTCCTCAATCTGTTATACTCGTTTGGAATACGTCCAGAAATAAATTGAGCCTTAGCCGGCCATGGAAATATACCTACAACACAAAGGCGACGTAAAAATCAGTCGCACCACGATCCATCAACACGAAAACGAAATCAACGTGGCGTTAATAATGTTTTCTGATAGTTAAGCGATACCAATAGTTAGATTACTCGCACGAATATAACTACAAGTCACTTACGTCTCGCCCGCGTAACAATATTATTTAGATTTTTATTTATTTCAGTTAATTCTTATCTTAAACACTAATAAAATCAATACCTGTGTGTTTGTTTACGTACGAGTAGCAGCTTGTTATGGTAATGATGTATATAAATTTAGTAGGAGAATAATTGTTGAAAATTTATAAGCGTCATATTTTTAGTATGAAGGAGATGATGATAAGGGATAAGAGATAAACATAAAAGGGGGACAAATGAGTGCTTTCTTTTTGCGCTTTGTTGTAACTCTAAAGGTTTACACACCCTCATATATTCCGTGCAGAAAAAAGTACTCATATATTACCTTCTTTGTTTTATAGTGACACACTCACCCTTATAATATTTTAAATTAAGTCAACACTAAAATATACACTCATATAAAAATTTTTAATTCAAAATTTGTGTTTTTGCGTTAAAAATGCCGAAAAAACGTGAATTTTTCGATGTTTTGCTAGTGTCGCTGCGAAAACTGTTAGTTAAATATTAAAAACGAATAATGCGGTGTGGTGTGGTGTGGTGTGGCATGATGGCAACATCGGGTATTGAAATAGACGTCAAGAGAGCTGACACTTTATAAACGTTTAGGCTGTGATGGTGTTGGTGTTGGTGGCGGCATCACACCAAAAATACAGGAAAAACGGACGCGAGGCAGGTGGATGAAAACGTCCGAACGTTCGCGCCCGCTTTTTTTTCATATAAAAGCACCTGTCACCCGCGTTTTTATTAACTGCTGCTATCTTACCAAGCGGCCCCTTTCATCCCTTCCCCTTCAGGGCTTCCACTGGTGCGACGACGCAACCTGCCGCGCGACGCTAGGAAGCTACATTATACGAAGTGTTTAATGCCGTTCAGATTGATGCCGGTTCATTATCAAGTCCGCATTACCATCCACCATCTTCACAAACACAACCAACACGTACGCTTAGAAGCGCGCAGCCGTTGTCTGCGTTTAACGATTGCTTTTTATACGGCGACGCTCATCAATTGACGCTTTATGCCCCATACACCGAAAACTTCATATATTCCATCAATATATTAATAAAATTCTCGGGTTTTATGCATTTTTGAGGTTAGTTCCAGCTAATGGCTTAATCCCACGCATTGAGTTTATAAAGAAATTTTAACCTCATGCACACATGGATAGAAGGGGAAAGAAACCCCTAATTATGATATAATAAATTAGCCTTTAAGGTTTAATTATGGTGCACGTATACGTGAATACAATTTAATCACAAAAACCCCACCCACCACAATGCGCCAAAGCTCGTGTTACAATGTGCTACTCATTAAATATCGTTCTAAAACGTCGACATTATGTGTATTATGATATTATACTTTCTTTCAACCGTCAGATATTGTTAATTACTGTTAAATGCTGCTACCTACCTTGTATAAATGTATTATCACGCCTTTCTTTCTTCAGAAAACACGTTTTGACTAAATATAACCTATAATTATGTTTGGTTATGTGTTGAATTGGTTGCCTACATTAAACATTGTAATTTTTATAGAAAATAATTACAAAATGGTGTTGAAATGGTTGCCTACGTTAAGAATCGTAATTTTTATGGATGATAATTACAAAATGCCTTGTAAATAAATAAAGCGTGTACCACAGATGCCTTCACCCATTCCCCTGGAAAACTTACAGCCGCCCAACATTCAGCAAACGACGGCGACGACCATAAAGCCATTAACGGAGAGAATTATGACGCCGGCACGGGGTTATTTAAATGGTGCTCAACTAACCGCACGGTGGCAATACGCATCAGCGGTGCTCGCAACAAGACCCCCGCCTCCTCACACAGCCACCCTCTTCTGCACCCGCAATCTCATTGTTTCGCTGCGGCGGCGGCGGTGGCACTTTTGCATTCGCATTCGCATTTACATTCGTGTTGCTCTTGTTTGGTCACGCAAAACGAAAACACTGACCGAAGCTTACGGACCCTGACAGCCAACATAAAGCAACAATTGCCGCCGCCCCCCTTGCCAGCCAGTGAAATGAATGAATGTACTCGGCCGACTAGAAATGCACAATTTTCGCCCGAAATTTAGTGTCAAAGCGCGACCGCCGACAAACTGACCACCAAATTGGTTAATATGACAATACGCCAATGGCAGCCGCCGCGGAACGCGGAAGTCTGCCCGGCGGGGCGGCAACATTCCGCAACATTACATGCGGCGACAACTTCTCTCTAACTGCGCGTGCAATTTACTACGAAACATTTAATTCATTTCGGATTATGCAACTCACACATAAATCACGCGATTTAAACTCTTAACCGATCTGTTTCTGTCGTGACAAAAGACATGCTTAGAGGTTATGAATATCACGTGATGTGTCACTCAAAATTTTTATAGAAAGATCATATAGATAAACATCGCATATGCGCACATAATAGCCAGTTACGAAATTGAATATCAGCTTTCAAGCATTGTAACAACACTGGTATCATATGCTGTGGTGGTTTCAATGGGGTTGCTATTGTTATTGTGCCCGGTTATTTAATACCTGCGCGTGTTGTGTGTGGCCAACAAACAACTGATGCTATTTTCCAGAATATGTCGGCTGGGAAATTTGGAATGTACCCATTTTTCAACACCTGGTACTTTTAAAGGCTGTCATTTATGTTTAGCCGCCGTCATGTAAGATTAAACTTTAATTACTACTCATCGAAGTGAAGCCAATGCTCAATTTATTAAAACGGAAATTAATTATAAAAAAAACTTACCTTTTAAAATGTTTTAAGTTGATTAGTAGCTTAATCCATTCACTATCTTCTTCTTTTTTTTAAGGTTATGTTTCTAAATTTGAGGTTATGACATGTTGAATTTGACACTTAACCACAAATTTAAAAAAGTTTCTTGTTCTTGTTCTGGATTTATACGCGCACTTTATATGTTATTCTTTGTTATTTCACTAGTTTACAGCGGTGTTTCAGTTCGACATTACTTTCACGCCGCCTAGTCGCGGGCGGCTTGTGGCGTTCGGTGTTTCTGGTTCGCGAAAAAGTGCGGTATATTTTTCTTGTGTGTATTCCACTACATTAACCACCACATGATGCGCCCGGTCACAAAATCAATGCGAAAATGCAGCGTCGCACGGTTGACTCGCAGTGGCGGCGTTCGCAATGCCGTCACCGCCACCAGCACAACGACCACCACCGCCGGCACGCACTAACCAACCGCACATATTTCGCGCACGCAGTTCACAGTCATTCACACAAATATACAACGAAAGTACCTATGTGTGTTTATTTATTTACGCCATTCGCGTGCGATGGTGTGATTAAATGTTCTAATGCCCGGTGCATTCGAGGTTGGAAGTTGTGTGTGAAGGTTGTGCGACACCCGCTGAGATGCGCGCAAACGTACGCCACGGTCTGCGTTTGCACAATCAGGCTTCGTGAGGTTCGTGCAGAAGGCAGAGGCCAGCATACCGCACGCCGAAAATCGACGGCGTCGACGAGGAGTGGGGACTGCTCCTGAATAGAAACGTGCAGCGTGAGAGAGAAAAGGGAGAAAAGGACCCGGCAGGCAGGCGCATTCGCATTGGCGAGGGGGAACGTGTGCGGCGTGGTATGCGCGCAGCGCAGCTCAAGCTGCGGCCTGAAGAAATCAAGGAAATAAGGGAGCAGGGAATTGGGAATACTCCAGAATACTCCGAACACTCCTGCAATGCTTGCGCATTTCATACCATCTTGCATGGTATGTTGTCACATGAATTTAAAAAACAAACCGTAGGGGTTGTAATAGTAAAAGTATAACAACTTAAATTGAGCGGAAAATTACGCCATCTGTCGACCGAAACAAATTTTATTTTCTGAAGTTGCATTTTTTCACTCATTTTCTCAATAATCGAGCAGAAAATTGAATATAAAACTAATTTTCTCATGGAGATTGTGCTTAAGAACTATAATTAGGTATTTTCTCAAAGCTTAACTGGTTAATACCTAATAGCCAAACCGAGATCAAATTAATCGACAGTAATCTTTCTAATCCGAGTCGATCAGCCTTTTGCAGCCTCTCCCAGCCGATTTTTGCCGATCCAACAGGACTGTGCTTTTGTTCTCGTGCTCGATTTCTTTTTATCATTGTCCAAATCGCTAATTCAAAGCAATTTGTCCATTTCATTCCATCACTCGCCTCTGGTTTTTTCCTCTCCGTTAATTTTGTATTTTTTCGCTTTGCGTTTTGTAATTATCAGTTTGGTTATATTTAAGATTTTAATTCTTTGACGAACTTTATCCAATTTAGTTTCGGCCACTTTTTTCCCGCTTGGTTGACCTCAAATTAAATTAAACTCGCGGTTGAACTTCTTCGCTTGTTTGCTAATATATTAATGCTTCAATGTTTTGTCGCATTTCTTTGGTGGGCTTTTTCGCCAGCTACACTCTTCAAATGCTCTCAACTTATTCACTTTTCGCTTTTTGCTTCATCATGGCGAATTAGGTTGGGTTTTTCGGCGTGTTGCGGTTCGTATTTCATTTCATTACGGAAATTTTTTGCCTTTTGCAGCTAGACATTGGTCGAGCAACAACAATTTTTGCTGCAAACGGATTGTTGACTAAATTTTATCCTACAACGTGTAACACATGTTAATTAGGATTTTATTTCTTACACATCTAAAAAAATAAACTTTTTATTTGGTGTTTTACCTAATTTTACAAAGTATTTTGTTGAAATAACTCAACCCTTGTAATTTCTATGCAAAATATCCCTCAATTGGTTGCAAACGTTGCAAATCTTGTGATGTCGCATCATTGGCATCGTTAATCTATAAATGTGGGGAGCTGTGGAAAGCAAATCATATTCATTAAATCATTAGACGACTAAATAGTACGGTTTGAGGGTTGAAGCAGTAGTAAAGTAAAGGGTTTCTCCCCTACTTGAGAAGTTGCGAATTTGGGATAAATGCATTGGTCGATAAAGTAGCTGCAGCAGATCTTACTGTGTACACACACATGCATCAAATAACTGTTTCTTAGATCTATACCCTCGACCTAACACCCTAGGTCTTAACACTGTAATAACAAAGACAAATATTTTTGTTTCACGTACAAATTTCCGACTTGAGAACAATTTCAATGCATTTATGTCTATTTATTTACTTTTAGACTTGGCGACTGAAATGTTGTGAGTAACAGAAGATAGCTTATCACTAGTAGAGGAAATAAATGTTGGTTCGTTGACTCAAACGTTGGAATGAACATTTCTATCACAAAAGATTATTTCGAGAACGTTTTATTCGAAATATTATCAATTTAAATTCAATTTGCACTCTCATGGTAGGCAACCAGCCTCACATACAGCTGTCTTTACTAAGGTGAATCGAATATATACTACATTTAACTTTAATTCTGCGTAAAATAACTTTTAACATATAACTACGGCAATATTACAATAATATAATCAATGTCTCAATTAGCCAATTTGCAATATGTGAACTTCAGTTCACTTATAAATCCTTCTTTCTGGCATAAATTAACACAACTCAAGCTTGATGTTGATAAACTGGATGAAACTGAAAGACACATATGGGCGTCATTAAACTTCAGTGATTCTTCAACCCAGCATTTGTACATAGAAGTTGATAGCACATCATTTAATGAGTAAGAATTGTTTGTATTAAATTTCCCTGAAGTTATTAATATATTTGTTATAGTAATTATGATTTGCCATCACTTTGTGTTCCCTGGCAAGGAAAGATATTGAATAAAAACACAATCGAACAATTTAAAGAATGTGATAAAAACAGTCTCATGCAAGAACAAGCTGTAAAATTTTTAGAAGTACTCAAAAACGATGCAATTAATAATCCCTCATTGATAAATACATTTTTTGTTTTATCATTTGCTGTAAGTTTTGACATAATGAAGATTAAAATGCAAATTTTTACAGATTTTCTTTGCAGGATCTGAAAAAGTATCAATACTATTACTGGTTTGCATTTCCAGCTCCTCTAGAGCTGAATTTACCACTTTTAGATGTTTCTGATATAAAATCTACATTTTCAGATGAGCAAGTAAGTTTAACAAGTTATAAAATTATTCTTTTATTAATTTTTATCAATTTATAGCTGGAAAATATTCTTAAATCATTTTTGGCTTTACCAAAAGAACAAAAAGCCCTGTTTATAACAAAATCAAATGGAGAAATCTCAACTTTAAAAGATTCTATCTCAAATAACAGTACGTTTGATCCAGCAAACAATTACTTTACTTTCATTGATGCCAGTCATGCCAAAAATACTTACAACTGGTCTTTGAAGAATATTCTAGTTTTACTCATTCAGAACAAACATTTTAAACATTTGATTGGCAAGACTATTACATTAATTGCTTTAAGAGTATCAAGAATTGATAAAAATTTGACTTTAAATAAAAGCGAGATTTTAAAAGTTCAATTGCCTGAAACATGCGGGGATTCAGGGTGGGTAGGATGGGAACGCAACGATCGTGGAAATATGGGACCTAGGATGACCAACATGAAGAGTGCAATGGACCCCAAGCAGTAAGTTAATAAACTTTAGCAAATTTTAAGAAGAAATTGTATATTAGTATGTATTTCATATTAGTTTATCGGAAACTTCAGTGGATTTAAATTTAAAACTTATGAAATGGCGATTATTGCCTGAAATTGACTTGGAAAAGATAAAATCAATGAAGTGTCTACTCTTAGGATCAGGAACACTTGGTTGTTCAGTTGCTAGAGTATTACTCGTAAGTAATTATCATTAAATTTACAAAAATTAGTAATACTTATAATTTTTCCTCTTTTATCAGGGATGGGGAGTGCGTAATATAGATTTTGTTGATAATTCAACTGTATCTCACTCAAATCCAGTGAGGCAAAGCCTTTTCAAATTTGACGATGCTGTTAAATCAAAACAAAAGGCTCAAGCAGCTGCTGAGAATCTTAAAGAGATATTTCCAGGCGTTGTAAGTACAATTAAGTAATTGAAGAAAGTTCTTTTAGTAATAAACTATAAACTTTTATAATTATTAGATTGCTAATGGGCATAATATAAATGTCTTAATGCCTGGACATCCAATTGGTGAATCTTTAATGGAACAAGCAAAAGATCATTTCAATCAATTGGATGACCTCATACAAAAAGCTGATATAATATTCTTATTAATGGATTCACGAGAAAGTCGTTGGTTACCGACTTTACTAGCTCAACATCATGGTAAAATTGTAATCAACGCAGCTTTAGGGTTTGATACTTATCTAGTAATGCGTCATGGTGTAACCAATGTATTTTCATCCACAAAAGAAAATTTCAAACAAATTGATGGATATGAAATGATTGAAGGCGATAAACTTGGTTGTTATTTTTGTAACGACGTTACGGCACCAGGAAATGTAAGTATAAATTAATATTTGCTAAGTTTTTTTATTAATAACATTGAAATATTGAAATATTTTTAGTCATTGAAAGATAGAACTTTGGATAAACAATGCACAGTGACAAGACCTGGTGTAAGTCAAATTGCAGGTGCTTTAGCTGTGGAACTCGCAATTTCCTTAACACAGCATCCACATGGGCCACTTGCGCCTGCATTTTACAAGAAATTCAACAATAAATCCACAGATAACGCAACTTCAGCATTTGATACAGATTTAGAAGATTGTATTTTGGGCATATTGCCACATTCCATACGCGGTTTTATATCCAACTACACACAGGTTTTACCAGCTACACAAAGGTATAATCAGTGTATAGCCTGTTCTGAGATTGTTTTACAAAAGTACAAAACAGAAGGTTTTGAGTTTCTATTGAAAGTGTTTGAATCATCGAAAGTTTTGGAGGATTTAACTGGTCTCACTGAGATTTATAATGCCTCCCAGGCCAAAGATTTTGATTTTAGCGAACCGGAAGATGCATTTGAAGATGACGATTAAATAAATCATCTTTAAACCGTGATTTTATAAATATGTATGTTTTCTATGTTTTTAATCTATGAATATTATATTTTAAAATAAACTTACTGCACGCCCGAATGTAGGCAATTTGTTAATCATCGATTTTGAGTTGTACGTTGGTTAGTAACGTCTTACATTATGTACGTTACTTACAAATGTTTGTTCCATTTGTTCGCCGAGCTTCGTCGTGCTCATCGCGACCGACTGGAAAAAAGTATAGAGTCCGCATTGTTTACCAGTGGAATTTCTACGTTACGCATTAATCAATGATGCCAGCAATGTACTAAAACTTGTTTCCCGAACGTTGAGCACATCGAGGCGACGAGCAAACGACAGCCAATCAGCACGCAGCATACTCCAACCAACACCAACATGATTTATCACAAAATTCTTTAATTTTTACACATTTTGACGTGCACGTTGCACTAAAAACTATTACTACCACGTATTAAACGATTATTTAACCTTAAAATTATGTTTATCGAAGTATAACTTGCAATATAATCGAAATAAATTTGAAATTGTTTGTGTTGTCAGTCGAGTTTCGTGCGTTGTGGGCTGGGCTTCGGTTAGTTTGAATGTTTTCAGTCAGGCGCTCGCAGCGAATTGTTCGCATTCCGCGCATACCGCGCTCGCAGGTTTGACTGAAATGTCAAATTCTTCGCGCAATTGTTAGTCGCCAGCCGTGCGCGCCGTACCGAAAACTCTGCGGACGTATTTTTTCGTAAATTATCTCAACCACACATTAACGAGCATCGTCGAAACGCCGCCGCATTCGAAATCGTTCGAATTCGGTTCGCACGAAAACAAATGCAGTACGTTTACATTTGTGGTGCGTTACAGTCGCGCCGTGAGTGTGCAACCCTCTAACAAAACCCATTCGTGCATTGCACGTGATACACTGGTATTGATTTTCTGGACTACTTGGGACTCTCCACAGCGATTTTCCACCGAAAGCAGGCATGTTTTGAGGTTAGTCATTCGTTATTTATCAGTAAAATTAAGAATACAGAACTTGTTAAAATGTAAACTATATGTAAGCGAACGGTAAACTAGCAAACTATGTTATTCTGGGTGTAGATTTGAAAATTTCATGTTATTTGATGTTTTGAACACCCTGTGAACTCGTAGACAATGTATAATTAATTAATTATCATTGTTGGGTTTGTTATTCCCGAATGAGGAACGACGAACCGATGCGAATCGAAAATGTGTGAACATTTGCCTGATGTTAATGTACGTTATGTTACTACTTGCGTATTGTTCAAACATTTTTTCGTGTAAATCGAGGTCACTGCCGCGCGGGTACACATCGTGCACATTTTTCGCATTTTTTCATCGCGTTGCGGCGCGCGCTCGCTCTACATTCTTCGCATTTCGTTATTTATTCCACACACAAAATTAACTCGCATATTATTGTCATGTGCATGTAATTTAATTTCGTTGAGAAAATTTTTGGGTAAAAATTCTTCAAAAATTTCCGAACATCTTGAAGGCTTCTTTTGATCGTTGTTAACAGCTGCTCCTCTTTTTCCACAACGCTCATTACGAAATATATGCCTGGCTTTGCAGCGGGCCGAGCCTGTGTTTCCTTTTTCCGCTCTGTTCGTCGTTGTTTCTACGCTTCAATGTGTACCCAGTGTTCGGCGCACTTCCGTCGTCGCCGTCATCATCTGCTCAATCTACTCCCCAGTATTGTAGACGATTCTAGACTTCCAAGTCGAGCTCTACTGCGTTCCTCCGGCATGGTTCCTTGCTACGTTACGCATAAGATTTCATTTCGAGTACATTGTATGTTAACTTTGTGTTCAAAACAACACAGCACAAAAATTTTAAATATTTTTTCTCGTTTTTTACTTTGAAAAAATACTAAAAACGCAAATATTTTGTTCCAGATGAATAAATCGACTGCCACACGAAACCATTTACAACTATCAACGTGAAAAACGTGTAAATATGAATGATATGAATGAGTAACTGCCACGTTTTGCGCGAGTTCGTGTGTTGTATGTTATTGACACTAGAAAAAGTGGTAAACAAAATAGTTTAGTAACCGTAAAATCACCGAGTGAATACACATCATGGACGCCGGCGTGGAATCACCGCTGGATGTATTGTCAAGAGCCGCCACAATGCTGCAGGAATCCCAGCAACAAGGTAATTACAACATAATTCACATTTCTTGCATTAAGTCGTAAAGTTTTAGCATAAATTTTATCCGAAATCAATCATAATCAACGTGTAATTTTATTGTTATTGTTCATAACCTATTTTCAAAGCTTTCCTAACCTCAAAACACGATTTATTTGAAAAACACGCGTAAAAAATATAATTGAATTTTGCCAGAAATTAATCATAACTAACGTATAATTTGATTGTTATTGTTTCTAACCTATTTTCAAAGCTTTTTTACCCTCAAAACGCAAATTCTTTAAAAAACCCGGGTAAAAAATGTAATTTTCTTGAGTTTTAGCATAAATTTAACCTGAGATCAATCATAACTAACGTATAATTTCATTGTTATTGTTCCTAACCTATTTTCAAAGCTTTCTTAACCTCAAAACGCGATTTATTTGTATATCACGCAGAAAATTTTAATTTTCTGACGTTTTAGCATAAATTTTACCAGAAATTAATTATAACTAACGTATAATTTCATTATTATTGTTCCTAACCTATTTTTATAGCTTTTCTAACCTCAAAATACGATTTACTTTAAAACTCGTGTTAAAATGTAATTTTCCTATAATTTACTTAAAATATTTAACATTTAATAAATTCTTATCAATAATACATATGTACACAACGTATTTATTGAGTTTAACCGCAGATAACGCGGTTTCATTTGAGTGTGTCCGTTTGGAAATATGTGCTCAACACCTACATTCCAAATAAGCTCGAAATTGTGTGATTCATGTGCGCATGCGAGCGTGTGTTTAATATATATAAGTATGCGATAGTTAAGAATGAAATCGCGCCGCGAGTCGGAGTTGACTCCATCAACTCCTATTTAGCAGTCGCGCGTCTCTCCGGTCTCGGTCTTATCTTATGCGAATGGAATGCGAGACGAACCGTTCGACATTCGCCCGCTACTCGCCGCGGCTCTCTAGAGTGTGATGATCTTCCAGAGTGCGGGGCTTCCACTCGGAATCGATCTTGGAATGCAATAATAAAATAATTGTACGCGGAACAAGTGATAAACATGTTGTCGAGAGTCCAAATATTATGTCTGTGGAATTTTATGCGATGTTTTTTTCTTCAACACGAAATATGTAATTGTAAATTATGTTGTTTTTTACTTTGTTATAAATTTTTTCTGACCTGTTAAATTCCGAAATATAGGTACGTAGGAAATATTTTTGACGATGAATACTTTCTTGTGAGGTGATGAGAGGTGGAAAGGTATGGACACTGGCCGAGAGATGGCTAAGCTGTCGGTTAAGTAAGTGTGTTGAGTAAGATACGCATCGTGTTTATACTTAAGAATAGAAAAAAATAAACAAAATAAATTGTGTGAAATAATTGCTTCACTTTTCTAATGATTCTTTGATTGTTTACCTCAATTAGCATTTTACCAACTTGTTACGAAATTAATGAATAAGCAATAATATCGCGGTTCTTGGTAATTTCTAGATATCTGGAATTTGAGAGTAAACAAAATGCTTATTTGTGTGATATTTACGAGATTAACGAGTATTTATTACATTAAAAGCACTGAGTAACAACTTGCACAATAATTACAACGGAAAATGTAAAACATAAAAAAATTCATCGTTTTTTTTCATAGTTTTTTATTTTTATTATTTTTATACCTGGTTTCATTTAATTTTAACGCTCTTCGTAATCTTGGGCTTAAAAAGGTGCGGTTTGAATTAAAAGAAAAAGAAGATGATGTTTACGCGACCTTCACGAAGGACGTTCGGGGAGTAAAAGCCAAGACGGTCAAGAACAAGAACTCGGAGACCTCAAAGGTTTCAGTGTTCATGCGTTGCTTTTGTTACTTAAAACAACACTTAAGTCGATTTTTTACTTGTAGTTGTTAAAATTCTTTCTAAAAACTTTGTTTAAAGTAAAATTAAAGTAAAAAATAAAATTTTATAGAGAAAAAGTTGAAATTTTTATGTTTTCAAGCGACTTAAGTCACATTTCTTAATAAAATCTTATGTGGATGCATTTTTCATGTTGGCTTAAACCAAAAAGTCATAAAAATGTTTATGGCTCACCCATTTACACTCTGCTTTCATCCAAAGAATTATAATTAAAGAATGTGAGGATTTCCAGTGAAAAAATACCAAAATTAATTATTTTACAAAATATTTCTGAGTTTTTGACGTAAAAGAAAAACATTGTTTTATCTTGGGTTAAATTTTTATTTAGCGCTTTTATTTCTTCTCACCACACCTCAACACCATTTCGTTTTAGTGCATCTTGCCTTTCTCTCTTTCTTCCTGGGATACTCTTGAGCGCCACTCTTGAGTGACCACTTTTATGAATGAATGAATAAAACCCGGCGAGCATCTTGTGCCTGCGCGTGTACCTTTCCCGACCTTCGCGATTGCATCTTTTACCTACGTATGCGTTTTACCTTTACCTTTTCGACGTAGTAAACAGCGCGTTGTTGCATCGCGCCGACCCGGCGTCCAACCACTCCGGACGGCGTCCACTCCGCGCTTTGATTTGCTTCCATTCAGTCGTTTCAGTCCGCATTCTACCGCTGAGGGCCTACTATCGCATCTAGTTTGGTTTTCATTCACGCACTCAGACACCTTCCACCACAAAACTACAAAACTACAAAAGAAAGCTCGGTCTATACAAAAAGGTGTTATTCAATACCTGCTGGTGATAAATAGATTATTTGACACTTGACTTTTGTGGTAAAAATATTTTCCTCGCATTTGAAGATTCGGATTTATCATGGATTTACCAATTTGTGATCGATATCTTAAATTGTTGTATGATCAAGTGCGTGTGCAGCTTGCCAGTTTTAATTTTGAGTTACAAGACGCGGATTTTAATACTCTTTCACACCTTGGTTTTGATTTCGATCGAAAACACAAGAAAACCAAAGTGGATAATAAGCAATTATTTTGGCAGCCTTGGATTGATATCCAACGAGGTAAACTTGAATATTTTACGCTATTATATGTCCCGAAAGAATTTCATTAATGATTGTGTTCGTCGTGTGTGTTTAACGCGCACTGCGCAGACGCAGAGCGCTTAAAAATTGAGAGAGACGCTGAGGGACCGGATGTGAGCTATTAACGCACGAATGTTTTAACGATGTGAATTTTCGAAACTGATTTTCATCATTTTTCAAAGTTTTGCTCTAGTTTTAACAATGATAATAATGGAATATTGTTTTTTCTTTGCTTTCAGAAGATGCAACGGTGGGAAAATCAGCGAAACAATTGCCGACGGCGAAGTGGAAACGGGATCGTCGAACACGGCCGGATTACATGCGAAAGTCTGAACCGAAAAACGCCGATAGATCAGACTCTCACGAGCTAAATGGTGTGAATGGATTCGCAACGGATAAAAGTTCCTCGTCGTCGACTTCGTCGCTGGCGTCCGCATCGCCTGCGTCGCCGACTTCCAGCGTGATAACGAAAACAAACGGTGTTGATGCGCCGCTGGATATGACGACAACACCCCGCCAGCGTGGTTTACCGCCGTCTTATTCACAAGCCATCAGTGATCCGAGTTTTAGATCAACATATACGAATAGTCGACCGAATACAAATGGCCGTGAGGAGTTACCATCAGGTAATAATTACTAATAACATGTTTTTTATAAACCTCTAATAATTTGATAACATTTTAGGTATTTCTATGTGCGATCCAATAATAGATGAACATTTTCGACGATCTCTTGGCAAGGACTACAATACAGTGTTCAACAACAATGCCAAGGAGAATCCCCTCAAGTCGAAAACGCCATCACCGCCAACCCAAAGCAGTCCAACCGCAACTGTTGCGCCTGTGTTGGTGGAAGCACCGAAACCCAAGGAGAAGTCACCACCAACTACACCCATTCCGCCGGTAACAAGCGTTGTTGAAATGATGGACTCCTCCGGGATGTCAGTGGATGATCACTTCGCTAAGGCTCTCGGTGACACATGGGCTAAGCTAAACAAAAAAGATTCCAATCCTTCAGATAACGCCAATGTGAATACAGTAACGAGTAGTTCGCCTGAAGTCATTTCCACTTAGAATCTAGCACTTAACAATGGATATTCAAAGTCAATATGTTTAAATTTGAAACTTTAAACGAATGAGAAGCAATTAGGGTTTGCAGTTTTGCACGTTAGACATTGTAAAACTTATAGCGTATAGTATATCAGAACTATTAATGAAAAAGAATTCACGTTAAGGAACACTATTAATTTAAGTTTTAGAATCGTTTAACTTAACGAACTCAATTATGTAAGAATACGTAACTCGAATGTTTAACGAGATGGTGTATATTTTTGTGTTGAAGTTATGTGAATGCATTATAATAATGTGTATATTTTTAATCGAGTTAATCAAAATGTAATGATTGGGGTAGAGTGGTAGTTATGTGATGAAACGTGTATTGGATGCTTGGAATATGAACTCAGATGAGTAATTTCTTCTTATACATATTGGAATAAACTATCTTCTAAGTCTATGTAATTTATTTGTTGTTATTTTGGGCATTTTAAAGACATTTTAGGTGGAAATTATGGAGAAAAAGCTTTTAAAACATATAAAACCTACCAAAATAACTTAGTAATCTTACTTAGCAGGTAGAAGTCTTCATTATTAGCATCATTGCAACTATCTTCTAAGTCTATGTAACTTATTTGTTGTCATTTTGGACATTTTTAGATATTTTTGATGGAAATTATGATGAAAATGCGTTTAAAACGTATTAAACCGACGCAAATGACTTAGTAATCTTACTTAGCAGGTAGAACTCTTCATTATTACTTAAACTGACAAGCAGATGGCGTCTTAAGTTAAATAGACGTGAAGAAGCTTTAATTTTTTTTTATTTTCAAGAACATTCAATTAGTTTATATTGGTTTATTTGTTTCTTGCTTGTAATTAATCCGTCAATGCGTCCTCATCCTGTTAATTAATTAAACGTTTAGTTTCTAAGACTGTCTACGCTTAATCCTAACATTTAACAATGAATATTAAACTTATAAAACTAATTAACTACTCATTAATGGGTATTAACGATAAAAAACTCTATATTCTTATTTTTCAACGTACGTGGTAACCTTTACAATTAAAAACTTAAACCTCCAACTTGATTGTTCGAAATTGTACCGTAAACGGCACCTGTTATTATGTGTGCAAGCTGATGCTGATGCAGCACGATGCATCTTCCGCATCTCATCTGCGATCGGTGTGACCATCTTCATGATCTTCACTCCTCTGACCGCAACGTCGACGACGTTGACCCAGAAACCCACTTTTGCGACCAGTGTCGTTTCTTCTGAATCCTCTGATGCATTGCATAGTATTGCAAGCGATTTCAACGGCACTGGATGCACGAATGACTTCTTGCTGGCTGGCGGATGTATGTGTTTATCCAACATGTGCAATGTGCACGTAAATGAAGAAAGTGGTATTAGAGATGTTGCATGGAAATATTAAAATCGAGCTTTCTCGTATAACTCAAACCTAAACCAATTACTCATAGTTGCTGTAAAATATTTAGGTAGTTTAATTACTATTATGTTATACTAAAGATGAATGGCAAGGAAAACTTGAACAAAACGAGACTTGCTTTGTAATTTGCCAGTTACCTAAAGCCCGAGGCTTTGGCTGACACAAATTCCCGTCTTTTGCTCTTCGTTAATGTTTGCAATGATGGCAAAACAAATTTTCTTATAATTTCTTCTATTCAGGTTTAAAACGAAAAATTCTTGTATTAATTATCACCTGGGTATTCAATACACTCAGCTATGCGTTTTATGATTAAACGCGATACAAATAAACATTTTCTTGGTTGTTTTTTTATAATATTGCACATTTTATGGAAGGAACTCTCTCCGCCGAATCAAATTCCTGACCAACATGCTCACTGTCAGGTCCCGTTTGCTGCCTCAGCACATTTCCACTTCCATATCAGATATCAGATTGCAAACCTATAAACGAAAGTTTAATTACGGACAAATGAAGCAAAGCAACGCTCTGGGTAAATTATGCGCGACATGCACAAAATAGCATTACAAGTAACAATTTATAATTTAAATGAGGAAATCTAATTTCAATTCCAATATATTCGTACCTATCACACACAGAGAACCGGAAAACGTGTTGATAGGAATTTATAATTACATACTATCTTAATAAATTATATTTTGATAACAACACTTGAAATATATGTGTTTTTGTGCTTATTTGGTTCGATTCAATGAACTGTTGTGGTAAAAGTTTACACGTACACGGAGAAAATGAATTTTTCTCATTCAGATCACTGCGCTTTAAATCAACGAAATGATACGTTTACATTATGCAGATTTTAGCGTTATTGCTCATTTCCTATGTCTCTAATGGTGATACAGGAATTGTTTTGTTCTGTAGCACTTTCCGTTTGCTGCTGCATTTTCTTTCATCGTTTATTGGTCGAGTAATCATTTTGTGCACACATTTACGAGTTGTAATGCACTTTGGCAACATAAAATATCGTTTTAAGCTGATTTATGACATTTTCTTCAAGGTACAATAGTCTTTTGAGTTGATTTTTAACTTTTTTTGGTTTTCAAGCTTTCGCCAAATATGCCAATATATTTAGGCATAAATCATGTTGGTTTATTGTTAATTAACTTGAATGTTTATGAAAGGTAGTAAATCATATTTATAAACAATCGCCAATCACGAAATAAGTTTGAATGGTCTTCATTTGTACTGAATACAGAAATAATTGTTTAAATCCACAAATGGCTAAACAATGAATGTAAAATTACCCGCACATCTTGCTTAAAACTCGTTGGTAACAAGATTTGCGTTTTTTCGATTTTGGCAATGCGTACAAAGTGTCAGGAAGGAAAACGGAAGTAAAGAGAGTAAAGTGAAAGGGTTTAGTGACACGTTTGTTACTTTTTTCCGATTCGATCGTGAGTCTCTGCGCAATTGAGTGGCGAGGAAGGTAATGCAAGCGAATTGCAATCGTCGAAGCCGCGCCAAACGAAAACGGCACAACCGCACACAACGGAACTCGCTTCGCGAAAACTTGAACGCATTCGCGTCTTGAGCGCTCAGTCGGCGTGTTCAGAACGGTTGCGCACGTACGTACTCGTGGAAAAAGCTGAAACGCTAAAAGTTTGGAAAGTTCAACTTTTTTGTTCTGCTTCTTATCAAAAAGTTTGCCACGTAATTTAGCACGCACCATCTGCCAGTGTTTTAATGTAGAAATATTGACCGAGAAGTTGTTTGCGTGACAAAGCAAAGTAATACTTGTGAAGTGGCGTTTCTGAAGAATTACAACGTTGAAATTGGGGTAAGAGTAAGAAACTTTACAAACTACTTTAATTTTATTTATTAAAAGCATTAATTTTGTATTGCTTTGCACAAAATTTGTTAAATTGCATATTTAATCACGAGAACACGAAACAAAACTGCTTAAAATGCACAAAATTATATTTAATTAATCAAAATTATGAACAACTGCAGAAAAATGATATTTCTTATTGCTTTTGTTACTTTTACATACAAAACTCTAATAAAATTAGCATTTCTAGAGGAAATTGGCGAAAGACAATAATTTCCTTTCAAAATTAAAGCTTTTTCCATTGTGTGCATGTATGATTGGTGCGATTATGTAGAAATGTGTCTCTGCGGAAGTCGAAATACTTTTACCCAATAATTGCAGAATAATAACACTGAAAAAAATAAAAGTTTTTCTTACTTCTACACTAGTATCATATGAATATTTCTTTTATATGTGGGCTAATTACAGGTTTGAAATAGAATGGCGTCCATTCTAGAATCATTCGTTGATAATTATAATGAATTATCCAACAAAGGTAATCTAAACAAGACACTTATAGTTAAAGAAAAACGACTTAATTATTATTTTTATTTTCACAGATCCTGAAGTGGATGCCTGGTTTTGATGAGTAGTCCACTGCCTGTGCTAAGTATTCTAGTGGTGTACCTTTATTTCGTCATCAAATTGGGACCGCAATTGATGCGAAATCGTCAGGCGTTCGAATTGAAACGCATTCTGGTCGTTTATAATTTATATCAAGTGTTATTCTCGGTTTGGTTGTGTTGTCGTGCATTTTTGGTCAAAGATGGCATGGAATACATCTTTACGACTAGTTGTGCTGATCCACACACTAATCATCCAATTAAACGAGTGGTGAGGTATTTTTTATTTGTGTTTATAAATTATTTTACTGTTTTTGGCATTTATTTATGTTTATTTTAATTTTTAGGTAACCGACGCTGCATGGTATTACTTTATGTCTAAAGTTGTTGAATTACTGGACACCGTATTCTTTGTTTTGAGAAAGAAACAGAGCCAAGTGACGTTTTTGCATGTTTATCATCATTCGATTATGATGTTCTTCTCGTGGTGTTATCTCAAGTTTTTACCAGGTACCATTTTAAAAAATTAAATAATTTTCAACATAAAATGATTAAATATTTAATTATAGGTGAACAGGGTGTCCTAATAGGATTTCTGAACAGTTTAGTCCATGCTGTTATGTATACATACTATTTAATCGCCGCACTGGGTCCAAAATATCAAAAATATTTATGGTGGAAGAAATACATGACCTGGATACAACTTGTAAGTACAAAAACTAAACAAATTTATGTATTAATACAATGTATACATGATTACAGGCTCAATTTTGTATAATGCTCGCATATCTCGTGATGATAATCATTATGGATTGCAAACTTCCGAAAGCGTTGACATTTTTCTTCTTCGGAAACGTCGCCATCTTTCTGTACCTCTTCAGTGACTTCTACCGCAACGCATACTTGAAACCTCAAAGACCGAAACATTTCCCCATGCCCTGTATGTCGAATCAATTAGTGGACGAGAATAAAAACGAAGCGGACGAGGATGCTCGATGGATGGAAGAGAAGTGCAAATCCGCATAAGTTTGCGATGATCTTTACCACAAAGTATAAATCACGTTTACGTTAAGTTAGCAGGCAGCAAATTAGCGAGTTTTAAGCGGTTTACTTACGAACTACACGGGAATTAACAAGTAACATTTTTATGCCAGCAGGAATAGGATATGTACGCGGTTTAAAGTGTAAATAGTTATGGACTGTATTACTTACCAACTTATGTATTGTAGAAAAGTTTGTTACAAATACCATAAAGATTAAATACACAAAAATTTATCTGTTTATACATAAAATAACAAAATTGTATTTCAAACAACCAAAATATATACTTTGAATTGTTTTATTTCAACTTTTATAGACCAAATAATTGTAAATTTTAAATAAAAATGTGGGTTGTATATAAAGTTGCATACATCATAGAATATTTTTGTCCTGCTGGATCCTGCTGACATGAGAACAGCTGTGTAAACTGTCGGTACGAAAACAGTGCAGCGTCGTACGTCACAGTCAACTCGTGTGTTTTACTAAATTACTCTCATCACACACAGCACACAGTGTTATCACTATAAAAGCGCCCACACAAAACAATTACAAATCTTATGTTACCGCTTGACTATATCAGGGAACAAGTGCTATGTATTTATAAACATTTAGAGCAGTGAAATTGTCTTCATCAAATGGAAGGTGTTCTTTGGAAGTGGACAAATTACTGGAATGGTAACATCTGTTACTCTAATCAAAGCATGTTATTACATATTATTGCTTAATTTTGCACTGGCAGGTTGGCAGACAAGGTGGTTTGTTCTGGAAAATGGAGTTCTCACATACTACAAATCTGAAGAGGAAGTTAATCAGGGCTGTAAAGGATCCATGAAGATATTGGCATGTGAAATAAATGGTTTAATGGTGTAATATTTCTTAATGTAATTAGATATTGATTATAAATATTTATAGTAAGTCCAATTGACATGACAAGAATGGATTTAGTAATACCAGGTGAGCAACATATGTATTTGAGAGCTGCCACATCACAAGAAAGACAACTCTGGCTGGTTGCTTTGGGTAGTGCAAAAGCATGTGTGCACAAGAACAGAAAAGAGACAACTGATAGCAATCCAGATCAGTTGAAAACCAAGAAGTCTGAATTGAGGCTCTACTGTGATCTACTCATGCAACAAGTTCACACACTGAAGACTGCAATTAGTAATGAGGATGGACCTGTAGTTGAGGTAAAAATTATCATAAATTGTTTACTTATTTGCATAAGTTTATTTTTTGTAGAAAATGGATGAAGCAACTAGTTTATTAGGTGCCACCTGTGACACATTTATCACCACACTGGAGGAATGCATGAAACTGGCGAACGCAAACATTATGTTAACGCAAAATAACGAAATTACTCTGCCTCCTATACCCATAAATCCACCCACTAGAAAAGTAAGTATAAACACGTAAAAAATGTTTATTGAATGAGTAATTTAGTCGTTGCGACATTTTATTATCGCATTTTAATGTGTTTTCTTTGTGTTTTAGAATAAAAACGTATCAAGGCTTAATTCTAACGATTCGATCTAAAGTACTTGTTTTCCTAGCGTTGTTTGATTGCGTTACCATGAAGAATCTTATTTATTTTTACATCGAGCTCAGAAATTCCGATCATACTATCATCAAGTACATACTATTATCTTAAAAAGTAGATAAGTAGTAAATTTAGGTACTTAAAATCTAAATAAGAATTTGAATAAATTGAAACTCAAATTATCGTACTGTGACTATTATTATTTGTATAAATTTATTGTTGAAAATTGAAAATTTTATTTCGTATTGATATAGTTGTACTATTTTTTTACATTTTACATTTGCATATTGACATTGTTTGTACTTCATGTATTTCTACATTATTTGTGTGTAGTCTGTACATTTATTAATTAGTGTGTATATCACTTAAGTATATTTAACTAGCAATGTGTGAAGAAGATTAGAAATCTTTTGTTTTGGAGGATAGGTGGAAGCTCATAACAAATTCCTAATAAATTATTTTTAAAGTAAAAAAAATTGTGTTTGATACAAACATATTTACGCACTAAATAATTGCGTATGAAACAAATACAAGCAATTATCAGTCAACATTTGCGTTTGACAGCAAAACAAAAAGAACTAATAAAGGTATTATTATAGGAACCGTCGTTAATGTTTGCATTCACCGGCGTAAATCCAAATCGATACTTTTCCTAACCATTTGAACTATTCAACCCCGCAATTGCAACAGTGACTATCCACAAAGAAACAGAGAATCACATTAGTTCTAAATTCAACTAAATTAATCAATGTTTTAACTATATTCGTGTGATTTTGTTCATAAAAACATATAAAAATGTCTTTATTTAAATCTCGTGAGTTTTGGGCGACTGAAAGTGATCTCACAAACGAAGAATTCGACTGTATGTCATTGAAATTAAACAAATTAAACTCCGAAAATGATTTTATCCTTTGTGGGAGTCATATGGGAGTGCTTAGGATATACAAACCATCATGTGATATGAGTAAAGGCACTCTTTCTGGTTATAAACCTTCAGATTTATTCGTGGAGAAACATTTAGCCGCTCCAATTTTACAAATTGATTGTGGCCGTCTTGTGTCGTAAGTTGAATGTTTAATATGTGATAATATTTAATTACTATCGTCTTTTATTGATTGTTTTATTGATGAGTTGCATAGTCACACACTGAAAGAAGAAGTAAGTGTGCAATCACCAAGACAATTTTAAATTGTATTATGCACTCGCAAGAACATCTGCATTTCCAGTGACTTTCTCCTCTTTCTTTTGCAAACAAAAACATTTGTAATCGTTGACGTTATTATACACAGGCAGTTATTTCAAGACTAATTCATATTTTATTATCCATATTCTACAAGGTGTCTCTTTTTTTCGTTTGATTATATTGCAAATGCGAACATCAATATGTACTTGCAATAAGTATAGAAATTTCATCCGTGTCAGAGATAAAAGGTTGAAAGAAAAAGTGAAAGCATATTCAAAACGGAGTAATAAATTTCGTTGATTGATAAGCGTTCGAAATTTCTATGAGTGGTAAATTGGCACCGACTAATTTTATGTGAAATTTATTGATTTGCAATTGTTTATTAGTGAAACTGAAACTAATAAAACAAATTGTTCATGTTTAACTTATTCCAGAGGTTCACCTTTGACACAACTTGCAATTTTACATCCGCGAAGTTTTGCAGTGTATAGTTTTGCAACGAAACAAGGAACAACTGAACAAGGTAGACTTGATAATGGTTTGATGTAAGTGTCGCTTAAATTAATCATTTCAGGTAATCAAAACATGGTAAATTTACTTTACGAGCATAAACTGCGTCGATCTGCGGCGAATTTCGCAATCGGGCAATTCGGAAACACACAGAATCGCGATTTTATCGCTGTGCAATCTCTTGATGGAATGATTTCATTCTACGAACAGGAAACTTTCGTCTTCTGCTGCTTCCTTCCCGATTTCTTATTGCCTGGATGTTTGGTGTACATGAAGCGCACTGATTGCTTTGTAATCACTGGATCGTCGATGACAATAGAAAGTTACAGGTAATAATAATTATTATTGTATAAAAATTATGGGAAAAAGCATATTTTGTATGTGAAATGTATTTAAAACTTGTTTTGGTTTAAAGTTATAAAAATTTATCGTCATCTGGGCAAAACAGTGACGAAAATGATGCTGGAGGCACAAAATGTCAGTGTGATTGGTCAATTAATGTTAACGAACACATTCTTGAAGTGGAATATTTGTATGATGGCTTTTCTAAAGAGAGTTACATTGTCGCATTGGGCGAGAAAAATATATTCTGTATGAATCACGCGGGGAAAATGAAGTTTATGAGAAGATTTGACTTTACACCGATGACGATGACTGCGTTTTTAATAAGTAAGTAAATTACAACCATTTTAACTTCCTATATTTAAAATTTAATGTTTTAGATGAAAATATAATGACTTCAGTAGTGTCCGAAACAAGCACACTGTTAATTTATGAAAACACAACTTTAAAATGGTCCGCGCAGTTACCAGACGTACCTGTGGCAGTTGGACGGGGACATTTTCGTAATCTACGAGGTGTTTTTGTTACCCTTGGAGAAAATGGTAACCTACGATGTTCTTATTTAGGAACTCAACCAAATCTTTTCCAAGCTCCACCTCTACAAAGCATTGAACTGGATTATGCAGATGCTGATCGAGAATTGGCAGAATTAACCAAAATAATCAAATCATCATATAACGGTATAAATATTTATCTATTATTTAAATAATTTTACTAAATAACAAACAATTGTAGAATTAAAAGGTTCAAGTACAATGGATGACTTGACAATGACTTGTAACGTTGTGTCTCTGGATGATAAACAATCAACAGCAGACATTGAAGTGACATTAGTATCGAACGTTGTGTTTGAAGAGGTGAATGTCCTCATCAACGTCATTAAACCTTTCGTGGCAAGCCCTAACTTGATGTTTTTTGATGCCAACTCTAATTCAAGAAATACATTCACTTCAACAATAAAAACACAATTTTACGATGCAAATATGAAGTCATCAAACAATATTGACTTGATAAACTCTTTGGATGTAGAAATTGTTGCTACTTGTGTGTCTACAATTGGAATACCTAAAGTAATTCGACAAGTTATAACTTTAGCACCTAATATTGTGTATGCAGCTACGATTCCTCAAAAAGAAAATCGTTTAAAACTTGTTTTAAATATTAATGAAACAGCACCATCTCTTTTGGATTTATTTCCGGAGTTTGGAGACGTTACAACACCAAATACAATGGCCCTGAAGTTAAACTTAGGCCATTCTGAAAGTGAAGCAGATAAACTTGATGTTGTGACTATATTATTGGCTAAATCATCGTCACGGTACAGATTACAAGCTGATAAACTCTCGGTTTTATTTGTTCCGTTGAAATTATTAGTTGATCGACTTCAGAAACATTTTGCAACAAATCGGAACTTTAAAATCACTTACAGTGGTTCTGTCCCTTTTAAGGAACTCTTTATGGATGTTAAAATGCATTATAAAGTAACTCAAGATATAGAAAGAAGTCAATTGCAATTGATTGAACTTGGTGGACAGTTTCGAATGATTCAAAAACGTCTTATTTCTAAGTTTCGTGATAGACATCCAATGCCATTGCAGAATCTGAACATGTTACTGCAGGACACTTATAGTGAAATATTATTAGTGACTGAAAAACTGGAGGTGCTGCATGGTAATCTGGGACAGTGTCAACGACATTTGTCCAATAGTATAGCGACAATTGGATTGTTGTTACTATTGAGTAATAGCAATATTGACGAAGTAATACTGGCTAATTTGTTTAATAATCCGATTGTTGACGTTGACGGTTTGCAATGGGAGGACTTAATGGATGCTAATATTTCATACCTTTTGAGGACATTGTTAGCAAAGTCAGAGAAAGATAAACTGCGTGGATGTGTGGATAGTTACGAAAGAGTTACGGATTACAATAAGTTTGAAAAGCATTTAGGAGTGCTTATGGAAAGATTGTTAAAGAAAGGTGTTAAAATTGATGAAGAATCAGGTTTGTAATAATATAATAACTGTTTCAGGTGAATAAAATAAAATTTTGTGTTACTTTATAGATAATACAGATTTGAGGGAAGAAAATGATAACGACCAGGAAGAAAATGTTGGCCTTTCTATTGGAAGTAAATATGCAGAATCAAGCACTCGGGCTCTTTCAGCACGGCATCGAATGTAAATATTAATGAAGTATTATATTAACTATATTAACGTAAATAATTCCTAATTTAAAGAAGATATAAGAAAATGCTAATAATAAAAAAAGATGTGTTTTAATATTAGTTTTAATAATCTGATCATAAAGATTTAAAAAAATCAACTTTTTGTTTTCAACAAACAAAAGTTTAATTTTTGGTGGAGGCGCCTAATATTATTAATTGCCAAATTAATTGTTTACGTAGTAATTCCTAACAAAATAACTGCAAACTGTAAAAAATAATAATAATACAGAATTTAATTTCAATGACATTCAAAGTGAATGAATCTTCGATTGCATTGATTCCGAGCGCAAAGGAGAATTGCAAAATTGTGATATAATTGCTTAGAAATTCTAATCGCATGTGCGTCATTTGCCGCTCTTGTAATGCGTTGTTTTTCGTTCTTTATTTGTCAGGAGGCTTGCATGCAATGAAAAGTTATTATTTATTACTTTCACTTGCTCTTACTACTAGCGCAGTGCTCATATAACTTATCAAGACATTTGGCCTTATATTATTAATTTATTGCTCACGGTTTAAATGATAATAAAGATTAAGATTAAGATAATCTAAAGTAGCAGGCCCTGTCAAAGTCTAAGCCTTTTTGCATTTTACGAACTTCATTAATATATATTTCTAAAAAAAAAAAATGTTTTCTTGACTAGAATTTTTAAAGAATTGTGTTCGCTTGCGTTAAGAAAGAACGTCAAAATTGATACAATTTTTGTACGAATTTCAACAAGATTTGGAAATTTATGCTTGATTGACCAACTTTTATTTGCAAAACGAGCCACGATCGTATAGTGGTAAGGATGGAAATAAAATTAAGTGGGTACAAGTAAAACACGTTGGGATTGTACGAGTATGAAGCCGCGGACTCAAGCAGTAAGGCAAAATTCACTTTCGTTGCCGGTTGACGCAAAGAAAAGTTAATTCAAGATCTGCCTCTGGTGACTGCAGAGCTAAAGTTTGCGGAACAAGAACCACAAGTTAAAATTTGCGACAACGTAAAACACAAAAAATTATTTTGTCGTTAATAAAACGAAAAAATCATTTTTTACAACAAACCAGTTTATAACACAATAAACGCCTAAAATTACCAATAAAAACGAAACCAAGGTCAAGTCAACTATGTGAAATCAACATAAAAGTTACCAACACAGTTTAAATAAAAAATAAAGTGTATTTTATAAGAAATAAAGTAATTTCTTTGTGTAAACGATGACGAAACTGCATATTGCAAGAACACCGCGTCAGAAGAGTTTCATCTTTCTCTCGATGATCGTCGGTCTGTATTTGATAATTCATTTCGCGCCTTCTGTCGGTAAGTAACATATTCGACACAGAAGATTACACAATTTAATTACCATGAGTGCAAGTGTGCAGCGCGGAATTAAGAAAGTTTCATAACACACTTTATTTCTATTCTGTGAAACTAATACTTCCCTTTTCCTTATTGTCGGTTGATTCGACGAACATTTTATTTCGCAGTTGAAAGTTTCACCTACATTGCAAAAGCAAAAAGTGGAATCCGTCGCATAATCACGAAACAGAAAACCAATCAAGCGCAACGCGTTGAAATACAAATACAGAATTAAGATTCAACATTTAGAATAATATATTAGTGACATAATTGAATTACGTTAGACTACACTACATTAAACTTGATTTTAATGTTGGTGGTAATTAAAAATCGTTTGTTATTGGTGGGTTCTAGTTCTAGTAAAGTAAATTGATTTAAATTTTAAGTTTCGTACCGTATAATTTGAGCAATCTTGGTCTTGGGCAAATTTCCATTACTTTGTAATGATCGTTGAAACCGTTGAAACTACAAAAACGAAATAAAAGTACACACATTTACTTTCACCTTACACGCTGAATTACTCGCATCGTGTGCACCGCAAATTGCACAAAAAACCATTCCTGCCAACGCCAGAATGCAATTATACTTTATTTCTGCGAAAGAAATAAAATGCATATTTAATACATTCCCGAAAATATCATTGAAAGTAGTATTAGAGATAAAAATCCTTAATTCAACTTTTTTGCTTTATCAAAGACAAATTTCTGAACTCTGACGTGTATAAATCATGAACCCCGCATTTAAATTTCTCCTATTAACTCGTATTGTGCACGTATAAATTATGATCATTTACCAAGTGATAAAATCGTTAGCAAAAATGCATTCAACGACACAATTTCTTAGCTGTCGTAAATTCAATGGCGAACACATTCCCATGTTTGCATACAAACGATAATAATATACATATATCACGCTTAAAGACAATATGTCCGCAAGATTTCTCTTGTTTCGCTCGTTTTCAATATAACTTTCCTCATCTTCACTCGTCGCGAGTTTTTAAGCGGGCGGCCGGCGTGCCCTCGATTGCATGCAATTTCTGCACGGTTTACACATAACATACTTACAAAACCGGCTGCATACGACACGCATATATGCACATCAAATCTTAATTATGTGGATGTGAGGATAAGGATATACGCATTGATGGAAATTGTAATTTTCCGAGTGATTATCGATTCCACGCTTTAGGCTAATCATGCGATATCAGGCTTAAATTTCAATTAAACTGCAGTTGCAATTAAGAAAGCCGTACGACACGAATTCGTGTATTTTCTAAATCAATTTACCATTTAATTTACTGTATAATTACGCTTAAATGAAATTCTCTGTTGCAGATAAAAACTATCTAAGTTGTGATAGACCTTGTCACGACTATGATTGGCCAATGATTTGCCGTGTAACTTTAACAATTGATAACAATAGGTAAAGTTTTATATATGTTACAATATACCACTTAATATAATATCAATTTTTAGTTGTTCTAAGAAGAACTCTTCAATCAATGATATTCTTCACTCTGTAAGGAATTTGCTCCCTGGTCCAACAATCCATGTTTGTCAAAATGATGTAGTGTTTGTCACTGTGATCAAAAACCTTCCTGGTGAACTAAAATTCAACTGGCAAGATTCACAAACAGCAAATGATGAAGGTGTCGTCATTCAACCGGCTAATGAAACTAATATACAATACAAATTCCGTGCTACTTACCCAGGCACTCACCTTTGGAACGCTTTCATTGATAATATACGCTTTACTGGAGCAATCGTAGTGCGTAAATCACCATTAATGAACATCGAGAAGAACTTTTACGATGTAGATGATCGCAATCACACTATAATGCTAAGTGAATGCAACGACAAGCAAAATATGATGATAAATGGTCAAGTGGACAATGGAAAAGTGTTTCTTGTTGATTACGGCAAGAATTATCTATTCCGCACTGGGATTTTCAGGTGCATCGTCTTGTAAAATCAAAATGGAGATCGAAGATCATCAATTATACGTAATCGCTGTCAATGGCAACACAATTGTACCACAAGTATTCAGACATATTACTCTTAAAGATGGTAAAGAGTGGATTTTGTGATAAAAGCACAAAAAGAAGCAGCTGATTATAAAATAGTATTCTCTACAAGTTGTTATGGAAAAGAAGGAAGTACCAAGATGGCGGTGTTGCGATACATCGATGACATTAGCACTAGTTTTGCAAATGCTAACAATCAACGCTGTTTAAAGTTTTAGACGTAATGGGATGTAAATAAATCTAGATTTATTTCTTTAAATATTTCATGAAGTCACAAAGTAAAAATGTCGATTTAAATAACGTGCAGAAACGACAAGAACGGAATTGAACGTGTAAATTATGTGGTGTACACTTATTGGACTTTTGTGATTGGTGGGGCAGCTTCAGCGAGCGGTTTCGGCATGTTGGTTAAGTTATTGTTGGAGACGTTACCATTGTACCGTCGACCACCACGCTTTCCGCGAGATTTCTTCCCTGCCCCGCCGCCTCCTCCTACGGAACGATGAATCGAAGCATCGCGCTTGTCTGTCGTAGCTTCGAAAGCGGAATCTGCCTCACCTACTACGACAGCTTCCGAAAACTGTTGCGATAAAGATTGATAATGTTTGAGATAAGATTTTAAAAGTTTTATTGTTTTTATATTTATAGATAGTTACCTGTTGTAATAAAGAACTTTGTTGTTGCTGCTGTTCTTTATTTTGTTGCGTTTGTTGGTTTTGCGGGCCGTTTTGACTCTGCACGTAGCGCTGGTGCTGTTTTGATGGTTTCACTCGACTGTTTGCCGGAATGGAGTTTGATGTGGTTATAATGCGAACCACGTTACCAACAGCTTTCGTGCGTCCTTCACGGAACACCATTCGCTGACCGGGTATCATATACTCCGGGTATTTTATAAAGCGGAAATGGATTAGGGCTTTATCGCCTGTCCGCAAGAAATCTTTTGACATTGATATTATTGATGCGGTTTGTCGAATACTTCCACAATGTACTGAAAATAATAACAATTTTTGGTATGTGAAGGCATAAATACATTTTATACACAAATATATTTCGTGTCAAGTTCAACTTTGAATTGAACTTGACTTTGTGCCAAAAAAATCTATTTTGAACGGTTGCACAACATGATTGAACAGTCAATGTGTTATATTTACGTACCCATCGCCTGATAGCGGCTGCTAATTGTCGTTGGGTGGTGCAGGACGAGGATCTCGCCTTCAAACTCCCAGCAAGCCTGCGGATTTAATGATGGGCATACCATGACCATACCTTTACGAATTTGAGATCGTTTTATCTGCGTACAAAAAATCAGATGTAAAATTATGTTTGTACTTTTATAATATCAAAAGCAAACCTTTTTAAGGGCAAAACTGGCAGTTTGTCCTGCTCGTACTTCCCTAACAGGCATTCGTTTCCGATGAATACTTTTCACCGCAATCGGTTGAAAGTGACCAAGAGGATCCGGTCCCAACATCAATGTGTCATTCAAACGAATGACACCTTTAAGTGTTGTACCCGAAACCACTGTCCCCACACCCTGTATTTAATAAAATCACCCTATAGATCTTAATAAAACGCAAAAGTTGTTTCTGCACTTACAGGTACAGCATACGTGTCGTCAATTTGAAACTCTGCAGGTTCATTCTCATGAAACTCCATGCGAGTAGTCAACAAGTTGAGAAATTGCTTCAACAATGGCAAATTTTCACCAGTCACATTCGACACCTGGAAGATTGGGCACAAACGCTCGGAAACAAAATTTGTCGCGCTCAGAATAACATCATCGCTTGTCTTCACCATAACAGGCACTTTGCGACACCCAGGTGATTTCAGAATGCGCACCAACATTTTCAAATTATCGTTCAAGATATTAGCGGGACACATGTCGATTTTAGTGACCACAACAAAAACTGGTACGGATAGAGCTAACGCCAATCCGAGATGTTCTTTCGTCATGCCAACAATACCAGCATTTGCACCTACCATCAACATACCAAAATCAGGAGCATGTCCTGTCATACCAAACACTGTTGTTTTCAAGTAGCGCTCGTGACCGGCTAAATCAATGAAAGTGATCACTTTGGAGCTTTTCTCGCAAATTTTCACCCAATCTAATGATCCGTGTTCGGGTTTATTTACCACGTTGCCTTGTTCATCAAAACCCAGAATATCATTCCCTACTGAACTGGTACGGCCTGATTCCATTTCGTGTTTGTGACGAAATAGTCGTTGACGAGCATGGCCGCGACCATTATCAAGATCACCATGAGTTAAAACTCCTAGGAGAGTAGATTTCCCTGCATCTACATTACCTACCACAGCCACTCTAATCTCCAGGAAATCTACAAAGATTATTTAGTATTGTTTGGGCAATAATATATAAAATTAGTACCATTTTCATCAAGAACTCTCCTAATTAAGTATTGCACAACAACTCCAGCTATTTCCTTCCTCTCACGGAGTTTCACACAGCTACAACCTAATGTTGAAGCCAAGGACTGAAGAGTTGCTACAGATGCCTCCAGTTCATCATCTTTCAAACCATTTTCTTTTCCATCTTCTGCACCTCCCACCTAGATAAATAAATAAATAAAAAATATATTTAAAATGTAATAATATTGAAATAAAAGTATATTTACTTCAAGAATAACTTCTCCCCTGCCTTCTCCTAGTTGTTGCTGTAGTCTCTGCAGCAGGAGTTCATATTGCTCTTCAGTGGGACTGATCAGAAATTGCCCACTGATCATTTGATCATATTCTGTCACTGACTTCGCGCATTTTTCAGCAAACGAACTCAATGCCTCTTTTCCTTCTTTATTCTCAGTTGTCATAGTAAATTTTTCCAGATCTCCACAATAAGATTCTCGTAAATAGCACTCGGGGATGCTGAAAGTCGCAGGAGCCGCACGTCGACGTTGAATCAATCCACAATTTTACATTCTGTATCACAACACCGAGTTTGATACGATAATTAATCGTAAAGAAAACAATACGTCGTCAGCGTATTTACATAACAAGCGAAGGGTGAATAACAATTGTGTATTATTTTTGCGATGAGCTGTGTTTGGATGCTTTTCAGCGCGAGTCGACACTCGCATATGTTGCGATGACGTTACCTGTGAATGTGTTTCACGTCTCACAGGAATAAAGGAACCGCAGCAGGAGGGAGAGATGTATATTGGGTTGCGGACTGATGCAATTTAAAGAAAGTATGTTGAAATATCGGATAATAATATAATCTAATCAGTTGAAATATCATGTAATATGGGAAAAACATACTTTAAAGTGTAAATATTTAAGTGATAACAAATATATTTGTGGTTTTATGGATTAACACTTAAAAATTCAAATACTAAATGCATTGCAATAATATTTTGGTTATTTAATTAATTAATTTATTCTTATATTATCTGTGAGGCAAACAAATTTGTATTTATGAAAATATTTAATTTTTAGTAACATTGAGATAAGTTATGAAAATAGTTTGACTTGAAAATGAAATAATAATTCAATAAAATGATCCCAGATGGCGCTGCAATGTACTTTTCAATAAAAACTTTCAAAATTTGTTGTTCCGTTGGTGTTACCGAATACTTTTCGTAGAAATTTACGCATTTACTATCCTAGCCGTCCCTAGAGTGCATAGATGCGTAGAACATTTCACATTGTGACTAGAACAGCAGTCATGCACCGCATTGGTCATGAGTGCACAGGTAAACGCGGTTCGCGTAGAGTGAGGGAACGACGAAACTCGTTTGAAATTGTTTTGTTCACTACTCAAGGTGCGCTCTCGCTCGCGCACTCGCTGGCGGATGTTTGAATGTATGTATTACAAGTACGCGCTGTGAAATGCCCTGCGCGCTGTTGCCTCGAATGCGGTTTGAAAAATGTATTCGGCGTGCCGCGCGCGCGGTGAAGTAGAGGTGTACCGCCTGTACCGCGCCGCGTTTACCTGTGCGTTGTCGAACGCCAGAGCACACAACGCGACCGCGTCGTTATGTCGTCAACGCGAGCGCCAGTGCACAGTGCATTGTCGGTAGACATTTAAACTCGGTCGTCGTTCGTCGCGAGGCGAGCATGAGGAGAGACCCAGTAGCCACTCTTCTCGGAACGAACACTGATTACGCATCGTACAAGTTTGCGCGCGCTCGCCTCCGCCAAATGTGCTGAAATGCAAATACTCGCGAGCCGACCACGAACTACGCTGAATCCGAGAGTGAAATCGTGTGCGTGATAAAATTGTAATCGACCGCGCTGTGAGTGTGCTGCGGCAGCAGCAGCAGGGCAAACGTGAAGCGCCCCAAACGGCCAAGAAATAACTCCGCGCAACGCACCATAATTGCATTGCATCGGCGTGGAGGAAGAAGAAGAAGAAGACTCTCGTCTTCGTTGACTGCCGCTGGTACCACAACATGTGAAACGCGCATCTCGGAACGTGACTGCAAAGTGCATAGAAAACTCCAGTGTGTCGTTAGCAGCGGAGACGGAAAAATGAGTGCATCGAGGAGCGAGTAATATTAACGCTGAAAGCATCATGAAAGTGACGGTTTGTTTCGGTAATGTGCGGGTTGTGGTACCCTGTGGCACTAGTGAGTTTCTGGTGCGGGATTTAATCCGGGAAGCAAGCCTCAGATACAAGAAAGCCGCTGGAAAGGTTAGTGATATTTTCCGAAAACTTCTAGGCACTAATTGACCGACACTCGTAACGGTCACGCGGGTAACAGTTGTATTCACCCCTAAATAAGTTTCCATGGCAACACTCAATACAAATACATTTTGATTGGTTGTATAAAACAGCTGCGAAACACATTTTTGAAATAAAAACGTTTTTGATCTACTTTTATTAATCGAAAATATCCAGTGAGTTAGCAGCGTATTGCGTGCGTAGTGCATTGAAATCTCCAGGTTTCCATTTCTATCTCAATGTATCACTAAATAAAGATTTTGTGCAAATGTGTACCAACATACAACACCGAGGTGAGGAATGCGAATGGCGCATATTAGTCACTCACTCGTGTTCTGTTCGACTTTACAGAAATCGCATTCGCAATCGTATTGAAAATGAGTAATACTTTGACAGCTCCACCTCTCCATACGTATCTTAGCGTGTATGTCCTGTGTGTGTATCTCATTTGCATTTATTCATATAATGTTTGACTCCCAGCAACGTGTTTTGCACATGGACGGTTTACACGCATTTGTTATTTTGCGTTTGTGTATCGCGCGAGCAGCGGCCGCATAGTTTTGCATTGAATTGTAGCATGGGCGGTTCAAGGTCGTTTGTTTCGACGGCCTGATATTTTTTATTTGCGTACAACCTGTAAGCATTAATCAGCGAGATATTCAAATGAACTCAATCAATGAATTGTTTTTTTTTTATGTATTGCCTTTAAATGCTTTCGTGTACAAATATTAATTGCCGCTGCCATACGTGGAATTGGTTGGATTTCATAATTTCATCAATAAGTGGGTCTGCATTGCGTGAATTCTATTTAAATAATGATATGACATTTATTTAAGTATGTAATCAACGTATTGCAATAGTGTAGATATTACTTTTTATCGTAATGTTTGAATATCGACGTTTTTTTGGTATTTTTGCTAAAATTTGATAAAAATTGTCATTTTTGTGTTTGTTTTAGAAGAAATTAAGATATCAGGTGTAAAAAAAATAACTTTCTGTAGTGCACTGCACTATTTCTAAGCTAATTTAGCTTTCATGAGTGTTTAGTTAGCGGTGAACACTAAAATTATCTTCATGGCATTGTTATACGTTGTTTTTGTTTCAAATAAAGTGCTTGCCGCGCTACAATCTGCAAACGATCGCGTTATCTTCGAAGTTGACTCACAATTCACAATCATGAAACTTTTTTTCTTATTTTCAACAAGTCGTTTGTTCTTTAACAAGCAGAAACTTCGTTAAGTACAAAGAATTACTCAGTAATTGTTTTAACTTGAAGTTGTCGCGAATTGGTTTTTTAAAAATGAAATCTTCAATGTGTGCTCGTAATTCTATTAAACATATTATGGCATAGAAAAGTCTTTGTTTGTTTCAACGTCTTGCGTCGATCATGCAGTGCAATTCTATTCCACTCACATGTCTCTTCAGTATATGAAGGCAGGTAATAAAGAGAGTAATCCGCTGACAGTGTTCGCAATAGAACAGCCGGAGACACGGTCTTTGAGCAAACGCTGGAAGCAGGTGCATTTTTGTCGGCCTGGCGAGACAGACAAACACAGACAACAAATATACCTATAGATATGTCTTTCGACTTTTATTGAACGTTTCTTTGCCTTGCCATAAACATGTGTGCATAAAATAGAGAAATTCTTCACGTCTACAAGTGAAGAATATTAATGAAAGTAACTTTAAGGTTTCCAGATTATACCAACGCGATATTCCAAGTACCTAATCAAATTAGTGTTATTTTTTCAAAGTTCAGCGATTGAAACCATAAAAACCGTAGAAATGCATCGCGTACCGCAATTTACACAATGAGTGATCATTATACACAACGCAGGAAAAGGTAAAGGTATAAACAATCGAACAAAGTTAATAAAACGTCACGACTTGTGTTGTTTAGAATTTGTGGCGTTCATAGACCGATTCGGACTTGGACGTGCCGAAGGTGCAAACATTGCCACACAATAACATTCAACCTACGTGCTGGAAATTAAATAACGCCTGCTACCGACTGCAAGACGACAAGTGGCACTTAAAGTGCATATTTTTGTGCGTTTTGTTTTCGATTTATGCATCGAAGGTAAAAGCTGCGGTAAAAGTATCCATTTCATTCACATGTTTCTGAATCAGGACGTGGTGGTTTTATGACTCCCAGCGGCCCCGGAGTGTTCGTGTTGGGATAGTGAGTGGTATCAATGCGTCAAGATTATGAAATGAAATACTATAGCCTGTTTCCGCCTATTGGTCAACGTATTTTTTGCATTTTGGTCGTTTCAAGTGAGATAAAGTGTTCTGGGATTGTGTGGGAATGAAATATTAGTAAAATGACACTTAGTTTTTTTTTTAGACGTGAATTTAACCTATTTTAACATTTTTATGTTTGAGGTTAAAAATTACACTGTCATTTAACCTTGTATTGATCGTGTTAACCTAAAATGTTAACCTAAGTCTATTTTTAGGTTATTAAAATGCTCACGTTGTTAAAACACTGATAACTTCAAGCGATTTCACTTTTAATGTTTATTATGATTATGAATCAGTCTATTACTACTATATTTATAAATTTAAAGGTCATACGTTTTGTGGTTTCATAATGTCTTACTCAGGGTCAACTTTATCTACCTACGTGTTATTAATTTAGTGCACTTGACCAATAACACAGCAAAACACAGTTTATGAATGAACACCGGCGCTTTCTTCCACCTGCTGGAAGAAATTTAATATTTAATATTTTACATGCTTACAGTTAATGTGTGTGAAATAGATGACCTCAACAGTTTACTAAACTATAAAACAATGTACTTACCTGACTAAAAATTGTGGTTACCGCTGCTTTTTGTACTGATTTTGTTATTGTGTTGTCGTCGCATTTCATCTTATGATAAATTATTGTTCATCAGACTAGTTTAACTTCACAAATAATTATAGCGAATGTTATATCCGCCTGCTGACTGTCTACTCACCGGTTGTTTCTTACTGTTTGTGGCGGTGTCACTTATAATTAAATAATTAAGTTACCGTAATATGAACAAACAACAAACACTGCAAATTGCGTTTGCAAGTTCATTACTATACTGAATATTATAAAATCTATTGTTATATGTGTGGATATGGAGAGTTTTATTGCGTATTTTATTTGTAATATTTTATGATATATTTCACACTTTTTTCCTTTTTATTTGCATTCATTAGTCTCTTGAGAAAAGTGTAATTTTCTTGCAACGATCGCAGGAACCCCCACCCCAAAAATGGTGTTTTTGTAGGTTCAAGCCCTAACCACATTGCATTAGTAGGTTCTGGCCCTAGAAAGCCTAAAGTGCTTTTAACACAATTGTTTCTTATTATGTATTATATTTCGTTGATATATTGTTATGATTTGCGGCTGTTGCACTCTCCATTGTATTGTATTCATTATATTGCGCGTCTTGTGTTTGTGGTAGGCAACTTCTTGTACACGGTTGCCTATAGTGAAACCAAGATTTAAACTTATAAAACCTACAATAGCACACAATTCGTTTAAAATTCAAGCTGTAGTAAAGTAGGTGTCCGATTTCATTTCTCCAACTGGTTAGTGAATAAAACAAAAACAAATGATCTCAATTTTGATATGCCCCAAATACCAGACAAAAATTACACGTATAAAGTTTATGTTTTTAATGAGAATATTAAAACTTGTGCGTAATTGTTAATAATACATACATGATTCATTAGCAGGTATAAATTTTTATATAAATTACGTATAATTGCGTCTGGAAAATGTCTGCATTCTCTATCATGCGTTTTAATGGTTTCTTAGATCAGGTGCAGGGGGAATGCGTTAACCAAGCGAAGCATTCAGTATCCTCTCTGTTGGTTCATTCTGTCTGAATGTATGTAGACAATAATCTATTATGTTCCATGCTATATCGTATATCTACCATGAAAAAGTGGGGGCCTCTCAGCAATTCAACTTTAGTATACGTGTAACGTAGTCCTACCTGTTGAGAGTGTAGAGAAGCGAAACGCAATTAGTGGGCCCCCGTGTGTTGCACAGGCGCACCAATGTTTTCTACTGTCTTAGCTACACCGGCGCAAAGTTGCTAAAGTTAGTAAACAAACAGAAAGCTTCGAGTACGCGCGCGCGCTGTGTCTCAGAGTCGATCATTTCGTGCGCGGTCTCATTTCAAACGAATTGAAAGGATTATAAATTGGTGCGAATCATATTAAAACAAAAGTGATGTACAAGAAACGTGTGTGTGCTGTGTAGTTTAAAAAGGAAACAATTCCCATCGTGAATATATTAATTATTAAACATATTGGATATTGGAAACAAGTTAGATTCATAAATATATTGTTTAAATGATGTTTATAACATTGAAATCAATGCTTTCAAAATACTTGCGGTGGAAGAGGAGACTTGCAGATTTCTCGCGTGAAAGAAATTGCATTGCTCCCATCGCAGAACGTAGACAACGCTAAAACTTGACTTTAGAAAGTCACCACATTTCTTTGCGCATTACGAATGGTTCAAGTTCTATTTTTTATATACTTATTTTAATTAGATTGTGCGAGACGACATAAAATAATAGAAAACGAGATTGTTTTGCCGTTTTTGTACCTGCTTGAATCGTTGAATTATACTCGGAAATATTTCGCGACGCCGTCTTGTAACGAGATACCTGACGACATTGATATTAAAATGATTAGTTTATCAAAATTCAAACAAATGACGCACTCACAACTCAAACACAAGTTGTAAATTCACGCTTTAATCATTTTAATAACTTCGTTAAAGATTCTATCAAGAGTAGAGTACGAAATATTACAAACGAAGGTCAAAACCGGATACGGCATAATTATAGGCACGCATTTCCGGTCGGAAATGGCGGAGGAATCAAAAATGGAAACTGAACAGTTTAAAATTAAAATTCATTCGCATGTACAAAGCGAAATTTTGTTTTTATTCAATATTATATTGTTAAAATGGTATTTTATTTATTATTTATGCAAAGGAATTTCAAACATGTTTGGGTTGATGGTATGTGTGCAGAAAATAGAAGGTCTAGTCTCTAGTCTTGCTGGTAGGTGCATTCGCAGAGTTTTTCATTCATTCCGCGGTATTAGATTGAACATTGGAACGATCGGTTGATGAGGTCAACGCGGCCGTACTCTGTTATTGCATATCATGGGTAATGGGTATGGTAGGCTTATATGCGCGTATGTTCAGTTCATTCCTAAGAGTGCAAACATGCAGAAACAAGCGGTTCTTTAATGATATACAGCCAGTGTTTGTGAACCCATTCGAAACAGCGTAATAACTCTATAGATTGTCTTAACTGATTTATACCACATTCATTTTTGCAAAATGGCGCGCACAACAATTTTGCAATAATAAACGTAGAAAAAAGTGGTGCTAAATTATAGGCTCGTTGTATGTCATGTCGTTAGAGTCTACAACACTTTCTGGCTTTACTCAATCTCGCGAATGAAAGTGGCGAGAAGTTAACAAGAGACATTATGCGAAAAATTGTTACGACTTGCGACACGAGGACTATTCTTTTAAAATTGCACGCGTTACGTGTTTAGTTTCTAGAGTTTTACTTTTTTATTTTTATCTTTATCATCTACACTTGTTTTACTCTTTTGTATTGAGTCAAGAGACACGCCATTATCAGTATTTGCACAAGATGATAATAAAGCAACTGGTTTAATTGATTTCATTGTTATAAATGATCTTTTAACAAACATTTTGATTGTTTTCTGTTTTCTGTGATAAGCTTTGTGAGAATAAACATTGAAATGAGTGCACAATGAGCGTAGCATGTTTGATAACTGCGCGTACGTGGGGCCTAAGTGCACGGAGGTGGCCGAAAAATTGGTTCAGATTTTCGGATGGCGGCACACGTACAATGTAGAAAAGTTGCAGAGGAATGTCCCTGGCCGTGGGACCACACGGATATCGATTACACGATCGTCGCATACGCCGTACATTCGTGCCGCCATTAATGAGAAGGTATATACATATTTTCAATGTTGTCCACTTTGAAAACGAGACCTAAATTGGTGTCATTGGAATGGAATTCTTTGATAAGGCAAAATGTGGTATAAAATTATCTCTGAGACCGTAATTGTTTAAAATACAAGTAGAAATATGTATATATTTAATTAGTTTTTGTTTTTAAACGATTTCGAAACGTATGTGTTCAGCGGAAATGAACATTAGTTGTGGCAATGCTACAAAATGGATGCTTTTTAGGAAACAAACTAGTGAAAGGCATGTGGGAATATTCACAATATTCACATTGTAACAATAGTTTAATTATTTTCAATTAAATACTCACAATGCGTGTTTTTGTCTTAAATTTCAGGGTCCTGACTCATGGCTGGCGGTGCACAACCTTCAGTCACAGGGTGGCGGTATTCTAGACCCTGACGATCATCTTAGCGATGTTGTAGATGACCGTGAACAGATACTAGCTAGTTTTGAAGATGGCGAAGGGGCACATCATCATGGCGGAGGCGATGGTGCAAGTGGTAGCTCTGTTGGCACAGGCAGTCCTGATATATTCCATGTAAGTGTTTATTTAGAAGATTGAGTGGTATGTAGATATCTTAATTTGGGTATTACTATAGGACGGTGATCACAAATATGGCCCCGGTTATACACGTACAGATATTGAGGTAACCGGAGAGCATTTGGCAAATGGGGTAGCAGGAGTATTACAGGTGCGGCGTGGTAGTGAACCTGCCTTGAATCAATTACCAGCAGGTCCTCCACTTTCGACTGATCAAACGAAACGATGGTCTGCCGCTCCGCTTATCTTTGAACAACCAGCCAATGGTACTTATTTGAATGTAAGCACTGATTGGGTGACTGAGAGTCGAGATGAAGATGACGATGAAGAGAATGATAATAAACCGAATGGGATTAAACGAATATCCAGGGATGGTAGTAATCGTCTTTCTATGCAATTTTTGGGTGAAGGTGGTGGTTATAAGTGGGCGGAAGCCGCCGAACGGGCGCATAACAGGAATTATACATCTACATCACTTCCACGGGATCAGAAACGAAAGGAACCACTGGGTCAGGCGAACAATACAGACAAAAACTTTGGAGAGTTAATTGTTATTCGAAATGAACCAGGCCCACTAGGTATTCATGTGGTACCGGATTATAATCGACAAGGGGACGACCAAGGATTGTTAGTGCAAGGCATTGAGCCTGATGGCAGAATAGATCGTGATGGAAGATTGGCTTTGTTTGATCGTATTGTTGAAATTAACGGTCATAATTTACTTAATATGCCGTTCCAAAGGTAAGTTTACTTACCGAAACTAGTTCACAAAACAAACAATTGTTTATTATTATTTTAGGGTACAAGAAATGTTTAAACTTTCACTGACATCACCTGAGCTACGGCTAAGAGTAACCAAAGCCAATTCACACTCGAAATTACCAGCGCCCGTTTATCCTCGTATGATTGAAAATAAAGAGAACATTGAGCGACTTGTAGAGGTGGAACAGAAACAGCAGAGTACAAATACAAAAGTCGCGACGGTATCACCAACTAAAAAAGTGCCATCAGGTGGCCGCAATACCAAATCATTGCTTATTGCCAACACCAGAAAAATAGGCAGAAAGATTGAACTGGAATTGACAAAGGGACCTCATGGTTTGGGCTTTAGTATCACAACAAGGGATAATCCTGCAGGTGGTAATTGTCCTATTTATATAAAGAATATTATTCCCAAGGGAGCTGCGGTTGAAGATGGCCGATTAAAAATTGGTGACCGGCTTTTGGAAGTAAATGGTATAGAAATGACTGGTAAAAGTCAATCGGAAGCTGCTGCTGTTTTAAGGAACACTCCCACTGGTAGTACAGTAGGGATTGTTGTCTCTCGACAAGAAGATGTAACGGATACATCTCTTCCACGCATTATTGTAAGTTTTTCTTTTGATATTATGGTAAATATTTGTTCTAATTAGTTCACACATTTTGTCGCACATCCGGTGTTTTGTTTGATCGTGTGTTATCGTTTGTATTTGTGTGCTTCACGCTTAGGGAGTGGATCCAATTGCCGAGAAAAGCGAGAGTCGCGAGGAGCTAAGGGATGAATCAATCCCACCAACAATACCTCCACTTCCGCAAATGCATCATCGTTTTACGCATCAAATGCAACCGCCGCCATCACAACAAATGGTCCAAATGAATACCAGTGACAATCATTGCGTTGATCGTGAGCGCGAGAGGCAACAGAGCAATGTTTCGAAAATAATCTCGCAGTTTCAAGAGGCCACCAATACTGCAAACATCACTGTAATTTTGTTTTTGTTCTATTTTTGCACGTATACCATAATGATACACCACACAATTCACTAAAATTTTAGTTCTAGCATGTATTAATCTTTTGGTTTTGTTTTACAGCCTAATGATAAATTAGATGACAGTTTGTCCCTGCCCTGGAGGTACCGCGAGTACCTTACCTTTAACATTCCGGTGCATGATTCCGAGAAAGCAGGTCTGGGTATAAGCGTGAAGGGCAAAACAAGTGGTGCGCAGGATCTCGGGATATTCATTAAAAGTGTGATTCATGGCGGGGCTGCATCACGAGATAAACGATTGCGAACGAACGATCAACTCCTTAGTGTGAATGGCATCTCTTTGCTGAATCAAAGTAACAGCGATGCGATGGAAAACTTGCGTAAAACTATGTGTCATAATGAAGGTCCCGTTCCGGGTAATATAACTTTAACTATTGCTAGACGTGCATTCAGTCCAGCTTTGAATAGAAGTTTAGGCAATCCTCATGAAACTAGTTTTGGAAGTAATAAGAGTCGTGAGATTTACTCGATGAAATCGACTGATTCAGATAACTCCGGTGGTTCTGTCAATACAATAATCTACAATCCTTTGAATAAGTCTCTGGACTCGTCGAAAGGGTCTCTGAATAAAAGCATTCAGAGTCATCAAAGCGGCAGTAGTCCGGTGACACATGCTCATAGTCCAATGAATACGTGGAATCCAGTTTTGGACCGATTAATGGGCAATACGAATAAACAATTGCGTAATGAGAGTTATTATAAAGCGACGAATGACACCTGGAATGCGAGCACGTTCTCTCCGAATCAATCGCGAATGGGAACGACAATAAATTTGCCAAATATGGAGCCTGTTTTAGTTGAGGACGACTACGGATCACGTATTATACATTCCAAGTATGATTATTATAATTTATCTCTACAGTACACGTTCTAATCATTAATATTATTGCAGGAGTAATATTCTTAAACCAGCATCGCCATCAAATACAAAAATAATTCCAATCATACCAAATAACGGCGTGAGCGCTGCAATAAATAAATCGATTGAAAACCGCAAGGATCATGAGCCAGATGGAAAGTCCATGATTAACCGCAGTATCTGTGATAAAAGTAGTGACTTGGACACCAGTAATCAAAAACCTGGAGGCACTGATGCGACATACGCAAGTCAATTGAGTTTAGAGAATCCGGCTGGATTTTGTAGGGACGCTTTTGGCAGGCAGAGTATGTCAGAGAAGCGACATGCAACACTGGATGCGAAAAGTACTGACACATATCAACGGACGAAGAAAATGCGTGAGGAACGACTGAAAGGTAAAGAAGGTAAGTGTTGACGTTTTTTAAGAGTTTGAATTCACGGTGAGGCATAGGTGCACTTAACTTAATTACCATTTGAATGTTTACGTGGGCATGTTGTGCTAATACCGAAAATCATTCTTCGGCAGCTAATTTAACGCGGGTCGGATCAGTGGAGTCAGTTATCAGTGTGAATCGGCCAACTGAGCATCCTGAATGTAAGCTATGAACACATCATCATCATGCTTTGTCACTAACTATTTCAATATTCGTTTCCTATGTTCGTTTTCTGATCGTAACTAATTTTATAGACGCTGATAAGCTCGGTGAACTAGGACCGTCTTTGGGAATGAAAAAGTCGTCTAGTTTAGAATCTTTACAAACAATGGTACAAGAAATTCAAATGCAAGAAGAGGGTGACCCGGCATACAGTTACCGGGGACCAGGTGGAGCTTTAAAAGTAATACGAGGTAAAGGTTGCGAGGAAAGTTTCCGTGCTGCTGTTGACAAGGAATACAGTTTGGATCCGAATCATCGTAGCGAGGTGAGTGCCAAAAAACATTGGCTACTCGACCCGCCCGCAGACTATGAGCGTGAAATTGACGGTTTTAACAATGTCCGCGGTGGATTGCGCCAATCATCACTAAATGCAGCACTAGATTCTAAACATAAAGCTTCCAAAAAGAAACCAAGTATTCTTAAAGGTATTGGTTCGATGTTCCGATTTGGAAAACATCGAAAAATTGATTTTCCTGTCGAGGAACATCAACATTACCAGCAGAGTAATGAATTTGACGAAGCCCCTAAGGACGAAAGCAATAAAATCGAAGAGCCATCAAAGGAGCCATCAAATCAAGTTCAACAACCAATCCCACATCAACAACAAGTGCATTCACGATATCCACCGATGCAAATGAATCCCAGCCCGCAGCAAGCGGCGCAAATCCAACGAGAGCCGATCTATCAACGGCATGGATATGTGCATCATCATGCTGAACAGGTGCAGGTAAAATACCAGTTGGTAATCATGTAATGAAAATGACAATGATGAAACTTTTAGGTGATTCCCGAGAATGCTCCAATGCAATCCGTTAATCACAGATACCGACGCAGTCCGGAGCAACAAAGCCGCGCACATGGCAGCAATCTTTTAAAAGCACACGAACAGCGCATGGCGGCGCGTCACAGCTATTATCCGCCATCGGAGGCGGACCCGCATTATGAACAGATCTCCCGACAGGTTAGCAATTTAAATAATATGTACATTTCTATACAACACACCAAACTTTAAATTGAATGTTTCCTTCTTAGCTTTTACAACAATTACTTTTAACTGTATACTTATGATGATATTAATGATTCGATTTTACTAACGATAAATAAATTTTAATTGTACATTCGTATCTATCTGCACTCTTCAAATCCATATTTGTAAATGTGACGTTTATACCTAGAGACCTCCTGAACATCCAGTTAACAACTACGGGACGAGTTATGGCCGGCCCGGAAGTCGCACTGGCGTCACGGAAGCGATGAGACCTCCCTCACACACTACGTCAACCATGACGAGTTACAATCACACTTGAGGTAAGTCCTATTTGATAACAATCTGATTATGAGTTTATTGGATCGCGAATTAAACATTAACACCAAATTAATTGCACATTTAAGTTTGTCTATTAACTTTCCGTTAATTGTTGTGTGATGTGTTAACCTTGCACCAATATCAAGAACATAATTCATTTATCGTTTTCAATGTTTGTATGATGTTTCTGTAACCATGTGTGTGATTAACAACGTCCTTTTGTTTAATGTGTCTCCTCTTCGAACGCACGCATACAGTCGGTCCGACAACCTGTCTGATTCTCAAATAGTGCAAATGCGCTTGCAGGTGCAGCAGCAGAGATTAAAGGTGGAGGAGGAAAGGTATGCACACGTATAGAATTTCTTTTCAAACACATACGCACCAATCATTCTTCTCTGGGATGCTTTGTGAGAAACCATTTTGAATTTGCATGCATCGGGACGGTTTACGGTATCATCTAAAAAGTTGTTCAATTTTTTCAGGAAAACCAATTTAGAGTAAAGTAGTGCAAGTTACATGGCATAAATCGAGTGGTAACACAGTTTTCATGGTGTTACCATTTATTTTTAGTCATGTAACTCAAATTGCTTGATTACATTCTTGAGAATATTGAATTTAAGAGAGTTTTATGCGTGTTCTAGTCGAAAGCAACACCAGTATCACTCACAGCGACAGCCGAAGCAAGAAATGCAGCTGCGACCGGTCTCAAACTTCTACGAATACGAGAGCGTGCAATCGATCCTATCAACTAGAGGCAGAAATAGTAATCCACATCAATACCAACAGCATCCGCCGCCATCACAACGTGTACCGCCGCAATACAATCGGCGCGGGCCATTTGTTACGCAGGTCACCATCGGTGAACAGAAGGAAGCAAAACAAAACGGCACCAAAGTCTGACTGATGTTTTAATCATTCCAATCAAGCAACACTGTATCATTCACAATCCAATAATTTTATTATCGATTTTTAACATATTGTTTAGATTTTATACAAAACATTTATTAATTATGATTTTACTTCCATTTTTATAAAGTTATTTTTTTATACTTACGCGTGGAAGTATTCAATATCGTGTATTACGTAATTTAATTATTTGTACATAGAAACAAGAATACCGATAGTATGCATAGGTCATAATTTATGTATATAAAATTAAAATACACATTCCAATAATATTTTTATATACTAAAAGCTTGGTACGTGATTGATTAGTTAGTAATATATTTTATCTTGCATTTGATTTAGTTTGGGTAAGGGTGGCGGTGAAGAAAAGATGAAACTTTCAAGTTTTTCAACTTCATCGATATGGGTACCATCACATCCACCACTGTAACCAGGCCTAATATAACTATTACTCTGTCCGCCGTAAGTAGAATTCATTCGACGTGTGTAATAATTAATCTTTTCGTAATTACTAGCAGGAGTCAGATAACCAGACTGCGATGGCCCGTTGTAGAGATTGCGAATCGGTTCCGCGTATTCAGGACGTTCAAAATTTGGTGCTTCCTGCGTGGGTTGCACTTTCGGACTGTGTTTCAAAATAACGACGTCTTTATTTCCGTCGATTAGAGTCGGATACGTTCTTATTACAATAAATGCAATAATGCCGCTAATCGCTGCACATAGAATTAAGGAACCTGTTATGCTGCCGATTATCAGAATTTTGTTTTTGTTTGTGATCCACGAACGGTCTTCCCAGTCAGGTGGTATTTGTAAGCCGAAACAATTGCTCGGCGGGACGGTCAGTTCATTTTTAGCAAGCAGACAGAACGTGTATGTGTGATTTCGGCGCAGTTCGTCTAGATACACGGATTTATTTATATTTGCAATGCAAATCGGAGAGGTAGAATCGAAAATCTCGAAGTATACCAGATTAATATCTGTTAATTTGTCTGTAAATACTAATTCAAGCTGTGGATCGTCGTCTAAACTGTAGATATCAACTTTGACAAGTTCATTATTTCCTGCTGCGAATGTAATTTGGACTGATCGCAAAAATTCTCTGGATGAATCGTCAAGCGACAAATATTTCTTAACTTCTTTACATTCCAAAGTTTTGAGGGTTTCATTTGGATTTGGTGGTGTAGATGCTGTAGATTCAATGGTTGAAACGCTCGTGTCACTCGTTTGTGTTGTTAATTCAGTACTACTAGTCGTAAGCGACGTAGGATTTGATGATGATGTAGTTGTTTCAGTTTCACATTCAAATGATGCTTCAGTAAATGATTGAAAATCATCACACTTTGGGACCGGATCAATAACTACATCATTTGAAAAATACAAATCTTGTAACCACTTCAAGTTACAATCGCATTTCCATGGATTATTGTCTATAATAAGCGTACCTGTGGCCCATTGCGTATTCCGAACGTAATCAAATGTTCCGTTTTCCAAAGTTGTCAAATAGTTACCAGTTAAATCTATTTTTTGTATCCCTTCGACCCAGAACGCTTTTTTCGATATTGTCTGCAAGTCATTCTGATCCAGGTAAATACTTCGTAGTTTTTTTGCCTTCGAGAAGATTAAATCAGGTAAACTATGTATTCTGTTATACCGTAAGGCAATATTTTGTAATGGCGTCGGACTGCCATTTTGTCCCGTGATGTTGCCGATCAATTCACCTTCAAATTCACAGTTTTCTATTGAGAGAGTCTCCATTTTCGAAGCATTTTCGAATAAACATTCTTCCACAAGGAAAGGACCACGGCAATTATCCAAATTGAATGTTAACAGTGCTGGTAAACTATTAAAGAACTCTTTTTTAAAGTATTCAATGGCACCATAACTAAAATGTAGTGTTTCCAGGCCCGCGATGGAAAGCGCATCAGGTTCTATGCTCTCGAAATTACAAGCTGTAAATTTTAAGGTTTGGATTTTAAGAACCTCGCGGGTCTTGCCATCTGAGTCCGTTTTTAACCAATCTGATGGTAGAACTTTAGAATTGAATTTGCTGTTTAATAATTCTAGATTTATTGTGGCACAGTTATTCTAAACAGAATAATACATAAGAAATAAATTATGTTTTGTTTGTTTAACTTACGTCTGTAGCAATTTGTTCTATCTGCTCAGCCCACAGTTTACTATAATCTCCCGAGCAGGTTATTGAGCAAGTTTTTGACACACAATCGTTTGCTGCAATTATTTGGTTTAAATAAAACCAACTGATAATGCAAGCTTTTATTTTAATACAATACAAAGAAGACATTTTACGTTAGACTATAACTAGTGTCAATTGCAAATCAATACAATAATTTACTTTTCTCATATTTATTACATTTATTACGGTATCTGATTATGATATCAACTATGAATTGGATTATCTCTCAATCCTACCATCTGAATGCATTTTCATATATTGCCTATTTTCATAGATCCTTTATTTATTTATTACTTATTTATGTATTTGTTAATATAACCATGCGATAATATATTATACAATATAGCAGCTCTAAATCTTTTTTTCAATTTTGTTGACGTAAAGTGATTAAATGAAGAATATTAATTGTGTTTTAGTCCGTGACATTACACGTGTCCGCCCAAGGACTAAATCTGTTCTAAACAATTCATTTGTCTGCGTTTAATAGCTGGTTCATCGTGTAAATTTGCTGTTTAAATACAGTCTAATGAATAGGAATTTATGATTTACTTTACGAAGCGTAGAATAACACAATTTACACCGTAAGCACTGTAAGTGCGAGACGTACAGTCGTTATATAGTTGTTTCCCAGTTTTAGAATCGACTATAGTTGTTGCGTGCGGTGACGCCTTTGCGCGATTCCAGCTCGTTTGTATTTTGGCTGCCGCCCAGCAAACGAGCGCCTGGGTTCATACATCCGAAAACGGTTAGAATTATATTTTTACTACTGTCCTTTCCCATGCGGTTCAAGTGGATTTCTCTATTTTTTTAATGCTTTAACACGTGGGGAAATGTAATACATTTTCATAAACGTTTCCGCCAAAATGACATGTTAGAAGATGTTTAAATTCGTAATTATTTACGAAAACATTCCAAAACTATATAAAATGTTTAAATATTTTATTATTTTATATTTAAAACAACTAATTAATGTTCCATATCCAATTAACTGATATGAATGAATGTGTTGTATGAAATAAGTTGTCCTAGAAAATTTTGGGACGTTCGGTATTTAGCTAGTTGAGAATCCCGAAAGCCGCCAGCACAATAGAAAATTTATTTTTACGAATTCGTTATAGTATTTACCAGAGATTTCGTTTATAAATAAAAATTTGAATTCATTGAGGTGTGCCAACGCCGAGGATGAACTGAAATGTTATGTTATGCGGTATACAACAGATTTGAAAAGAACTATAATCTGTAAACTTGTAAAAAGCGAAAAACTTCCAAGCCCCACCAAATTTTACGGCCGCCTGAAATATTTTAAAAGTTTCGAGCTTTGTAGATTCCGTAGCTGTAGTTCTCAGGACTTTGCATAGCTCACATTCAAGTGTTAAACTTTGTGTAGTGAAATCACACAACCAAAATCACAATGGCGGAAGAACTTAACAAGGAACAAATTGCTCGTACGTATTTTAAACTACAAATAAATAAAATCTTAATTAAAATATTATTTGAATCCGTAAATCAAATTATTGTATTTTTGTTTAGTGTTGAAGAATGCCTTCGACACCTTTGATGTTGAAAAGAAGGGTTCCATCGGCACCGTGATGATCGGTACCATTTTGGGCATGTTGGGTATCAACATGACTGAGAAAATGTTGGCTGATATCATTGCTGAGGTCGATGATGATGGCTCCGGTGAGTTGGAGTTCGAGGAGTTCATCACCCTTGCTTCCCGATTCATGGTTGAGGAAGATGCTGAAGCCATGCAACAAGAACTTAAGGAAGCCTTCCGTCTCTACGACAAAGAAGGTAACGGCTACATCACCACCCACACCTTGAAGGAAATCTTGAAGGAACTTGACGACAAGATCACCGGCGAGGAGTTGGACATGATGATTGCTGAAATTGATTCTGACGGTTCCGGCACTGTTGACTTCGATGGTAAGTCATCTTTAACATAAACTTTTAAAAGTTTTAATGAGTTGCTTCATTAAATAAATTTTATGATTGCAGAATTCATGGAAGTCATGACCGGCGGTGATGACTAAACGCATTCTTTCGAGGTACATAAATCATCTAATACATAAGCAAAATTCCATTTAATGTAACCGTTGTTTTGGACATACATTCAGTTCCTCTTTTGCAATGCGAACACATATCATGTGTACCTGTACATATCTCGTGACCAGATTGTGAAGTCATTATAAAAGTTACACAATATGTTTTTGTTTCATTCGACTTTTCCTGGATTCTTTAATTTCCAATCAAAGTTGTTTTGATTTGAGAACGCAAGTCTCTTATGCCAAAAATTTTATGTATATATATATTTAAGACTACATAATGAATGTACAAAGTTTGTGCTGTAAATGGTTATTTACTTGTTGTTGAAAATAAAATTTATTTTTGTTGAACTCTGTTGAATGATGTTGGAAACTAATTAACATTACACACATTCTAGCAGATGTAGAATTATAAAACTTGTAAACCTTGGTGAATCTTACTTTGAAAGTTATTTTAATTTTGAATTACCCATCACATATTTGTTTTAATAGCACTCTATGAATAAACTAACTGGAATGGAAATGTGATTCATTGTTTTCTTATAGCAGTTTTCGTTTTTTCATATCCGCAATTTTGGAATCATTTGTTTATTTACTTTTAAAAATATCATAACTTTAACATGTGTAATAGAGCAAAAAAGAAAATTCTTGACACCGACGTAAAGTAAATTTGCAATGGGAAAAGATTATCTAAATGATTGTAAAAGTATCACTTATTTGTTATGTTCCAGAATGTTTTTGTGTAATAACAACATTTATATTTACATCGCTGGCATGTTGTTAGTTTATTTCGGATGAGTTCCCGTCGCATAAATCGATTAAATACTTAATGGATGCGAATGTGTTTTTGATTCGTTTAGAAAAGGGCTTCATAGCGGTTAAAGGTGAAGGTGTGAATCAATCTATAAATACGAAGCGACTGAAATAAATCGACAGCCAATATTTGTGGGTGTCGTTTTGTTGCGTTTAATTACTAGTCTGCTGTCGTGCGATTAACCCACTTACTTGAATATACATCAGCAATCATGGTGGTAAGTTAAACTCTGCTTCAAATTTACACTTTTTTATAATTTAATTTTTAATTTTAATTCTCTAGGACGAACTTTCTAAGGATCAACTCGGATGTAAGTAATAAAATTAATCGAATATTTATTTTGTGGATTAGTTCAATTATAAATTATTACGTTTTAATTTGGTGCAGTGTTGAAAAATACTTTCGAGGCATTCGACTTGGACAAGAAAGGTGCTATTGGTATCGACATGATTGGTCAAATTTTGGATATGTTGGGACATCAAGTGAAGCCAGATGAATTAAAAGTAAGTTTGCCGTGGATATTTATTGCAAATTAAGCATATATTTTTAAATTTACAGAAAATTGTGAGCGAAATTGATTCGGATGGCAATGGCGAAATGTCTTTTGAAGAGTTTGCTTGTCTGGCTTCTCGCTTCTTAGGTGAAGAAGAAGAAGACACGGAAGCCATATTACGTGAGTTGAAGGACGCTTTCCGCTTGTATGACAAAGAAGGTTTGGGATATATCTCTACTGATTTGCTGCGCGAAATCTTGAAGGAATTAGACGAGAAAATGACGCCGGAGGATTTGGAACAAATGATTGAAGAAATTGATATTGACGGTTCCGGCACCGTTGATTGGGAAGGTAAAAATTCAAATATTTAAATATTTAACGTATATAATATAACACTTCTTTTGCAGAATTCAAAGCTATGATGGTTGGATAAATATATAATTATAAAAATTGATATGATTGGATTATAATGAGTGACAATAAAAGTTTTCTGTATGATTTTATTTAAAATACATGCTTATGTACTTATAGTATTTCTTTTCATTTACCTCATTATTTTGATTACGATTTTTTTCTAAACTAAAAGCGATAGAAAGGATCGGATGGTAAATTCTGAAATGAGAAAAGAGCAAATTATTTTAAGTAATAATTTGGGAAGAAGATATTGAATTATTTTGTTGTCGATTTACAAATACAGTTTTTAAATTAAGTTAGTTTGACGATTGTTAGAAGTTCTAGTGCTATGGTGCTACTTGACTACGTTCGCTTTGATATGTTGGGTCAGGTTATGCGCCACCTGTGTAAACCACCTAGTCGTCTTAATCGCGCCGGTGTGTCCGCACGCGTTTCTCTGGCAACCCTCGTGTATTTTTGGTTGAAATTGTCAGACATCGAAATTAGTAATAAGAAATTAATTTCATCTTTACGCGGTTATCGACATTTTTGTTGTAAATTCGAGGTGCGTTGTGTTACATCTCTGGAGAATTGAATTCGTTCAATCGCTACAATCTAGCATCTACGGTACGTGCTTGCTGCAAACTGCGGAGGACATCAGTTGGAGTTCGCCATCGTTTCGCTGGTAGGTATAGCATTGAATTAATACTATTTATTTATTTTTTATGATTAATTATGTCTATATTACGGTTTCGTAATTGGCATTCTAGAATATTTCTACATTGTCAAGTTAGTCAGTCCGCACAATATAATTGTTATCGGTTTTGTCTCTACGTGTTTATCAATGTCAGTGTGTAAACAAGTTTTTATGGCGTTCGAATCTTACACTGACCGCGTGTTGTTGCGGAATACATGTTTTAGTAGGTATGAATATGTGCTTTAACTTTATTTAAAATTACATGTTTCAATTTCTCAATTTCGAGTTGCATTTATATCATACTTTACACTTCGTGGAGACGTTTTATTGCATGTTTAGTCCCGGTATTATTTTATCTCGACTTGTACGCAATGTTCTAACTATTGTTCTCTTCTCTGTTTCAGCAATAGCCTTTGAGTTCCAAAGGCCGAGTCACGAGAATTTGATTCGCTTAGTCGGTCGACTCCCGATTTAAAATAAAATAAACATTGACACCCCTTCCCGCATTTCCTCTTAACAATGTAATTTATTTCACAGATTTTATCATCTTCAGCATTAGTCCTGAGTGTTGCAACGAGTGAAATACTGGTATGTGGTATGTGTAACCAAGTGTTTGTTTTGTTGTATTTGATAGCGGTAGATGTGACTCGATTCAAGGCACCTTACGAGGCTAGCGGTAGAAGTGACTCGTGTTCAGGGCACCGTATGAACCCGCGAAAATTTGCAGCACAGTTTAATACTTTCACCATTTTCGTGTTTGCGTGCGAACTACGCGGCTCACTGACTTCATCGCGGCGTCTAGAGATGCGGAATTAAATTCTCCGTCGGGTTGTATTTGTTTCTGGCAGGAATTCGACCTGCAACTCGTGAAAATTTGAAGAAAAAGGTGATTTTTGTCACCCTTTCTCGTGAAATGTTAGTATTTTTTTGTGTTTGCGCGCGATCTAGACGGCTCACTGACTTCATCGCGGCGTCTAGAGATGCGGAATTAAATTCTCCGTCGGGTTGTATTTGTTTGTGGCAGAAATTCGACCTGCAACTCGTGAAATTTTGCAGAAAAAGGTGATTTTTGTCACCCTTTCTCGTGAAATGTTAGTATTTTTTCGGGTTTGCGCGCGATCTAGGCAGCTCACTAGCTTCAGCACGGCTTTGTATTTGTTAGCGGTAGAAGTGACTCGATTCAGGGCACATTGCGAGGCTAGCGGTAGAAGTGACTCTATTCGGGACATCTTGCGAGGCTAGTGGTAGAAGTGACTCGATTCGGAGCACCTTCCGAGGCTAGCGGTAGAAGTGACTCGTGTTCAGGGCACCGTATGAACCCGCAAGTATTTGCAGCATAGGGTGATTTTTTCACCATTTTTCGTGAAATGTTTGTATTTTTTCGGGTTGCGCGCGATCTAGGCCGCTCACTAACTTCGGCGCGGCATCGAGAGATGCGGAAATAAATTCTCGGTCGGGTTGTATTTGTTTGTGGCTGGAATTCGACCTGCAACCCGCAATTAATTGCATAAAAGGGTGATTTGTGTCACCCTTCTTCGTGAAATATTAGTATTTCTTCGTGTTTGCACGCGAACTACGCGGCTCACTGACTTCATCGCGGCGTCTAGAGATGCGGAATTAAATTCTCCGTCGGGTTGTATTTATTTGTGGAAGGAATTCGACCTGCAACTCGTGAAAATTTAAATAAAAAGGTGATTTTTGCCACCCTTTCTCGTGAAATGTTAGTATTTTTTCATGTTTGTGCGCGATCTAGGCGGCTCACTAATTTCATCGCGGCGTCGAGAGATTCGGAATTAAATTCTCCGTCGGGTTGTATTTGTTTGTGGCTGGAATTCGACCTGCAACCCGCAAAAAAATGCATAAAAGGGTGATTTGTGTCACCCTTCTTCGTGAAATATTAGTATTTCTTCGTGTTTGCGCGCGAACTACGCGGCTCACTGACTTCATCGCGGCGTCTAGAGATGCGGAATTAAATTTTCCGTCGGGTTGTATTTGTTTATGGCAGGAATTCGACCTGCAACTCGTGAAAATTTGAATAAAAGGGTGATTTTTGTCACCCTTTCTCGTGAAATGTTTGTATTTTTTCATGTTTGTGCGCGATCTAGGCGGCTCACTAATTTCATCGCGGCGTCGAAAGATACGGAATTAAATTCTTCGTCGGGTTGTATTTGTTTGTTGAATGAATTCGACTTGCAACCCGCAAAAATTTGCATAAAAAAGTGATTTTTGTCACCCTTTCTCGTGAAATGTTAGTATTTTGTCGTGTTTGCGCGCGATTTAGACGGCTCACTAACTTCATCGCTGCGTAGAGAGATGCGGAATTAAATTCTCCGTCAGGTTGTATTTGTTTGTTGAAGGAATTCGACTTGCAACTTGCAAAAATTTGCATAAAAAAGTGATTTTTGTTACCCTTTCTCGTGAAATGTTAGTATTTTTTCGTGTTTGCGCGCGATCTAGGCGGCTCACTGACTTCATCGCAGCGTCTAGAGATGCGGAAAAAAATTCTCCGTCGAGTTGTATTTGTTTGTGGCTGGAATTCGACCTGCAACTCGTGAAAATTTGAATAAAAAGGTGATTTTCGTAACCCTTTCCCGTGAAATGTTAGTATTTTTTCGTGTTTGCGCGCGATCTAGGCGGCTCACTGACTTCATCGCGGCGTCTAGAGATGCGGAATTAATTCTCCGTCGGGTTGTATTTGTTTGTGGCAGGAATTCGACCTGCAACTCGTGAAAATTTGAATAAAAGTGTGATTTTTGTCACCCTTTCTCGTGAAATGTTAGAATTTTTTTGAGTTTGCGCGCGATCTAGGCGGCTCACTGATTTCATCGCGGCGTCGAGAGATACGGAATTAAATTCTCCGTCGGGTTGTATTTGCTTGTTGCAGGAATTCGACTTGCAACCCGCGAAAATTTGCATAAAAGGGTGCGTTTGGTCACCCTTTCTCGTGAAATGTTAGTCTTTTTTCGGGTTTGCGCGCGATCTAGGCAGCTAACTAACTTCATCGGGGCGTCTAGAGATGCGGAATTAAATTCTCCGTCGGGTTGTATTTGTTTGTGGCAGGAATTCGACCTGCAACCCGTGAAAATTTGCATTAAAGGGTGCGTTTTGTCACCCTTTCTCGTGAAATGTTAGTCTTTTTTCGGGTTTGCGCGCGATCTAGGCAGCTAACTAACTTCATCGGGGCGTCTAGAGATGCGGAATTAAATTCTCCGTCGGGTTGTATTTGTTTGTGGCAGGAATTCGACCTGCAACCCGTGAAAATTTGCATAAAAGGGTGCGTTTGGTCACCCTTTCTCGTGAAATGTTAGTCTTTTTTCGGGTTTGCGCGCGATCTAGGCAGCTAACTAACTTCATCGGGGCGTCTAGAGATGCGGAATTAAATTCTCCGTCGGGTTGTATTTGTTTGTGGCAGGAATTCGACCTGCAACCCGTGAAAATTTGCATTAAAGGGTGCGTTTTGTCACCCTTTCTCGTGAAATGTTAGTCTTTTTTCGGGTTTGCGCGCGATCTAGGCGGCTCACTGACTTCATCGCGGCGTCTAGAGATGCGGAATTAAATTCTTTATTTGATTGTATTTAATTGTATTAAGATAAGCGCTTCTACGACACGATTTATGATTTAATATTGGAAAGAAACTTGTTAAACGCAACTTAAAACTTGAAGATCACGACTAATATAAGTTTGATTTATTGCATTTGTGTACAAAACTGCTATTTATTTGGACTGTTAAATTATATAAATTTTACGTGACTGAAACATGATGCAACACCTCCGTTCTAGAAATCACTACTACCGCTACCCTCATACGGTGCCCTAAATGAGTGTAACTTCTCTCGTTACCTTCGTACGGTGCCTTGAATGGGAGTCACTTCTACCGCTACCTTGGTACGGTGCCCTAAATGGGAGTCCTTAGGGATCCTGTAAGAATAATTAACTTATTTTATGTATATGTATATATCATTTACATAAATATTTTCCAGTTGTTGGATGAAGCATTGGCAAATCCAGAGATGGCCAAGTTTATCAATAAGGGCCGACTGGAGAAGTACCGTGGTACTGGTGCAGTTCATATTGAGGTTGATGTTTTGATTACTGAAGATGGATGTGTCAACTGGATTAAAGTTCCAAGAACGTGTATTATATGTTGGCAATTTATAATATTTTATATTTTACTGTTCTGTTCTTCATTGTTTATAGTGTCCAAAAAATTGAAGATTGGATTGCCGGGGTTGATGATGGTTCCATATACGATTGAATGAATTTACAACATTTTGAATCTGTTATTGATATCATTTTTGTTTATTTTGTTAAGTTATAAAAAGAGCATTATATAATTGCATACTATTATTCTGTTTTCTTGCTTGTATTGTTAAAAATGCTGTATATATTGAGAAATTGAGTTTGTGATGGGTGTATATTCTACATGTTTGAATAAAATTGTAGTTTTATATTTTTAACTATAAATTTTTATTGTTTTATTTGTTTCAAACGGAAAACATAGCTCGCAACATCATTACTCCTTTAATTAATCCATAAATCCCTTAAACTTTAATAGAAATGCCATTACTAGATATGGGAAATAGTTCAAAATCAATTTTATATTGTATCAATATTAATTTAAAAAAGGTATCACTAGTGTCATCTATCAATGAGTAACTAAACTACGCCGCTATTACAGATTTCTGGAAATTCAGCCTATTGCATTTTTCACTACATATTCCACTTTTTCTATAAAATTGCAAATAGGGCCTAAACCGTTAATCCAAGCAAAAAACTTTACTAAAATAATCGATGTACAATTAAATTATCGATCAGCAGCCAAAAACAGAATTTCAAAATTCCAACTTTTAATTTTCAACATAAAAAAGAGAAATCTTTTGTCTTTTTTATAACAAAATCTTTTCTTTAAAAATGTTTTGTCCCATTTTTGTTGTTTTTCAATAATGATGCCATCTTGTCCAGAATTCTTCAAGGATCAAGAATATGTAGTTCTTTTTTTCCTAGCCTTTTTTTATGTCAAAATTAAAAGTTTGAATTTTTTTTTCGGATTCTAAAAGTTAATTTAATTCTACATCGATTATTAAAGTACAATTTTTTCCTTGCATTGACCGTTTAGGCCCTATTTGCAATTATAATAAAACACGTGTATCCCGTCGGAATAGTCTAATTTGTGAAGATTAAATTGTAATTATCTCGACAACTAAAAGGGCTAGGAAAAAATGACCTACGTATTCTTGATCCTTGAAGAATTCTGGACAAGATGGCATCATTATTGAAAAACAACAAAAATGGCACAAAAAATTTTAAAGAAAATATTTTGTTATAAAAAAGGCAAAAGATTTCTCTTTTTTATGTCGAAAATTAAAAGTTGGAATTTTTAAATTCGGTTTTCGGATTATGATTGATAACTTAATTCTACATCGACTATTTTAGTAACTTTTTTTGTTTGTACTAACCGTTTAGGCCCTATATGCAATTTGAATGAAAACATCGTTTGACATAAAAAAGAAAAATGTTTTGCCTTTTTTATGACGAATTCTTTTTTCAACAAATGCAGGTTCTGTAATAATTGGAATTTTTAAATTCTGTTTCCGGATTCTGAAAGTTGACTAAATTCTGAATCGGAAACCAGTAACACACTTATAGATTAAGGCCCTATTGGCAAGTAAAAAATTTTTTTATTAAAATTGGAAATAGGGCCTAAACAGTCGTCAATGTTAAGAAAATAATTACTTCAATAGTCGATATAGCATTTACCTATCTTTCAGAATCTGAAAACCGTATTTAAAAAGTCCAGTATTACAGATGCATTTGCGGAATAAAGATTTTTAAACATTAATTTTACCCGCCATTACTAGTTACCGCCTCCTTTATTTACCTCCTCTCGCTTTCTGTGATCCGAATACCAAAACCTGGGTTTCGACTGTTTCGCGTCCAAATTTTGTGTCATTTTGGCTCCCAAAGTCGACAAAATAAATATTGAATATTAGGATCGCAGAAAGTTGAGGAGGCTGATAAAGTTTTGGCGGTAACTAGTAAGGTGCTGCCTCTGGTGGCGACGGACCGAAGCTCAAAACTTTCGGTTGTTGTCGTTTCTAATTGATAGATGGCACTAGCATGCACTTTTCAAATTAAATGCATCATGGTTTAAGGAATCGTTAAATATGTGATCGGGTAGAAATAACAGAAATATTTATAATTAGAAAAACTTAAAAATATTCTTTATTAAAGAAAACACACAAGCATAAATTTAGGGAGTCAATTTGTGTAATAATCACAAAATTTATTTAAGATAATGAAATTTAATACTTACAATCTGATGCAAGATTGGTCCTTCTACGATATCAGACTCAGGTGCAAAATCCTTAAAACAAGCAAAAATTAGTTCTTGAAAAATAAAAATGTAATTTTGGGGGTCAATTTGTGAAATAATTACAAAAGTTATTTAGGAAAATGAGAAAGGAATTAATTACTTACAATCTGATACCAGAATGGTCTTCTGCGATGTCAGACTCAGGGGCAAAATCCCTAAAACAAACAAAAATTAATCATTCGATAACAAAAATGCAATTTTGGGGGTCAATTTGTGAGATAATCACAAAAGTTATTTAGGAAAATGATAAAGAAATTCAATACTTACAATCAGATGCAAGAATGCTCCTTCTACGATGTCAGACTCAAGTGCAAAATCCCTAAAACCAGCAAAAATTAGTCCTTCAAACATAAAAATGTAATTTCGGTTGTCAATTTGTGAAATAATTACAAAAGTTATTTAGGAAAACGATAAAGAAATTTAATACTTACAATCTGATGCAAGAATGGTACTTCTACGATGTCAGACTCAGGTGCAAAATCCCTAAAACCATCAAAAATTAGTCCTTCAAACATAAAATTGTAATTTTGGGGATCAATTTGTGAAATAATTACAAAAGGTATTTAGGAAAATGATAAAGAAATTTAACACTTACAATCTGATGCAAGAATGGTCCTTCTACGATGTCAGACTCAGGTGCAAAATCCCTAAAACAAGCAAAAATTAAGCATTCGAACACAAAAATGCAATTTTGGGGGTCAATTTGTGAGATAATCACAAAAGTTATTTAGGAAAATGATAAAGAAATTCAATACTTACAATCAGATGCAAGAATGATCCTTCTACGATGTCAGACTCAAGTGTAAAATCCCTAAAACCGGCAAAAATTAGTCCTTCAAACATAAAAATGTAATTTTGGGGGTCAATTTGTGAAATAATTACAAAAGTTATTTAGGAAAATGATAAAGAAATTTAATACTTACAATCTGATGCAAGAATGGTCCTTCTACGATGTCAGACTCAGGTGGAAAATCCTTAAAACGAGCAAAAATTAGTCCTTCGAACATAAAAATGCAATTTTGGAGGGCAATGTTTTAGCACTAAAAGTGCTAAAAAATCGCACTATTAGTCATTCACAAAACACAGCAGATGCATGTTACACGTCGCGCGAAATGCGTCTCAATACGCCAGCGCAAGGCACGAAACTGGCTGCAAACCATCGATAGCATATGACGAAGCCGTGCCAGTAACGCCGCGAGAGTTTATGATAAGAAAGCAAGAGATGCGCAAAGCCGGCGCGTCGACGACCCGCGACCTTGTGCGCGAATTACATTTGGCACGGTTTATATATGCGATCTAAACCAAACTAGAATGTACTGCATGCGGAAGTGGCAACGGCGAGAGAAGAAAAAGAAAAAATTGCCAATAATTGATAATTTTTATCGACGATTTTCGATAATTAATATCTCTTAAACTAAAAGAGATAGCAACCAACAAATTGCTGATTATGAAAGATTGGAAAATTCTCTATCAAATAAAACTATTAAATAATTATATTTCCAACAATAAAAGGTCAAAAAACGCCACTAAAAGTGCTAAAAAGTGACATTTTGCAATTTTTGATGATTTTCTTCAATCGCGAATATCTCGTAAACTAAAAGAGATAATTAAGATCTGATCGCAGCATCTTAATCTACGGACTATTTTCTATAAGATGTGATAGTTAAAAGGGAAATATGAGAGACAAAATTTTAAGTCTTAAGAAAAAAATTGCCTAGGGGGGGTGCTTGATACTTTTTTTCGACGATTTTTGATAATTAATATCTCTTAAACTAAAAGCGATAGCTACCAACGAATTGTTGATTATGAAAGATTGCAAAATTGTCTATCAGATAAAAATATAAAATAATTATATTTCTTACAGTAAAAGGTAGAAAAACGCGACTAAAAGTGCTAAAAATTGACATTTTGCAATTTTTGATGATTTTCTTCAATCGCGAATATCTCGTAAACTAAAAGAGATAATTAAGATCTGATCGCAGCATCTTAATCTACGGACTATTTTCTATAAGATGTGATAGTTAAAAGGGAAATATGAGAGACAAAATTTTAAGTCTTAAGAAAAAAATTGCCTAGGGGGGGTGCTTGATACTTTCTTTCGACGATTTTTGATAATTAATATCTCTTAAACTAAACGAGATAGCAACCCACGAATTGTTGATTATGAAAGATTGGAAAATTGTCTATCAGATAAAAATATAAAATAATTATATTTCCTACAGTAAAAGGTCGAAAAACGCGACTAAAAGTGCTAAAAAGTGCCATTTTGCAATTTTTGATGATTTTCTTCAATCGCGAATATCTCGTAAACTAAAAGAGATAATTAAGATCTGATCGCAGCATCTTAATCTACGGACTATTTTCTATAAGATGTGATAGTTAGAAGGGAAATCTGAGAGATGAAATTTTAATTCTTAAGAAAAAATTGCCAAGGGGGGGTGCTTGATACTTTTTTTCGACGATTTTTGATAATTAATATCTCTTAAACTAAAAGCGATAGCTACCAACGAATTGTTGATTATGAAAGATTGGAAAATTCTCTATCAGATAAAAGTATAAAATAATTATATTTCCTACAGTAAAAGGTCGCAAAATTTTTTCAACGCGACTAAAAGTGCTAAAAGTGACATTTTGCAATTTTGAGAGATGAAATTTTCTTAAGAAAAATTTCTTGATACTTTTTTCGCGAATATCTCGTAAACTAAAAGAGATAATTAAGCTGATCGCAACTTAATTAATTCTTAAGAAAAATTGCCAAGGGGGTGCTTGATACTTTTTTTCGACGATTTTTGATAATTAATATCTCTTAAACTAAAAGCGATAGCTACCAACAAATTGTTGATTATGAAAGATTGGAAAATTCTCTATCAGATAAAAGTATAAAATAATTATATTTCCTACAGTAAAAGGTCGAAAAACGCGACTAAAAGTGCTAAAAAGTGCCATTTTGCAATTTTTGATGATTTTTTTCAATCGCGAATATCTCGTAAACTAAACGAGATAATTAAGATCTGATCGCAGCATCTTAATCTACGGACTATTTTCTATAAGATGTGATAGTTAGAAGGGAAATCTGAGAGATGAAATTTTAATTCTTAAGAAAAAATTGCCAAGGGGGTGCTTGATACTTTTTTCGACGATTTTTGATAATTAATATCTCTTAAACTAAAAGCGATAGCTACCAACGAATTGTTGATTATGAAAGATTGGAAAATTCTCTATCAAATAAAAATATAAAATAATTATATTTCCTACAGTAAAAGGTCGAAAAACGCGACTAAAAGTGCTAAAAAGTGACATTTTGCAATTTTTGATGATTTTCTTCAATCGCGAATATCTCGTAAACTAAAAGAGATAATTAAGATCTGATCGCAGCATCTTAATCTACGGACTATTTTCTATAAGATGTGATAGTTAGAAGGGAAATCTGAGAGATGAAATTTTAATTCTTAAGAAAAAATTGCCAAGGGGGGGTGCTTGATACTTTTTTTCGACGATTTTTGATAATTAATATCTCATAAACTAAAAGCGATAGCTACCAACGAATTATTGATTATGAAAGATTGGAAAATTCTCTATCAGATAAAAATATAAAATAATTATATTTCCTACAGTAAAAGGTCGAAAAACGCGACTAAAAGTGCTACAGTAAAAGGTCGAAAAACGCGACTAAAAGTGCTAAAAAGTGCCATTTTGCAATTTTTGATGATTTTCTTCAATCGCGAATATCTCGTAAACTAAAAGAGATAATTAAGATCTGATCGCAGCATCTTAATCTACGGACTATTTTCTATAAGATGTGATAGTTAGAAGGGAAATCTGAGAGATGAAATTTTAATTCTTAAGAAAAAATTGCCAAGGGGGGGTGCTTGATACTTTTTTTCGACGATTTTTGATAATTAATATCTCATAAACTACAACGAATTGTTGATTATGAAAGATTGGAAAATTCTCTATCAGATAAAAGTATAAAATAATTATATTTCCTACAGTAGAAGGGAAAAAGGTCTTAAGAAAAAATTGAAGGGGGTGCTTGATACTTTTTTCGACGATAATTAATATCTCATAAACTAAAAGCGATAGCTACCAACGAATTATTGATTATGAAAGATTGGAAAATTCTCTATCAGATAAAAATATAAAATAATTATATTTCCTACAGTAAAAGGTCGAAAAACGCGACTAAAAGTGCTAAAAAGTGCCATTTTGCAATTTTTGATGATTTTCTTCAATCGCGAATATCTCGTAAACTAAAAGAGATAATTAAGATCTGATCGCAGCATCTTAATCTACGGACTATTTTCTATAAGATGTGATAGTTAGAAGGGAAATCTGAGAGATGAAATTTTAATTCTTAAGAAAAAATTGCCAAGGGGGGGTGCTTGATACTTTTTTTCGACGATTTTTGATAATTAATATATCTTAAACTAAAAGCGATAGCTACCAACGAATTGTTGATTATGAAAGATTGGAAAATTCTCTATCAAATAAAACTATTAAATAATTATATTTCCAACAGTAAAAGGTCGAAAAACGCGACTAAAAGTGCTAAAAAGTGCCATTTTGCAATTTTTGATGATTTTCTTCAATCGCGAATATCTCGTAAACTAAAAGAGATAATTAAGATCTGATCGCAGCATCTTAATCTACGGACTATTTTCTATAAGATGTGATAGTTAGAAGGGAAATCTGAGAGATGAAATTTTAATTCTTAAGAAAAAATTGCCAAGGGGGGGTGCTTGATACTTTTTTTCGACGATTTTTGATAATTAATATCTCTTAAACTAAAAGCGATAGCTACCAACGAATTGTTGATTATGAAAGATTGCAAAATTGTCTATCAGATAAAAATATAAAATAATTATATTTCTTACAGTAAAAGGTAGAAAAACGCGACTAAAAGTGCTAAAAATTGACATTTTGCAATTTTTGATGATTTTCTTCAATCGCGAATATCTCGTAAACTAAACGAGATAATTAAGATCTGATCGCAGCATCTTAATCTACGGACTATATTCTATAAGATGTGATAGTTAGAAGGGAAATCTGAGAGATGAAATTTTAATTCTTAAGAAAAAATTGCCAAGGGGGGGTGCTTGATACTTTTTTTCGTCGATTTTTGATAATTAATATCTCATAAACTAAAAGCGATAGCTACCAACGAATTGTTGATTATGAAAGATTGGAAAATTCTCTATCAAATAAAACTATTAAATAATTATATTTCCAACAGTAAAAGGTCGAAAAACGCGACTAAAAGTGCTAAAAAGTGACATTTTGCAATTTTTGATGATTTTCTTCAATCGCGAATATCTCGTAAACTAAAAGAGATAATTAAGATCTGGTCGCAGCGTCTTAATCTACGGACTATTTTCTATAAGATGTGATAGTTAAAACGGAAATCTGAGAGATGAAATTTTAATTCTTAAGAAAAAATTTCCTAGGGGGGTGCTTGATACTTTTTTTCGACGATTTTTAATAATTAATATCTCTTATACTAACAGTGATAGCAACCAACAAATTGCTGATTATGAAAGATTGGAAAATTCTCTATCAATTAAAATATTAAATAATTATATTTCCAACAGTAAAAGGTAAAAAAACGCCACTAAAAGTGCTAAAAAGTGACATTTTGCATTTTTTGATGATTTTCTTCAATCGCGAATATCTCGTAAAATAAAAGAGATAAATAAGGTCTGATCGCAGCATCTTAATCTACGGACTATTTTCTATAAGATGTGATAGTTAAAACGGAAATCTGAGAGATGAAATTTTAATTTTTAAGAAAAAATTGCCAAGAGGGGGGGGGGTGCTTGATAATGATTTTCGGTAAAAATATAAAATAATTATACAATATATAATTCAACAATAAAAGGTCAAAAAACGCGACTAATAGTGCTAAATAGTGACATTTTTCAATTTTTGACGATTTTTTGCCATCGCGAATATCTCGTAAACTAACTTTAAGGGCAAAGTTATGTTTAAGGCACTTCCGGCGTGATTTCGAGAGGCGGAATGGTCGCATCAAAGAAAATAACTCTCGTGGTACAGTGCAAGATCTGCATGCCATAAAAACTTGTTTACACACTGACATTGATCAACGCGTAGAGACAAAAACAACAACAATTCTGTTACGCATACTGACTAATTTCATCTTCTCGACTGTGTACATACAAAGGACCGCAAATGGCGATTACCACACCGTTATATAGCCATAATTAATCATGAAAACAAATTAATAATATTAATTCAATTCTTAACTTACCCGCGGAACGATTTCCAGAAGGAACATGCCGTAGATGCTAGATTGTACCGACTGAACGAATTCAATTTTCCACAGATGCACCGCACCTCGAATTTACACAAACACAAATACCGATAAGCGCGTAAAGTTGAAATTAATTTCTTATTAGCAATTTCAACGGATGATGAACTTCAACCAGAAACAAACGAGGCTAGCAAGAGAAACGCGTGCGGTCACACCGGCGCGATTCAGACGACTAGCACGGAAGATTAATGGTGCGATTCTGTGTTCACCACTTAACAAACGAACGTACGAAAGCTCCAAGACGCTTCGTACGGCGAAGTTATGGATCGGCCTTAAGTGGTATTCTGTGCGCGCATCTATATCTTTACCTAAAGTCAATCCCGCTGCACCCTAAAATTTGACAGAAAGCGCGCGAGTTTCAAATGTATGGGTTCTTCAATTATTCAAATATGCAACAAATATGTGTTAATACTTATTATTTCTATTTCGGTTCAATACTGACGTTTGAAAAGTCGCAATCAAAAGTTGTTATTGTTCATTGTTTTGATTTTTAAATTACCTTTGAAGAAACACAATCAAAAAATATAAATAATCTTTTATATGCTACGTATTTGGCTCATTATCAGCAAATACTTGTGAAAAATTGACAAAATATTCATCTCAAATTTATTGTTTTTAGGAGTTTTTTTTTTAATTTGAAATTTTTGCTTGAAAACGTGGAATTTTGCATTTGAAAAATACAGATACACTCGATGCGTGCAATTCTTTGTCATCTTCATCTTTTTTCACATCTGCTGAGCACACGGCTCGGCAAAATATTCCACTTACCAATTTCGATGAATAGGCAGACTGAGACAGCAGACGACCGAGTGCGGTTGTGAGTGAGAACGAAGAGCTGCGGTAAGGCAGTTTCACCCGCGCCAAGAGAGCAGCGCATGCGTACAACATGTTACGAAGGCTATCGGCACCCTCAAGCTGCTCGAAAAATTGAGGCGACCCGAACCCTCCAAAAGACCTCCGTTGGGCACTCAGAATTGCAATCTGCGTTCGTTCGACAGTACGGCACTTCGGGTGCTGCTCAGAATAGCACCATAAGTATGTAGATTGTTTGAAGTGTGAGATAAGCGCTAGTGCTGTAGTGCTACGTGACTACGTGCGTTCCGATACCCTTGGTCAGGTTATGCATCAACATTTGTAACGCCTAGGTTATGCACATATAGCACTATACCGTGTTATTGTCGCATTATTTTTTAGTCAAGTGCGCTGGCAGCAAGTGAAATTAAATTAAAATGACTCAATTATATAGCAACGAGCTGATAAGTTTAGAGAAGAAAATCCAAAACTTAGAAATGACGAGTAGCAACTGCAGAGAATTTGATTTGGACTTCCTCTATGACCTGCAGAGATGTAAAGATTGGATAATAGCAAACAACATAAAAAAGGTGTGCATTTTTGCGTTGTTTAAAGTTACACTGTTGAAAACTTTATTTTCATTTACAGGTTTGCCTACAATTTCCTGATTATCTACTTTATGATGTGGCTAATGTTGTTAAATTATTTGAATCTGCACTTGAAATGCATGTTTATGTCTTAGGAGATACATCATATGAAAGGTAACTTTGGTATTTTATTAATAAATATATGCATTAATTTAAACTTTTTAGTTGTTGTGTGGATTATGTAGCTGCTGCTCATATCAATGCAGATGGCATAGTACATTTTGGAAGTACCTGCTTCTCAAAGCCTGTTGAAGTCATTCCAACACTACTGGTCCATGAAAAGAGCAAATTTGACTTGGACAAACTATTCAATGCATTTGCTGATCAATTCCATGCTGATACTTGTGGTGATGTATCTGTCATTCTAGACACTCCATTTATATACAAAAAAGAACAAATGAGACTAATCAAAGATATCCACCAAGATATAACACTACATGGATTAGATGAGGAGGATATTAATGTAGAAAACCGCCGAGTTTTATATGTCGGTGATAATAATCGTAAACTTATGATATTCAATCAGTTGTACAAACCTAAAGAATTGTTTTATTATAATAATTCAAATCCAGAGTATGTTCAAGCCTATGCTATGGATCTGAAAGCGATTAAAAGGCGGTCATATCTACGAGAAGTAATCAAAGATAGCAAAACGGTTGGTATTATTATGGGAACTGTTTCTGTCAAAAACTACAAAGTGATCATGCATAGAATGATTAAACTGTGCAGGTTGCATGGCAAAAAACATTATCTGATTAGTGTTGGCAAGCCAACAGTTGCGAAACTTGCCAATTATCCGGAATTAGATGTTTATGTATTAATTGGATGCCCCATGAATGACATATTTGACAGTCGCGACTATTACAAACCAATCGTGACGCCGCACGATGTCGAAACAGCGTTAAACCCAAATGCCGCAGGAGTACGATATCATGACTTAACATCACTTGCAGAAAATAACGATGACCTGAATAATATTTCCGTCAATGTTTGTGATGTAAGTCTTTTGAGTGGAACTGTGCGCACTGTGGAAGAAGTGCAACCAGATGAAAACACAAATGATACTATAATAAGTTTGAGACAAGATGGCAGCGTTGCACTGCAATATAAAGATGGCCATCTTAGTTCGAGGACCTGGAAGGGTTTGGAACAAAATATAGGAAAAACTGAGGTGGAACTTGCTTCCGAAGGGCGAAAAGGTATTGCATCCGGCTACGAAACTGAACCAAAATAAGTTAATTTATATTTGTACAATACTTGTTATAAATTTGTTATATTAAACAAACATTATATGTTCATTGTTGAGTACTTAGTCTTTTCTATATGACCTATTATCTGCCACATATTTTCGGCTGTGTCGATTCGATTACTGTTTCTGTATGTACGACAGGATGCTTCACATTCTACCCCAAAGAAAGTTGTTATCCAGCTGCTGGCATTAGCAGACAGATTTTGCCCGGATGCGACATGCCGTATGATCACATTACTACTGGGAGTGATGACCATTCCGATTGAATCCGTACGATATTTAGGATGTGCGTGTAGAATTTTGAAGTGAGTGTAAACATCTCTTTGTTGGCTCAATCTCAGTTGTAAGGATTTGCCGAAGGAATTAATTGTATGATTTTCGGCTTGTACATACAATGGCGTTGCTGAGTCGGCGTTGATTTGTATGAATAAATCGTCACCATAGTACATCCTATTTGTGTTTTGAATTTCAGTCCGGAAAATAAAGGTGTTTCTGCGACAAGGCATGCTTTCAGATGAAGCAGTCAAGGGGCATCCGTGCATGAGCCCAGTGCCTTTGTCTATATTTGCTTCGCCGACCATTCCGGAAAGGTATAAGCCTTTCTTTTCATAAGGATACGTGCTTGTTATCTGGCTCGGTTGCGAAGGGGAATACAGCTGGTAGGTTTTGTTATATTCAATTCCTCCAGTACATGGCGACAACGCTACAGGAGCCAGAACATTGCGCAACATGGCGCGGGTACGCGAAGATAACAACTGGCAGTTTACCTTTTTGTAGGAAATTAAAGCCATGTGCGCTTCTTCCAAAGCACGTGCGTTTTCCCAGTTGCCAATTATGGTTGGTAGACTGTATGTACATGATTGATTAGGTGTTTCTTTTGATTCAATTTCGATACTGCAACGAATTGGATCCATTATCATGGGTACCCGTAATATAAATAGATGAAAAATATTTGTAAAACGTCAAACTGATGATTAAAGTTAATCACGATGTAATGTCAATAAACTGAAGTATTTTAGCAACAACGTAATGTAAAAGACTTAGATTTCCGGCATCTTTCCCCGTCTAGTGTTAGAAATTTGAGAACTTCCAACATGTTTAAGAAATACTATCAATTTATTAATATTAAAATTAAAATATTGTACAGAAATCTATGACTATTAAAAAAAACTTAGAGTTGCTCCAGATAGAAAATACTGATTTTGGCACAAAACCCCTTTTCATTAATTAATGTTATTGTCTAGCCGCATATGTTTTGTGCCTTTTTCGAATAAAAATATAGCCAAAGCATACGAGCACAAAACATACACAATAAAAGATCAACAACGCGGTGATATGATTGTCGTACACATTGAAAATATGTTGCGTGTCTAAATATCCGTAGTAGCTCAAGACTTGCGTGCCATTCGGCGGTGGACACGGTAGTTGCACAATAATGTCTTGATGCTGCACCTATAACATTAAATTTATAAACAATCGTTTACATATGAATCAATTTCTAGGTGTAAATACCTGTTTATTGCGACATAATGTCGTTGCCGAACTGCTCGCGATTGCCTCAGGCGAGTATTCACGTAGGAGCAATTTAGGCAGCAGCCATGCCTCTGGATTAACGTACTGAAGCCAGTGAAAGTGGTATGGTAGATGCTTGTAGTGCAATAAATAACCGGAAATAAAGGAGCAGCTTCCTAAGAACAAGACGCTCAAGATTGTACTTAACGCGTCCCAAGGTATTACATAAGCAAGAAACGTGATGAAAATTTGTATGCAACAAAAGTACATCAGCATTAAACCTGTAAATTAAATCATATTAATTTCAATTGTACGATTTACAACAATATATTACCTAAATATATGTAAAACCCATGGTAATTCGAAGTGCTCTGAAAGTGTAATCCTGACATGGAATACGCCGGAACAAGAAATACAAGCCATATAAACAAAGATGGCAGCAAATTAGCAATACACTAAAATAACAATACATTAGACAAATCAAACAATATCATTTAGTTCTGCCCAAACCTTTGCGAGAATGTATGTAAATCGTCCATAAAGTTCATCTCCAATGTCTCTTTTGATAACTCTTCTATTCTTCCGTTCTTCACTTACCACCAACCGGAACATTATGGGCAAATACATAAAAGACATTGTGGCATAATGATAGCCCAGTCTGTCATTGAGATTTAATTGGGGATCTGTGTTGGGCACATCCCAAAACACAGCGCCCATAATGACGGATAAACTTCCGGCTAATACAACTGCACCCAGCCAATTGATAAAAGTATTCGGTTGTGTATAAATCAACGATTTCCTGCAATGATTGAACCGATTAAGTCAATATAACAACATCAAATCACAAATTAATACATTAAAAGGGTAAACCCTTTTGAAATAGCGGATGTTCGATTGATCGTCATGGGTAGTGCAGCTGGTGGACCAGGATCCGACATTGGCTGTTGTTTTTGTCGAAATAGTTCTGCTAACTGTTCGATTCGTTGTGATGATTCCAGCATCGCTTCCGCTGACAAATCGTCAAGTGTGACTAAATCAACTGGAACCAAATTAAGCATTAAATTCACTACTTTTCGCCAAGAAATTAAACTTACGATAATAATCCGATGGGTTTTATAAGCTGGACATGGATAATCCACTAATGTAAAGTACGGCAACATATCACGTCTCCGTCCACTAAACATAGTCCTTCCGGCAGATATCAAAAGTATCCGAGATAACATCGTGAAAATTTCATACGTTGGCGGATGTAATGTGAGAATTACAACTCTGCCAAGCGCGTGCCCACTACCACCATTCGCCCATTGTCTTAAATATTCCACTAAGAAGAATGTGTCGAAAATATCCATGCCCTTTGTGGGTTGGTCCAGAAGCACCACATCCGTATCAAGCAACAAATGACACGCTACATTAAGTCTTTGTTTCTCTGATAATGTTAGAGACGAAACTTTTGTATTCCGCACTTGCTCAAGTCCCAAATCTTCTATAAGTACGTTTATCTACAAAATAAACATCATTTAATAGTTTTTTTGATAAATAATTAGTAAAACTAACTCTATCAATAGTATCAATCTTCAAATGTTCCAATTTACTGGTAGGTCTCTTCAGATCGTAATAAAAATTGAGCGTCTGTACAATAGTCATATCTTCAGCTAGATTTGTATCATTTTGAACATATGAAACAGAATCCCGTAATATTGACCGTCGGACAATTTGTCCGTTGAGTAAAATGTCACCAACGGTATGATTCTTCCTTCCAGCAAGCACATCCAATATTACCGTGCCTTCCGCTTCACTGGTAGCCATTATAGCTAAAACTTCACCGCCACGTGCTTCAAATGAGACATTGTTGATCAGAAAATGTGGTCTTCCTCTCATGCCCGATTTGCTCTTGGGTAAAACACTCAGACCGTGCACCTAAACCAAAAAATTTGCATTTATTTATTCATGTGACACTTGTATGATGTTAATAAGTGTACCTGAAGATGCGGGTACATGTGTGGCGGTCTAATATCCTCGTTGTGACCCATGTACTCTCCGGGTACCATTGATCTGTGCTGTACCGCGGCCGTTGCTAGCGATAGATGACTTTCCGCTTTGGATAGCGGTCGCATTCCACTGCAATTAATGCAATTTTCACTTTAAGTATGTAGGTAGCACTCAATAACACATTTACGACTTGCGACTTGCGTTTATTTTATTATGGTGAAGCGCACTAATTAGCAATTTCTATGCCATTGAAATTAAAACCATATAAACCTACCTCTCGACATGCTGATGATATGCAAAGTCCGCGACACTATTTCGTCGTGTGTCTCTGAGCGTGAGCTTTGATGGTGAGTAGTCGCCGTTGAGCAGGTTGGCCTCGGAGATGCTCTTGTTGCGCGACCACTTGCCCGATCGTAAACCGCCTTGCTGTAGCGCTGCCAACGGGGCACTGGTCGGGGCCTAGAATATCGTAACAAAACCACCATCACAAATCGCATTATTTCAGCTCTATTCGCCGAAAATAACTGTGCAGACTGACACAATCTTGGATTGAATTTCGAGCAAACGTTCTGCTCAGTGACGACAGGCTTAAATCAAATTAGAGTGAAGAATACATGTTGTCAGTACAACCATATACTTCATCATTCATCGCCAGCGATGCGTACAAAGATTTGTTTTGCTATTAAGCTATTAGCATCAACATGTAACGATATAACAATATAGATTATCCGTGAAAAACAAATCTGTAAACTTCAATGAGGCTGTCATACTGTGGGAAATAAAACAAAATGGTACCTACCCCAAGCGCTTGCTGCTGTTGTTGTTGATAGATAATGTTCTGCATCCGGAAGTCCGGATCCGATCGGTATTTTCGATGATTCTTATTGTATTGGTTGACATTATGCGTTTCATTGTCGGAGCTATCGTATCCGGAGCTGCCATCCCTGAGACCGCGACCTCCGCTCTTTGCATCTCTGTTTGATCAACAAGAACCACAACAATGATGGATGGCATTAGGCAAATTGCATTTTAAACATACAAAGAAAACCGCTTAAATTAATAATCACCGGATGTTTTCTGACATTAAAGTATACAGGTAAAGAAATGATGATACAACAATGTGAAGGTTATCAAAAAAAAAGATGAATTGTGTTCCTACCTTCCTTTTGGCCTTCCTGATGTGCTTCTGTGGAAATTCTGCGGGGTACCCGAATGATTGGAGCCATTTTGATTCGGTGGGAAAACACGTGGTAAACCAAACTTTAAATATGTGTACATATTTGATCCCAATGTTGACCTATCATAAATTAATTTCCTAATTAAATTATTTTTCTGTTAGTTACTACAAAACTATAATTACTTTGGTCCATATCGTGGATGTGATAAAATCGATTGCACTGTAGTATCACGCAGCTGAAAGTTACCATAAGGTAGTGGACTCTTATCAGTTGATCCCAACGCACTGTCCGTGAAGTCAGAATTCAAATTTTGTCGGTAGATAGACCATGCGTGCAGATCCTCGCTTGCGGTACCCGAAAATGCACGCGACTCGGGATTTGATGGTACGGAATATTTGCGCTCCATTTCAAATCCCTGCGAGCCGCCGTGCGACGGCGTTCTACTTCGTACCATTTATAACATTTGTCGTGCGCCCAAGATTCTAAAAGTTTTTAGGACCACCAATAATCATATTAGATCGGGAAACGTTAGCTTTTAAATGTTGAACAGAAATATTTTAATTAAACGAATTCACACGCACAACTAAAATGTAATAATTAAGCGGAGAACAATGGTCGGAACAATTAAAAGTAGTCTTGTACGAAATTGTATTTACAGCTTTTTTGTGCACACTTACGTCACTGCTTCTTTTTATTCAAGAGCAAACAAAACTATAAACGTTTTATCAATCCTTTGTTCTTCTCACCTACCCCCTTGATATTTAATTAATAATTTAATAATTTCAAGCAACATCTAATTGGTGTCTTGGTTTAGTGACCCCTGACTTCTAGAATTAAATTTATTATGGTTATAATTTGTCATTTGTTTAATGTTTGTGTGAAATTTTAATTAAAATAATGCTATGTTCCATTAAGAACAAAAATTATGATCAATAAAGCATAATTTTAACAAGTTTTATGTCAACTATGACTCAGAGTTAATTAAATTTAAAGTTTTGCATTTAAATTGGTTTCTTTTGAAGTGTTTAAAATGTACACTCATAGGAGATACATTTCCGTGCACGACTAATCACCTCCAAAGTTACCGCATTGTCTACATCAGAAGATGATTCAAGGCAACAAGTTGTTGTGGCATCCAATAATGCCTAACATGGGGACCAACCGGAAGTAGGAATAACTGTGCATAATTTAGTAACATGGTAAACATAACATAAAAGATATCAGCTTTATAAAAATACAACAATACTTAAAGCAATAACAAAAAATCAAAAATTCAAACATTCAAAGAATTTATGTAAAATAGAAGTTATTAACGACATTCTCAAATAAACTCTGGTGAAACCGACACCAATTCAAGCTATATGTTAAAATATCTTGAAATCTCTTGTTATTATTCAGTGACCACTCAATAGTCATCAGCAAAAGTAGTTTGCATATAAACTTAGCAGATATTATGACACCAGATGACTAACACCAAATTGTGAAACTTTGGTGACATTTATCTACATATTAAATTATCACTGTACCACAAACTATTGCCAATGCAGTGTTAATGAGCTATATATCCTACTCTAAATAAAAAATGGCGCGCAAATTGTTTACATCATCGTTTTTATTACAAAATCCATTCAATAATTAACTTGATATCTTCATACCTTGATGTCAATGCAAATAAAAATGTTGCAACATTAACAAATAAAGCACACACGATTAAAATGATTCGGATATCCTCTGTTTGTTGTACTTGAAGTTCCAGTAAGAACTTGCGTAACGTCCCATTTTGTTAGAACATATTATAACACAATTTAGCGGCTTTATTACCAAAACAAAGATTAACGCTTCGCGCATTGTAAGCCAATTATATGATGTCTTTTAATAATAAATATTACAACCGTTTCTGTTTTCGTCTGCCCTTGAAATTTCTAAATGATTACACAAAGTCTAAAATTAGTATCGTGTGCATCGTTTATAATTAATATTTATGGCATAAATATTTAAATTTTACCAGCACGTAATTCAGGTTTATCTTCTTGTGAGCATTTTGCACATGTCAGTTAAACAGTTATGACTTATGACTGACAAGTAGGCTTATGCGTACATGCGGTACATGCACGCAATTAAAAACCAGTGAACGAAGCAAATTGCAACAAATATCCACTAGCAATGATTCATTTTGTTGCTTAATATGTAATTTCATTAATAACTTACTTGAGAGTCTTTTAATGTAATCCCAATCCTTTGCACTTGTTATTTACGCGTGTAAAAATATCCGGTTTTAGATAAACTTCAATAAACCGACGCGGCATTTCGATGATAAGAGATCCATGGCAAGTATCACAATACACAAATCAAATTTATGGAACTAGATGTTGTGGTTAAACGTAGACATTTAACGCGTGAACTCTTGACGGTATGGTTTTACTCTGGTTACCACCACGAATGCGTTACTCGCCCAACACGAGAGTCAACTGGTCGCGAGCAAGAGCCGCACAAAGAAGCGCTTTGAACTCGATGTACACGTCACACAGCCGCACGCAGGCGCTTGCTCGCACACTAGTCTGGACACTAGTGAGCAGGTTGGAAAAAATTGTACGTGTACGGTATGCACAGACTACCATCGCACCATCCAGACTTCCAACCTGCTTTCAACAACGCTGAGCACCATCAGCGCGCGAATGGCTCATCAACATGCAGCCACAGCGCCAAGGGCTTTACTGTGGCCTTCCAGGCACACGGCCATCATCAACATTTGAAATAGTACTTCAAGTACACACTGAAGAAAAGTTGTGCATGTGAAGACGCTCAAAAGGTTGCCGACCCCTTGCGTAGTACCACCTCTGTACAGACGCGCGTGATCGTGCTGAGTTGCGCACGCATGCGCAGCTCGATTCTCGCAAAGAATGCTGCTCACGCTGGTCACGTTGCGGTTACCTGTTGAAATTTTCACATATTGATGATGGGATGATGTGATGATGATATTTGCATACTGTCAATGACAAAAATGATTCATTACAAAAGCTTGCAAACAATCATTAATTATTTATAAGTAAATATGTCTGGGTGTGGTAAAATTATTGCAAAATTGTTTAAAACCCTCTTTAAATGACTAACTGTACAAATTTTTATTAAAAATATTTTTTATTGCTATTTACTATAAATATGTAATTCATTGATGAATGTTGAATGCTTCCTAACAACATTTTTTCCGAGTACAATACATTCATATTTAGAACTCGACAAACAAGCCAACTGTTTGAAGTTCGAGCACAATAACATTTAGCTGCTCTTCCGATCGACACAAATTTGCATACAAACATAACATTAAAAACGTTCATGTTGTAAAGTGTGTTTCGTGTGTAATTTTAACGGACGCAGATGTAAGTAACCCAGCTTCGGTTGAGTGGCGTATGGCGCGGCCATTGCCGCTCAGTACACTCATCCACTCCTACCTCCTTCCACTCTTTTTCCCATTTTAATGTTTACTCTTCCACTGCAAAGCCTATGCTGCAAAGGTGCGCCGAGGTAAAAGCAGTGTTTCTGGTGCTTTCTGTTGGTGCTGGTAGTTATTTTGCGCTTCGAAAAAAAAACAGACAGAAAAACAGTTATGGATGGACAACTTGCAATTGCAATTGCAAATTCCCGGTTGTAAAGTAAAGACATTTTATTAGTTTAAACAATACAATACAATCACTGTAGTTTGTATCAAATATTATTATCAGCGTCAACGCATATACAAAATAAAATGATTTCCGGTGATTTCATATTGGAACTGTGTAATGTTTTCTATTCAGGACAAGTGAGTTATTAAAAAGCTTTTATATTTCTTTTAAAATTGATTATTTATTGTAGGTTGAGCCTGGTTCTTGCATTCAACATATTCTAGGCACCATTAAGACAGGTGTCATCCTTAAAGATGTTTCTATTATGGTACAATCAGGAGAAGTGTTGGCAGTTTTAGGATCAAAAGGTAAAAAGTCATTATTTAATCATTTGGTGAACTAAAAAGGTGTTGTACTTTAGGTAGTGGAAAGAAAGCTTTACTTGATGTAATTTCAAGAAGAGTGCAGGGCCCAACACGAGGACAAATTCTTCTGAATAATCAACCAATGAGTCTTGCTGTATTTCAACAAAGATGTGGCTATGTAACTCACCACTATAATTTTATCCCTGGATTAACAGTAGAGCAAACTTTATATTTTGTACCTACAAAACTATCTGGATATTTGAAAAAGTCTAAAGTTAAACAAATCATGGCTGACTTGGCTCTATCACAGGTTGCAAATAGATGTGTGGAGAATATTAGTTTGAGTGAGTTGAGGAGATTAATGATTGGGGTACAACTTATTAAAGATCCAGGTTTTTAATCAAATGAAAAATGTGATTTACAATTTAATGATTTTTAAAATTTTTAGTTGTGTTACTATTGGATGAGCCAACTTGGAATTTAGATCCTCTTAATACCTACTTAGTAGTGTCAATTTTATCAAACGCTGCTAAGAAATACGGTACAGCAATCATTCTAACAATGGAGAAGCCACGCTCTGATGTATTCCCGTTTTTGGATCGAGTATTATATTTATGCCTTGGAGATGTTGTTTATGCAGGGAAAACACGACAAATGTTGGACTATTTTAACGCTATTGGTTTTCCATGTCCACAACTTGAGAATCCACTGATGTATTATTGTAAATTTTAAAATTTACTCTCAATTTCATTTTATTTACTAAAATAATTTCAGTATGTTTATCAACTGTTGATCGTCGATCAAGAGAACGTTTCATTGAAAGCAACAATCAGATTGCCGCACTGGTTGATAAGTTTAAAGTTGAAGGTTTGATGATAACTAAAGCGAATTCCGAAGTACGACCAGGCGAAGCAGGATTAAACAACAAAGTACCTTTGTTACAAAGGAGGATTAGTTGGTTTACCATCGCCTGGTTATTATACATGTAAGTCTTCTACTTATATCAAAGAATAAAATAATATTTTTGTGTTTTATAGACGATTGTTGACTGCAACACTTAATCTAACATGGACTGGCGTCAAACAAACATTTCTACGTCTCTTTTTACTTCCAATATTCTACGGATTCCTCTGGTTATTCTACAGTAACATCGAGCAGGATCAATATTCGGTAACATCAAAAACTGGTTTGGTTTTTAATTGTATAATGGGCACATATTACACGGGAATTATGAGTGCGTTAATATTATGTAAGTGTATCTGAAAGCCTATCATCACGACTATTAACTTTAATTGACTGTTTATTTGTTTATTATAGATCCCACGTATAGAAAACAATACAATCAAGAATCTCAAGAAGGAATTTATGGAGGTGGATTGTTTCTATTCACATACAACTGCATTTCGATGCCTTTCTCGTTGATTTCCATGTTTCTAAGTTCTGCAATTGTATTCCCACTAGTAGGTCGATTAAGTGATCAATGGGAAGAGTACATTTATTTTACACTAACCCTGTTCGCTAGTTATATACTGGCTGAACAAATTACAATTGCTTTATTAATGATGCTCAAGGATAATATCAAAGCAGCCATTTGCAGCTTGTATATTACTTCCGTGTCGGTGGTGTTAGGAAGTGGGATTTTAAGGTCTTTCAAAGGTTTACAGGAATGGTTATTTTACTTTACATACGCGTTACAAATCAGGTACGCTTCATTGTACCTATCTAAGTTTGTACTTCTGGGTACCATGTCGGAAACGGTTCTTTTTGATAACAAAGTTAATTGTACCAATGTTAATGTGCAACCTTTGCCGTTAGAATGTCTAAACAAACAGAATTACGTTTATTTATCGGAGCGTTATTCAAGGGAAAACAATGCGCCCATTTTTGCTGGTGTTTTTGATGAGGATGTTAATTTGTATATGTCTCTTGCTTTATCATTTGGAATTGTATTTCTGAATTTCGTACTGCATATGTTGCCTTTGCCCACGTTTGCAAATTCTAAGTTTCGATAGATTTATATTTTATTTATTTTATTAGCAATTAGATTGTGTAGGTCTTTAAAAGATTACATTTTTGAATAAATTATAGTGTTTATCTATGGTACAACATTGAGTTTTCATTTATTTTGTATTGTTTCAATATTATTGAGAAAATGGCGTTTACTTAAATCGATATTGTACCGTGGGTTGCATACAATGATGCTACACTTCGAAAATAATTCTCCGTTTCACTAAATTGCACAATGTCTGGCAACATGTTGCCTGTACCTCGACATTCATATATAAACCTCTCCCCCTTTTAATTTCTGAACAGTATTTCCTAAGTTGCTCGTCTGAGCGTATCCGCTAGCTTTAGAAGAAAAGAAACTCATATTCAACTGGACTGAAGATGCGTATTATCAAAGACGAACCTCCACTTCAAACCAAAGCTTTAAGACTTACCAGAAAATGGTACAAAACACTTATAAACACGTACGATGTGGTATGTATCTGTTTCTACTGTGAATGGTATCCCGGAAATGGACGAGGTAACTACCGGGAACAATATGATAAAGCAGCCAATATAATTGCCAATCTGTATCCTCGGGAGCGTCACCAAAAGGGGAAAGCAATAATGGTTAAGGTAAACTGCAGCGACGAGAAGGTATTAGCTAAAATGTTTAACATTGGATACTATCCATTTTATCAAATCATAAAAAATGGAGAACTTATGGAAACAAAGTACCCAAAATGGAGAAGTACAGAATACTTCCTACAATTAATTGAAGAATTCATAGAAGATAAAAAGTCACGATTACCGGAACCTGATAGAAGTATATTACCTTTTGGAATCTACACTGAGAAATTAACACTAGAAAACTATAAGAAATTTGTTAGAGAACGTGAGATTGTCATGATATTCTTCTATGCATCTTGGTATGAATCATGTAGAGAAGCACTGCAGCTTTATGAAAAAGCCAATGGGGAAATTTGTAATTTATATAGGCCAAAATATTACACAGCAAACTCAATACAAACTGTTGCAATGGCTAGAATGGAAGCTGGACGTAATGCTGCGGTTATTAAAAAGTTCAGAATTAAACAATATCCGACGTTTAAATTGTTTAACAATGGTTCTATGCATGGAGAATATAAATGGGATGGCAAACATGAAGGATTTGTCAATGTACTAAGAGAATTGAAAGAGAAAAATCAAATAGAACAAGAAAAAAGAGAAAAAATCTAAGTGAAGATGATTCTACGTAAAAATGAGTAAAATTATTATAAAAAGATGTACAAACACGCTTATAAGACTGATATTTACATATTTTGTTGATATTTTTATAAATAAGTTAAAAAATTTATATAAAAACATGATTTCTATCACTTTTCTCATCCTAGCTGCCATAATTTAGTCCTAATCATTTAACTTCTATAAATTATCAACTATGCGTTGTCAAACTATCATTTTCTTTGGTTTCTTGCACAGTCTCACCATTTTTAACCACCTCCTGCAATGGTGTCATGTTTTCTATGTCATAATCATCCTCCTTGAGGCCTTTCAACATCATCTGAATCTGCTCGAGACTCTTTCCCTTTGTTTCCGGCACGTACATATACACAAACAGCGCCATTCCCACGCAGCTTGCAGAAAACAAATAAAACGGCACGTGCATCCCAAAAGCCTTATCCAACACTTGAAACATGTATAATACGATGGTACCAGCGATAACATACATGGCGTCAGACATAGTCATCGCCATTGCTTTCACACTTGTCGGGAACAACTCCCCTGTGACGACAATGGGTACCGAACCCAGTCCCAGTCGGTAAACAGCTGCGAAAGTAAACACTGCAACGATTGGCACCCACTGCACGTTGGTAACATCGACACCCAGGTTCACAGCGTTCATGTAAGCAGCTAAAGCTGCAAGCGCCACTGATGTGGCCAATGCCGATGAGATTAACATCACTTTCCTGCCGAATTTATCCACGATTGACGCCGCAATGATTGTGAATATTAACATAATCACACTGAATGTAATGGCGGCGCTGTTGGCGGAGAGGAAACCATTGGAATCGCCTAATATTGTGTGTAATTTCATTACTATCACAGTGATACTAGCCAGATGTTGTGCTGCGTTCAACATTGTCATGATTATCAATCCACGACGGTTGGATTTCACAATGAAAACATCTTTAAAACGACCACGTTCTTGTGATTGACGTGTTACGGCCAGTTTGAGTTCTTCTAGTTCTTTTTCTACTTGATTCTCACTAGCACGACGGAAAAACTGTAGAGATTTGCTTGCTTTCTCAGGAGAATCATGCAAGAGATGATAATAAGGTGTTTCCGGCATGAATGGAAACACAATCAGTTGTAGAGATACAAATGACAACCCTACAAACGCTGCGGTTGTGATTGATACAAATGGTACCACAGAATAGCAAAGTAAAATCCCTACTAATAACATTATATAGATTAATGCTACTAGAAATCCACGGATCTTCTTGTCGGCCATTTCAGAAATATACATTGGCACTAAAACAATCAAAATTAATATTAAATCATTTAAAATAATAAAAATTATTTACCAGACACAAACGCGACATCGCTATTAAACCCAGCCAGGAATCTGGCCGCTAGTAATACATGTGCATTCCCAGCGAAAATAATCGTGATCCACGTGACACAATTGCTCGCCGCAGCGAAAAGCACTGTGTACTTCCGGCCGAATTTATCAACACTCCACATTGTGAATGGTAAACCAGCAATACCGCCGATGAGATAAATCAACTCCAACCAATCGACATCTTCTCGTGTTACAAGTATATGTGAATCAGGTGCTGTTAGCTTTGGTAATGTTGGGGAAGTCCAACTGCCGTGCATTCCATCGGAAACTGTGCTTAAACACGCTGGAAAATGCGAAATAATTATTAATTATTTACATAAATATTAATAAGCTATTACTGGCCATTCAACTATAACATTTATTCCGTATTCGTGTAAAATTTGCATTTGTTTATGGTTAAATTAAATTAAATTCGTTTAACAAGCGATTATCTCGTGTTTTAAGGCAACAATTTAAAATTCAGTTTAATATGGTAATTTTTAACGGTTTTTTACACCCGAAAGTGTATTTTCAATCTTTCAAAGCAGCAAATCTAATCGGTGATTTCGAGTTGACCTTAGAAAAAGTCATGGTCACGTATTTATCACCACATGACAACAAGGAACATTAAAAAATTAATTTTTAGTTTTTTGAACTTTTAATTCAAATTAAAAGGAAAATTTTATGACTTACCAATGATAGCAGCTAGAAACTGTGCCCAGTATGATATCACAGTCATTTTAACACTTTTACACTTCACTTATTTCTATTTATTTCACTCGGAATCCTAAACAACAAAAAACTTGACCTGCCACTGTTCGACTGCCGACTTTGTGGGCTCGCTTCGTATCGATGGCGCTACAAAAACAAACCATGTGGTCGTCAGTCGTCACACACGGTATCAGCCACTACTTCAAGGCAACTTTTGAGCATTAGTTTATCGTGAGCATGTGTGAGATATGAATAAGTGCGATTGCAATCAATATTCGCACATAATTTCGACACATGTACAACTCGATTTGAAATTTAACTAAACTAGCATGAAATAATGGTCGTTATTCATGTGCTAATCGAAATTTGCGCGACTGAGCAACGTATCAGTACGTGTGTGGGTTTTTATCAGCCGCGTGGTTGAGTCAAGTTGAAGATTACGGACTCATCGAATTGCACAATTCACCGTTTTCGCAAGAAATTGTAAAACTGGTGTTATTCTCAACAGTCAATCATAAACCATAATGAGTAATGAGCTAGTCGCAAAAACAGGAATGCACGTTATTTATAACTTTTAGTGCGCGAAAAATGACATATTTTGTTCTAGTATTTTAAATAAATACATAAATAAATTTAAACAGTTATGAAGTGTTTTCTCTACCGCATTGTAAAAGTGATTTTACGATTTGTTATGCAACATTAGCGATTATTGTTTAGCGTAAAAGTAATTTCTCTGTATATGACCTTGATTGTAATAATAATAAAATGATTGAGTCATTTAGATTAAACAATAAACGTCGGAGTTGGTAATTACTACATTTCACACTCGAATGAAAGTTAAAAATTTGCAAAAAGTTAACGTAGAATTGTACACAAAGAAAAACATTGTTTATCAGGAAATAATTAATGTTTTAGATGAAATTTTATTACCGAAAGACAATGTCACTTGTGGTACTTTATAATTTTAACGCACCGAAGCTCAGTTCCTACTTCCTATTCAAATTTGCTCGTAAAATGGAGCAAAACACTTGTGTAAACCCAACAGAAGCAGATGAATAAATTATTTAACGTTTTTCACTGTTAGAACTCAATTAATACAATCTATACTGCACAAAACTATATTTATATCCAATTGAACTAAGAACCAACGTGGAGTAAAACTAAATTTACACTAAGAAGCTTCTTGAGTTTCTGTAGTCGTAGACGTGTGTTTTTCCACTACTTTTTTTCCATTTTAAGACCGAAAGCGAAGATACAACGTGTTTAATAATGTACTAACCTTTTTACGTTATGTGTATGATGTAACAACTCGAATAGTAGGTCGCATTGTTGAAAAGCAGGTGACGCCAGGTAAGAAAATGCGAAATGTAACGGTCAGAGCCTTTCTAAACTCAACAGAATGCAGTTCAGCTGCGTAGTAATCAAAAAATTGCAACACACATCACAGAAACACATCCAGCGCCCCCTACAAGAAAGTGCTTATTCTACGCAGTACTAAATAACCTAAAAATCAAAAAATCAATATTAAAGATTTAATTTTAAAAATATTTTATTCGTAAGTGATAAAAGATATACAATAATATCCATATATTGTCTAATTGAAAAATAATTCTCTTCACTTATTTTTCACAAGTTTGAAAATTTTTGCGTACCCAAAAATCATAACCTCGATCATAGAAATTCAATACATTATATCAAGTAGAAAATACAATCTTTAATATTTATATATATATTCATCACATGATTAATTATTCAATCGCAATTAACAATACACTTAGATTTGCATTAGAACTCTTTGTAATTCATATCAACAGTCGTAAATATATATAATCTGAATTAATAATCGTAGTATAATATTATTCAATATCGTTGGTAGAAAGCGGTACATTCGATTCGTTTTGATAACATTCAAAAAACACAACTAGATGATAAGATGTCGAAGTTGATTTTGATTGCAGGTACCTATTTAATTAAGCTTATTTTCATAATTAAAAATGATTGAATTCGTTTAGCGTGTTTCATTTGTTTATATATAAAAATTAGTTAACTACATAGCTTAGGTTCTTTCTTATCAACTAGGTAATTGTTTTATTATCGGAATTTTAGATTTTATCATCGATTTATGATTATCACTGTTTGTCAACGTCCAGTCGTTTAGTAATATAAAGCACTTAAAATGCATGTTTTAATCAATTTCGTTCACATGCGCGTTTTCATCGCTACGCACTCGCCGCGGCGGCAGCGGCGAAGAGACAATGAAAATCGTTAATTAAACTTAGTTTTCAGCGCCTCAAACCGCTTCGCAGCGCATTTAAGTATACTTTGTGCAACGCGAGCGTCGCCTCGAAAAGCTTCTGTTCTGCATATTTAATAATATCGAGGATACGTTTCGAACAATTCAAGAGTTTAATGACTTATGATGACTTATTCATTCGCAACAAGTCAATTGAGCTGCTTGTTAATAAAACATTCAAATGTAATGCAAATGTGATATTTAATTATCTATATAAATTTAAAAATTTGATATTTTCGGTATGTAATAAATTCTGCATCGTTAATCGAGAATTGATCGGCGTCCGCGCACGTCCGGCGCGCGCATATAATCATATCATAACAAACATAAACATTCACACATTCATTCGGCGCACGATTAATTAGTATCAATTAATTTGACCTTAAGCCACATGCTTTTTGATGAATTATTTCATATGCAGCGGTATATGATTTAAGGCTTCGCTTCCCACATCGACGGTGTGTGTCCATTTTTCTTTGTTTCTAGCTTTAATTGTTGCGTTGTTAAAATTCGAGGAGGCATCTAGGAGGAATTTGCATTGTCTCCATTTAAACTATTTACATTAGAAAAGTGTTGCCCGCAAGCTCGCGGATATGATAGGGCACTATATGATCACAATACGGTAAAAATGGTAGGTGTATGGTCTCGAGTTGATCGTGATGTTAAACGTATAAATATAAGTACTAAAGGTGACTGGTGGAGTCCGCTGAAGAGGCCGATGATGAAATCGTCCTTATCGACCCACTGTGATGGTTCATGCCGAAGGAATCCGACATACCAGCAGTCTCCTTGAGTGGACTGTCAGTGGTTGGAGGTACGTATGATTTACCCTTGAGGATAAACTGAATCTCCTCAAGGGTTTTACCCTTTGTTTCAGGGATGTACCACAGCGCGAATATAGCGGTACCTATGCATGATGCTGCGAAGATGAAGAACGGTACGTGCATACCATATGCTTCCGTGAGCTCCTGGTATAAATAGATGGAGATACAAGCGAAGAAAACATAAACGGCGTCGGAGTATGTCATTCCCATTGCTTTGACATTGGTCGGGAAGAGTTCAGCGGTGAGTACAATAGGAACCAGACCAAGACCCAGCTTGAACGCGACTGCGTACAGCATGACGGAAGCAACAGGTACCCAGTTGAATTGGGTACAATCATAACCTGAATTCTTCATTGCGAAATAAGTCGCCAGTGATGCCAGGGATAATCCGGTGAGTAAACTGGACGCAGCGAGGAGTATTTTCCTTCCGAGGCGATCAAGGAAGCCCGATGCTGAGATGGCGGCAACCACCATTACACATGAGAATACAATGGCGGCTGTTTCCGCTTTCATTATCGTCGCTGCGTCAGCTAAGATAGTGTGTAGATTCATCAACATCACCGAAATGGAAGAAAAGTGCTGGGCACCATTGAGTACAGTCATGATAATTATTGCCTTGCGATTACTCTTCACCATAAACAAATCTTTGATGGTACCACGTTCTTCATTCTGTCTTGAAACAGCTGATTTGATCTCAGCTAATTCTTTATCTACGTGTTTGGAATTACGTAAAAATTGTAGACTTTTCTTTGCTTTTTCTTCTTTACCCTTCATAAAGAGAAAGTAAGGACTTTCAGGCATGAAAGGCAAAGTGAACAATTGTATAATCAATGAGATGGAACCAACCGCGCTGGATACAGGTAATGAGACAAACGGTGCCACTGCATACACGACCAGAATACCAATCAACATCATGATGTAGATTACTGATGCAAGCAGACCACGGATTTTCTGATCGGCTATTTCTGCTATGTACATGGGAGCAGAGACGAAGCCAACATCGCCTGCCAAACCAGTCAACAATCGCGCGATGTATAATTGTGGGACATTGTTACAGGTGGCGATGAGGACCCAATGAATCAGATTGACAACAGCGGCGAGGATAATTGATAGTTTGCGGCCGAATTTATCCACGCAGTAGATGGTTACTGGAAGCCCCACGATACCGCCGATCATATAGATGGATTCGATCCATACCACGTCGGATTCGCTGATTTTCACCGGCGTGTCGGGTTTTTTCAGTACGGGTACCACTGGTGAGGCCCAGCCATAACTCATACCATCGGATATGGCATTGATGGTGGCTAAAACAAAAATCAATTTTATTAGACTCACACGGCGTCAATGTTGCAATTAGAATTAAATACCGACTGGATTTATCCGGTAAACATGAATAAATTAGTTTTACATTTACTTTGAGTAAGCAATATTAAATTGTGGTTCATTACCATATTACTACAATGATTGAACAAGAAATATCATGACTTATATATTGATAAGTAGGTTGTTGCAAGAATTCTTATTGTGTGAGTGTAAATTGTGGTGGAGAAAGGCGAAAGGGTAAAAGCCGAATGCCAGCAGCCATGTATTTCAAAGAAACAAAAAGCATTAGCGATTTTCATGCACGATTCGCATTTACACGCGCTGGCGGTTCCTCTCTTTGTCAAGGTCGTTCACGCTGCGCTGCTCGAGTTCACGTTTCGCGTTTTTTCATGCTTTCATGAATTCTATTTTAACCACGCCGCATTCCGGCGAAATATCAGGGTAAAGTAAGGTTATACACGTCACGTCACGTCACGTGACATCAACTATGACGTATCTAACCTCAAATATTTATATAATCCTGAATATTTTAGATTTTAAACTAGAGTATTATCAGACATGTGTAGACATGAATTTAATTAGGGGGATTATGCCGGCGGAGCTATCATTAGCCTATCATTATCACTCTTTGCAGTGATTATCGACATAAGCGCCTTGGCACTTATCTTAATCCTGTTCACCAGATTTTTTACTTTTGCTGTTAAGTGTAGTAATGACAATGACAATGTTTCAATTCCTAACAAATCTTTGTAATCTTATAACCTTGATTACGATTATATTGCGTGATTATGAATTTTCTGACGAAATCCGCACACATTTTGAATAATTTCTCGTCTAAAGTGCTCGCCGTTCTTGTTATGCAAATGCGCTGAATTCCCAGAGTCAAAAACACTTCTGGTACGCGAGTGCCAAGGCCGGGAGAAAATCCCCAAGATGCTTCTCTTCTGCGTAAAAACAAGTTCCATGTTCGGCGAAACACAGACATTACTCATTTCGAATCTACCGCGTGGAATAATTTTCCTTAAATTGTCGCTAACGACCGCAAAATGTATGAGACAAAGCGCATGACTTGCATGCGAATCGTCTAAATTATTCTTTTCGAGGCATATTGTAAATTATATCGAGTTTATTTTTTCGTTAGTTTTGAACTCAATTCGTTTAACCTCAATTAAATTGTTTTGAATTGCTTCGGACAACGCGGCGAATCAATCATTCGCGTTGTTCTTATCGCAAGGGGATCTTGATCCGACAAAGGAATGATGCAAATGAGGCGATTTTATCAGCTGCAACGGGCGTCATTGTTTAAATCAACTCGCGTCTGGAATCTTGGATTTATGGACGAGTACAAGCAGGCCGTTGAGTTTAAAATACTCTATATTATCCACTATTAGATACATTACGTAATTTAATCTTATTCTGCCAAACTTGAATATTGTTCTTCATTTTTAAATATTTTTATTATTTTATTAATACTTATGATTTTCTGTATTTTTATTTAAGTGTATAGTGGGTTGCATATATAAAAATTAAATCCTATGCTTTAATTTAATTCATCGTTTAGAAATATAAATTTGTAATACAGTAAAATGTATAGTTGGTTGCATATATAAAAAATGAATTCCTATGCTATAATATTGCATCAAGGTAATTTTGTAAAAATAGGATTGTTGCGGATCCGCGTGTCATTAACGCTCCATCAATGCTAATAAATTCTGTAACTGTGTGCCTATATTTGACACCGTACATTGTCAACATGCGTTACACTTGTTTGCTCTCTGTTTCCCTTTCTGGAAAGTGCCGAATTAGATCCGACGTCAACACGCGTTATCACGTTGTTTGCAAGCCGCTAACACAAGTAATTTTAAAAGAATATATCACAAGACGAATAATACCCAAATGAAGGCATCATTACGCCGGTGGCATTGGATAATTATCGTATATTATTGGTATTTATAATAATGAGGTGTTAATTCCATGTCTTTAACAGATAACGTAACACAATTACCGTCTTCATGCACAGCGTGTAATCGGCGTTTAACTTGTACTAATTAATTCCCGTTTTGTGATAGAATACGGAATCTTATCGATGTCTCTCGAATGCGCATGTCATGTTATTCACCTCACAATTGAAACTTGTGACAAATTAAATGAAATTTTCAAGAACGTTTTAAGTGTACAACTTGTGATCGAACATATTTGTTCGGAAAATAATTAGAAAAGGGTGTTTATACAGCGTTATCACCAACTATTTTGTTTGTATTGCAAGCATGTATTGATAATGAAGACATTTCAGCACGGGTAAATAATTTAAACAAATATTAATACAAATACAGACGATGTGGATGCATTACGTAATTTAATCCTATCCTGCCAAACTTTAATATTGATCTTCATTTTTATCTACCTGTCAGAATGTGATTATTTTATTAACACTTATGATTTTTCTGTGTTTATATTTAAGTGTATACTTGGTTGCATATAAAAATTGATTTTTATGCTTTGATTTATCGTTTGGAGGTAAAAATAGTGATTTGTTTTGTAAAGCACGAATAATTTGGTTTAATGTTGCAATTCGTGTACAATATTTACCAATATTTAAAGATAGGTAGTGTTTGTTTCGAATTCACTAGATAAATGCATGAATTACGACCCTATAAAGATAACAATTGAGAAATAACAAAATGTGCACGCGCTTTGACGAAAATATTCATAATATTCACGTTGGTAAATAAGTTTTAACCACAAATTATCAATATTCAATAAAAATTAGAAATATTTCACGTGTATCTACAGCGAATGTTTGCTAAAACCTATAAAATTGTTTAGATTAGCAATAAAAGCAATTTGATCACCGCGTATTCAAGTTTCAAGCGAATGGAAAAATTAAAATATGCTCACGGGCTTGGTATTGTGTCCGAACAAAATGGAGTGGCTAACGGACGTAAATTAAATATGAAAATGTCATTTGGTAGTAAAATTTCAGCCGTATACTCATATGTTAATGAGCATCGCAATTCGGAAAGCATGTACGAGTATAATAGACTAACTCATCATTTATTATCGCGATTCTAGTGAGCATTCTAGTGAGCGTACTTGGATGTGATATAACCGGTAACCGGAAACGTTGTACTTGCTGAGTATGTTATTTTTAGATAAAATATATTATCAGGAAATATAATAAATAAACAATTATTAACGCACTATCACGGAACAGAAGTTATAGGTATTTCAAGTTGATAAACACTCAGAATAAAACTATAAATCATTTTAAACCAATAATTATTGTTAAAATCAATTTAGGTAGGTTATTCTCTTAAATATATATTCTATATTTATTTCTGTGTCTAAATATGTTATAATTTGGTGGAAAATAATTTGTTTTAAATTTTATCGATAAAATTTTTACTTTTTGCTAATTTTCAGTTTAATTTTCATATTTTTTGTATAATTACTACATTAATATAATTGTAACATTGTTTGACATTGAAATTATAACTAATTCACACTGATAAACACTCAATAATATTTTAACTCATTTTAAACAAATAATTATTGTTAAAATCAATTTAAGTGGATTATTCTTTTAAATATCTATTCTATATTAATGTCTGTGTCAAAATGTATCATAATTTGATGGAAAATATTTTCTTTTAAAATGTTATGATAAAATTTAAACTATTTTCTAAAAGAATGCTTAATTGTTCATATTTTTTGTATAATTACTGCAAAAACACAATTCTTACAATGATTGATGTGGAAATTATATGATAATCGAGTAAATAAATACTTAAAAGGCGTTTTTAAAACATTTTAAACAAATAACTATATTAAAATCAATTTTGTTAAATTATTCTTTTAAATAACTATTTTATATTAATTTCTGAATTTAAATATGTCATAATTTGATCGAAAACAATATTATTTAAAAAATCGTTGTAAAATAAACTTTAATTGTTTATAATTTTATACCTAATCATCGCATAAATATAATTCTAACATAAACTGATATAGAATTCACTGTAGAATATGCTTTTGTGGTCAAATTTAGAAAAAAAGTGCTTTTTCTATAATTAATTAATATTTATTCAACTTATTGACTTAATATGATTAATTATATTTACTCACCGGCAAGTGAAGCGATGATTTGGGGTGTGCGCCCCCTCAAAGCACTAAAACGATCAACGTCCTTCATGTTTCACGGGATCACAACAACGGCACTCTTGGTTTTGACTCTTTATATTTTTTTTCAAATTCGGATTAAACCCTTTTCACACACGTGTGTCGCTTAAAATTTCCTAGTCGCGCGACGATTGCGACATCACCAAACGTGCGAAAAATCGATGCGTTTAAATTTCGCGTTTAAAATACATGTACATGTAACAAAAACGAAACAAAAAAATGTACAACACCAAACCGGGCGGAAGAAACTGAAGGAGTGCGCGCGATTTGCGCGTGTGGATTTACATCGGGTGGAGGAGGTGGTGGCGGGCGGGTCTCCTTTAACGGATTGTGCGATGGACGCCGCGAAACGGTTGCTGCCGCACTGAAAGATTTTCTATCGCGAACGCGACGCTTATACTCGCTTCCCTCGCCAGTTGCGCACACACAGCTGATGGGAAGTATGTTGGAAGGATGGAAGCGCCGACGGATCGCCGCCACGCCGCCACGCCGCCACACGCCGCCAACAGCACGCCGCGCCGGGGACTCTGACGTCGGCGAACGCGTGCCGCAGTTTCGCGAGGTCGATATTGCGCGGAGGGCACAACGCCAAACGGCGCGCCGCGGTCACTATCGCTTCGGAAACGTGTTCGCAAAAATACGAATGTAATAAAACTCATAAGCATTGTTTACACTAGTTTATGGCTGGATTGGACGCGGCAAAGTTTCACTTGTTGTATGCATAATACACAAGCGAATTTTCGGCAAAATTTGTGCTCAAATTTTGTGTTTTCGCACAGAAAAGTAAAAATAGCTTTGAAGCGCAAAGTCATTGAGGTATTTTTAACACAGTTTTATGTAATTGTCTTTTTATGTGATATTTTGGTGAAAAATTCACTTTTGCAATTTTTTTGTAGAAAAATGATTTTTTGCATTAAAAACAACAAAACGGTAAATTTAGGCAATGTTTGTAAATTCACAACGTGCTACTTGATATATTTTATGACCTAGTGTACAAAAATACACTATTTATGCATGAATAATGGTAAAATTAATTATTAACATTTTTACTCATTATTGCTTTGCAAAATCCATCAATATGTATCTTTGTGTTGAAACAAATTCTAAAACAATTTATTTACGTCTACAGTGCAAATATGTTTAGATTATTAATAATTTTAGTTCAATAAATATGTTAATTCTTATAATTTTGGAAAATATCTTCAAATTTCTAAATAATCAATTCAAAATGATAACTTTGGGCAAACACAGACTTTTTATGGCTTTTTATATTGCCAAAAAATCATAATATGTATTCTAAAATTAGAAAAACTATTATTGTGTATCTTCCAACTAGAAAAACATCTTGTTTTTGCATTATAATGTTAATTAATTTACGATTTGTTAGTTTATTGATGATATTTCATCCTTGGCGCGATTTTTTTCGATAATTTTATACCGATATTGATTAAGCATTAAATATGCTTTAATTTACGCCAAATTTAATCATAGATCTGACCTTCACATTGCCCGAATCCGTATTTTTTGCTATGCAAATGTGAATGTAGATGTTTATGTTAATGTAACTTGCCATCACCAATGACGTCATTACTCGCGTTACTATCGTTAGCAAAATTCGAGCGAGTGAACACAATCCGTCATAATCATTATGCCATGGTGTCTTATTGTGTCTGAATCGTGAATTCAAATGGAAATTCAATCGATATTAGATTAAATTACACATTTGCGACAATATATCAGCAATAACCCTAAAGATAACATGACAAAGGTGTCATAAACAAAAATTTTCCGGTAATATTCTAATAAATTTACAGGTTTCGATATTAACACACTTTTCAATAAGTTTTTTGCATGGTAACCGTGTAGGTACATGTACTAACTATAAAACTAACCACGAAATGTATTAATTTAATGAATAAACTGTGAAAAGTTTCATGTTAGAATTTATTAACTCCAGTTCTTGTTATTTTCGGTTGTAGACTTTGTTTACTTTGGAGTTTTTATATTCAGTTTTACGTCAACTGTCGTTAAGTGGTAAGTTGGTAATTCCCCAAAAATATCACGAAATTAATTGTCGCAGGTGAGGTGATATTAGATATTGTTCTGAGAATTTTTAACAAAAGGAAAAGTTTTAACTAAATTCTTTGGTTTTTTAATATTTTAAGTTACGCCATTGATAAATGCTTTGCAATTGCAGTTTGTGAACATTTACTTGTAATTTTACGAGTGCAGCCACTTTGTGAGATATAAATAATGGCGAGTATTTATTGACTTGAGAGTTCCCTTGATTTCGGACGCTATTTTTACACTTGCAGTCAGTGGGGCATAGATTATGAAGCCAAACTCTCATTGCCCACGCATCGTAAAAACTAAATAAATTCACTTTATTGCATCTCGTCAATACTTTCATCAATATTCATATGTTTTATAAAGTTATTACATGAACAACGCTTTTCATTCATGGGAAATTCTAAGAATTCTTTAAAAACCCGTATAATTTGTTTTTCCGCTTGACAAAAACAAAAATAACTTTACGTCAGGTAATTCCTTTTACGTGTTTCGTGTTCTAGTAATCTACGCCATTGCGTTGTTAAACTTCGCCTTAAAATTAGATTAATAAACAAATCACAAAAGCAGCGCATATTTTTGAAGTTGGAAAAAGCAGTCGTGTATTGTTGTAAGGCCAAACTGGTTTGCTTCCGATACATTTTCGTGATAATCTGCGTCGTTGCCTTGCGCACATTGTTAGTTATTGGCGCTCGATGATAAGTAAATGCAACTTAACGATAATAAACGCACGAATTCAGTAAATTGTAGACAAAATGAAAGCTAATATTTTTTAGTTGTTTACAAAGTAAAAAATAAAGTAATAAAACTGACATTTTAGAATATTGATGATTCTGCATTAACCTTGCACTCTGCATTTTGTATTAATTAGGATAGACTTTGGAGCAAATCTAGTTTGGACTAACAATAAATTAAATTCTTTTGTATTCCACCGGACCAAAAACGTGGAATATAAAATAGCTGATGTGAGTCAAGCCAGATGTAACAAAGGAAATAGAGTACATATAAAAAGTCTAATTGAAAACTGTACGAAACAATCAATAATATGACGGCCGGCGAGTATTTTAAATATACACTTTAATAATGCAGGAAGAAATTATGTTTAATATATGTGATTATTGTTAATAAATCGTTCATTAGATCAATAAAGCAGGTTTTTTCAGGCAATTGTTCTGCTGTGACAAAAGAACTGATTTTGGCAGTTAACTATTATTAATGATTGTTATATAATGTGAATTAGTATTTAGTTATGGTGTTCTTGTATTAACAATCAATTCTATTTATTGTTAACTTGATTTTTACTACTTTTAGTAGTCATGTTATGCATTTTATTGTTGCGTTGGGTGCAAAGTTGGTTGCCTATCTTGTCAGCTTATTTGACAATCAGCTGACAAGTATTCCTGCTGTCCTGCTGACCATTTCATAAACAGTTTTACATCAGTTCTCCAGAGCAATGTGTACATGAACCATCTCACAACCATGAAGAAAATACTCTTAGGAGTATTCCTTGCCTCCTGTTTATCGTTGATTAACAGCAGCGATATAACAAGTAAAGTATTCGGCCCGCTTGTGGATGGAATGCCCGCTGCTTTTGGTGATTTCAATTCCGATGAACTTACGGACGTGTTCGTCCTGCGTGAAAATGGCCGTACAATGGAAATCCTCCTCGGATATGAAGAAGAACCTCTTCTACGCACATCATTCAGTCATCCGTTGAAATGCTCTTATGAGGACACAATCACCAGCGTTGTTCCAGGCGATTTTGACGGCGATGCTTTCATGGACGTACTCGTCACCACCTTAAATAGTGAGTCTGGAAAAACACTGGTTTACATCAATTTTGGTGGTGCAAATCATCTAAACTGCACGAGTGAGCACACACTTGAACTGCAAGGCCAACCTTTAGCAATTGACTATAATCAGGACATGATTATTGACTTATTTGGCTTGGATTTTGAAGAAAATCGAAGTTTTTGGATCTTTAACAACAAACGCGACAAACCACAGAAAATCGCAATGACCAATCATCCCAAAACTGAAATTGCCACACCACATGCACATGCTTTCCTTGATTTAAACAATGATAACACTGCTGATTTATTCATAACAACTAAAAACAACTTTGAAGTGTGGCTGGGCCAAGAAAAGAAAGAATTCATTTATAACTCAACTATTCCACATCCTGATGGACAATATATTGGACAATCTTTGTTCCTGGATGTTGAACTCAGAGGAAGAATGGATTTGGTTACACCAGTGTGTCAGGATTATGATTGTAAAGGATCAGCACTCTTGGTTTACGCTGACAATAAATGGCATGACTTGCAGATAAATCTTAAAGACATGCATAACAATAATTGGAAGTTTTATAAACAAGGAAGCAAGTATGTGAACACAGTTACTCTAAGAAGTGGTGATTTTAATATGGATGGATATCCTGATTTGCTAGCGACGCTGTCGCAATTAGTTGATGGCGAACCACAAACTTTCATGCTGGAGAATGTTCCATGCGAGACAGGATGCGGAAACTTTACAAGAACATATCAAGTGCGATGGAATGCACTGAGTCCGTTTAAATCCGGTACAGTAATGGGTACGTATTTTGATTTTTATCAAGATGGTATCCTGGATGTCATTTTGGTGCAAAAAAATGGCAGCGCTTATAAAGCAGCAGCGTTTAAGAATAGTCTAGATTACGATGCAAATTTCGTGAAGGTTATGGTTTTGACCGGATTGAATAACGATAAAAGTAATCCCATGATCATGGGTAGAGTTGGAAAGAAACGCAGGACTTACGGAACAAATCTTCCGGGTCCTACGATTTCTTACAGTACCACAACGCAGGAAGGAAATACTCGTCATGCAATGTCGACTCAATTACCACAATCAGCTCATTTCTCATTGAATTTACCATATAATATCTTTGGATTGGGTCGTGCGCCCAATTTTGTTGAGATTGTTACAGTTGGATTGTCGAATCACTCGAGATTGTGGACGCAGATTATTCCCAACTCGCAGATCGTGATTGTACCATGGCCGCCAGCTGAACCCGCAAAATGGAAGGCGCAGTTATTTGTTACGCCGAGCAAATTGATTCTTATGTCCGTTGCGGCGCTCACTGGAGTGTGTGGTTTTATTATTATTATAATCGGAGCTTTGCATTGGAAAGAACGGCAGGATGATAAGAAGGAGCGGCTTTCCGAATCGAATAGATTCCATTTTGATGCAATGTGATGTGTGATACTGATCCTGATTTTGAATAATGTTATTTAACTTACTTATATTTGTTGTTTTGCACAATGTATAATTATATGAATAGGTACTTGTTTAGTTTTAATGTGATTCTAATTTAATAAAAGTAACTTTTAAATAAACCTGCACTGTTTCTTTTGTAGTTCGAGAAAATGTAACGGATTTTTTGTTATGTCGCTAGTGTAGAGTTGAAAAACGGTCAAAACAAGTTGAACTGTTCTTGTTTCTAGGTTATAAATGTAAATACTTTGTAAAAACTTAAAAAATGAACGAACCAAAGCCAGGAACGTCTAAAAATGATAGCAAACAAGTGCCCCAGAGTCCATTTGGTGATATAATAGAAGCATCGGATGATGAGGCTTCATCTTCCTTTTTTATGAAGAAATCTAGTCAAGATAACAAGTCACGAAGCAACCAATCTAGAGCTAGACATCACAATAAAAGTTCTATAAGGAAGAATCTCTTGAAACGTTCACTGGAAAGTCCAGCACAAAGTAGTGTATCTAAGAAACCCAAAGAAGCAGTAGATGATTCACTAGTTTTTAATGAAATGTTGCAAAGGGATTTGTTATTACAAAAACAAGAGCAAGAAAAATTAAATAAAAGTACTGGTGATGATTTTCTTTCAATTTCTCAATTAAATGAATTTGTTGTGAATGATCCCTTTGCTGAGATGAATGCAACAACCAAGAAGACTAACACAGGTAAGATAATTTACTACTTTTATAATTATTCTGAATAAAATCATTATTTTAGACTTAGATGAATTTCAATTTACACAATACTGTGATAATACTCAATTCATGAATCAAATTGAAAATGCAATCACTAAAATCAAACAAATCCACAAAAGTCAACCATTGAAGAATATTTCCAATACTCCACTAACTAATAAACCTCTTTCATTGAAATCTAGACCAGATATATTTGATACAACCTTCAATGATGCCCTGTGTGATCTATTCAAGTCATCACAGTATAAAAAGAAGTTGCAGAAAGTTTTGATTGTGTTGAGAAGACAATTTGTCTCATGGGCAATAATGAATTAGAAAAAGAATTTAATTTAACAATGAATGAGTCCGTTTTCAACAAGCGAAACAAAGTTGAAGAGTTATTGGAAAAACTTTCAAGAGTCCTCAACTTATGAAAAAAGTTCTACAACATGCCAATGAGAGTGTCAACTTGAATAAGGATCAAATCGAGTGGACAGATGAGAGTTTTCTATCAAATGCTGACATGAACTTTTCGAAAACAGATAATTCTATATCGAAATTGTTAAAGGATGCTTTAAGTGACAATATTAACAAAACTTTGACACAAAGTAACTTACAGAATAAGACTCTCCATGAAAAAGATGATACTGAGGAAGATAAGTTTATTAGACATGGAGATTTTTTTGCTTTGCCAGATAGAGTCAAGGATTTGTTTAAAGTTTATAAAGGGATTAATAAACTTTATGGTAATTTAATAATAAACATGTTATTCATTGTATTTTAAATCAAATTCGATGAAATTTTAGATTGGCAACATGAATGTTTGAATTTACCCGCAATTGCCCAAAGAAAAAACCTTGTTTATGCTTTGCCAACCAGCGGAGGTAAAACTTTGGTTGCCGAGGTGTTAATTCTGCGAGAAATTTTATGCAGACGTAAAAATGCTATATTTATATTGCCATATGTTGCTATTGTACAAGAAAAAGTAATTTTATTGTCTAATAATGCAAATCATTTAATAATCATTATTCATGTAATATTTAGGTGTGGGCTATGTCACCATTTGCAGTCGCTTTGGAATTCTTAGTTGAAGAATATGCAGCTGGTAAAGGTAACTATCCTCCTAGGCAAAGACGTCGTAAAAACTCAGTGTTTATCTGTACTATCGAAAAAAGCGCTGGGTTTAATGAATAGTTTAATCGAGAATGATCGAACTGATGAAATCGGATTGATTGTTATCGATGAACTGCATCTCTTGGGCGATGGAAGTCGCGGCGCATGCTTGGAAACTTTACTTACAAAGATAAAAATGCTTAAAAGTAAGAAGACACGCTTGATTTTTGATTAGTTGTGTTATTAGTATTATTTTAGATAAAATTCAAATGGTTGGAATGAGTGCAACAATCGGTAACATATCAGAACTCTGTGAATTCCTCAATGCTGATGTTTATTCAAGAGACTTTCGACCTGTTGAACTTGTTGAATATGTCAAGTGCCAGAATGAAGTTGCTATTGTTAATAAACAATCTACAGATAGTCAAGATATACTCCTTCATGAGAAGACTGTCGATTATTATAAAGTATTTTCTTTCAGTTTAGAGTTAATTGTTTACTAAATGTAGTAATAATGTTTTAGAATGCTGAACATTTAACTAAAGTTGATCCTGATCACCTAGGTGGCTTGGTAATGGATGTTATTCCTGAAGCATCTTGTTTAATATTTTGTAAAACTCGTCAAAATTGCGAGAATGTTGCTAATTTGTTGTGTAAAGTAATAGATCAGTAAGTATAATATAAATTTTATCATATTTACTTCAAATTTGTTAAATATATGGTTTGTTATTTTACAGAGACTTAAAAAAGCATAATTTTGAACAAAAACAACTCTTAAAAAGAGCATTAAAAGAAGAAGTTGGATCTTTGTGTAAAGTTCTAGCTTTGACAATTGATTATGGCATTGCCTATCACCATTCAGGTATTTTACTTTATATTTGCTTATATTTTAACTCAGAAATATTTAAATTAATCAATATTTAGGTCTTACTTCGGAAGAGCGACGTTTAATAGAAGACGCTTTCCGTCAGGGCATTGTTTCTGTTATTTGTTGCACGTCTACTTTAGCAGCCGGTGTAAATTTGCCTGCTAAACGTGTGATAATCAGAAATCCCTATGTCGGTCGTGAGTTTATAAGTTTATCTAGATATAAACAAATGGTAGGTCGCGCAGGCCGTGCTGGTTTCGGTGAAACAGGCGAGAGTATAATAATATGCACCCCGAATGAATTGGGGCGTATCAAAGAATTGTTTTTATCTCCAATGGATATTGCTTTATCTTCCATGCACGAGAATTCGTGTGATGGACTTCAGAACTTTCTACTTAGTTGTGTATCTTTGAAATTGGCTGTTACAAAGCGAGAGTTGCAGAATTTAGCAGGGCAGACTTTAATGGCGGTACAAGCTAATCGTTTAGGGGTGGATGTACGACAAGCCACGCGGCAGGCCATTAAACAATTGTTTAAATGTGGCGCGTTGAAAACTACTGCGATGGAGAGTCAATGCGTGTTGAATAATAGCATTACTGCTGAGTTGGAAAGCTCAGTAAGTTTTATATTGTATAGAAATTGTAAATGTTACTTACTGTGGTGTATGTTTTTAAGATGGCGTCAGTCACACAGAATCCAGCAACACAATCACAGCGGTATGGACCACGCAAACCGAAAACTGTGATAAATGTTGACAACAACACTCCGATGGAAATTAGTAAGCTGGGATCTGCTGCTATTAAAGGTAAGTTTTTTGTGTTTTACACTGAAAGATGTGAAAATATTGTTGATTTTGTATTCTTAGGTGGTTTAGATTTAAGTCGAGCTCACATACTGTATGAAGATCTTCTTAAAGCTCAATCCAGTCTTGTTCTATTCACTGGTTTGCATTTAATGTATCTAGTTACCCCATACCAAATTGCTGAGCAAGTAAATCCAAGGAAATCATTATATTATTCACTGGTAACTATCAATATTCATTCTTTGACCAAAAATATTTATAATTTGTTAATATTCATTGATTATGTGTGTTTAGTATACGAAACTGAACGAAAAAGAAGTCCAAACAGCTAAAGTCCTTGGTTTTACCGATGCTGTCGCTGGTAAACTGCTTACAAATCGTAAAATAACCGAAATATCTGAACGCGTCATGAATCGTTTCTATGTCACCCTCATGTTATACGATTTATGGAATGAAATGTCCGTGTATGAGGTTGCAGTCAAATACGAAGTGAATCGAGGACTCATTCAGAACCTAATGACTTCAGCCGCATCATTCGCATCAAATGTTTACCACTTTTGCGGTGAATTTGATGAGTTTTGGGCGTTTTCACTACTGTTGAAAGGAATGTCCGACAGATTATCACATTGTTGCGTTAAGGAACTCATCCCGCTTATGAAATTACCATCGGTGAAACAGAACCGTGCTAAACAATTATTCAATGCAGGATATAAGACTCTGCAAAGTGTAGCGCGTGCTGAACCTGAGAAATTAATGCAGGAAATGGACTTTATGAGTCGCAAACTGGCGAATCAACTAATTGCAGCTGCTAAAGTATGTTCTCATCAAATATATTAATGTAGTATGTGCATAATTACTTATTTTTGTTTTTCTTTAGATGATTCTTTTGGAAAAAGTTGAAAACCTCAGAGAGGAAGCGGAAGATGTCCTCGAAGGTGTCAACCTGAATATTTAATGTAAACATTTCAATTATTTTCTATTTTTGTATTCCATAAAGGGATTTGTGTCATTAAACGAAAAATCTTGTTACAATATTTTTAATCACGCATAGCAGGCAAGTATAACATAGTTATGTTCATGTAGTTAACTTCGTTATTCACTTTCATTTTTTATTTATTTACAAGGTAGTTCAGTATCACATAGTCATAGATTATTATCAGACAATGAAAGCTAACAATTCCATAAACTCCAACTTTTTAAACCAGTCGATAAAATTAACTCTATCGGACAACGCCGCCAGCCATTTTGATGTGTGCAGCATGTGGTTTACTTCTGTGAATGAAACAACAGTTAATGCCATTCATTTGATTGCGAGTATCATTCAACAAGTGTATCCGCAACTGAGATGTGTTTATTATCTAGGTCTACGAACAGAATTGCTTGATCAGGTGTTTTATGAACTTGGAATGCCAGTTGTGTTTATTCCTAGTATGTGTATACCAACAGGATATTTACTTGCAGAGGACGAAACATTTGAAAATTTTCGTCATTATAATTTCTACACGAAAAGAAATCTCAGACTTTTGATTGTTAATCAACGTGCTGATTATAATTTTCAGCAAAGATGCAAACACTATAAAAGTTTTGATCATGATGTCGGTCTACACGTTTATTTACTTCATATAAGGATAAGTAATAATAATATAATCGGGTTAGACTTTTATGCCATTAGAGATTGTGCAAAACTATCACAAGATGAACTAGAAAACCGTCTGAAAGTCCGCACAACAAGATGGCGTCCGTCTCCAGAACAAACAATTGCTGTCTCAGCCACACAATTCATGCCTTTTATAGATTGTGATGAAAATCGTCTAATTGGCGGAATAGAAACGTTTATATTCCATATGGCGTTACCAAATGTTAATTATGCCTTGCAATGTTATAGTTTTGGTAAGTGGACTCAAGTAGAAGAAGATGTAGCAGCACAGAGAGCTGATATAGGTTTCGGAGGCGCGTGGGACATCAAAGGAATACAAATTGGTGTGGATTTTGCAGCGCCATTATTTCAAACATGTGCTACGATGCTAGTACCCAAACCAAAACTCTTACCAATACAAACGTTTTCATTCCAAGCGTTAAATTTGGACATGTGGCTTGCTATTATTTTTGTCATTATTCTTGTAACAATCATTCATGGATGGTTAGAGAAGTTACCATTCTTTCAAGCGTTCATGGAAGTGTATAAAACTATAGTTGATGCTCCATCACACAAATTAACACGCATACCAAGCAAAATTATGTATGTAACATGGTTAATGACATGTGTTTTAATAACAACAGCAATGTCAGCTGGTTTTACAATGATTTTGACGAGACCACGCTTTACTACACCTATTACAACATTTAAAGATGTTTATGACCATGGCTTGGAATGTTATGAGCCTGAAAACTATGTTTCTGACATAATGAACTCATCCAATGATAAATATCTACGTTTAATTGGAAATAGAATCAAGTTTACAACTGAGGGTATTACCAGAGATCATACGTGTTTGTTTTGTGATGTGTTACCTAATGAATATGTAATACCATCAACAGAATTAGACGAGTACAGCATGGAGAACTTGATGATTTTACCGAATTGTTACGGAGAGTATAAATTTGTAAGTTATTTTAAGGAAAATTCGCCGTTGAAGCGACTTTTCAATGCTGTAATAAACCAAGCAAGAGAACACGGTTTGATTAGTGGTCGAATGAGATATATTAAAGCCAATGATGTACATTCAAGTAAACAAACGGATATGTTTAAATCAAAGTATGCTTTTCATTTGGATGAGTCAAGTAAGTCATTGGAATTGGATGAAGCACAAGGGGCATTATACGCGCTGTGTATTGGAAATTTTCTTGGTTTGTTAGTTTTTATGGGAGAACTTGCTTATTATCAGTATTATGATAATAGAATATTGTTTTATCGCCCTTGAATTGATTATAATTGATTAAAATTTGGTAAAATTGGAGATTACTTGAATTACAAGTGACAAGATGGCTGCTGTGGTAGCTTGTGACAAAAAAATGTAACGGGATACGGATATACAATGTTGATAACAATAACAATGTATTTTTCCACATACATGACTCTAAATATTTATACTCACCTAATGCACTTAGTATTTCATTGTATTTACATTGTTATTTACTTTCATTTTTTACAATACACGTCAATATTATTTAACTACAATAAACACTTAAACCCGTTACCAAACCATGCTGCTACCAATGTCATTGTCGTTGATGTTTATCGTGTAATGGAACTTTACAATTCAATCAGCAATTGAAATACCGCATATACCTCGAATCACACTTTAGTTATAAAAATCAACTCTGAGAGTGACTATTATTAGTATCTACATAATGTGGTTCAATCATGTAAACGAAACAACTGTGAGTGCCATCCAATTGATTGCTAATATTATTCAACATGTTTATCCCGTGATGAGTTGTGTTTATTATTTTGGCACACGAACAGAATTACTTGATCAAGTATTTCATGAAATTGGAATGCCCATTGTGCTACTCCCCAAAATGTGCATACCATCAGGATATATACTTGTAGAAAGCGATAACTTTGAAGAATTTAGAAGTTATCCTTTCTATAACAAAATAAATCTACGAATTCTCATCGTGAATCAAAACATTGATAAAAATTACAACTTTCAACAAAGATGTGCACATTACAAAAGTTTTGATTATGTTAATGGCCTCCATGTTTATTTGCTCAATATACAAATGCATAATAATGATATAATCAGTGTAGATCTATACGCTATTCGTGATTGTCTCAAGTTAACTGATGATATCCTTGAGGATCGACTCAAAATAAGAACAACAAGATGGCGTCCTGCACCTGAGTTAATCATAGATGTATCAGCTCTACAATTCATGCCATTTGTAAAATGTAAAGAGGATAAATTAATCGATGGTATAGAAAGTTTTGTATTGGACTTAGCATTGCCAGACGCAGAATATAACCTTAAATGCTATGACGATGAACAATTATCTTATGTAGAAGCAGATGTTATGCAAAATAAAGTAGATCTAGGTCTGGGTGGTTCATGGGACATTAGAGGAATACAACTTGGCGTGGATTTTTCCATTCCGTTGTTTCAAACATGCGCTTCGATGTTGGTCCCCAAACCGAAATTATTACCAATGGCGACGTTTACATTCCAACCGTTGTATTTAAACATGTGGGTGGTGATTATTTGTGTGGTTATTGTTGTAAGTTTGTTGTATAAATGGTTTGAAGGGTTGCCTTTCATTCGTGCGTTTTTGGAAGTCTATAAAACTTTATTTATTTGTACAAAACCCAGATTGACGCATGCAAGTAGCAGTATTATATATGCAACATGGCTGATGACAACTGTTTTATTAGTAACAGCAATATCAGCGGGTTTTACAATGATTTTGACTAAACCACGGTTTACTACGCCGATTAGAACATATCAAGATGTTTATAATCAAGAATTGGAGTGTTACGAAGCAGAGCAGAATATTCATGATATATTAAAGTCGTCACCTGATCATTTTCTGCCTAAAATAGCTGATAGAATGGTTTATATACCGAATATTACTGAATCTGAAAAGGTGTGTTATTTTTGTGATATATTACCCGCTAGATATGCAATACCAATTGCTAAATTAAATGATTACGAAAAACAAAACTTAATGGTGTTACCTAAGTGTTTCGGAGAGTTTAAATTTGTGATTTATTTTAAGAAAGATTCTCCATTGAAGCGTCTCTTCGATGAAGTGATAAGACAAGCTAGGGAACACGGTTTGATGTTAGCTAAATACGCACAGATACGAGCACATGATGTGCATGCAGCAAAACAAGCGGATTTGTATAATTCAATGTATGCGTTTCATTTGAGTGAGTCGAACAAATCATTGGAACTTGATGAACTACAAGGAGCGTTTTATGCGCTTTGTATAGGGTGTTTTATTGGTACATTAGTATTTATTGGTGAAATTGTTAACTGGCGACGTTTTTATAAAAATAGTTTAGGTTTTATTAAGAGTAAATTTGGTTCGTTTATAAAATAAAAGCAAATTGAAAGTAAAATGTTTTAAATATAGTTTTTAAATTGTTTCTCAGAGGGGCTTCGATATCTTATAGATATCTGCATTAAATAAGCGAAATATTGGTTTAGTTTGCCATATGTTAGTCACAACAATTCAGACACAGTTTGCAGTCGCGAGTGTACACACCACGAAGTATAGATATAAGGAGTCCGAACGGTATAGGCTTTTTCGTCGTAGTCAGGGTTCACAATTATATACAAAGCTAATAGTTCTCCTTTCTGCCACTGGCTGCGCTTGAATCACTAGTGAATCGATGTACGTTGGTTCGTGTTCATAGCAACATTGAGACAATTTGTTTACATGACGTTCCTGTGTTTAGATACTTCGTGATTATTATTACACGTAAACACGTACTGGTTTGTGAATGTTTAATTGAATTCAATTAAATTTAAAAATACATATTTTTTAACTTGGTCGAATGCGTTATCCATATTGTTAACTTTTATATGTATGTATACATTAATTTGAATTGGAACGTGATAGTATTATTTTTTTGAACTAATTTATTTATTGAAAATTAGTAGTGTTAAAAAAATGGGAAGGTGTTGTGCTATTCCAGGATGATTTAGTGGCCGAAAGACTAGTGAGAAGGTAGAAAAAGTAGTTTTATTCAAAGCATCAAAGGTGAGTAATATCTTTGAAAAATATGTGTTATAAACAATTAATTTATAACTAATAGTCCAAAGATTTAAAATATGTCATAATTTCATGTATCTTGTGAAATATTGGCGATGTCCATAGTAATGTAAGTATTTAAACGCGTACACTAACGCATAGTGGCGCGCTCTATTGGCGAATGTTTGGTCCCCTAGATCGTGACCATTAATTTAACATGACGTTCGGACTCCTTATATCTATACTTCGTGGTACACACAGTGCGGTGGAAATAGTGTAACCTCACTTCCTGAGTGAAGCCAAATGTCCAAAGAGCAAGAAGAGGTGTTTAGGGAGCTGCGACTGGACTGCTGGAAGACTCAGGCATGACTAAGCGCCTGGTGCACAGCGTGCTGCCCTTTTATACCTTCGGAGTACCCGCATAAAGTGGTGGGGGAAAAATACGCAGCCAACGCGCGCTCGTCTGCAAACCGTGAGTACCTACTTATAGTTGTGGTGGGGGAAGGGTGCTACCCAAGGGTGCTACCCGATGACGGGTATACCTTTTCGTCCAAACGATAAGGCATTGCCCAAAGGGTCACCAATTCCTATACTATGAATAATATTTGTCAAATATGGAAGTCAGAAAATCCATTATCCCAGATACTCATAAAATATTACAATATAAAATTAATTCCACAAGGAAAATAACGATAACGTTGGTTGTTAAAATATTTCGATGATTATTTGATTAAAATTTCAATTACAATAAGATTCTTACAGTTCTCAGTACGCACACAATATCATGATATAATACAATTAAGTCACAGCGAGAATGTATATCGAGAAGTTATCAATCCCAGAATTAAAGCCACAACACTTCGAAGTATGACATAGAAATTTACTCATGCAAACAAATAAACACCGCCGCCGCCGTCGCTCATATTTATATGTATACGTACAATACACACGCCACCATTGTTACTTGGATAAATCGATAGATATAATATTTGCACAGGGTGTTCCTTAATGTCACATACCTGAGATTGCGCAACACAACCAGAATTTAACGCTCAATGATTAGTTCTCTGTTTATAAATTACTCAACTCAGTTATTCAGTTATTCAACAATTATTTGTGCAATAGAATTTGATTATGTTTAACTTTATCTTTTGGTTCCAAACTTAAAGTACCTAAATGTACTTAAACACCCTGTACATGATATTTATATAGCTTTAATAAAAATCGCGATCATTTGCATTCTGAAATCCTTGAAGAATGTTAGTCATTTATTAATATACTTATTGCTTACCTGAAATCGTTATGCATTAGAAATGTGAATTTTTTGGTTAGTTAGTTTAGTTGTGTTAAGAATTAAAACTGTGTTATCATATAATCTGTTATCAGACACCATCGGAGGCCATTCGGATACGGGCCGATTCTCTGGATCGATTGTGTACCTCAGCCGTTCGCAAAGTAATACCGAAAATGTCTTCGTGATAACGATTTTCATCCTGAAACAAGGTTATGTTAAATTTAACCTCAAAATTTTTAGAAATTGAATTATACCCTCATTTTAAGCATTAAACCTTCCATTTGCTCTTCACTCAAGTTACCATGCTTCTGTATTATGGTCTTTAAGGTTTGATAAACGTGTTCCGCCATTGTGCAATCACCACAGACATAAAAGTGACCACGTTCCAACACTAACATTTTATAGATTTCGGCCGCTTCGGCCAAGGCCAAGTCCTGCACGTACGTCTGAAATTATTAAAGGTTATGTATAAGTCCGCCATTTTGTGTGTACGTATTTAATGCATTGTGTACCTTTTTGACGTTGGGTTCACGCGATAATGCTAAGAAAACACGCGTCAATACACCTTTGCGCCGCATTTCTTCCTTCTCCTCTTTGTACAGGTCCAATTCGTTGGCGCGACACCCGAAGAACAGCCAGCACTTACCCAGCTCCGCTTTGCCCTCGAGCAGGCTGAGCCGCTGCTGCCAGAAGGCCCGGAACGGGGCGATACCCGTCCCCGGACCGACCAGGATAATCGGTCGTGTTGAATCTGATGGAAGATAGAAATTAGGCGCCCTGCAATCGTAATTTGCATATTGACACCACAGCTAGCACACAGATACACCGACGTCGTATCTAGCTACCTTCGAACGAATAGGTTCACGTGCTCGCCTTCCGGGACATCTTGGAGGAAACTGGAGCATACGCCATAATGAACTGGACCTTCACCATCTAAGCATAAATAAAAATAAGAACATATTATTATAGATATAAAGATGAGAAGTTTATAAATGAGGTTATGTTGTAACCTTGTGTCCTGTAGACTACAACAGCTACAGTCAAGTGAATCTGCCCTGGATTAATATTCTTGCTTGATGAAATCGAATAAAATCTTGGTTGTAACAAACTGAGTTGCGCTACCAACAATGGCGCATCAGGTTTCACCGAAGGAAACTCTTCGAGGACTTCTAATAAATTAGGAAAACGCCAATGTCTCCAGTCTTCATACGCAGCGGATTCAGTCGCCAACAGCGCCAAACGTTTCTTTTCCTCATCATTCGTTGCTATCGATGAGAAATGCTGTAATAAATTTGGTGTAGGCGGTGTTGTTATATCCAAAACCTCCGAAAACAGTTCCCGAATAGTGCATGCTGGGATCTTTTCATGTGGCACCCATGTTTTTACAACACCTTGAATATAATTATGTATAATTTATATAATTTCATTTTTGGCTGAAATATTTTACCATTCGGAGTGTGATTCTCCTGTAATACTTGCAGTTGTACAACTTCATTGGGATTCTCAGCGCGGATGAGCTTGTTGAGAATTTTGTCAACGAGCTCGGGTCGATTGCGAGCAAACACGCCCAAATGATCGCCCGGATTGTAGAGCAAATCACACTCGAACACCAAATTCAGCGTGGTGCGTTCGGCTTTTTCGCCGTGCAGATTTTTACGCGCTAGCAGTTTACTCGCGTGCACCTACGAAACGGAATAGTAAATGATTAACACGTTTGTGTGTCTAAAAAATAAACAACACCAACCTTTCGATTATGGATTTTCGCCAGTGATTGCGTCAATTCGACACGTTTTTCATCGACGAAACGCACCGTATTTACGGAGAGATTTTCCGTTTGCAGCGTCATCGTCGCCTCCAAAAATGTGTTATCGTCGTCCAAACAAAACGTATCGCATGCCACCTGCATAATCCAATTTGGTAAATTGCAAATTGCAAATTGTAAATTGTAAACAACTTTACCCTGAAGACTTCCGGCGCCCATTTGCGGAAAGCCTGCTCCTGCCCGCACATTTCATCACCAGATACCATCTTAAGTAAACGCTCGCCGCCCAATTCGCCGAGTAGATTGTCGACGTATTGCCCGAACGCGCAGAAATTCGGATAGGCGCTTGAACCGAGCGCAAACACAGCAAATCTACACAAAAACACCGAAAAAGCGCCGGGAAAAACGTTAAAACACTACAATTTAACCGAAAAACAAACAGAATGTTTACCTGACGTTGCTAAGTGGACCAAAATCATCCTCTAGAATCGTCTCACTTACAGAACCTTTCACCGAATCGTACCGATCCAATCTCCGCACGTTGATGTCTATTTGACTGTTGGCTTTGATGAAAGATTTCGACGACGCCATTGTTTGACGTAATTTTTCATCACCGTTAACAACACTTCCGCTTGGATTGTGCACTCGCAACGCGTAGAGATTTTTAGCGAATTCCTGTGAAGCGAAAAAAACCACAAAAATCATCAATTAGTTATCGATTGACACAATTGACGCAAAGGAATGTGATTACCTCGCCGTTCTCGGGTGGATCCCCATTACCGAAGGTAGACGTGACCACCAAAAGTAAAGCTTCGTGTTCGATGCTTGTAATGTCGTAGTCAGACAAGCAGTAGACTTGTGCGTTGAATGCGTGCCCGAATATCTCGCATAATTTCTTCGCATAGCTCTCAGATTTGCCGGTTTCGGTCGCGTACAACACTGTGGCTTTGATTCGCTTCGAGAGCGCCTTGCCGAAAAGCTTTGATGTGAACTTGACGGCCCTAACAACATTAAACTGAGAATTTAACAGGCGCAAGAAGAAAAAAACTTTGCGCACAAAAGTGCCAGCTAGTTAGCAATGCGAATTATTTAACAAGAATGAAGCAAAAAAGAAAAGAAAAAAATGGAAAGAAATACCTCGCAATCTGTTTGAAGTGGAATTTCCGTGGTTGCTTACGTAGCGCCTTTCCGGATTCACGAGTTTTCTTCCACACGTGCGTTTTCCACGGCGGATCCTTGATTTCAAAACGTGTAAATTTTTAAATCAAACATTCAATATTAATTTACCTGGTATTCATAACTAGGACGCATGAAATACAGCGCCATCTCTTGATGGAAGACAGGCGTAGCAGAACCGGAAAGTGGAGGGACTATCCATACCCAATCAGCAGGACAACCACTCCGTAAACGCTGCTCATTTTCATAGTGTTTCATAAAAGATTCCGAAGCGGTGTGGTGGTCAACTATAGTTACACCCTTCGCCTGGAAACTATGCAACACTGCGAGGTTAACCTCAACCATTGCTTTGTCCTTCCATAGTGACACAGGCGACCGAGTGTCCAGGCCCATTCCGTGCGCAACCGTCTACAAAGCATCAACTCACAAACTATCCGACGACCGAACTTCGTGGTCTTACCTCAAGAATGTTGTATCGATAATAGTCGCATAGATTACGACAGCCGATCTCGGTACTCATGTACCAGCCGTTGAATGGCGACGCGGTGAACTGCAACCCTCCGCAATCGAATAGCATACTTGACACCGCCGGCACGCTGTACCATTTCAACTCCATTTTCTCAAAGAATTCTAATCTGCATCAAATTTTGAGCGATAAAAGAGGTTATAAAGGTTAGGATGAGGTTAGGTTTGAATTGACGTAATTATCGTTGGTTCAAAGAATAAGAAAGTGCGCATACGTGGGATGCTTGAGTGGCACTTCGAGGACCAGCTCCGGTGGAACGTCAAAGTAGTCCGGATCGTGTCCGTTCGCCTGGAGGACAAGCGGGAGCACGTCGAATTTCGTACCGGCGCCTCTCCAGCCCAGCTTTGTGCACAGTTCTGAAAGCACGAGATAAAGTGGTCCCGCTTTTCAGTTTGAACGCTTTCATGGCCGCGGTCAGGTTAACAGGATAATAACTATTCAATATCCGCACATTCAACGGCCAACTATCTTTTATATTGCTTTTGAATAATCGAATGGCATGGTCATAATGTAGATTGGGTTGCCTAGCCATTCAACAACGTGTTGATGGTGCCAGAACTACGAAAATATCACTTTTATAGAAATAATTTCCGGAATTTAGTGAATACATCGCATGTAGAGTAATAATATTTATTATAATGGACAATTCACGTGTTTTAATGTTGAATATTTGATGAAATCGCTAACTATAAATATTATTACCGTCTAGTTATTGCATAACAAATCTAGTTGTGTAAATATTATGAGATATTAAACTTTGCATAGACTACACGCCATTTCTAGGTTATGTAACGCGCAATTGATACCATCTAGGGTGTAAAAAATAAAATAAACAGTTTTAAATTGTAGCCAAGTAGCAATGACGTGTATTGTGAATTCCAAGCGTGGAAAACGTGTCTAAATGTACCACCGAAATGAAATTCTGCGCACTTTTGAAAAATCTCCTCTGACTGCATATTTCCACCGCGCACCGAACTAATTAAAGCGAGCAAAGAATCCGGCCGTAATTGCACTCCAACAATACGAGTATAAGTTGAGTAAAAATGTGTAGTCGTTAAAGCTGTCTGATTGCCTTCAAGCCCACAACCCATCCAGTGTTATAAATGTGTTGACTGCCGAAAATAATAACACAATAGAAAACAGAATCGATCGGAAAATGATGCGAGCGTAAAAAAGATTACGGCCTGCAAATAGACTGCACTATAATATAACACACATGTGTGGGTGGTGTGTTTTTATCACTGGTCGTCGCTATAAATTTGCCAGACTCCGGGCGGCCATGAAGCAGCTGCGGAAATGTCTCGCACCTAATGTATTATCATTCATTCAACCGACTTGACTGATGCATGTTGGTAATAGTAATGATAATGGAGGCGGTGATAGAGCAGCACATTGAATTTTTTTCCCCGCTTGACATCAGACTTATAAAGCACCGCATGTCAAAGCAAAGCTTGTATAAAATCTAAAATCATTCAAGTAACGCAAATAAATATTAATTTTCTTGCATGCAGAGAGTAAATCCTCAACGTAATGTGCTGTATGATGAAATTCTAAATAGCAAAAGTTTCTAATGCGGGGCAAACAGGAAGCGAGCGAACTAAAATGTAAGAATCGGCGCGGAAGTGAAATAAAGTTGTGGGTTTCTGGAAAATACAATTCAAACTCGGCAGACATTGAAATATGTTTGCAAACGAGTTATTAAAACATATACGCGTGGTGTAAATGGTTGAAATGCCAGCGCGATGAGAACATATAGATATAAATTATGAATTTAAACTTGCAACAACTGGGTTCTGTTTTTATCTGCTTGTTTTCCAACTTTACGTATTATATGCAACCTATTATTTATTGCATACAATGTTGGTTGCCTAGATTAGTAGTTTTTAGCATACCTGTAAACTCGACAAATTGCGGATCACCGATGACACTGCCATCTGGTTGTTTCCAGCCAGCATAGCTGATTAGCTGTTGGTTCCATATGCGGAAGTCATGTTTTCCATCTGTGCGTTGCGGAAAAATCGTAATGGCCGATCTAAAGAGAAATAAAAGTTTAAATTAATTTTTAGTTTCAATTGTGACCACAATGTGGTTATATTGTGGTCGAGACGCAGAAATCATGAAACTACAAAATAGTGTTTGAATCTCACGCAGCTTTTGTTTCGTCTGGCGGCTGGCGAGAAGAAAAGGGGGAAGAAAAGGGACGCTCAAAGCCGATACTTCGATACGGGTTTCATTACGTATGCAGCCAAGCACGCCGGCGGAAAATGAAAAGGGAGAAGAACCGAACGAGAAGACTAAAGCTGCGTGTGTGTATGTTGGGTGGCGGGCCCAAATCGGATTAGTACGAATAACGATTATGTAAACGGCGTCAGTTAACGACGATTTATTATTTTTCTGTGACTTGTTCACCAAACAAGTGTAGTATTTTTTTCGCAACATAAATTTCCTCAATGAAAATCCATAAATTACACTTGCTATGTTCGCTACATGTACCGCAACTCAAACATTTGTAATTTTTTAAAATTTCCGTGTTTTTAATTCCGCAAAATGTATTCTTTAATACACGCTCATTATATCACCATCTGCGTCCTGAATTTACACCGGCCCAAATTTAAACTAATTAATTACCTCCGATTAAAATTCTTTTTTTCGCGTGCAAGTAGCAAGTGTCCATAAATTAGCTACGTCATGTAAACACAACCGAACATCCCTCGGAGAGCTTTATTAATAAATAGTAATACGTCATCATTAATTAAGTTCTTGCGTCGATTAAGTAAGTACCTTTGAAACATCTCGCACGTACTCGTATTGCGGCGTTGTTTGCGATTCATGGCATTAGGTTATAAACCATCATGCAGTGGAGGTGGAATTTGAGTACGTGTGAGTGTATCGGCGTTAATTAATGAATTAATAACGGACGGAAGCGACAAAGCGGATGCGAAACGAAATGGCAATGGTGATGAAGCCGGGAAAGAGAGGGAAAGGAGCGAAGAGCAGAGAGGATTCAATGTGTACATATTTCTACCTGGGATTCATTAATCGATTGTGGTGAATGCGGAGTAATACGAAAGGGATGTATAGTTGGTCACATACACAAATATCTCCAACAAGGGGTGACATTTCGTTATATTTCTTTGACATTTGATAATAGATGGCAAGAGTATTAGGATTATGGGTTATCTCATCCTGGAAATGGAAAAATTATGGTTGAGTTGCAGTATAGCACCGAACATACGTTTTTTCATTATATTTTTATTTGTATGACGTTACTATGGATTGGAATGTGTATGATTGGTTGCATATTTGTAGTTTTACGTATAATTTCTTCTGCATTTGTAAAATATTGTTATTTTTCGATTTGTGATTGTTTCTTAGCCGATTCCGTATCAAATATCGCAACCTTCATGATAAAATCGAATGCATCGGCATATTGTAAACAATAACAGCATTCCTGCAAGTGACGGTCGCTGTTATCGCGAAACTAACAGTATTTTATTCATTTTATTATAGAAAGAAAAAGCGATGTGTTCAGTTGAGTTGAACTCGTGTTACTTACCGAATGTTGCCTTTATTCGTGCTGTATTTAATGTGATTGCAAAGTGCTTCAAACATTCCACTCGTCGTCGTTACGGATCGGCAATCAAATACCTGAAAATATAAAATATTTGACTAGTATCGCATGTACTGCAAATCGGTGAAGTATTTTCGGGAATGTAAAATGCGTGAGTTTAATTTTTTTGTTTTTCGTACTAGAAATGTGTAATTCCTGAACTGGAGTCCAACAACATTGTAATACAAGGTATTTATTTTTATATTAACAAATAAAAATGTTATTATCTTATATTTCTAATGTTGTAATTTAATATCTCGTAAAACTTTAATTGCGTACGTTACTTAAACTAGTAAAATTGTTTTAATAATGCAACAATTTAACAAAACCATCTTGAAACTCATAATATCATAATATCTACTTGGTATCGTAGTGAAAATAAAAATTAAATTGTTATTTTCGCAATTCTGTAAAAACTGCAAGCGTTGCATACGCATTGAGTGCGCCAGACAACGAAGAACAAATGTTGAATAATAATCGTAACCCGATATGCGCAATGCGGTTAAAAGCATTCATATTCTGTGTTCATTTACTACGTAATAATGTAAAAAACTCTTCATAGAGTTCTTACGTAATAACCATACACATCTGTGTGATGATTATAGTAAAATTACAAAACTGTTTAGAGAATTTTGGTTGAATATTTGGTCGAAACATGAAAAAAAAGTGTGCGGGTTTGAGTATTGGCGTATTTAGTGATTTTGGTTGTTGTATTGCGTATGCAAAGCGAGGCGTTTGTTATTCTTAAAATGCATGTTTATTTTCCGCAAGCGTTGTGAGTGGCAAGCTGCGGCTTTCAGCCCACGAAGGCAGCCATCATCCGCATAACGGACAGCGACAAACAAGAGAAGCGACGTGCGTCGCGCACGCTGACGTACAATTTTGACTGCGTTTGACTCTTTACATACACACTACATGAATACGCGATACATGCATACAAGGATTGCGAATCCCGCTGAATGATTAGCAATGCACAATATGCTGCAACCCAACGCACCGTTGTTGCATTCGTGCACGAAATACACAAATCACTCGAAATGCTAATTAATTTCGCTACATTTTTGATGTAATTGACATTTTAATCCGTTTGATATTTGGAATATTAGTTTATATCTACATTGAGCAGGAATGTTTGGCATTGTTTAACTTGTGTAGTGCCGGGCGAACAAACCAAAAACTACTTGAGTTGGGTCAAAGGTATTTACATTTCCGCGCCGCAAAACTGATGGCTGCCATCTTGCTTTACGTGATGTGATTTGTGCTACATTTGTAACACTATTCGTATTCGTACAAAACCGCAACTTAACTTGCACAACTTGTTTTGTGCTGTGGTTAAATACATTTGTATATTTGGTTGCCTACACATTGATTTTTTGTCTATCGAATATTTATGAGTGTTATCAGACCTTTCTTCACCCAATAAATACCAGATAATCCTTTAGGACTTGAAACGAGACTTTATCTACACCTAGACCTAAACTTTTTGTCGAAGAAGGCGACAAAGAAAGTTTGTGGTTATGTTCTGTATCACAATAGAATTCTGTCTGCCAGACACTTCTAATTATGTAAATGCCAATCCGCGTCTGTGCACATTTCGGCTTTGGTAATAATTATTCGGTGAGCACGACCAAGATTACACATTTCAACATTGATGAAACGCGGTGACAAAAGCATTATTCACACGTCCTATACACAAATAACTAATCAGTGTCATCGTTAAAACTTTGGATATGTTAATAGACAAGTAAAGAGGTTGATTTCGTAGGTTATGCAACTTTTTATACTCCAATGACACAAATTGACACTAAAAATGGTTTTATATGTGATGCTACTATTTTAAAATAAAACTTTAACCCACTTTGATCTTGTATGCAGTATGTTAACATGAGTACAGCGTAAACAAAGCAACGACGTTGTTATCTAAAATTTAAATCTAACATTTTTCATTTTTCCGCTTGAATGAAAAGGTTTCCGCACGTTCGCTTGGCGTTGCGGTTCTTTTAATGTTCCGGTTTAGTTTACCACATTACAACTTCCCTTGTGTCGTGTTTTCATCACTTTTTATTCAATATTTAATATAAATTTCTACATTTGTTAATGTGGAGGTGAATTTATAAACGAAATACTTTCACAGTCGTAAATTTTGATTAAATGACTGAAACTTTGCGGTGAACTTTTGAAAAAGTGGCAAAATAGAATTTAAAAAAGAAACGCACGTTTGAAGGTAGAAAGTTGATAAAATTTACATGCACGGGTAGATTTGAACGTTCAATAAATAAAATACCAAATAAATCCCCCAAAGAGATGCGAATAAAAGTGGAGAGAAGTAGAGAAGAAGGCAAACGTTTTACGCGTATGCTGTGACACTAAAAATGCTTGAAAATTTTATGTAAATCTGGCGTAATTTCGTCAAAAAAACATACCACATTTAACATACTGTAGGAAAATTTCTTTCCTTTTTCTGTGCCTGAATTTATTCCTGTTTATTTTGGCCGCACATGCGCAAACAACCCAAATAAAAAATAAAGCGTAGAAAAAAGCGTCCTTTGCACATACTAAATCCTTAGTTTTATTTCAGCTTCTTTTCCGTTTCCTTCCAGCGCTTCCACTTGGTCCACCTGGAGAGTAGATTAAAAGGTTTCCGTGTTAAACTAACCATGCGAGGAATTTCCCGCAGCAAAGGAAAATCCTAAGCATGTTAGGATGCGGCCGCATCTCTCAATTTACGAATCTTTTTGACAACAACACAAGGGTTGTTAAAAGTGGCGATCGATTCAAATTAAAAATTGTCTATGCATTGAAATTTTAATTAAAACATTCTGAAAGAATCCAAGTGACATTGATGAATCATTAATTTAATCATGAAAAAAATCTTTGTGTAAATTTTCCACTCAGCGAGTGCAAAGAAAGTGAAAAATCAAATTTAAATCGCGGAAGTCACATCCGCTGAAACATAATATGCTTTCTTAGGACGTTGTGAGCGTCCTGAGCGTCAGTAATTAATGTATGAGGCTGAGTTGCGTGAGTTTCATGAATATACAACACAAGACAGCGAGAACATTGATGCTGGTGCATTTGTCCTGGCTTTTCGTAAAGGATTACCGATCATCCGCGTCCTTCGACGCTAAATAAAGCTTTGCATATAAAAGCACTACTACTATACTCATACGACTATAAAGGTACAGCTTGAAATGCGTCTTCGTAGAAGAATTCTTCTTGCAACTCAAGTTTTGAACGCAAAGTGGAAATAATGATGGATTTTAAGGATTTGTGTTTGAGGTTAGGTTTATTACCTGTAGTTTTGACCATTGTATACGGCCAATACAACGCACTGAATTCCTCCAGGCCAATTTTGCGCCGAAAACAAGCTCGGTTTCTGTCAGTTGATAAGTGCCGGTTGTTTTGAGTTCTTTTTCGATTTGTTCTAGGCGTGCCACGTGTGCAGGACTATTTAATCTGAAACAAATAATTACAGAATTAATTCTTGTTAATATTTATGAAAGAAATTTTGAGATATTTTTAATAGTTTTAAGTAATTATGAAAAAAGTAATTTTTTGTTGTAATATATTCACACTTAGTAGACGTGGCGTGACTATATATGTGTAGTATAAGTAAAGAAAGTACTAAAAATACAAAACTTCCAAGACTTCTTGCATGTGGACTTGAAAGCTTCAACTTTGCTCATTTCAAGTGCACAGTGCACGAAATAAAAGCAAAAAACTTCCAAAACAGCAAAAACTACTACAAACTTCAGTAATATTTAATATTTTTCTTTAATTTGGTTTACACATTCAATTTCCATTCCAAATATAAAACAACTCATAAACTAGCTCTATTATAGTTTGATTGTAATAAAACTACACCATAAACTATATTTTTACATATAAATATAAAAATAAAAATAAATTTTATTAAAAGAAATAAATTCTATATTCTACTGGAATAAATCAAACAAATTGACATTTATATTTCTATCTGATTGCTTGTCTTGAAATTTTCAATTAGGCCTAATTGCAATTCCGAAATCCGTGCTGGCAGGCTTTTACAACCATTTTTATTGCGGCGTAATGATCTGTAATCAGCGTCAAATTAAGTGGCATGCGAATATTTTCAAACGCGCTGTCTGTCGCAAACAGCGCGCGTGGATTATCTTCAAAGATCAAATGCGCAATAAAATAAAATTACAACAATGATAGAGAGAGATTGCCAGTGTGAATGTTTTACGGCGGTAATAAAAGTGTTTTTTAAACAAACATAAATAAATATCAACCTGAATCATACCCCACCGATGGCTGGGTCGTAAAAGTTTATCGATTGCATCGATTGCACTTTCATTTTATGATTGGCTCTTTTTATGGCTTGCATTTGTTACTATGTATTCATAAATAATCAGAGTTTTTATTAATTTTTATATATTTTGGTATAAATGTGTAAAATTGTGGTTTTTAAGTGCTGAAAATTGATTTTTGGACACTAGTGTTTAAAATTTAGCTTTGGAGTGCGTAAATTTATATTTTGTGTGGTTTTAATTACACATTTCAACGATTTAAACTTTGGTTATGTTAATATACAAGTAAAGAAGCTAATTTTGTAGTATAGGCAACTTTTTACACACCAATGTGATTAATTGACACACATTTTTATAATTTATCTTTAAACACTTCGATCGATGGTGTAAGCTCGTAAAATTGTATTTTTTGTCAATAATGCGAACATGCTTACACATTTCAATATTTCAAACTTTTGTTATGTTTATATACAAGTATTTTACAAGCATATATTAATTATGTGTGTTAGGCAACTTTTTACACACCAATTACAAAAATTAACAATTCTTTTTAAAATTTTTCTTTATATACCCTTTTTCACTGCATAAAATTATATTCTTTCGCCCTAGAGCAAAAATAAACATTTCTACATATCTTAATGTAGTCTAACTAAATTATTCTATCAATTATACATCAATAATAGTAATGTGCGAATGTGAATAGCTTAATATCAGATATTAGCGGAACGGATCGATATCGCAAGCTTTCGGAATAGAATTATCCACATTGAGCGGTGCAAAGCACTTAGAATTAGGCTATCATCGTTGACTTGTTAGCACCGGATTTGCACCAACAACCACTTTACTAAGTGATCATTTCATCTCAAAGCGACGATTATCTTAATATTACCTCCTCATTCACATTTACAATCGAAACGAATAAACTTAAACAACACAACAATTTTAAATCATCATTACGAAAATACCTAATATCTTTGTTTGTCAACTGGTTTAATTATTATGTGAATAATTTCCTACAGAACGAGGGTATTCGAAGCTTGATGTTATTCAATTTACATTGTTGATCATTATTACGATATTAATTAATGCGTGTATATCTTGCTGGCGCTTTTGACTTTGACTTCGGCGAAAAGCCATACAAGGGTGATTTCCTTTGATGATGATGATTGTGATAGCTCTTTCCTGGAATGCGCATGTTATGTGACATTTTGCACTGCAATGTTTGCAGTTTTGCTGTTTTCATTGTGTTTTTAAAGGTAGGCAACTTGTGCGCGCCGCGTGTATTGTGGTTATACATGTTTCATAGCTATTCTGAACGACAAATTTAATATTAAAAGTAAATAAAGGGCTATTCACGATTATATTTTGATAGATTTATAATATCAGATAGATTTACGCGGAATTTCCATTTAATTCTCGTAAATAAAATTATTTGAAGCGATCAGAAAGCAATATATCAATTTAATCAAAGCTTTCGAATGAATTACGACCAACCAAGCATCACAAAACAAATCAAAATGCTTCATTAAGTATATAATCGATGGACATAACGTCAATTATCATTAAAATTAAATTTTAATATTTCTATGCGAATATCTTTGAATTTTAAAATTCCATTAATTTTTCTGAAAAAGACGTGACGCAACGAGTCTAAATGTTGATGCAGATTTGACATTTTCAATTTCCTTTGCGAGCTAAAATAACTTTCGCAGGTAGAATGCATTATCAGCGGCGAATAAAAGTGTTAAAAGTGTTTGAAGCATCTCGAAGCGATGACGCCATTGCAATATCAATATTCTGCACTTAGTTGTAATGTCACGCCTTGGGGTTATTTGTTATATGGTATTTGATTTGATTATTTGATTGTCGATCAAATAAAAATATTACTATTTGAACAGTCATATTGTCACAAACTGAATTTTCCTGTTTTTTTTAATTTTTTTTGTGGGAAATAGTTTTATATTGCACCGATTGTAATTGTCACTTTGATGTTGGAATTAACAAACACTTGTGAAAAAGCGCAAAAGGGTTTTAGGATATAGGTTTAGCTTAATGGGAAAATAGATTTGATCCCCATCTAAATACTCCTTGTTTCCTATTCCGGCTGAGGAGACCAGCAGAGTATTTCCAAACAGAACTAATGTGAAATGGAGAAAAAAGCGCGACGAGACGAAAACCACTTAATGCATGACTGGCAACATTCTCACCGTGCTCAACTCAAGACGGAAATACAGAGCTGTATCTATTACATTTTATTTTCTTACAATTTTCGATTAAAACATAATATACTACTATTTATTTGATATTCAGTGGATAAAATCATCAAAAACTAAATTTTTCTATTTTTCTGTCAAATTTTTGACATTTTGCCAAGCTATTAATACGTGAAGCGTATATAATTTCGATCAGGTGCATCAGCATTCACCAAGTGGGCACGACTTGAACCACGAGTACGAATACGACAAAATCCCGTTGAGTGATTACGAACCAGGAGTCTTTCCGCATACAAATCGCACTCCTGAATGAAATTCTCCTTAATTTGCTCAATTTCTCCTGCTTCACCTTTCTTTGCGTGACATTATTACCGACTATCTCCTCTTAACTTTTAGGTTAGACTGTTATCTGTTAATGACCCATTGAAGAAGTATTTTCTCCTAAACTAGGTTAGGAAAAAGTGTTGAGGTTATGTTTTGTTGTGTGTCTTGTGGTGACTTAGTGGTTTCATAATTTTTTTAATGCGTCGTCAACTAACGACGTGTGTTGCCATTGTCGTCGTGGAATGACTCTTAATAAAGTAGCCGCAGCACATTGCCATTGTTACACGCGATAACTGATAAAGCATGGAGCACTCTGCTCGGTGAGACAATGCACGGTCGGCGAATTAGGTGGAATATGTGCTCTCGCGTTTATTTCGTTTTCTTGGCTGCAGACCAGAAAGAACATTTCTGACCTGAATATTAAGGTTATGAAGTTTATATTGAACTCGAATGATGGACGTGTATTGCTTTTAAGGTTATATGTCGCGTTTATAACCTAGAAATGTGTGTTTGGCGAATAAAACAAATAAATGTTAATGAAATTGTACCCGAAACACTTATTTGTCTGATTAGGTCAGTAAATGTCTGCCACAGCAAAGAAATTGTTTCCGTTTCGGTGAATTAATTTAAATTAAATAAAAACGAAACTTTTATTTTCACCTCAATTCTTCTGCGTTGCTTAATCCCGCGTAGAATCAACGAAAATTTAGCCCCAATGCTAAACATGCAAAACGCAGGAAAATTAACAAACAAAATACAATAGAATACGCAGATTTCTATGGTTGATATTGTCATCCGACGCCATTTTGCTCATTTGCTGTATTTTCCACGTTTTGAGGACAAACGACAAATATAAAGAGGATTTTAATTATCATTCCTCGCTATATTCAATGCCTACTGTTTTCACAACATAGATATACAACCAAATATACACCGCGTTACATTTTTAGGTTATTTGCATGCACAACCGGTGTATATCCTCTTTTACCCGAATGACTCTTGCCCCCATTATCTCAAATGAGCAAAGTAAGAAGTAAATCGTATAATTTTTTCCTCTCTGCGCCTGCCGGCGGCGGTTTGAGGGTCGCCGGGTCGGCTTGATTAAACGAAATTATCCCTAACGTCGCTACATGCTTCCTGCTTCAATTTTTCATACGCCGCGCGCTCGTAAACAGTCCTCGCGCGCGTATTAACACAATTAATATTTGCGCGCAAATTTAAAACTTCATGAGCTTTGCCTCGAGTGTGGAATTATTATGTCAACCCTCTTGCGAAAACATCAAACTCCAAATGAACACCCTTCATGCAGTCAGAAAGTGTTATATTTTATTCAGCGCAGAGAAAAACCTAACCTCTTTTTTGACCTTTCAATTCCGTTATGAATATTCAACTTTTTTGTTGATTCGCACGCATAAAGCACAACCTTTTGAATATTTAATAATAAAATAACAAAAATGTATGTTTAACTGTCAACAACTTAAAGTTTCATTATAAAAATACATTTTTATATATTTAAAACACATTTTACCTTCGGATAGATGTGAAGTATTGCACGATGAACTCTTTAGCTTGCTCCAGGACTTGATCTGTTGTGCGAACTTCATTAGTATCTCGATTTAAGTATGTCATACAACTTCCAAGACACAAATCGTTACTGCACGGCGTTTCCTGTAAACAAAACCATAAAATTAGTGTATGTCTGGTTGCCTACATTAAATATGTCACAAAATTGTCATTTGTCATATTTTGCGCGCACGTTTCACGTTATTTTTGTGTTAATTGAATAAAAACACATAAAATTCATAATAAATATGGAAGCAACGCCACAGATTGAAGCCGACAGGCGTCTGTTAAAATTCAAGACGTACGAAGATTACCTCGACTCATTAGTAACGCCCGCCGATTTGTGTTACATGCAGAGTGTCACAGCATCCCGCACGTTAGCGGAATTAGGATACAGGTGAGATGATAAAACGTTAAACCCACTTGTATATGATTGATGATGGGGCTATACATCTACCTAAACATGTCATCAGAGAGTATCCCTTTAAAACAGATGTAAAAAATGAGTTTTTAGGTTATATTTCTGTCAGAAAGCGTTTCTAACCTCAATTTATATAGTTTCTTGAAGCTGATGCAGTTACAGAGTTAAATTTAGTACGTGTGGGATCAAAAACTCTTGGCATGCGAAAGTTTTGCGGGGGCGATCGATGAATCGCGACGCCGAGGAATTCAACACAGTTTACTAACCGAAGAATTTCTGCACATCGCACTTATTTTTTTCTACGTTTCTAATTAAAATTTTTTGATTCATTGTCAATAATCAAGTTTAATCGATGCATTCAATGTGATTTATTGGTGATTGCAGGAGCACCGGTGCAACATTAAGCCGGAAACAGTTTGAACGACGTCTGGCTGCAGTTATCGCGTATTTATATCCTACTTTCAAGCCTTATGAGTTGGCCAGTGAACGGATGCCAGCCACCGACGACTTGCAGAAAGAACTCGCCATTCGGGAACGACCCAATCGACTTGGCATTTTAGCGGTACGTTTGTAGAATTTTTAAGTAAACATGAAAAATACCCAGCGTTAGAAAAAAATAATTTTTTCAAAGAAATATCTTAGATAAATAATCAAAAAGTTAAAAATTATTTTTATAGGCTTCGGTAATTAAAAATCTTAGTTATTTTCTTTAATAGAACAGAAAAATAATAATTTTTGAGCAAATAGAATGAAATCCATGTCAATATTATCGTATCATGCATCTCAAACGTGAACTTTGTGTCTGAGTTAATCCGAAACTTGAATTTAGGAGTTTAAGCACCCCGACACATTACGCCCGCCACATCTAACTGCGAGTCGAGTGAAAATTCAATTAAATCGCTCGAAAATTATGTCGATTATAGCGCGCGACTTCTTAGAGGTTTACCTACCCACAACTCGTCATCCACGACACTCTGGCTAACTTTCTTGCCTCCCTGCGCGCACAGCCAATTAATATACGGAAAATTGAATGTGCACTTGTGCATATCCGCAAGGAGGCAACGTCCGTCCGTAACTGTCAAATGAATATTATCATCAAATTTTTATTATGTGGAAATTTCATCACGCAAAACATTAAATTTTAATCCAATTCGAAACACAATCAATTTTATTTATTGTGTTTGCCGTTTAGAACAAAATAAATTCGTTCCTGCGCGTCACATAAATATCAATTCTCGCAATTCCCAACAGTTTTTCCACACAAATTGATCGCGCACGACTTTATTTGTGGTGGAAATTCGCAATTTGCGGTGTTGCATTGTCGTCGCGTCATTAAAAAACAATAAAATTTTAATACTCCGGTGATAATTTGCGCCTCCATGGCGCAATACAACATTAATTAATTTTATGATTCAATGAACATTCAATTTATACTTTATACTTCCTAATGAACACATAAATAAATTAAAACGGTTGCGTTTTACATGGAAAAGCGCTTTTCGAATTGCGTACGCGAATAAAACATGATTATGTTTCATTTTTGGTGTGTTGTTGGTTGCAGACAATCATATTTTTGCGTAACACAACTTCTGGCGGGTTTGAAGTATCCGGTTACATCGACTACGGCGACCGGCTGAAGATCGAAGATTGGAAACCATTTTTTCGAGGTTCGCATGGAAATTGTTGCTTTCATTTACATACCACTTTCATTTCTTTTATACCCGACATATATTCGTGTGGTGGGAATCAATTTGTAGACAATTCTCACTCGCTTGACATCCTCTTTTCAACATTTCAACATATCTATCATTTTGTATTAAATTTTTCATTTTTTTGTTATTGCAGGTAAAAGACGACTGTGGCCTAAACCTACAGACCTTGGTTACTACCACTGGAGACTCGGAGCTAGTGTATCCAATGATTCATTCAATTTTAAGGTAAGATTAACCCTAAAATTGTTTTGGTAACTTTTTACTCTGTTTGATTTATCTGTGCGCCTGAAAGTTTGCAACCAAATTAACATCTGAATGCATTTGTATGAAAATCTTTCGCGAACATAATTAATAATTCGTACATCTTACAAACTTCTCAAGTTCTTATATTTACAATGCGTCTGGGGTATACAATGCGTGGTGGGCGAACGGAAATGAGCATTACTTAATTTAAAGACTTAACATGCAATTCGCTTCTCACTCTCTTTGCTCGCGAGCGCGTTACTCATACTTACACCTTGGATGTTTTCGTCGGCTCAGGATGAATAAGACACCAACCAACACGCGTAGCTGCCGTCGAGTCCTAGGACGTATTAACCGCATAATGCGCCATGACATTTTACCTCTTTTGAGGCGAAATAATTAATGTTGCTGCTACGTTCACGACCACACTGCTGCAACAACATTAATTTCGGTGGATACCTATTTAAGGTTTGAATATGCCCGACAAAATTTTGTATTATCGCTGCTTAATCGTTATTTCATTCGTATTCAAGTTCATATTACATATTAACTACGAATATGACATATACTACGTGTAAAGTTGGTTGCATACAGTTACAACATCATAACCTGGCGTAAATTTTAAATTAAATCATAATTTACATCGATTACAATTGAATTCGATCTAGACGACATTAATTTAAAGTTCTAATATGTACATACAGTAAATTAATAATGATTTACATCAAAGTTTATGATCTCTAGTCTTACTCGGTGTAGACGCGAATGATTCCGTCCACGCAAACTTCTCTGTTGGCTCCAAACCGAACATTGGAGAAACATGTGAAGCAGTTCGAAATAATGACCTAATAATCGCCCACCCTTGATGATGAGCGCAAGCGGCGAGCGCGGTTTCGGTTACCGTTTTCAGCGGCTGAATGAATATTAGTGCCGTGGTCGTTGAATGCTTTGGCAACCGCCAAAAGCGCGCACGCCACTTTGGTTTGCTTGCTTGTTGCTTGATCCTTTCGTGCTCGTACACGCGCAGAACGCTTCATGTTGATGTTTGTTAGTTTGTTATCATGCCGGCAGGCTTATATGCCTACAGTTTACCAGTCGTCAGTAAATATCAAAGTATCAACCAAATTGTGTGGTAAATTTGAATGTGAAACAAATCGTGCATGTTTAAATCATGAAATGAACATGTGCAAGCTTTATTTTGTAGAAAAAAAGTTTTATTTTTAATTATTACGACGTAAATAATCAAAAAATATTTTTTTTGATTGAAAATTGTTTATATAATGAAATTATGCCGCTGCTGCTACCACTTGACTTGTCAAACAACTCAGAAATAATTCCAACTTTGCGTCGCTTTGAAGTCTGAAATTTTATGCGGCGATAATTCTTTAATAACATTGGTGTAATCATTTTAATGAAATGATAACCGTGGCACGGCGATGGCGTGGAAGTAATTTCCAATCGCTTTTAATCGAATGTACAACTCGGGTCCACTTTGGTGTAATTTCACGGCAAACATTCGACTTTCAATGACTTTCAGGAGATTATTACTGAAAAGAGTTTCGCCGCGGGGCGCAAAGCGCGACTAGACGTGCACCGATATCGGCGTTCGTCTTTTGGGGCGAACGCGTTTTTAATTGGAACTTTTTTTGCGCTTCGTCGGCGCTTTTCAATGCGCAGATACTTTATGCGAGACCGCCAATGTTTATCAACACGTTTTCGTGGAAACATTTACATTTTAAACGATTTTGATTATCGGCTAGACAAGAATAAATATTTTTTGCATTAGATTTCATTACCAGCATCATTTTGACGTGATAACGTCTTTAAAATCGTTTTAGTCGGGTGACATGTTCAGAAACTTGTGTCACGAGGCCTCCGATCGCAGGTATAACGAGAGAGAGAGAGACGGACCGATCTCCCGTCTCATCTCGAGCGCTGCCAGTCATTCCGTGAAACTTGACACGCGGAATCCGCACGAGCGGAGGCAGGCATAGTGTTCGAGTGAGTGGACCGATCTTCCGTCTCTCTCACTCTAGCGGCATACAAACGAATGGAGATTTTCTCGTGCGGTTAAGTTTTCGTTGAATATTTAACAGTGAAACAAAATGTGAAGTGCAAGTGAAGTGTTACAACAATTGCAACAAAAAAAACTTATATCACCAATAAGACGTTATCACGTAAACATCTCGATCGTAACGTAACAAACAACCATTTTTTTTTTATTGATTTTTGTTTGATTTCACAAAAGATTTTGTCGTTTTGTCTTCGCCAGCGATAATTTCGTATAAATACACGCGTTGCCAAACACAAAGTTGTCGGTTTGCAAAACCGTGCGGCATAGGGGTTCGTTACACTTGCAAGATGTTCCCTCATGTTTAGGGGATGATACACGTACGCGCCGATAACGCATTCGAACAAACAAATATAAAGTACGGAAGCGAAAACAACCAAAAACCGGCAGAACGTGTGTTTACGACCGCACATTCGACGCAAAATGTAAATACGCCTATCAAACTCAACAAAAACAAACCGAAAACAAAAATTTCATATCACCATTATACAATGAAATGAATTTGGGTTAAATTTTGCCGAGAATATTTAATGTGATAATACAACAACAGAGAGAATAAAGCGTGTAAAAAACGCTGACTAGATGCATCGTGCATACGATTAAATCGAGAGCAACTCGTTTGCAGCCGATGATAAGGTCGATAATGCTCTAATCTGCAGCTCAATGATACTCGTCTGTTTGGGGGATGAAGTTAAGCTGGATGACGTCATGCTGATCAATAACAACGAAAACAAAACCGTGGACTGCGTCATAACGAGAATTTTTCGTGTTTGCATATAATTATAATTATTTAAAGTTGTGGGAGGTAAAAATAGACGCGGATTGATTAGAATCAGAGGGAAATGAATCAATATTCAACTGGAAATATTGAAGGTAAACACGCTGTATAAAAGTTCAATATATTAAAAGTTGATAATATTCGACAAATTGAATTTGCCGTCGATGAGAAAAAGATCGTTACGTTGGGCTTTGCTACGAGACCGGAAGTAACACACTTTCACCCACACACAAAGCACAGGCTTTGAGAAAGGCGAGGAAATAACTGAAGAGTCAGTTGATAAATTTTCTATGAGCATGATTTCATTTGTAGTTTGACGTAGTAGATTTAAATCGATAATTTTTTTTAATTTTTTAGTTTTTTGTGAAAAAAATTTAGGAAGCACTCGGTGGATTTAAGCCCTTGTCGCACCTTTGGGTATTATGCACGCGCAACACTTGCAATTCGTGCATAATTTATGATAACGCCATGTTTGCTCTTGGCAAGTCGTGCAAGTAGTTTGCGCTCCGGAGCCATTAGACACTAGCTCCTTTCGGAAACTTGGCTTCCGGCACCGTGCACATGCTTCGTCACTTTTGATTTAATCTGATCTCATTCGAATCGCGAGCAAGTGCGCAAACAAACAGGTAATGGTTAAGCTGGCATTGAGCAATGCGGTGGAGAATATACCAAACAACAAATTTAGATGCGCAGTGTATGATTATATAGTCACGACACCTTTACTAGAACACAATATTAATATACCTACATATATTTTGTGGGTTTGGGGTAGATTCGATGGTTGATAATATTGCGCATGCTTTAATGTGTTCATGTGAATTGAAACGTTATCAATTCGCTTCGCTACAAAATGACACAATGCAGTAAAATGTTGGGAATTTTTTTAATAACTCGGGTTGCGGCATATTCATGCGCTATCATACGCTACTGATCAGGCATATTAAAATTGTTGCGCGCGTTCTGCAGCGCATTTAAAAATTGTACCTGGATTTATTTTTTGAATTGTGATATCAGCGTATGAAGATATAATTGTAATTTTTGTTCATATTAAAATTAATAGTATTGAATTTGTATTATTTAAGGGAAAATTTATTACAAATTGACTTTAAATTGATTATATTCTCTAGAGTTATTTAATTATATATATTTTAATGCAGTAAAATTGAATTTTTGTACATTTTTAACATAAAATGCAAAAATAATCAATTTTTCGAATATTTTATCTTTAATTTTAATATTTAAGTTAAAAATTATTTTAAATTGATTTTAAATTGTGACTAAAGTATTTTAGTCACGGTTTTGGCCATTCGTGAACTAAATGTCACTTTTCGTATCCTGAAACCGTGGAAAAAGTGGTATTTTAAAAGTGGAACTAGAAAAAGTGGTGTTTTTGTACATTTTCAAAATTTTTTTGCAAAAAATTAAATTTTTCTAATATTTTACCTTTTTAAACATTTAAGTAAAAATTTATTACAAATTTACTGTAAATTGAATTTATTCCCTAAAGTTATTTAATTATTTACATTTTAATGCATTAAAATAGTATTTTACTGCATTTTTCGCAAAAAAATCAATTTTTCTAAAACTTTATCTCTGCTTGTTCAGCAACGCTTCAAAAACATGTTTGCAGCATAATTTAATATTTTTTCTATCTTTTTGCATACCTTCACCTATGTACTGTACGTTTTGAGGTGAGATTTAAGTCTATTACTGTTCGAAAAACTGAAAAACGAAAAAAAAAAAAGTTGAAAATAAAAAAACGTGAAAAAAGGAAACGGAAGCATGTGCACACGCAGTGCACACAATTTTACACACGAATATATATCAGGGGCAGATATTCAGATTTGGGTGCTCCACGACTCCGCGCTTCCGGGTTTTGGGGGGTGATGTATTTCCCAAGAGAATCGCATACCGTAATGTGCGAATGGTTCTACAACTTGTTTAAATTTATTTCACCGCTCCGGAAAGCGCAAAATAAAAAAACGCACGGATATTCAATAAGGGGATAAAAGAATAAAAGAGTGAATTACGACTACTTCTTAACTCTTTTCATTGTTTCTTCACTTAATGTGATGCTTAATGTTAGGTATTATTCGTCGTAAAGCCAATTGGCCACAGACGATTTGCGCGGTTGATTTCTACCGCTCGTTTAGTATTTTTTGTTTGTTTGTTGCTCTGTTCAGTGACTATTACTAATGCAATTTCTTTCTTTGGTTTGTCGAACAGGTCATTGTGCATCCGAAGAGAGGACTGCTGTTTCAGAATCGCTTCGATCGTAAAGTGATTTCCGTCGACCCTGTGCAATCGCCCGGCAGCAACAGCACTCGTCTGTGTGTCCTCTCGCCGATCTACGATCACGTCGTTTTATTGGATCACGTAGTCATTCAGCGAATTTAAACTGGTATGCATGATGAGTATTAAGAATGAATCGGCTCTCGGCGTAATTACATAGTAATGCCATTCCACGCAAAAATATATATAGTCTCCCTATTCATCGTAATGAAGTAAATTGAGAGTAAACTAACTTTTTAGACATTAAAACTTCAAAATTTAGTAGAAGTTAGTTGATTTTATTGAATTCTTCTCTGTTTTGAGTCATTTTGTTAGGAGTCAAAGGTTAATCGTCGATTAAACATTCAAAAAATGAATTTTTGCAATAAAAATCTATTTATTTGTGTTTTGCACATAAAACAGAATGCAATTTGTTTCTCGAGCGTTGAAAGGCCGTTATAAATTGGTTTGTAGCCAATATTGAAAACACATCCATTGCACCAATGATCTAAACTTTATAAATCGTAAAATCAACGTTTTACACAAGTTTAATTCTGTTTTTTTCGATTTAAAAATCAGTTGAGTAAAATGAACAGTTGTATTGAAATTGTTTTTCTATCGAACAAAATTCAATAAGCAAATTCAAAACAAAAAGCTCTGAGAAACGCCGAAGCAATATGTCAGCAGCTGTGCAAATAGCGACGGAAAGCACTCGCGCGCCATTCACTCCTCAATGCGTCTCAGAAACAACCGGAAAAAATGTCCATTTAATTATTTCTTCAGCGCACTTCAAGAAAAAAGTATTTTCATAATAAACATTCACAGCGAGTTAGACTCCGCAGCGATATAATTAAAATTCAGCGAAATATGAATTTATTAAAACTGTGTCAAAGTATCAAATATTAAAATGTGTCGCAATCAATGAAACAGAAAGAACATCAAAGAGGAAATTAACTGCACGGGTATTCAGTATTATCTTTTCAAAGAGCTTTAAGGATTCAAGTATAACAATGAATGAACGAGTTTAGCGCGCGGAGTTAAGTAAGAAAACTCAACAGTTACAGAAATAATGGCAAAAAGTTATTTCCTTAGTTAATTTAATGATATTGTTTTTGTTTCGCGCCATAACACAAACAATATCCATACCTGGATTTATTTATATGTGGATAATAATCCTCCGAAAAGTTTTGGAAGCTTTAAGAACACAAATGTATGTATGTCGTGTTTGCATTTATATTTAATAACATTAATTCTGAAAGTAATTAAATTTTATTATATTTAATCGTATCATGTAATGTTATTGAGTATATTTTGCACATACAGTGTGTTTAGTATTTAATTAGTATTTGACTTGTCGTTCAAGTACAAGTGTAACATGTTTTGCTGATAAATTTTCCGGTGAACCGCAAATGTGCAAATTAAATGCTGACGCTTGTTGTGCGAAAGTTTCGTCGATTTTCGTGCATAGCGAAACTTTCGTGACATCACCAGGTACTTTTTTAACCTCTCTGGTGGCGGCGGCGTGTGTGCCGCGCGCGCAATAAACACGTACGTGTAAATACGTAAAATGTTTGTTCGGCACGTCCGCCGCCGTTTCGTTTGTCACCGCTGCCGCCTGCGTCGGTGAGCCGTTTGTAATCGCGCGCGTAACAAATCTGTGTTTGTCTTTTCGCGTAAAAGTAAGTTGGCCGCGTCTAATTAGCCGTGAATGATGATTATATGTGTAGCGTGCCAACTGTGCTAATAGTCGGACATATTACATTTTATACATTAACACCATTTACATTTTAAATGCGATAAATCATTTTAATTGCTAAAATAATTTAAAATAAAATTTTAAGTATCAAGTGCGCTAAATGGCACTTTAACAACGTTTTACAACGTGATGCTTATGATATTTTTTCTATTTTCAATTTATTTCCACGTTTAGTTTTAGTATTTGAATTTTTTAATTAAAAATTTCGATTTTTGTTTGCACACTATTGCAAAATATTCGAAAATATAAGGTTATCTATGCGCAGGCGCAAGTTCCACCCCGTGACTAAAGTACTTTAGTTAAGATTTTAGCCGTCCACGATTAAATTACCACTTTTTGAATCTCAAAACCGTGGAAAAACATCCGAAAGTGGAAAAATATATTTCATTACATATTAAGACGAAAAACAATAAATTATTAGGTTTTTAACTATTTCCTCCGAAGTTATTCAATAATACTAATTGCTAATTATTTTTTTCAAAGCATAATCTAAGCTCGCAGGATTACTTTGCGTCCATTTTGTGTTTGCCGTTTGCATTCACATATTTTTATCCATTCGAACTAATCAGGATATACTGCGTTGTAAATTACATTCGTTATCCACATCGCATGTAATGTCATTGCGTAACATTTCACCGAAATATTTATCGCCCGATTCGGAAAGAAACTTTAATTAGTATGACATTGTTTATTAATAAAGCATCAATCTCATATAAGCCATAAGCCATCAGCCAACGATTGGCCGGTTGTCTATTAATACGCTATCGTTAATTATTTAGTATTGATGACTTCATGGCCAGCGTTAAACTTTAATAAGAACAAGCTAAGTTTGTGACACAAAATACAAAACACAAAGAAAACACGTGTTTGTACAAGCATGTGTTTTTCAAGTTTCAAGTTTAACTTAACTTTGCAGTTCATTCACGAAGAAATTAATTTGAAAAAGATTGTTTGCACGGTTTTTATGCGCAGCGGAAGTCTGGAAGTATTTAATTAAAATTCATGGTGACGCAAGAGTCAAACATCAATGTCTAGGCTGACCGAAAACAAAAAACTATTATCAATTAAAAAGAATTGAAAAAAAAATGCATTTTTGATTTTTCACGATTAAATTACATTGAATTGCAATATTTGAGGTTATGTCATATTCTATTGCTCCCTTTGGCAATTTATTCATGCAAATAATGAGCAACCAATAATAATTATAATATTTATTTTAATTATTATCATTCGCGCATATTGATTATATACTTAATTTAGCGTGGTTTAATTTAAACTGAAAATTATGAATCCAGATTGAATTAATGGAACACAAATTGATTTTTTCTTTAACTTTTTTACTTTTTGAAAAGTAAATTGATTCACATTGTGTGAGTATTAATTTGTGTATACTCGCAGAGCTTTGATATCATTGTGCATTGTGTTCCATTCTTTGCGTTAGCAAATCTTCGAGCTTTCAGCGTCTCGCGAGACCTAACGCAGAGTTATGACATCAAATTATTTGAACGCGTGCATCGCGAATTTGCGCTGGCGTATCTTCCACTGCGGTGCATCTAAACAAACACATGCGACTGCACGGAAAGTTTAAATAAACAAAATGCAGATGGTTAACTGGAATCGTGACTTCAACTTCGACTTCAATTTTTATTAAACTCAAGTTAAATATTTACTTATGATGGATATAAACTTGTGATTTAATTATTTATGTAATCAAAGCTTTTATTACACACTTATGTGATGATAAAAAGAAAATTAATTTTTTACGCGTAAAAATTTTATATTTTGTAAGTAAATAATGAAATTGAATGTTTCGCGTCTTGTACCGACAGGCAAATTAATTAATTATTAAGTTTTGGATTTTGTGCAAGCTGAAACTTGAAAGCCTCGAGCACTATCGCGCGCGTCACAATATTTAAGCATTCTTCGAGTAACAAATCTGAACGCAATCAGCAAGTGTCCATCAATCTATAGCTGGCACAGTGCGAAAGTTTGCGCCGGGTGTATGCGCGCCTTTGAAAAGCATCCCACAGTCGCAGTCGGGAAATATCTGTGGCAAGTCCCATCCAGTCAAAGTCAGCGAGCCGCGCCAGAGGAGCATAATAGAGAAGACAGAAGCGGCGGCAGTTGAATTTCACGTTTTATTGAATTCCATATTGATGCTCGTCCCGTATTCGCATTCGCGCATTCGTTTCCCAGGCCGCAGCTTATTTAGCCCACTTCCAGCCGCGTGTCGTGTCTGTCTCATTCGCAAACATTGATTAAAAAACTTTTCGAAATATTCAAAAATTATTGTGTGCATGACGAGATGCATTCGGACAATGGGAGTTTTCAATTTAAAAAAGTCGTGTCCAAAACGCTCACGAAAACGATAAATTTCGGTTTGTGTAGCATGGCCAATTTGGGGTTTATTTCTTTTTAAGTAAATTATAATTTATCGCATAAAAGACAGCCGCATAAAGTACAAAACATTTGTTTCGTTCATCCACACATACAATTCGTTTGCGTAATAAAAAAAGTTTTATGATTACAACAAGAAATTTAACTTGTAGAAACATATTGTATACAACGAACTAAATATAAACGAGAGAATATTGCCGAACGAAATAAACGATAGCGGATCGACGCGCTGAAAATTTAACAAAAACGAAATTGAAACCCTCGGCGTATATATTTTTTCCAATTTGTACGCCGATGCTCAAATTGCCCTGGCTGTAAATAGAATTCTACCAATGTACAATCGCGATTTATTGGTCGTCAAAGCAAATCTTGCGCATCTTTTCTCCATACAGGCACTAGTTGCATTACATAAGGTGTTTACGCAGCGCGCACGTGACTTTGAAAGCAATCATGAAACATGAGCGTATGAAATTTTGAAATATTGCCAAAAGTGTGCAAACCTCAGATAAAAACAATAAATAAACATTTTTAACAGATTATGACAAGTTGCTTCAGAATGCAAAAAAATGTGAACAAGTTGATTGGACTGATGTTTGCACTGATTACGTGTTAATCAAAGGTTATAATTGCATTTTTTCCTCGGATGGTGGAGGCGCCGGGCAATTTTTTCGCCTCGAACTAGTTACACGTTCAGAACCGATTAAATCACATCCTGGTAGTGATTAAACATGTGACTGCATTAAAAAATTTTAAAATTATTTGTTTATTTTACGTAAAAAGTAATTTTTCCCACTCAAAACGTCGAATGTAATGTGTTTGAGTCGAACATGAAAATACTTGAAAAACACTCAGCTGTAACGCTAAACAACGCTAAAAGGCTGAATACGAGTCATGTTGTCATACGTGCGAGGCTGACAATTTTCGTGCGATTCGCGGCCTGCGAATGGCACATGAGGCATCGAATCGCTTACACATCGCGTGTGCATCGACGCCCGCGCTCCATACGCCGACTTAGGTTTACATTAAAATGGAACGATAACGCGAATATCAGACGTGACAGTTGTTTTAAAATTACGACGGCTCGGCCACAAAGCTTCGCCGCGAACGCTGCGAGTGGAAAAATGGCTAAGAAGTGTGTGCACGACGCGCACCAATATTTATATGCATAACATTCGGATATTGTATAACAGTGTAGCGCTAGTTGTTCAACATATGGAAATTTTCCCAGTGGAATAACAAACATTATACTGGACGATGTAGGGGAATGCATAATTCGATAAAATCAATCAATTCAATCAATTTTATTAAAAAAAATTAAATTTTTAAATTTTATGTTTTTGTTATGTTTTTTTTTTAAACTCCAGGCCATGAGCAAAGCAAAGAAACGCTGCTTTGGGGAATGTAAATGCCGCGATAGGAAATATTCAAGCTCTCGAACAAAAGTGGCTGCCTTGGGCATTTCTTTCCTGAATTATGTCAAACAAACTGGTACAAATTTCAAAACAAACAACGCACCCAAGCGTACAAATTAAATATTAATAAATTTTTTTCGGCAATATTTTGCAGGAAATTAATAACACAAAATCATTTTCGGCCGATATTAATTATTCACTTGATTCAGTTTTTTGTTCAAGATATTAATAAGGTATGGAAATGATAATAATGCAATTAAATCAAATAATAGCACACGACCCAGTTGAATGTTTGCTTCCTTTATGGAGGAACCATGTTTGAACTAAAAGGAAATTACCATATGAATGGAATATTAATATTTGTAATTATCAAGTGACTATGGCGCTTGCATTGTCCGCAAATTGTTTTTACTGGGATATTTTCAATTGCGAATTGAATCAGAATTATTCTGTTTGAGTTACAAATTTTTAATTTAATTAAATTAATTTTTGGTAAACTTACCATTTTTTTCTGACTGTAGAATAACGTGTCAATAGAATCCGCCCTTGTGCCAACATTCCGAATGCGCAGCGGTTTCTTCATTGTAGAATTTGATGGATCGCGAAATGAACAACGACGTTGTTGTTGATGCGGTTGTTGCAGATGTTGCCCGTTGGTGGAATTCTGTTGGAGTGCCGCCGAAGGCAATACGTGATTGGTCACTGACATTTTTAATTTGTTCAAGCACTCGTTCATGTTGAGGCAGATTATATTGCTGTGCATTAAAAGCGAAACAAGCGAAAACGAAAAGTTTTCCGTTAAAGTTTGACTTTGTTTTCAATTAAAACCGCCGTAAAAGTTACTCTTCATTAAATTGTTCTGTTTGATTTTTCGCCGATGGAATATGTTTTGGTTTTTGTTGCTGGTGAGATGAAAAGTCTTGTGTTTAATTTTTGATTAAGAAAAGTTGCGCGCGAGAGTCGCGACGCGTGCTCGCAATCGCACCGGTCGACAAACAGTTCCGCGTTTCGGCCGATACGCGATCCGGCTACGCTTTCATAGTTAACCCTCGCCGCGCCGCCAAAACCGCCCTCCCCACCAGCGCGCGACACAGTGGGTGGGCTGTCGACGGCGGTGGCGGCGGCGGGTGTGCCCCCTCTCTGTGAACGCCACTCGCGAACGTTTATTTGGCACCTGTTGACAATCGATGCCTCATCATCATCGCGTCGTTATGAATGAACTCAGGACGCCGCAAGGAGTCGGAAGTCGGAGTCGGCGTCGAGGGCGAACTCGAATTACAAGTCAATGTCATCTGCGTCGAATTTTATCGCGAGTTCAAGTCGAAAGCAAATAATAATCATTGCATGCTACGTGATAGTAATTTACGCATTTGAATTTACGATATTTACTTATTCAAGTCAATTTTTAGCGAAATGAAACGTGCAGATGTCGCGCAATTTGAGCCGAAATTAAATTTCAAGCGATTATGTTAACTGACGTTCGTTTTCCCAGCGGAGGATTGTGGCAATTGCCTAAGAAATACGCAATAAGAAACTTTCAGCAGCAACTCGTGTCAAACTCAATTTATATTTTGAATTATGTTTAAATGTGATTAACGCTAAATAAAAACGGAATTGCAAAGTATCACAAAGCAATTAATTGCGAACACCAGCTGATAAGGATGGACGCTGACGGAGAAAAAACGGCAGTAAAAATTTGCATTTTAAATATTACGAGTCCGTTTGTAATTATGCCGGAGGAAAATTGGACGAGAAGACAAAAAGCAACTTCCGGCCTGCGCACTTTTACAAAAGTGCACAAATTGAAACGGATAAACGACAGAAGCGAATGAGTTGAAGGAAATCGAAAGTCGTGCATAATAATTTGACGCATTGCGTTACTCAAAACCTAGCGAGAGAAAAAATTCAAATTTTAATTAATTTATGTTCAAAATAGTTTTAATCAATTTTTAAAACAAACAATTAAATATTTTCTTTAACTTAAAAGCGCAGTGTTTACAAATAGGGCATCACGATAGTGAAAAAATATATCCCGGAATTAATTAACTTTGTTTCGCATTCATCTCATTAGCACGACTTTAATGAGACTTGTTACGTCGTGTGTTTTGTTTCCAGCTCAAACATTTTTTCTTTACAAAGCAGATAATACAGTGCAAAAAATATGTAACCTCAAAACGTTACTAATTATTAATTATTCTGATTATTTTTGGAATCTTTGGGTTTTTTACTTACCAAAAAAAATGTTAGTGCAAATTTTCAATTGGTGGATGCGGTATGGATGAGGTTCTCTTGCATAGCCGAAATTTTAGTGAGCAAAACGTTTCCGAGAATGGTGAAATAATGAGATTTTCGATATTTACGGAAATAACTTAATTATTCATTCTTGGGAGTTTTCATGACCGTCATATCATAACATCATGCATTTTAATGATGTTTTGTGTGTAACACAAAAGTTTATTGTGCTAATAAATAAAAAGTTACACATTTACAAAGTTGTCTTCAAGTTTATTTCTTTCGGTTGTTCCGTGGTCTAATCCCGATTGTCGCATTGCTGTTATAAACTTTTTTGCAGCGTTTTTTTTTTCGATTTTTGTCATTTATCTCCAGAAAACGTGACTTTTTTTAATTCAAGTTGTTATATTTATTGTGTCCCATTAGAATTAGACAATTAACAGCGCTTAAACTTATTGTTTCACGAAATATTTGCTTTGTTTGATTTGTGATAAGCCTGACGCTGTAAATTAGCACCACATACGCTTAACATTCGAGCGCGTTAATCGTGAACAGTAAATTTCATTATCGGAAACACTGCGGTTCAATTAAGTAAAATTATTCGCGCATCTACGGCCGGCAATTATAAGCTGATCGCAACGCCGCCTCCACTGAGCGCCCGTTCGCCGCTTGTCAATAACGGAAATGATTGACCCGATTCGAACTGATTGCTGAAACACGTTTAGCGTTTAATTATTACCCGTTTGTCCAATTGCATGACGTTACGTCGTAACATTTAACTGATTCAATATTAAATTCAAATTAATTAATTAATCATACGGTTAATATATTCAAAATCGTTGTAATTGTTTTATAAATATTTCTATTATTTATTTATTCATGTTTGATTTGATTTTGTGTGTATTTATTTTCAATCGCACGCAATATTTTTATTCGATGGGTTTCGGTGTTGATTTTTCGCGTGACAATGATTGAATCGAAACGCTATTTAAAAGCGCGATAAATGTAAACGCACAAAGAGCGTGCGCTTCGACGCCGTAATTAATATCTCTTTTATAGGGAGAAGCGATCTTTCGATGCGCGCAAAAAATAAATGAATTATAAATAAACGTCAAAATGCCGATTTGAGATTGAAATGGTGATAACAACGCGGCGGGCGCATATTGTTTGGCTTTGATGCGGTAATTGAAAACTACGTGACCATACATAAATCAATTTCAATGACAAATTCTTTGTACCTAGATATTTACATATTAATCTATTTAAAAATTAGTTTTTTTCACTGAAACTTTTTGTAATTTAATTGTAACTTGCTTAGACTTAAGAAAAATGGAAAATAAACTTATTGACATTGGTTTCAGGTTAACTATCCACGTAAACAGCACGAAAAGATGATCCGGCATAGAATTTTCATGGAATCGTCATCTAATCGTCATCCAATAGGCCTGAAATCGTCAATTGTTGATGTCATACCAAACGTCAATAAATAATCATGAAATTAACCTCCAATCGATATTTAGCGACAATCGTCATGCAATCGTCAAGAAATCGTCAATTATCGATTGCCTTACGCCTAATGCAAATGACGCTTCCATAGACACTGGGCGTTAATTTGCCCGTGTTGTTTTTTGTGATGAAGCGCACAAAGAAAAACGTAGGTTAAAAATACGCAAAACCAACAAACGGCAAAGTTTTCTGAGTTAAACCTGAAAAGCCGGGATTTTCACGCCGTTATTGCTTTTGTTCGACTTTATTCTTTGACTCGCGCGCGCCCATCCACCGCAAACCCGCAAATGCACACCATAAATTAACTTATAAACGACGTCTATTTGTTTATTTCCAGCAGGCGAGTGCCGAGTGTGGTGTGTATCTACACACTCCACTTGAGAACTAATTAAAGTTTCCGGAATGCGTTATTGGCGACATTAAATAAATACATTACAACTCGTATTCTCTGCGCAGATAGATTTTAATTGGATACGTGGCAAAGTTGTTAAACAAATTTATTATAAAAAAATGTCGAATTTAATTTAATTTTAGCGAATAAAGTTTATTCTATTACACAAATCTTATTTTAATTTACATATCACAATCAAACGGGTATTTACCCTTCCAGACGTACTTCCATGGTGATCTTCCCCGCAATCACCACATTTGCGATCCTCAGTTATACCAGTTATGCAGATTTAATACTGATTATTATGCAAACTGACACGGCATCTGTTTAAGGTTTAAGGCCGCAGATAACGCCTGCATTCGCAATAAGATTAGAAGAAACTTTACTTACCAAGAATCTAAATACTGTAGCAGAAGGAGTAACAAGATCAACCGGGATATTAAAATTGAGCAAATGAAATTCACAACGAAGAAGAAATGATATTTTTTTCGCATTTGGTGTCTGCGTGCCAGACGCATGTATGTTAATGCACGGGGAACTTTGTTAAAGTCACTCCGGGCGCTGTAATTCGGTTGACATTCCGCAAATTGCAACATTTGCATTTTTATTCAGATGTGCCAAGCATATGCAGACATGGATGGAGTGGACGGTCTGTTTGGGGTTGATTCAGCACTGCGAGAATGAAAATCAAAAGTTTTCTATGCCTTGATGAACGTGATGACTGTTTGACTTTCGACAAATGTTATTATAATTGTATTTTTCTCTCGGAATTTAATTTTGGAAAATAAAAATAAAAAATTGAACGGAAATGTTGGTGTTATTTGCAATGCACTGATGGAATGTGCAATGAAAGCACTTTATGCAACCAAATATGCAAATCAACTTGGGTATCCTTTCAACAAAATGTGCGCACTTTGCGCTGTGGTAATTAGTAATTAAATTACACTTATTAAAAGTATGAATACATTATTTTTAATATATAGTCTGAATTTGACAGTTTAATAGGAGTTAATAAGATTTGTGCAGTTGTGATAATATCTTTATGACCTTTGTTTTTATCTCGATTCTCATACATCAATTTTCCCTACATTTTCCCGGGTTTTGCATTTATCATTAATGAGATGGGTTCATCGCCTGCCAGATGCTGCACTTATCTAAAGGACTACGTTCTGCATTAATCGAAGGACTGATAAGCCACTTCCTTGGGCGATTGCATAAGGATATAAGGTTTCGTGTTCTTTTAAGAGACAGTTAAATTTACCTTCTGCTTCATGGATTAAACAGTTTGAATGCTTTTAAAATAAAGTTTAAAATATAATTTTTGTGTTAAAATTATTTTCCTTCGAAGAACAGGGTCGAACTTTTTTTAATAAAATTTTTACATGCCGAAAAACAGGGTCGAACTTTTTTCTTAAAGTTTTTCAGGTCGAAATCTGTGCGAAATCAAAATTTTCTTTAAAATTGTCAATAGAGCCTAAACGGTCAGTGCTAGAGAAAAATTGATTTTAAATAAAGTGATCAGAATTTAGCTAACTATCAAAAACCGAAATCAAAATTGAAAAATTCCAACTTTTAATTCTTGATAAAAAAATGTAAAAGTTTTGCCTTTTTTATGACGAAATCTTTTTCGAGTGTTTTCGACCTTAAAAAAAATTGAAATTTTTTTATTGCAGAATATTAAAGAAAACGTGATTTTAAACACTTTATCTTAGTAAATTTTTGTTCTAAGATGCATCGATTAGATAATAATCACCATATTAAAATTCGTTTTTGTGCGAAGTCAAAATTTTTGTTAAAATTGCCAATAGGGCCTACACGGTGAGTGATATTGGAAAATTGTTCTTAAATAAATTAATTAGAATCCAATAAGCTATCAGACCCCGAAATCAGATTTGAAAAATTCCTATTTTTAATTCTGCATAAAAAAATGAAAAAGTTTTGCCTTTTTTATGACGAAATCTTTTCACGGTTTATGTTTTTTATAGCATAAATTTAAAAGTTGGAATTTTGAAAAATTTTTTTCGGATTATGATAAAACAGGCCATTACAAATCATTTATTTTAGTAAAGTTTTTACCTACAACCTTTATTTAAGGCCCTATTGGCAATTTTGTTACACTAATTAAAACACTGATTATTATGAAAATGGTCAGTCTGATAACAAAATTTTACTAAGATAAAATACCCAAAATTATGGTTCCTTCCATTTTCCGTCATAAAAAATAAGAATTTTCCATTTTCACTTTTTACATATAAAATGATAGAGGAAACTGAAAATCTAGTTTATTGCACTTTTCTCGGAAACCATAAGGGTTAACAGAAAATGGTTTTCAGATTCATATACAGGGGATAATTCGACATTAGATAGCACTTAGAAATATTAAAATTTCAACTATTATGTAATAATTGAAAATGGTCAATAACTCAAGAACTAATTTAGATATCGAATCAAAACCAAGATTAATGGATTCTAGGCATCTTTCTCCATCAGATTACAAAATTTGAAGAAAATTTGAGCCGTGGTTCTTTTTGGTCCGTTTCGATTTTCACAGGTAATTTTGGAAATATTGATGTTATTGAAAAACTGATTGGATATCTTTCATCACATTGCAATACTCAATCGAATGGCGTTTTCCATTTTCTCGTAGCTTAAAGTTTATTTTTTAGACCACAAAATACTTAAGTGTAACCTCTTGACATTTTTCAAGAGGTGTTTGGTCAACTTCTTAGAATCAAAAAACTAAATCTGCTGTTTTATAGTTCCTTATCATGACATGAAGAAAGTGCAAAAAGTTTTTCTGTATCTTTTATAGTTATCGAGAAAATCGCGTCGGAAAATCAATTTTCACACTTTCAAAAATACATATTTTATAATCATATCATATGTAGAATTTTTTACTGAACACAATGCAGTTTTCCTTTTATGTATATTTCTATTAGTTCTGGAGATAATCGGTAATTGAGTCCAGCTGGAAGTACACGTTTCACTTAAATGCGTTTATAGGGTCAACGGTAAGTACTAATGAATAAGTAGTTTTATTTATAAGTATATTAGGAGCTTCTCTACGTATTAGTGTTATTAATTTTTAAGCATAATTAAAATTACGTTATAGAATGACAGGCGCCTCCGCCAAATTTTAGATAATTATTTGAATGTTTTTATAAATTAAAAATGTTAAGTTTTTATTGCTGATTATAAAAGAGGACAATTATATGAATGAAATATTTTAATGGATTATTTCAATTAGACGTTTAGTTTAGAAGATATACGCATAAAACAATTGAATACAATTTTGTAAATAGGGCCTTAAATAAGGGCTGTACGTAAAAACTTTACTAAAATAAATGATTTATAATAGACTGTTTTACCATGATCCGAATAAAAAATTTCAAAATTCCAACTTTTAAATTTATGCTATAAAAAACGTAAACCGTGAAAAGATTTCGTCATAAAAAAGGCAAAACTTTTTCATTTTTTTATGCATTATTAAAAATAGGAATTTTTCAAATCTGATTTCGGATTCTGATAGCTTATTGAATTCTAATTAATTTATTTCAGAACAATTTTCTAATAGCACTCACCGTTTAGGCCCTATTAGCAATTTTAACAAAAATTTTGACTTCGCACAAAATTGAATTCATTTATGGTGATTATTGTCGAAACAGTAGGTCTTAGATCAAAATTTTATTAAGATAAAGTGTTTCAAATCACGTTTTCTTCCATATTCTGTAATAAAAAAGTCAAATTTAAAATTTTTATTTTTTGCTTAAGAAATGATAGGGGAAACGTATAATTCAGTTTTTGCCTTTAATGTGAAAACTAATAGAGTTAAAGAAAAACGGTTTTCACATTTGAATGTAGGATTAAATTTTACATTAGATAGCACTTTAATATTATCAATTATTAATAGTTATGTAATAAATGAAAATGGTCAATAACTCGAAAATTAATAACGTTATCGATACCAAACCTTCACTAATGAATTCCTTGCATAATTCTACGCCGTATTTGAAAGTTTCGTGGAAATCTGAAAAGTGATTCAATTAGGTCTGTTTTAATTTTCACAGTTCATTTCGGAAATATTGATGTTTTCGGAAAATTGACTGGATATCTTTCATCACATTGCAATTGCCTATCGATTGGCGTTTTCCATTTTCCCGTAGCTTAAAGTTTAATTTTTAGGCCACAAAATACTTAAGTGTAACCTCTTGATATTTTTCAAGTGGTTTTTGGTCAACTTCTTAGAATTAAAAAACTAAATCTGCCATTTTGTTGATCCTTATCAAGACATGAAAAAAGTGCAAAAAGTTTCTTTCTATCTGTATTACTTTCCGAGAAAATCGCGTGGGAAAATAGCGTTTCCAAAATTAAAAAATAAAATTTTAAAATCTTATCTTATTTAGAATTGTGTGCTGAACACAACGCACTTTTCCGTTTTTGATTATCTCTATTAGTTCCTGAGATAATCGGTATTTAAGTACCGCTGAAAGTTCGGATTTCACTTCAAAGCATCTACAGGGTAAACCGTAAGTATTATTGACTAAAAAGTTAAATTAATAAGGTAATTAAGAGTCTCTCTACCTAATGGTATTATTAATTTTTAATAATATTCATAATCACTGACTTAAATGTCAGGCGCCTCCGCCAAATTTTTATTAATTATGTACACCTTTACTGAAAGTAAAAAAATAAAAAAATATATACTTGATTATTATAGAAAATAAGTTTATTGATAAATTATTTTAATACATATTTGTTATTTAACTAACAGTTTAAAATATATACGATAAAAACAATACATAAGCATACATCATAAATAAAAACATTACAATCCGTCACAGGGCCTTAACAAATAGTGATTGATTAAAAATTTACTAAGATTTATTGTTAAGAATTATTAGATCTTTCAGAAACCGAAAACAGAATTTGAAAATTCCAACTTTTAATTTTGAACATAAAAAAGAGAAAAGATTTGACTTTTTTATGACAAAATCTTTTCACGAGTATTTCGCACGAAAATATTTTTAAAAAAAGTTCGACCCTGTTCTTCAGCAGAAAATATTTTCACTCAAAAAGTTCGGCCCTGCCTTTCGGCAGAAAATAATTTTAAACAAAAAGTTCGGCCCTGTTCTTCGAGCAAAAATAATTTTACAAAACAAGTTCGGCCCTGTCTTTCGACACAAAAATATTTTCACTAAATAACTTCAGCCCTGAAAATCTAAAGACACACGAATTCGAAAATGGAAATATGATATTAAAACAGTCTTCAATTCCTTTTCCTCTCGTGTTATTTTATGCTTTAAAGCCCTAAATAAATACATCCATCTACCTGTGTTTGCATTTCCTTATAGCTTGAGTAAATTTAAACAAGATCAATATTCGATTATGCAACAATTACATCAATCCTTTATATCCACATCAGTATCATCATAGTTTTTCTTTATAAATGATTCAACAAACTGACAATATCACACATCACCACTTCCGCTTACGTATAAACAATTTGTTTAAATTAAATCATAAATAAACACAAAGAATAATAAGAAAAAAACAAAATTAAACATTTAGTACATACGTTCTAGTCTTACTAGTCTTAAAAGTCTTAGAAACTAGGTCAATAAAGTAACGACGGGCACGTTATACCCGTGCCAACAGAAATAAGAATAATAATAGTAAAAAAAGGCCTATGTCTACGTCTAACTGAATATATCCGCTATATTGTCATGTCGTCTGTTGTCAGACAGTCTAGAAGCGTAAAACTGGCGCTGGAGAGCCTTACGTCGACGGGGCGGTAGGCGCGTGTGGTAGCCGTAGAGGTGTATCATGTCTGTCAATATTTGATCCTGATTCGGGACCGCTCCTGTCCCTGCGGGCCGCCGATTGCCGGAGATGTGAGCTCCTGTTGGCCGCGCGGCGAACTCGTTCCTCCCGCAGGCTACGGTAGAAGTCCACGAAAACCACAACGCCGATGATCTGGAATAACAGCAAGAATTTGTGATGTGATTCTTTATTTTCCTTTTGTTTTGCCATAGATACAAGTTCAAAAATATTTATATTTCATATTTTTAGAAATGATATTTCATGAAAATATTGAATAAATTTGTTTACCTGTAATATCCCTGAGAGAAATCCTATTAAAGCAACTTCCAGTAATAATTTCCGTACATAATTAACTAATGGCTCCTTACATCCCACTTGATACGTCTCAGTACACGTTCGGGTCTTGTTCAACACATCAACAGATTGGCATTTGAAGCATGAAGGTGGTAATTTGACATAATCCTGCACACCATTGATACCACAGCATTCGAACTAAAATAATATAATTTATTACATAAAATAAATTATTTTAAGTGATTTTTAAGGAAAAAAAGTTTTGACAGCGGTGGGATTCGAACCCACGCCCTTTCGGACTGGTGCCTAAAACCAGCGCCTTAGACCGCTCGGCCACGCTGCCTAGTGATGAACGCGCGCACTACAACAGTAAACAAACCTTGCTTTGCAGCCGAACCCACTCCGACTTCTCTTTACTGATCGAATACTCCTGAATGTACTTCTCTTGCGATTTTCTCATCAAGCCCACGCTACGCTCTTCCACCTTGGAACGTAGAACAAGACTCCATATTCCCACTGATAATTCTACCACTAATAATATTATAGTTATTATCACAAACTAAAAGCAAATACATCACAATTAATATAAGATAAGTTTATATTTATATATTACTACCATAATAATAAAAAAGTCATGCTCCTTGCTTGGCCCTTTGACCCCAATCCATGTGATGAGTAGATGCAGAATGCCAACAGTGAGCAACACAATGAATGGACCAATTGTGTTGTTTGGAATAAATGTGAAATGGTAGAAAAGAACTTTGTATGTGAGCACGACCGCGCTTCCAATCAGGAGTGCTCCAGTAAACTAAAAAATTACATACAATTGTACTCACTGATTTATTTTTTATGTTGATAGTAATTTATCAAGCGCTGCGCGCATTCAATTCACTTACAAACAGGACGGCGGAATAAATGAGACAAAATATCTCTTTCAGTTGAAGGGATGGCATCTTGACACGTCACTCACATGTTATCCTAGTGATCCTAGTTAAGTTAGCTTATCTTAGTTGGTTTTTAAGTCTTCATATCCGAGTACTGCTGACCACGCACTGCGCGCGACTTGATTAAGCGTGCATGATTTCACTTTCGCTTTGTGCGAGCTCGCGACGATGAATGTTGGAAGTTGGAATCGTTGGAATTACAAAACAACTTTGAAGGACGACGCACGGCGCGCCGCGGTAACGAAATGATAAACACGGCAGAAGCACGATTCTCGCCGAAATAATAATTATGTGCGTTTTTGTTTTGTTCGCCGCGAGTGCTTTTAAGTGATGAGTGTGAATGAAACCCAATAGGTATAGAATTGTACATTATTTTAGTTTTAAAGGTCATGTCTCCGATATATATTCAGAGTATGCGAGTTGGAGATGCGAGATGTTAGTATTTCCTAAGTAGGTCTATAAATAATTTTGAAAAATCTGGTTCTATGCGGCGTACGAATGGGTTTGTGGTATGCGGTATGCAACTTTTTGATCACAGGAAGTCGCCTGACCTGAGTAACTTGCGCATCGCATGATTTAATAATAAATTCGGATGTTAATAGATATTGTAATTGGTTAGTTGTTATCCTTCATGGTTTGAATATATAAGTTTATTAGACGATGAGTAATCACTATAGTTTGAAATTATAATTGATGACTTCATCGTTCCTTGAAAGAGAGCAACAAAATAATAACTTGACCTCCGCTTTTATTACTTTTCTCAAATATGTAATATACAGGTTCTTAATACATGCAACCTACAGAACTGGAAATAAGTGTAGGCAACCAGTTTCACTTCTCAGTGAAAACACTTCTATTCTTTGTTTTCCGCAGTGTCAAAACAAATAATCTAGCGTTGATTTAATTATCAGCAGGTAAATTATGAACATTTCGTTGATCCTTATATAAGATTACTTTATTTAGTAACAGTTTAAACATCATTCTCACTCAAAATTCTTAATTAATTCAATAAAATTCTCATTTTCTTCCATTTTAACCTATAATATCTGCGGTGCAACATTAAAATTATTTTTTATTGTTTAATATCATAGCTATGGCGGGTACTTCGTCGGATTCACAAAGAACAATCGGTCAGAAGACTTGGGAGCTTCAGAATAAGATAGAAACAATCAATTCTGTTGATGAGATCTACAGATATGACAAACAACAGCAGCAGGATATTTTGAAAGCAAAACCATGGGATAAAGAGTAATAATTTCATAATTTTTAGTATATTTAACATATTACTAATCAATTGGCTTATTTACAGTCCAAATTTCTTTAAAGACATCAAAATATCAGCACTGGCATTGCTAAAAATGGTGATGCATGCCAGATCAGGTGGAACCTTAGAAGTAATGGGACTACTTTTAGGAAAAGTTGATGGAAACACCATGTTTGTTATGGATTCATTTGCTCTGCCTGTAGAAGGTACTGAAACCAGAGTAAATGCTCAAGCCCAAGCATATGAATACATGAGTTCATATATTACTTCTGCAAAATTGGTAAAAACAATTTAAAAATGAATTTGTTTGTATTTTTACTATTTTTCTTAATATTTAGGTTGGCCGTGAAGAAAACGCAATTGGATGGTACCACAGCCATCCAGGCTATGGTTGTTGGCTATCCGGCATCGATGTCTCCACGCAAATGACGAATCAAAGCTATCAGGAGCCATTCGTCGCTATTGTCATCGACCCAGTGCGCACAATCTCATCCGGAAAAGTTTGCCTCGGCGCGTTCAGGACCTACCCCAAAGGCTACAAGTCCCAGAACGACGAACCATCCGAATATCAAACGATCCCACTGAATAAAATCGAAGATTTCGGCGTGCATTGCAAACAATACTACTCTCTAGAAGTAACCTACTTCAAATCCGCCTTGGATCGGCGTCTATTAGATTCCCTATGGAATAAATACTGGGTGAACACTCTAAGTTCATCCAGTTTATTAACCAACGCGGATTACACCACCGGACAAATCTATGACTTGTCTGAAAAGTTGGAACAATCAGAAGCTGCGCTCGGACGCGGTGGTTTCATGGTCGGCGGGCCTGATCCACACGAAAAACGATCAGAAGATAAACTTCTCAAGGCGACAAAAGACAGCTGCAAGACTACGATTGAGATAATTCATGGTCTAATGGCGCAGATGATCAAAGATCGCCTGTTTAATGGAAACTGTAACAATGCGATTACTAACTGAATTTTCTAAGTTTTCTTAAATTTAAATTACATTTTCTGATTGATTGGATAAACTGCGTTTTGTTAAACAATTTTATTGTGCCGTACGATACACATATAGAAGGAAGGTGTCTGCATCGCCGCGTTATTTACATAATGGTTTATTCATTATCTAATATGGACGTAAATAACATGATAAATATAACAAGCAAATATAATCAAGAATAAGTAGGACAAGCAAGAAATCACTTCAAAAAAACCATATGGCGCACGTTTTCGGGGGTGGCGGAGGTGTTAATGTAATTTAGATTTCATTTTCGTAGCTGAAAATTTCCGTGTGCAAGTTTTAAGTAGATATGCTTTCGATTTTTTAAGTTTCTGAATTGTTTGTCCCCGTAAAATGATAACGCAAACAATAATAAACTAAAAAGTTATCTCACCATTCTTACAAAGTAATTAAGTACTGTCTAAATTAAATCTTAGCTCGTATAATCATTTGATTCAATTGATTAATGATAAAAACGTTGGTGTCTCTCACTAAAAACATAACTATTGTGTGTGTTGCGGTGTGTATTGTTTGTGTCTCGTCCTAATCGCTTAGGTAGTATTTATATGAAAAAAGTAGATTCTTCTCTTTGCTTAATTTCTCATATTATATCATCATATAGACTTCTTATCATTTAGATTTACTTATTAAAACCTGTCCGGGGTAAAAGACGTATTTCTGTGCAGCATGTTATCAGCTAATTGTCGTTTTTTCTCTTCTCATTTTTGCGTTATGTCTGTATACGTTACGTTCGTGAGTGTATTAACCGACGTTGCGTCAATCCCAGACCTCCGTCGGGAAATTGTTTACCTCCGTCTGCTCCTGAACGATGTTGCCATCCAGCGAGTAGGAAATTCTCAGGCGCATGCGTAATGCACTCTAGAATCGCAAAATTAATATAAATATTGAGTGGGATATACAAGATAAATTTACCTTTGATGGATTAACCACTCGTAAAACTTGCGTCACAACCCCGTTCGGAGAAATCACAGTGCCCGACGGTGATAACATTTGTAATTGGAATGTCTGCAGATATTTTTAGATAAATAACATATTTTTAAGAAAAATTTAGTAATAATGCAAATTTTACCTTAGGAACGGCAGCTTGGAATAAAAAGTCAGTCATATTTGAGAGCGTATGATTCGACGCCGTGACATTGATGGAAATCGAGTTGCTTTCGATCTTTTCCAGCGCGAACATGATTTTCAAGCCGTCTCGGTCGAACGCCGTTATTGTAGGCACGTCAACTTCTAAAAATTAAACAAAAACAATAAATTTAATACAATTAAAGATTTAAAATGATAATAAGTACCATTAACTGAATTAGTATTGAGGAAATCGCCGGTCAAAAAGTTCGAGTTCGAGTTGACATTGTTTGTGACCGGATTGTTGTTTTCCAAAATAAGCCCAATGCCGGTATCAGCCGGCGGCATCGGCGACGAAAGTGTATCCAATCCGCCTAACAGATCCAGCAGGTCTTGATTATTACTATTTGAGACCGGCTGGCTTGAGGTCGTCGTGGAGTTCGGTTTAATGATATCCATGTCACTGCCATCGCCTCCCAATAAATCAAGAAGAGCGTTCTGTAATATTTCAGAAAGAAAATTAAATTAATGTTTTGTAAAATTTTGAAATGTTTCACTTACGGATTCATTATTTATATGATGCTGTGGACTATCATCCAGCTTCATATCGTTAAGATCCGAATCTCCATTGGTCTGAGCATCCGAGCTACGTGTCATTTCCATGGGCGGCATTCGCTCCAACAACGCAGGCCGTAAATTACCATACTTGCCAAACAATTGCGAAAATTCCACGCCACGCTGTTGAAGTTCTATGTGCAAACTAGAGCTGAACGTGCTCACTATTTGTTGAATTTTACTACAAAACCAAGAAAATTATCAATAATATCAGTTAAACATAAGTAAAAATTATAATAACTTACGTAATTGATGAAAATCTAGTGCTTAATTTCGTCAAAGACATCAACGTGTACTGTTTAGTTATGGTTGAGTTCTGCGGCGACCACAAAAGACGATGATACACATCAATAACATCATCTTCAGCCGGTCGCTTCACATCGTGCGCGTCCTCAATCTCAGTGGTCAGAAGCATATCACCGTATTCACCAATTGCCCACGTGGCAACTTGAATTAGCGGCTGTTTATCCATTGTATCTTCAGCTAAGAATTTCCACAGTTGCAGCGTGATGTATCCTTGCTGCGACGTCGTTTCGGAAATCAATTGTATCGTGCATGTTATTACATCGTCACGAACATAATTTCCAGCCTAGATTCATAAAAATTTAAATTTAATTAAGATATTAACAAGTAAAAATTAAAATATTTCTTACGGCAACTAAGACTTTGAGCAAAGTATCCAAATGCCACTTCTTGTTAGGCGAGTATCGCTCAGCAGCGAGCACAATATTCGAAGAACATTGCGCCTTGAATTCAGGATCAGCACGTTCAAGAAACACGAGTAATTCTTTCATCATCGTACGAATATTTTGCGTGTTTATGAGCGCAAATGACAATTCCATTGCACGTCGCCGTATTGATACATCAGGATCTTTCAAACACTCCAATATCGTTGAGCGATGTCTTTGCACAGCGGACGTATCCACGTGAACAGTACGCAGCAGAGTGTTCAACGCAACATAACGAATATTCTTATCGTTATTTATAAGAAACCGACCGAGGATGTTCACAGCCAGCACGCGCAATCCACCCTCTGACTTGATATCCATAATGGACAATACTGTCTCATACAAAATGGTATTACCAACGTTTTTGCTTGTTTCTGTGTTAGTTGCAACCTGAGCGAGAATATCGTTCATTGCTTCCGAAGCATCAATGTCATTTTTACCAAGAACTCGTAATAATTTTAGAATTTTAACCTGCACAAGATATTCCATCAAATATTTGTTTTTTTATTAAAATTAATTTTTACCTGTAAGAATGGATCACTAACACCAGAAACATCATGTTCAGGCGAATATCCAGCCAGGATAAGATTTTTTAGAATGCGTACCAGATTCGGAACAATCTGAAATGAATATTTATGTTAAAATCATTTAATTGCACGAGAAAAAAGCAGCGATGAGTGCTAATACAAATAAAACCAGCTACTTCATGTCCTTTTTGGTTGACAGCAGCGTGTTTCATGATAATCATCATGAAATCGAACAATTAGTCGTTTACGATGCGTTCGTCCAGCGGCCAACAAGCTACATTAATTAACATCAATAAAATCACGCGTCCAACTTCAATTTACGATTATGAACACGTGCAACTATTGAATACAATCACAATACTATAACAAGTAAGTAACACACATGAAATGATTCGAAATTAATTGCTGATGATTGCTTTTCTAACAATGGCGAAGCTTCAGACTACAAGTTTACAAAATATTTGGGTTAATTTGTTGTATTTTGTATTTTTTGTTGTTCACTTGCCAATTGCGAATATTTTTGAAAACTGGCCGTACATAACTGTAAAACTGTAAAATCCAGAAAGATTATTTCGAGATAAACAAAAAACAAACGCATTTAATGAGTCGGAATGTGTTAAGCTGAAGATAACAAACGATAAAGCGTCCATTTTGTAACAACAAACAATCAACTTTCAACAATAGCATACCTCACAGTTTGAACAGTCCTAGACAAAACAACCTAGTTAGTAAATTATGCAGGAGAGACACAACGTGAGTACAAATACATAAAAAACAGGATTGTACATGCTGAAGACGTACACGAACACAAAATTTGATTAAAAATTGTTCGCAATCACAAAAATCAGATTAATCGCATTCCAAATATCACCAGATCTAAATATGTACAATGTACAAATGTTAAAAGTTACAAAAACTCGTTAGTTAATATGTATGCATTGATAAAATGTATGCGCTTACCTTTTTGAAGTGATTCAACGTGTCGGGACTATGCTCGCACATTTCTGTGATTAAAGTCACGCCGGTAATCAAGACACCTTCAAGGTAAAACCAGAATTAGTATAAAAAACACAACCACAACGCAATTGTAATTTAAAACAACATGAGTCATACCGTGATTTTTCTCGGATAACATGCTGCGCGTCGCTGGTAGAAAGATCTCCATTAGTTCTGGCACACGTTTGATGATGCGATATGCACAGAGCGCTGCTTTTTTACGAATGTACGCATTGGGGGACTTCATTAGACGTTCTACTTCACCAGCCAAATCGCGCGCCATTTCGGGTGATGCAATTGCTCCCAGTGTGCATAATGCAAGACCCACGACAAATTGCGTTGGTGAATTTAAATCACTTTAAAATAAAATTAGCCTTTGTTTAATAAATAACTTTTATATGGATTAATTTACTTACTTTTTTAAACAATTCGTAATCAGTAAATGTACATCTTGTCTTTCATCAAGTAGCAACATTGCACCTAAATAACCAATCCTTTTGTCTGTAAATCTTTGACTTGCGATGAGTTTCAGACATTCTAGTTGACCAAAATGTGCAGGATACCCCAGCATGTGAATGTATAACAATTTAGCAATATTGCGACATCTTAAACAATACATATATGAATTTATGTGATATTAATGTAATAATTGGGAGAATTTACCTCCAGACGACATCTTCTTCACGAAAAGTTGACCTAATATATGCACATTCCTTATTTACAACACTTCTTTCTTCGGCTGCGGTGCGTGCGGCTCGAATTTGTCGAATTAAGTCACGCAAGCGCATAGGTGTCGGCATACGGACTGAAAACATGAAAAGTTTATGAAAATTTCATGAAATTTAAAGAACATTTGTATTATAATCTAGTTGAATGATAACAACTAGTTATTCAATGTAAATTCATAGTCATATGATGTTTTAATTGCCTTCTAAGCTCAGAAAACAATGAAAATGTTTAATTAAACTATTTTTTCTATTAATTCTAACCTCTTTCAACAGCTTCATTGATGACCTGCTTAATGGTGGCCATATTGAAGGCTGGATTAAATCTGAAACCAAATAATAAGCATTAAACAACACAACTCAACACCACACTACAAGCATTAGTTAATAATTACCCATGTTCAGAGGCATTCATAGTGGTACACAAACAGTGGAGACAGACACAAGTATTTCAAGCCACAAGCACTAGACAACCAGAAACATAAATTAGTGTCGAATTCAATCAAACACGCGCCGATGGAATCAATTATATATGGTCGATCGAGCAACGTTAATGGATTTTAATCGAGTTATTTTATGAATATGCAGCAAGTACACACAACATACAGGTAGGCAGTAGTGTGCACCTGCTGTATAGATACACCGCCGACGAGCTGCAATCAACGTGTTGCGAGGCGGGCGCACGCACTGCACTCACCGGTGAAAATAAAGCACAACACAACGAAAAATATCCTTTGCGCTCACGGTCGGCCACGAATTACTTTTCAGACCATCCCTTCGCCTAAGCTGACTTCACTTTGTGACATTAGCCTATCAGCCTGCAACCAGCAACGGACAACGGGCAACACACGCACGAACCATTCGCAAAATGGCCAACGCTGCCAAGTTGGCAGGCGCAGCAGTAACACATTTGAATACATTTCAAATATATACTAATTATTTCTGCAAACAGAATCAAATAACACCGCAGTCAATTAAATTAGCAACATTTTTAAAGATTGAAATAGTCAAAATAATAAAACAAAAATTGTTTATTAACCTAAACTGGTTGCAGATAATGAAATGTCAAAACTTTTTTGACTCATTGTTTAAAAACATGACTTGCAAAAGTTAATATTTTTACTTCTATGCATCTAGTATTAAATTACGTACATATATTTACTAATATTGCAAAGATTACAGTTTTATATCAAAAGTTACAAGCATTAACAGATTAGTAAATTTTTGTCAGCATTTTTGCAGGTTATGACCTTTTATCACTTATTTCATTCATTATTAGACTAAAATAAACCAAATAAAACGAAATATAAACATTTACCATAAATACAACGAGTAGAAATGCAATAAAGAACTTTTGATTGAACAAAACTACAAAAGAAAAGCGGCAACAACGCCTCTACAAGCAAACATTACACTCACACATATAAATTGAAAAAAAACTTGCTAGCATATCATTTAAAGCGCGGCGCGCTTTTAAACAATTTCCTTTACAAACACCTAAATAAACTAGAAGGCGAACGCAGCGCACACATTCAGTCTTCACTAGCAGGCTGATAAACGAACGTCACACGAAAAATTTCCATTGTAAGCAATACAGTTGCATTCATTCACGCTTTACATTCACACACCTTGATTCATCACACCACGTATCAAGCATTTCTATAATAAATTCTCACCTGCGATTTAGCTCGGGCGGAAGCACACTCCAATCCGATTCGAAATACGGATACATCCTTTTGTGTATCTCTCAATTAATAATCAGTTATGCGTTGAAACTAGTCAATGATTAGTAACAGATGCGCCGTGTCAGAAATTTTCTATCAATTACATTATCAAAGATGTGAAGCGAGCTTGGAAATGCACACAGTGTACGCAGGTACATTGATAAGGCTTATCGCGATACATTTGTTACATTTCACACGATTTATCTCGGTCTGACGTGTTTACCATTTGACTGCCGTGCGTATAAAAGGCACTAAAGAGATTTCTACGTTAATAAAATGTTTGTTCTATTTACAAATTACTTGAAATTAAATATTGTACATATTGTGAAGAGTGCAGTGTGTGTTTACAGTGTGTATAAATGTATTTTTATATAAATAAATATTGATTTTCTTTAAGTATTTGCGGAATTTTAAGTATTTAAAGGAAAAATACACTTTTTTCTTATAAAACTATATAAAAGTTTTAAAAATCTTTAAATTTTGTATATGTTATATGAATATTTATGTGTGTACTTAGTTTTCGTTATTTTTTGGTGGGCGCAGAAAGACGTTTCGTTTTACACAATCAACTAACCATCTAATGCCTTCATCAACGCCTTCTCTGAAAAATTAAAACAAATTTATTAAAATTTTTAATTTTACTATTTTGAGATGTAAATATTTGAAGATTAATATTTACCCTGTTAGTGCTGATACAGGCATCACCATACAATCTCTTTTACCAATCAAATGAGCATTTTTGTTAAAAATAGGTTTCACTTCTCGCACACCCATACATTCAGGTATATCTTGCTTATTTGCTAACACTAATAAAGGAATACCTTGTAGATTCTCATTGGCTATCATTTTATCTAAAAAATTCATCAATTATTTTATTATTTAAGCTTTTATAGTGCTATTTAAGTTACCAAAAGTTTCTTTGGATTCATCTATCCTTTCCCTGTCATTTGAATCAACAATGTAAATAATACCATGTGATTCAGCATAATACTACAACAGAGTATATAAAATTATAAAAAATGTCACATGACATTTACAAATATTCCATTTTACCTTATCCCATAAAGATTGTAATTCTGTTTGGCCACCAAGATCCCAAAAGTTTAATCTGATTCCATTCACATCAATTTTGCCTATATTCAAACCAACAGTCGTCGTGATTTTGCTAGGATGCATTCCCTTATAGTTTTTTGTGAGTTTAGTCTTGGCTGCTTCCAGATAAGTCTAAAATTATGGAAATATTAAGCAAATTAATTAAGGCTTTAGTTGACAGCAGACTTACTGTTTTGCCAGCATTGTCCAGGCCTAAGATGAGCACGCAAAATTCGTCTTTTTGTACCATGTACTTATAAAAACCATGCATAAGTGTATACATTATTGATAACGGCTACATACGAGCGAATTAATTAACTAATTTAAGAAAAATAAACACGAAACGGGAATGACAGCTGCGCACATTTCTACGGTTAGAAAGCACGACATAAATTTGTTGCGTATTCATATATATGCTGCGTGTAATATTGGTTGCCTAACTTGAACATAGAATTCACATATGATAATATGATGACGTTTGATCTGACATCGCGCGTCGCTTCGAAAAGCTCATTAAATTAATCAGTTTCGCAATGATCACAGCTCACACGGAATGATATCGAAGCGGTCGAAGTTGCTCAAGGCGTGTAACTTAATGCGTGGAATGCGCGTTGAATTGAGCTGGGTAAACCACTTAGATAAACAACGACAGCGCACCATTAAATATTCAATACACCAACGCGCTTGTTTCACTTCGCTGTGAGTAGTGCAATTGGACGCAACTCCAGTGAAACAAATACAAATTTTATACGGGTAAAAGAACAAAAATCTAAAAGATGGAGGCTTTCGCGGAATTATTAGACCCTTACAAAGAGACAATTGGGCCTACAGCCAGTGTGGTCACAATTTTACAATTTTTTTCTGGAATGTTTATCTGTAAAGACATTTATAACAAGGGATCTACCAAAGGATTCTCTTCAATGCCATTTGTAGGTGGTATTGTGATGTAAGTATTGATTACACTGCATTAAAACTAATTAAACATGTTGTATAAGTATTGCTTTTGTTTTTTAGAGGTATTTTAGTACTGAAATTTGCAATTTTACTCAATGATCCAAACATGTTCAATGTGAATGTGGCCGCAATTCTTTTGAACTCACTGTATTTGGGCTTTTATCTAACTTATGCACTGGATAAGTATCAGGAGGTGATTGTGCCTGCTTTGAAAGGATCTGCACTTATTGCTATTCTCCTTACTTATGTAGCATATGAGAATCCTGATTTAGTTGAGTTCAGGTATAGTTTTATTGTGACAGCACTCATGTTGCTGTTAATGGGAAGTCCATTGGCTGAAGTGGTAATTATTTTTTGATTATTTGTACCTTGAACCTATAAAATTTGCTGAGTAATTGCTTTATCAACAAATTTTGCTTGTGTAGTCTATTTAAACTTTTATTTTGTCAAGTAATCAGTGATTTATTGTGTTGATTGTGTAATGTTTTATTTTAAAATGTGCTGTGTTATGCTAAATGTTGGTTAATATTGTAGAAAACCATTATTGCTAAAGAAGATGCATCGATGATACCATTACCCATGACATTTATGGGTTTCATTGTCACAATTCTCTGGTTGATGTATGGAATTATTCTAAAGAACAATTTTATGGTGGTAAGTTTCATTAAATTAAATAAAAACAATTTTTTTTTGTGAAAAATGTGAGGTTAGGTCAAAATGGCGTTGTTTTAAACTTTAAATTTGTTATTTTTTTGTTCTAGATTCAAAATCTCTTGGGAACTTTGTTGTGTTTCGTGCAATTAATCCTAATTGCACGTTATCCTGGCACCGACAAGAAAAAGAAGAAGCAATAAAGCAAAAATAAGATTTGTGTACGCAATTTTCTTAAAATTAGTATTTTTGCATGAAAACTAGACAATTTATTATCATTCCGGTATTACTTGAAGTGTTAAAAATTACGTAATAGACTACAATCTATATAGTTACTTAAAAGACATTTACACTAATTCACTGCAGGACAATAAAACAATCAGAATTAAATTTAAGTAGGAAAATAGGTGAAAATTGGTGCAATCAAATGAATGCCAAGTAAATATTGACTATTACCAGTTATACCAGTATAAATATTTATGATATAATGTTAAAATCATTCAAATGTTTAAAAAATTAATTAGTTTAAAGTGAAACCAGTTGGCTCAAAGTTAAAGTTAAATTTTGAAATTGTTGAAATAGATCTTATAGGTGATGTTTTACTGCATGAAAAGAATAAATAGTGATATTTTGTATATTTACAATTGTTAATTCATGTAATTAATTATAAAACGTTAAATTTAGCGTTTTACACCAATTTTGTCACAAAAAAGTTAAATATTACAATATTAGTCTTAATATCATAATGTATGCAATGTGGGTTGCCTATATTACACCCACGTGTAGACTTTTTGTAGCGCATGCGTCGCAAATGTCAGTTAGTCACTTGTACACACAAAGAACAATCGCAAACAGTAGCAGGAAACGCGCTGGTATCAGTTCAGTATGAAACTACCGGTGGTTGTGACCAGGTTGTCCTCGGTGATCATCTGCGCTTGTATCAAATGATCGTCGCGCCGAGATAAATTGTGAACCCCGCGAAATAATGTCCATCTACTGTGATTAGCATTCATTATTATCATCATAATGGCAACGAAGATCTACAGCCGGTTAATGCGTTCGGCAGTAAGTCGATCAGCAGTGCGTGATAGTTTTGCGAATCTTCACATTCATCAGAATCGCATCGGTTGCGGTTTTGCCGCCGGAGTAAAACCATCTGTACGACACCTTGGAATAACCGGCGTGTTACAAGGAAGCGGAGGACATGCAGAGACGACGAGTACGACTGTAGGATTAAATAAGCTGCAGGCGCAAGAATTAGTCCTGCGGCTTACCGGCGAAGAGAGGATTATGCTCATCGCTGCTCTGCAGGAATACGAGTCGAAACTTGTGAAAGAAGAATTCGCAGGTATGGAAATTCATTTCTAATACATATTTATATAAGAAAATTGCTTTCTTTGTATTGTAATTTGTAAATCATCAAAGATTAATGATGTTTTTCCGTGTTAGGACGTTAGTTAAGCGCTAAAAATAGGAATTGTGTAGTTTTAGATTAAATTCTATGATCACGTATACACAGTTCGGAAGTACACAACACTTTAATATTTTATTAACCAGCAAATTGGAATCTTACGCATACGACGTTTTTATTGCTTTGAAAAAGGGCAAGTAAATTGGTTTTACGAATTAAATTAGGTGTGCCTTTTTTGTGCACTTTGTTTATTCTTGTTTTTCGTGGTAAATAAGAGTATTTTATGTGTTTAAAACATAAAAAATGTTTTTTGTTTTTAATCCGTAAAAGTTTTGATGATTTCTGCGGCAAAATGGCGTCGGTAGAAGAATAAAACAGTAAAATGCAATTTTTGTAATTTTTATATTAAAATCTGCATAAAAATAGCGATAAATGGTCTTTATTTAACGATTGGTGCCTTTTTTACTCTTGTTTTGTGTGCAAATGCCATTAGGATACGTTTTTCTTGTCAATTCGTAAATGTCTCCTAATAATCCCTTCGGGAATACTTAAAATGCAAATATTCTTTGAATTTACCTAAAAGAGAAGTTAATAATTTGTATACAAATTATATTAGGTACATCTTTTTGTTCATATTGTTTATACTCGTTTGTACACGGTAAATCAACTATTTTTGGTGTTAAAAACATAAAAAAATGATTATAAATCTTTAAATCCATAATTTTATTTATTATTTGCGCGTTAAAATGGCGCCATTAAAGAATAAAACAGTAAAATGCAATTTTACTCATTTTAATGCTAAATTCTTCTTAAAAACATCGATAAATAGCTTTTATTTAATGATTGGTACCATTTTTCACTCCATGTTGTTTGCAAACATCATTCGAGTTTGCTTTGTTTGCTTATTCGTAAATGTCCTGAAATAGTTCCTTTGGGAATACTCAAAATGCAAATTTTCGCCGAGAATACCTGTAACTGCACTTCAAACAGATATGATAATAATGAATTCACCGTCAACTCGCAATTCAGGCGTTCTTTTTGGGATGATTTTTATTTTTCGTCGAGATGAGTCTCCGCTTTACGCATAAAATATTAATGTTGAGTGTGTATGCCGGGTGCGATGCCATTTCGTGCATTTTCTACGAACAAATGGATGATATGGATCTGCATGCAAGGGTATCAGATGTACGAGTATAGGGTATGGAAGGTATGGAATATTCAGTTATTTATGAGCACTTGAGTTATAGGGTATAAATATCGATGTTTGAGGAACTTTTCATTGTGTCAATATAATTTTTTATATAATAATGCGTAAAATATTACTTTTTAAGGTGTTTTAATGTGAAATTTTTGTAGATTTTGTTTATTCTCGTTTTTTTATTCGTTAAATCAATTATTTTATGTGTTAAAAACATAAAAAAACCATTTTAAGTATTAAATATCTTCATTTCAATAGATGTGGCGTAAAAATTTATGATTAGTTATTATACGTAGATTGTATTCATTGAAACATTTTTCTCTTCGAGTTTTTCGAGTTTTCGAGTAGTTGAGTTGGGTTGTGATAGGACTGATAGGAGATAACATTTCAGGCGACGTAACACATCGAGTGTGTGATGTAGTATGTCGTAACAGTGACATCGGAGGAAGGAACTTGACACACATTTCGTATAAATTTAGAGTTTAGGATGTTTAGTTTATCGCTCTGCCTACCGTGCTACGCCTTGAACAAAATTGCTTCCAGAATATTTCTCTTGTTGCTGTTGTACATGTAACATACAAATGAATTATTATTGGTACATTTTGTATTGTTACAAAAATCTACGAGTACACAACACATTAATTATTGACATCGTGTTTGTTTAGTACTGATATATCGATGATTTAATTGATGTATGAGTACCCACGCGATATAATCCGAAATCCGACGTGGGGGATTATAAAATCCACTTCAAAATAAAATATGAGGTTTAGAATTTGATTTATTTTTATCTTTTTTTATATTTGGGTGTGTGAATTTTGTAATGAATAATATATTAGGTGTCAAGTGCGTTAAACGGCACTTTATCCACGTTTAACAACGTGTTTTTACTTTCCCCTTTAAAGCGCCACTTTTTCCACGGTTTCGTGACACCAAAAATGACTATTTAATCACAGACGGCTAAAACCGTGACTAAAGTAGTTTATTCACGGGGTGGAGCTTGCGCCAGCGTATTTGCTTACGCTTTTTAATTTTTTTATTTGTGAAGTTAAGGAATGAGACATTTTCATTTGATTTAAAAAAGAGTTTTTACATTAATTTTGACAGCTTTTTGATTAAAGGATTAGGTCTCTTTGTTAGTGACTGATTTAAGCTTCCGGTGGTGTGTCCTTTGTACAACCATCTGACAGTATGACTGCCGTACTGCCAGTGACAACATAATGAATGACCCACTTTTTATTTTCCTGAGTCACACCACACTCCCCGACCGAATCCCAAGCAAGACGCAACTTTTCTCAATTAATAATCCAGAACAAAGACTGCATTGTTATTAAACAGCATCTTCTTTCTATCGATTTCTACTTAAAGCTTCTTTATTTTATTTTTTCTGTTGTTTTATTATATTTTATTTTCTTCTACACTCGTAAAAATGGTGCGTGCTTTAAAAATATGAAATGTTTAGATGATAAATGTTTGCTGCTTAAAGTGGAATCATGGAACGTTTCACTCGCAATTTGCATACGTTTCGTGTTTTATTTGCCAAGGTATAAAATATGAAAATTCATTAGACGGTTTACTTAGGACACGCTGTCGACGCTGAGGTTCGGAATTGGAATTGCGTACGGTTCGGCGCCGGTTTTGGAATTAATGGAAATTCTATCCCATTTCTACATCAGCACAAATTTATGAGGAAATTTAGTCATATTCAAGTGTATCTTAGACAAGCAGGCAAGAGAGATATTCGGGTGTTTGTTAATCAAAGTTATTTCATGAATAAATTGGTAAATATTGTGTTTTCGGCAAATTTTGCAACTTGAAAAGACATTTTTAAGATATTTTAAGATTAACGATTGATGATTACATTCAATTTAGCATCAATTTAAGAAGAAATTTAGTCATATTCAAGTATTTTTTAGAAGAGTCGGCGCGTAGGATGTTTGGGGGTTTGTTAATCAAAGTTATTTCATGAATAAATTGATAAATATTGAGTTTTTCAAATTTTTAACTTGAGAAGATATTTTAATATTAAAAATTAAAGATTTGCACAAATTTATGAGGAAATTAAGTAACATTGAAGCGGTTTTAAGACAAATAATATTCGTGTGTTAGTTGAACCAAGTTTTTTCATGAATAAATTGAAAAATATTGAGTTTTCTTCAAATTTTAACTTTAAAGTTGAATTTTGTAATTTTCAAGACATTTTAAGATTAAGGATTACATTCCACTTAGCACACTTTAACTTTCCACACTCTGGAAGTACAGATAAAGCGAAATCTGTGATTTTATGCCTAGATTTCCAACCGCCCCATCCTCCCATCTGAGATATGGGGCACCTGTAGCTCCCTCTACTCCCACTACTCAGTCTTTCTGCCTATATCCATCTATCCACTCATCCATTACCTAAGATTTTCTCTTTTTCCAAACCTTTATTTTACGAGAATACCCCATGCGCCGCTTCTCTTTTGCCTATACTCGCCTGAATGTGCCCTTTGTGAGCGAAATGGGGCGCGAACAGAAGCGCAGCGCTTCTCCTCTTCGAAAAATTGAATTGCGTGTGTTTTTCGCGAACGCGCCCCGAATCGAAAGTGCGTCATGGCTTACGCAAGCGGCCGTTTCCGTCCACGACTTTATATCGATCACGATATTAGCCGCACATCGTTGCCGAAATACACCTTTCCCTCGGTGCAGTTTATCTCATACGTGCGCTCGTGTATTGCGAAAATGTGTGTTCCCATGACAACTCTTCCCACAATATGTACGAGTATGTGGGTGTACGCAAACGGAAACCAGAAGTACCGCAAAGCGCACGGAATATGATTTGTGTGCTACATGTTACATATTATTAATCCTTCTGTGATGTTGTTTGATTTGTTTTCCGGTGTGATATTACACATTTCATTATTTCCTCTTGAGTTTTTATGCGTTTTATTTTATCTTATGAGTATTGTCACGAACATTCTACATCATAAAATACTTTGTTTTTTGTTTTTGTATTTTTATTGTTTTTTGTTGGATGTGTGATAAATCAGTGCAACAAAGTGGCAAAAATTTCTTGAGTATATTTGCTCTTTGGTCTTCTTTTGGTTTGTTTATTTGTTTTTCTTTATTTGCTAGGATATCTTCATTTCGTTTCCTTTGGGTAAACACTACAACAGCAAGTTGTGCTTTTGAACGTGACCGACAGAGCAAATTGATGTTGTTAGGACGAGTTGAGAATTGCTCCAGACCACTGGAAAGCACTTCTGGCCCCACAAGAATTGAATTATCTTTTATGTTATTGTGAAAGTACAAAGTGGAATCTAAACTGGCAGCAAACATATTACTTACTGTGATTATTTTGTTTTAAAGTTGGAATTTGATTGTGATTTGGTTTATATTTGCCAGAAATTACTAGAAAAGAGTGAAGGAGGGAGGGGTGACCCTAGAAAGCTGCTACTGGACTGGCGGAGGACTCAGGCACGACTGAGCGCGGCTCGCACTGCGCACCCGTTTTATACCTGCGGAGTACCCGCAAAAAGTAGTGGGGGAAGCAGTGCAGGCATTCGACACGCGCCGCAGCTTGTACACTCGCGTCGGCGTCCTTTCCCCACCACTTTTTGCTGGTAATACGCAGGTATGAGTTGTTCTGCGGTCCAGTCGCACTTTTTCTGTCTAATTTTCTTCCTTGGGTCTTCGGTTTTTCATGAATCATTTTTAATATGATTTTTAATATTTTAATGTTGACTTTTCACCAATATTTTCTAAAATTATGTTTATGTTATACGTTTTCTTGGTTGTATCTTGTATAATAATTTGTGCACTCTTTTCTTTCTTGCCCTTTCGACACTTTTGCGATAAAGGTCAGCTGGCTGCGTCCCGATGGAGGAGCAAATACGGCCGGCCGAGTAAAGTGCCGCGTTTAGGAGACGTCGATCCCACCGGATCTTATTGCTCGATACCGGAGGACTGGCTCCAACGGAAGCAGGGTAACACTTGCACAGAGTTTTTGTTTGGAATGGCAATTAACTACTCCTAACATATTCTAACATATTCTATAGGCGTGTTTATATATTAACTATTCATTAACAACTTAATGATATTTAACTTAATGATAATAGATTAGAGATTATTTGCTTATATTTACTGATTTCTAATCATGTGTAACATTTGGGTAACGAGTATTGGTATTGATGTGGTTGCGGGGTGATTCGCTCATTTGTGATTTATTATTGATTGCATGCGGGCACTGCGCGCCTGAAGAATCGCTTTGGTAATTGATATTGGCGGCGCAAATACAAGTTGGCTCTGGGTGTGGTGTGAGTTTACCCAGTTGGGATTAATACGCAATCTGATGCAGCTTGATTAAAAAGTTTATGGCATGACAAGGCGAGTTTACGCATGTTTTAATTGACGTTGTTTTATTACAGGTGTTGGGATAATTAATTCATGTAGAATATTATCTATTTTGTCGTAAAATATATGAGAATAGACTACACAAATGAAATAATTAATTTTCATTTGCGTTATTAAAGTTTTAGAATGAATTTTAAACTTTTTATGATTAAAAGAATATTTTTGGTTCTTTTGAGAAGTAATTAAGAGAAAATTGAGATTAAAATTCGTCAATTGATTCTAGAAACATAAAAATTTGCATTTTTTAAAGATATAATAAAGTTATTTGTCTTTTAAGTAAATAAATAAACATTGAAACTTGATTTGAAATAATAATGACTCTTGCTTGTTACATTTTACTAATATTTATTCTTTTTGACGACTTTTACGACGAGTTTAAATATTTTAAATTTAATCACGTAGAACATTATCTAGTTAGTCATAAAATAGACGAGAATATACCACGTAAATGACATAATTTCTTTTTATTGTCGTTATTAAAGTTGTAGAGATATTTCTATAACAAAAATAATTGTTTTGTTTCGTCTGTGATGACAAGAGGAGAAAAATGCAATTAAATTTAATTTAAATTTAAATTTAACAAAAAAATAATATTTTTGTTTCTTTTCCGAAGAGATAAAGAGAAAATTACAGTGAAATTACGTCAATTGATTCTAAAAATTCTAAAAATTAACATTTTCTACAATATAATACAAATTTTCGCCTTGAAAATAAACTGACATTCAATGACGGACATTGAAACATGAATTAAAATAATGGTGACTCATTGGTTTACAATTTACTCATACTTATTCCTTTCTACGACTTATACTATTTGAGTTATACTATTTGTAGACATCACATCCAAAAATATCATTCTTAACGATTATGTATTCAAGTCGCTACAAGGTTACACCTAGTAACCGTTTACTCATGACTCTCATGACTCTTGCGCCTAGCTCGGTCTAGCATTACACTCATTACACTAAATACCCCTCAACCCCAGCCGGTTTTAGTGTATTTTCACATTGAGTTTTCGTTTAACTTGGAGCGCGCGTGCCTCAGAACACGTACACTTTCTGGGTGGCTTCACAACCCTCGTAAATTTACGTAATCACATATTTCACGCTCACAAATTCACATCACAAACGAACAAAACGAAACAAACAATAAAATAATAAAACATTATAATTTTGTGGTATTTTTGTCATTTTTATAAGAAAAATTTAAATTTTAAACGTAGAAAAGTGGAAATTTAAGTATTAATTAGGTAATTAACTTTTTTTGCCTCCCTTTTAGTGTTGGGCGGTGTTTTTATAGTTAAAAGGGTCTTAATTAATGCTGAAATGCGAAAAGTTGGAACTTTCTTTTCCTACACTTTACTGCTATCAAAATTGTGCCACAAGCGAGCAAAAAATCAATAATTTCACATAATTAAACTGATTTTCCACTCATAATACTCACATTTAAATAATTCATAAATACAAATTAAATTTACAATCATTTCTGCTAATTTTTCCGGCGATATTTCGACATTTCAGTCACGCAAATTGCGATAAAGTTAATCTTTATCGACGTAGCGTGTCCCGTACAAATTCCAAATTGAAACGCCGAGTGCTTAACTAATAATTAATGATATTAATGATTGTAATGATATTAACAAGTACCTACTAATAAATATTAACCACGCTATTGATTCTTTCAATCAGACTTTTTAATTTAAATAAGTTTTCAATTTATAATGCGTGAATTGCGCGCGTTGTGTTGACACTGCAAACAATCAGCATCGGAACCGAATGTTTACAGTTGAACTTGAATGCTCCAATTCACTAATTACATCAACACTGCTGGTGATATTTTCAACTAACTTGGAATGTGATTAATTACTCTTTGCAGTGAATTCATTCGACTTTATGATTGCTTTTCGTATAATTTCGATGATAATTTGATCTTGTTTTAAAGAAATTCGTTTTTGTTTTAGCTGAATCAGTGCCGCCTCCGACAACTTCTCAATTAATAGACAGTAAGTATACCCGCACGTAATTAATTGTGTGCCAACCCCTTTAGATTCGCTCTCTTGTGCTCGGTACGCGTACCCAATTTCCACAATAATTAGCAATTTACAAGCGCAATGCAAACAACAATTTGCATTTTGCGATCGATTTTGAATTAAATCTTTTCGGCGGCGCCTGGGAATTGGGAATTTACACTATTTACGAGCTATGAACATGTCGTAACACATTATAACCTATATAAAATGCGGCCATTTTGTTGCCGCTCCAACATCGTAACTTTTAATGTCGGCGTAATTCCGCAATTAGTAACGTTTAATTCGGTTTGTGTTACAGTTGCCGTCGCCAACTCGATTCCCTTCGTCGGTTTTGGCTTTCTGGATAACTTCTTCATGCTCTTGTTTGTAAGTATCAGTTGGTGTGAAGTTTGTGGCCGTTTGCTGGTGTGAAATGTCACCCTCGTCACTCACTGTGCAAACAGACGGCATTTCTCAACATTGTGGCATTTGTTTTGTCGCAATGGAATAAATTTGCTGATTGCCACTCGTATAACTCCGAGGGGTGACGTTTATCAAGTGTTTTATCTTACATGTATTCATGTCGTTTGTTTGCAAAGAGTTTTATCTTCATAAATAAGAAGATATGCAGATAGGCAACCCAAATAACACTAAAATAACATTTTTATTATTTTCAGGGTGATTATATCGACATGTACCTTGGTTCCTACTTTTGTTTGACAACAATGGCTGCCGCTGCTCTGGGTAACACATTTTCTGACGTCCTGGGCATTGGTACAGCTTTCTACGTGGAACGTCTTGCAAACAAGATTGGTTTCAATCCGCCCAAACTCAGCCCGATGCAAATGGACATGCCTCGGTCACGAAACTTTGCCAACCTGGGGCGGGTGCTGGGTGTTACCATCGGCTGTCTTCTCGGCATGTTTCCGCTTATTTTCCGTAAAGGAAAGACCAAAGAAGATGATAAAGAAGGTTGCACACCTTCTAAGGACACAATCGTTGACGCTAAATAGAATTAAGGCTTAGTATTAGTGAATTCATCGAAATTCGATACAAAAAAGGAAGTTTTACCTAAAATAATTAAGTTCCTTTTATGGTCAGCGCGCTAATACTGTTAAACTCAACGCATCAATCAAAAAGGCTAGGCTCAAACAATGCACGACTGGTTATTCTCGCAACCAGGTCAAATAGGCACAATCACAATCAATTCGGTTTAGTAGACGCAACGAGATAATCGATAGTTAGGCGATAGGTAATATTAGGCTGTTGGTAGGCGATAAATATAATTAAATACTTCGAAAAATGCGTTTGCGCAATTACTAGCTAACAAGTTTAACCCCCGAAAAGCCTAACGATTTAAAAGTTCGAATTGCGAACGACTGCCACTATTAATTACTTAATAAATTAATAATTCTAGACATTAGGATATTCTCTAGGCCTTGGAACGCTTCGCCACCAAAGATTTGTAGTCTTTTTGTTTAGAATTTACGGTTTTGTTATTTATTTGATTGATTTAATAACTTTTATTGTTGGATTTTTACTGTTTGAGGTTAAAGTTTTATCCTGGATGATGTAATTACTGTACAAATCGGAGATGGTAGATATATTCTTCTACTTCTTAGACTTTTAATGATGTTACGAATGCTACGGCTACGAAACGGCTATAAATGATGATATCAGACTAAGATACAAATAACTATTTAAAGATAACTATGAGAGAATGTAAATACACAAATTAATACGAGTATTCTCACTTGATCAAAAGAAAAATGTCAAATTATGGTCAAATTCTCTAAATACTAACTTTAATAATGCTTTTCTTAAAGCAAACTGTCCACGTTCACACTTGTAAATAAATAAACTTAAATTTAGAAAGAAAAAATACATAAAAGTAAAATGGGTTGCCTATAGTTACGTACTTAACCCTGGTTAAGGTTATAAATGAAAGTTTCATTTAATAATCGGAAAAAAAGCTATTTATTCTCAAAGAAACCAAAAATTTCGTACATTTCGTAGCGTATTAAAATAAATATCGTCTTGCGCTGTCTGCACGTATGAAAATTTAGTCTTCTACGCCTTCACCTCCTGGAAGAATTGTGTCAGGTGCTTGTAAGGGAAATACCCACTGATCGTATCCGTCCATTCGGTATGCCATGAACTCTCCAATAAATCCTGCATGCGAATCTTTGTCCCCTTGTGCAATTTATCCACCAATTCGACTTTCTTCGAGTTGGCGATGGACATATCCATGAAATTATCCTGAGTCAGTTTCGAAGCGGCAAAGAATCGCAGGGTTTCAACTAGTCTGCTAGCATGCGACAGCCATGTCATACTGGGACTGTTCCACCAGTCCCAGGTGACATCCTCGCGGTTACTATTGTTTGTAATATCATCGTGGAAGTCATTTTCTTGTGGTGCAGCGCTTTGAATTGAAGCCAGTAGTATACTTGTTTGTAATACATCCACAGCATATCGGGATGATGACAATGACTTTTTGTTATCATCGGTTTCATCGAGGTAGTAAATTGAAGAAGTGTCGTTTTCTACCAATGCAGGGAAGTAAGTACGATTTGCTGTTGTGGATGTTGTAGAGGGCGCTGATGGTTGATTAAGTAAATGGCCGGGAATTTGGCTGGCGATGTACATCGAGGCAAGTATTGTGAGCAAACCAGCGGTGTATGTTGTTACTAACACCGCCATTATGGTCGCCAGAGCGTTGAGCAACGATTGTAGATCGAATATACGCGAAAGTGTTTCTAATTCAGCGTAAGTAAAATGGCCGCGGATTTTGGTCTCGCGCTGTGCGAGTGTTTCCTCCAACGCGTTGAATTTCTGCCAGAAAGTGGCCTCTTTCACAAAAATATCCCATTGCTAATAAATTTTAAAAATTAATAATAAAAACATATAAAAATTAAAATATTTTACTTACAATTGAACTTAAAAATTCCCGTTCTAAAGCTACAAGTTCATCTATAGAAATACCACCGGATTCAGCCCATTCACTCATGACCACACCGCTTTCTTCACCGTAATCGTATAAGAATTTACTGGAAACCATCTGTAAGTTAACAAATTGTATTAAATTTCTGTTGCGGGTGTATAACTGGTTGCATATATGCTTACCAATGATACCAAAAATAGCTGTGAAGGTGCGACGCATTGCAAATACTCTGGATTGCACGCCTTCAGTCTTTCTAAATACAGCATAGCCAAAACAAATGAGCACGGTGAAATGCACGCCTCGCGGGATATGTATGCCGCATCTTTGCAGTGCAGCCTGTCCAAGGATCTTCCAGTATGAGGTTCAGAAAACAATTCTGAAGCTAGTTCTAATCAAAACCAAAAAATAAACAAAATAAGCAAATATTTACATTATTTTATAAAAATGTATGTTTACCTGTGACCGGTAAGCTTAAGCGATCGGTCGTCGGCAGTTTGCCGTAGTAGAGTGTCTTCTGGATCCTTTTTAGGAAGTGATCATGGTCTCCCATCGACTGTAACGTGTGAAAACAAGGTTTGTAGGTTGTAAGGAATGCATATGTGGTACAAAGGTATGATAATTACCTTGAGCTCCTTGGCTCGACGGGATATTTTGGACATCGTTGTGTTTGTTTGCGCTCTGCTGTGATGATATTTATTTTTACCACCGAATTTTTTCAATGCTTGTTTTTTGCGTAGAAGGTGAAGGATAACAAATGAGATCACACGTTACTCATTACGCTCACACCACTTGTTTCGCGTTCTTTCGTCATCAACAATGTGAGAAAAAATTATCAACCGCGATAGTGGGGTACATTCGACCTTTTGACATTGACTTTTTGTTGCGCACTTCTTAAATGTGTAGTAGTGTGAGTGAAAATGACGCTAATAATTTATTTACGCAAATTATTATAAGAAATATGGATTTGGATATGTTAATAATGTTAAATTATTAAATAAATTGAGTATTATTAAGGCAGGATCTAATTTTGACAGTTCTGACGTTCCGAACATGCACGATTCAAAATTTTGATTGTTAAATTAACAAATATATGTCTAGAAATATCATTTGAAATACTAAATTATTAAATATTTTATATTTAGAACTTGCAAATTTATTGCATATTATGATGTTGTGGTAAGGTTTTTAATTTATATATTTATTGTATGCAACCATCATGTCTTCACATGTTACTGCTTCTTGAGAAAATTGAGGTTAAATACAAAAACAGCCGTTTGCGCGTTTGGTTCGCATCTCAGTTTGTGTATCAAAACATAATTATTAAATATTTTCCCTGTTATCAATTAAAACTTAATCATGGACGGTGATTTTGATCGTTCAATTCGTCTCCTAGACGAAGCAGTGTCAGCGCAAGGCCGCAAACTTTTCCGGCAAAGTTTTAAAACGCGCGACTTCGACGATACTCTTTTCGCAGGCAGTGAATATGAACATCGCAACATCTCCAATTACGCAGAAAACACCACAATGTTTGATGTAACCAGAATGAACTACTCCATGTCCATCGCAGAATCCAATAAACCATCGGCAGACAATCTCTATGTGGAATTTTTCGAGATTCTTCAAACTCACACACAAAGTGATGAGTTGCTGAAAGCCATTGCAGAAATGTCCAGAAGTTGTGCAGATGCTCTCACCGTCATACGTGCTGCCAACGCAAAACTCATCAGTAAACCAGTAAATGATATCTGGCTGGAAAATGAGAGAAACACATGGAGATTGTTGTATATTTTGTATTCAGATAGATTAGTTACTAGATCTTCATCAAATGAAGAAGGTAAGACTTAAATTTTACTTTTATTTTAGCATAAACACTTAAAAATGTGTTTTTAGATATTTCTGATTCAGATATGTCCAGTTATTTTGGCCACAGTGAAAAATACTGCATGTTAAGCCTGTTTAAAAGAAATAATTTGATCAGAGAGTGTCAATTGGTTGTGGATTGGTTGGAATGCAATGCTGCACAAAAAGATGATGGTATTCTACACTTTTCTGATTGTTCCATGGGTTGGGAGAATACATTACATCAGTTGAAGTCAAAAGACACAATTGTCTTTGAAGCTACTCATAATATTGTCAATAATATGGATCCTGATTCACAATATTATCAAAAACTGCCTTTGCATGATATTGATATGGAAGATGAAAAGAAATTATGTTACAAAGTGTTCCATCAAGTTAGATGTGGGAAATTGGATGATGCACAAAAGGTTTGTGAATATTATAAATATTTAAAAGTTGTTTAATTAATTTTAAAACATTTTAAAGTTATGTGCCCAATCTGGCCACTATTGGAGATCAGCCCTGCTTGAAGGTTGGAAATTATACCACAACCCAAATTTAGACGACCAGTTTAGCAGAGAATACGATGAAGGTTTTGCTGAAGAATCTCCAATGGACGATGAAAGCGATGATAAACCAGTCGAAGGCAACGAAAATCGTGATTTATGGAAGGTAACAGCATGGAATTATTCTAATAATCCATCACTGGACACTTATGAAAAGGCAGCTGTTGCTGCATTCTGCGGTAATCTTAAATCTTTAATAAATGTGTGTAAAACTTGGGAGGATTACCTCTGGGCGCATATGAAAGTCATGATTGACATCAAAGTTGAGTCCGAGGTGCGTGAAAATGTTACTAAAAACTACAAAGATATGCCAAATACGTATTGGGAACAAAGAATGTCGATAAATGAGATTTTTGCGGCATTAGAAGCGTCAAAAACGAAAACCGTGCAGCGTGAATCACTTCTGTTAGATCATATCATTCAGAAATTCATTATTCTTGAAGAATATAATAATTTGTTGGACGCCATTGCTGATTGGATACTGGATCCGAATATTAGTACACAATTTCTCCGCTTCGTGTCGCATCTGTTGTTATTCCTGGAGCAAATAGATCAGGTTAACAATCGAGAAATTACGGAAAAAGTGATTGAAGAGTATTTGAAACGACTGATTCACGATAAACAAACACAACTTGTCGCGTTCTACGTAAGCAAACTGACTGAAACTACACAGATACATATTTATTCGACGTATTTGGAATCGATTGTTGATAATGAGGCGCGGAAAGAAGCTTTGCAGTATGCGGAGGATTGTGGACTTAATGTCGCCGCCATTACAAAACAAATTGTCGAGAATATTCGTGGCAGACATGATTCACCGATTGAAATGGAGAATATGGTATGTGATTTCTTAATTTTTTAAATTTTTTTATAATTTATTAAGAATTTATTCATAGAGTGTGACAAAATCTGATGAATTTAAAATTAACTCATTGGATTGGTTGCTTTTCTACAATAAACAACTCGCTGAATTGGTACATCAAACAAACGCGCTTGTTTTTCAATTTTTATTGATGCAAAAACACGATGCAGCGCAGTTAGCATTTAATAAAGTTCCCGATGATGCGGTTGGGAAACTCTCAGCGGGTGATGATATCCCCGAGGAGTTACAACAGATTGTTCGTGAATATCTCAGTTATAAAGCATATTTCGAAGCGCAGGAAGCATTTAGCGTGTGGTTCAAGAACTTTAAGAGCCAACCGAAAGAACCGGAGTGTCCACCAGAGGGCGCGCCATTCGCTAAAAAGGTAGAGTATGAGCACAAACTGTCACAATTTAGTGCCGAGACCGGAAGATGGAAGATCACCATGGAACAACTTTCAAAACAAGCAAAACTGCCGCTTTATAACGTTCTACTCTTTCCGGACGGCGGGTGGCTTCACGGGGCCAAAGAGGCGTCATATCTGCAAAATAAGTACATTCCACAGTGTCTTCTGTTATTGTTCAACGTCCTGTACGACTCTGAACAGTTTGAAGAGTGTGTTCAGTTGGCGGACATATTAGCTTCAGAGAAGTATCAAGTGTATAAGGTTTGTTTTTCAAAATGGCGGCATAACTGAAAACTAAACTAGTTTGATTTTATTTTGTTTCAAAGTATTTTTCGCATGAGAAAATGGCTGAAGCCCTGCGGAAAATAGCAGAAGCATCCGTGGCGCTGTTGAATCATGGTAAGGATCCGTGGGGTAACGACACGCGTGCCTGATTTCACAATTCGTAAGTCTACCAATTATTTCTATGTGAATAAAAACTTTTTTATTGAAACTTTGAATACGAAACATTTAAAAACTACAAATAAGGACCCCAGCCAATGTACATTTGGCATAAATTATCAATACTCATCGCTTCAGCGATTAATTTGTTCGTTTGACCTTCGACGGACAGCGAAATCGAATAAGACATACGTTTTGTAGTCTTCACTTGACCTTGCAATCGACGCTGAATAACTTTAATGTGTTCCATTGACTGAAATCAAAGTAATCATTTTTAAAATATCAAGTTTTAAACTTAAACTTTATAACTTACAAGTGGATTGGTCCGCTCTTCATTACCAGTATTAACATTCGCGACTCTTTTCGGCCAAGACACAAGCGGATCATACACGAATGGCGTAACAATCGACATTAAAGTATTCGCATGTGTCCGTAAAACATGCAGAGTACAAGCGCATGACTTCCTAAACATGCCCTCAACGCCTAACGGCCCCATAGCAGCCACCATATTCGGTGTCAACCTAAATGGAACCCTTTCAGGCCACTCAAATTGTTCACCTTTGTTGAACAAACAATTGAAATCAACGTGTACGGCGTCACCACATGTTGAATCCAATAGAATATTCTCGCCATGTCTATCTCCAAGTCCAAGAATGTGTCCAACCATGGACATAACTGCCGTGGTTCTTGTATAAGCTGTTCTTGCGGTTAACCAACCATGCGCATCTGGGAAAGTCCTCCGGAACCAATCACCCAACACAGGTGGATGTTTCACCAACAGAATTTTAGTATAAATCGAACGTTTCTTCTCCAATGGATCCGATAACTTCGGACAACACTCTTTTAATTCTCTCGCACGCATGCCAGAACCTCTCTGTTTGTATATAGTCATCAAAGTAGGTCTTAATCCGACTAAATTCGGCACCCATTCTATCATACCACACTCTTCATTTAAAGGCGCAACTGAATACAAGCGTATATTCAATCGCCTCTCACGAGATTCAGCTTCCTTCGATAGTAATTGATTGACGATATCATTAAACTCCATGAGACGGAAATCTTTTCGAAGATCATCCTTGGGTTTAAGCATTTGTATATATAACTTGCCATCGGATCCACGCAGGGTGATTTTACGCGGGCGTTGGAGACTTGGCAGAATTGTTATTTCATCTTCAATGCCAACAATGTGCACGTAATGATTAGGGAATGCATTGTATGACATATTTATGTTTTCCGGGTTGGGAAGAATCAGTTTTCGGAATTTATGAGTTGGTATCATTATTTCACTGAAGTCTTTTTGTGATAATAATCTAAAAATATACAAATTAGTATTATTTACATATTTTAACTTCAAAACTTACCGAGGTAAAGCTCTTAGGATTGCATTGACACTGCAACGACTCCCTCCGATTTCTTTATTAGTCAAATCAATCAATTTCTCTGCTAGTTGAATAAAATCATTGAGGAATTTCACCATAACTGGTGTTTTGAGTCTTGGATCACTCAAAATCTCTCGGCAGCGCTTCGATCTCAACTCATAACTTGACTTTATCACTGATATCATCATCCAGAGAGTTTGTTGTGGGTAATTTAATATTAGTTTTGCCACTATTTGGTTTAACTCTTTATAAATCTACAAATAATCAATTTTCCGTTAAAACTTAAAAACAAATAATTTCTACTTACTTCTTTTTGAGAATGACAAATCCTTGAAATTATCTGTGAAAAAGCAGTTAGAAATATGTAAGGTGGTAATCTATCCAGGCAATTATCAATCAACTTGGTCATTCTTAACAAATTCTGTTGTCTTTCTTCTTTGACAGCCGGTGATTTAACATCCAATAACCGCGTGCCATAATCAAACCAAATACTTAACAATCTCGGCATAGATTGGTAAATATATTCAGTTCCATATTGTAAAGATTTGCCAAAATAATTAATCATATGAATCTGTATCTCGCTCCCTTTCACATCTCTATCTTCTTCGGACATACTCAATAACACTCTATCGTAGTATTGCGCTAAATAAACCAAACTTTTCTCGCATTCTCTAAACATTTCGATTGATTCTTTATAATGTTGAATGTTTACATCAACGTCAACGTTTGATAGCGCGTTGTTATAAGACGCTACATGAAGTTTTGCTTCCGCGCATATTTTCCTAATCGATTGTGAAAAGTTAGCCGGAACTTTCCCAGTTGGTAGTAGAACTCGTAAATGTCTTTCGAGTGTTGTGAGTGCTTGTTCATGCTCATTACACAACCAGAACCACTTTGCTTTCTCAACGAATAATCTCGGCGGTGCAAATTCTTCCGCTTTTAAGATATAACTGTATGCTTGTTTGTGGAATTCAGAATTCATCGCTATAACAGCACTTTTCAACCAGGTATCACCTAAGAGTGAGTGTAGGGCACCCACGGCTGGTTTTACATTCTTTTCGGCTTTTTGTTTGGCTATATCTAAAGCAGCACGTCGTAGACATAAAATCGGTTCGATTACTTTTACACTTTGTTGGACACATTTCAATCTGAGTTCCCATTCGTCTTTCATTTGGTTTATAATCGCATGTGCGCTTTGTTCACTCTGCGGACGTAGTAGCAACTCATGGACGCCATTTTCAATCTGTTCCAGTTCATTTATTGCATGTATACGTGCAATATAATAATATCCATGTTGATAAGTGCCTTCTTCCAAACTAGACGCACCTAAACTATCAACTTGTATCATCTTTAACGTTTCTAATTGTTGTTTGAATGCGTTGCGGTCGCCATTACGGAAATGTATAAGTGCGCGTCCGGTATGCACACCCCAATTGGTACTTTCTTGTAATTCTCGCTTTTGTAGCAATTGATCCAACTCATCGTAGCGTCCTAAACGCCACAGAGGTTCTGTTTGTGCTTCGAGCATCCAATCACTGAGATAATCCGCAGGTTGTCCCTCCCAGACACCTTTCGCTAGATATAATGAGGTATTAGCATGATCCATTTCAAGTTGTGATTTTACAAGTCCATGTAATTGAGGTAGACTTAAAGGAAGACGTTCATAACACGCTGCTGTTAGTGGTATCTGCCCAGCTGCTTCATGATCAAGTATTCTTTGTTCTAAACTAGCTTCGCTTTTTCTCAAAGCTGTAACTCCTGCCACGCCATCAGGCTCGTTAAGTCTACAGTAAATTTCTGATAAAAGTGTTAAACATTCATCTTGATTCTCTCTATCAGCCATTATATGATCTTCTAAATACATCAAAGCTCTTGGGTATCCACCAAATTGAAAATTGCTTTTCGCTAGTTGGTATTTGCAGAATTTACTGATAAAATTCTTTATACTTTGATATTCGTGGTTTTCTTGTCCTGTGTATCTCTCCCACATCCATTCGCGCATCCAACGTTCGAGGAAATCGAAGAGAACAAACACTACTTTAAGGTAGTCTTCTCGTTTGTATGATTGGTGTGATTTTTTGTCTTTTTCAACAAAAGCGGTATCCATTCTTATTATTCGACGCTTTTTTATATCTTCACCTTTGACATCTTCGTTATTTCGTTCAATAACAGCCATGAATTCATCATAAGACTCTTTCTGAGCTTGTAATTGTCCTTCAATCAAACTATTCAAGAAGATATGAGGTAGAAAATACATCAATGTTTTAATATCTTGCTTCATACTAGGAACATACGCACAAAACAATTGTTTCTTTTCTGAAGTCAGAGTCGAAATCAACTTGAAAGTCCAATTGTCTAACCAACGTTTAAAATTGGATCCTAAATTTGATCCGTAAATAGGTCCTTTGTGAACGACTTGTCTATTAGAAACATTACAATATTTTGAAGAGACAAATGGAAGCATTAGTTCCTTCTGAACATCTGTTAAACTTCCCCAAAGTCCTCCGCGTTCATCCGGACTGATTTTATAAGTCCTCAACGTTTCCTGAATCGCCAATGCAAAAGTATCCATCTTTTGACAGTTTGCTTCTACTTGCATCGCTCGCGCAAACTCATTCAATGAATTCAGAATGAAATTCTTATCTGTGATGGAAAAATTGAAGTCTTCCTCTTCTTGAATGCTTCTTGGTGGCGGTAAATGACTGGGTTCAATGGCTCCTAGCTCCCCGATACAATCTCCACACGCTGAGCGTATTTTTGAATCATATTCACGACATCCTTGCAGTAAATAATCGATTAATTCAACGATACACGCATCAATCCCGTTGAAACCCAGAATCATCGCTTCTAATTCACTTCGGTTTTTATTTAAAAGTTGTTTTATGTATTTGAGTGCGTGCCATTGCACTTCGATCGTTTCATAGCTCAAATATCGCATGAAAACTTTCAAATGTTCTTTGAAACTTAACGCTTGGACTTTTTCTAAGTGCGAGCGTAGTTTTTGTGCGATCAGTACATTCAGATCCAGTTCTAGTAAGAAAAATAAATCCACTATATTATCTTCTAGGATTTTTTCATTAGTTATGATGAGATATTTAAGGACATCGTTGATTTTCGGCTCGTTTTTCTTTATTAACGGGTAAATCGAGACGCAGATTGTTGCGAGTTGCGGGCTGAGAATTTCCAAATCACAACTGTGAATAAAACCCTCCCAGACGATGCAATTTAATTCGGGGAATTTACCCTCGGTTTGTGCCAGAACTGTTCTTAACATGGCGATGATTTTAAACCGCACAGGCGTGATATACTTAGGTCCCAAGTATTTAAAAATGGCCGCCAAGCTTTGGAGAATATTCTTTTTGTTGTGATATGTGCTGAGTAACTTCAGATCGAAATATTGCAAAACTCCGAGGAATCTTGGTCGTATATATTCAGGAACTGATGTTTGGGAGTTGCCAGATTCCTCTGATGCTAGAATTGACAAACGTTGAAGGACTTGTTCACGTTTTTCATAGAAATTCAACAGTAGTTCGTTCAGAATCACCTAAACAAACAAAAATTAACAAAATATGAACAAAACATTCATTATTCATAGTAAATAATTTACCATAAAATTGTTTTTCCGTAAAGTGATGCCCCTTTCACCACTTTTCTGCTCAACAAATCTCAAACATCGCTCGCACTCTTCGTGGTTTTCATACATTGTTAAATACACATAAATATATCCATATTTGTCACTAAACAACTCTTTGACTTCCATCTCGTTATAACTTGCGATTTCTTCAATGAGTTGTTCAACTGCTGGACGTTTAAAACACAAACTAACAAAAAACGGCAGCAGATATCTTGTTTCTTCGATGATCATATGTTTAACATCGTCGTAGCATAATTCACCAGCAAAACTCTCAAGAGATGCTGATAATTTCATCCCAGCGCATGCCTGATTCACAGCGCAGAGATTCACGATAATCTTGCACAATTCCGGACGATATTTTGTATATAAACGACTGGTTGTCGTGTCTTTCCTCTTCCTGAACCAGAATAATGTTGTCAATGCTTTGTGGCACACATTGCTCGTGACCATTATGATAAAATAAAACGTATATTTAAGTACGTTTAATTCAATGCATTCGTGTTCCAAGTGGGAGACTCTATCAATAATATCAATAATCGTGTTTTGCATGTACAAATGTGACTGTAGGCGTAGAGATTTATCAATGGCGTCCAATATGAATTCGAAAAACGGTCGAGAAATTGTGCGTATTTGTCGCCATCTTGAATTTGTGGTATGTGCTAAAAATTGAGGTTAAAACGTTTAAAACACTATATTTTGTAGTATATTACCAGTGGGGCACTTAAAACATCGGAAATAACATCGACAAGTGCATTTTTCACATGGACATCTTTGGTTTCAATTGGTTTCATCCACTTGGAAATGACGACTTGTGAAAACATCGGTACGTATTTACTTATGGCCGGTAGAGCTTTAATAACTTGTATACAACATTGATTATTGTTTTCGTTTTCTACTAACAACCGTAGAGCTGCTTTTAGTATGATAATAATTCTTTGACTTTGTAAATCTTCAAAGAGACGGTCGCGTTGTTCATGTAAATATTCTCCTTCTATTTTAATCTTCTTAGCTGTATTTGTTTCTTGTACTTTAACACAGAGTATTTTATTGTCAAAATAGACACATCTCTCGAATTTTGTGCATAATATGATGAAAAGTGAAGGTAAAACTTTTGCAAACATGATTCGCACATCAATTTGCACAGATATCATCGCTGGAGTCAACAAATACCTCTCAAATTCTTCGATTTTTTGAGTTTTTGACATTAATACTATTAAATATTTCAACAACTAAAATAATTTCATAAATATAATTAAATTATTATAAATATTTATTGATTACTCACCACTTCTTGACAAGCTGATCTTGGTTCTTCCATAATTGCCTTAGCAACTTTCAAAAAATACTTCTCATATTCTTCGTAATTCTCCTCATTGCTAATAATCAACATGTGCATGTAATAACACCACTGCTCGAAAATTCTCTCCCTTGCAAACTTTTTACTCTTCAAGTGAGCTAATATCATCTGAATTCCTTCACCAATATCACCTGCTTCATGTATCGTCGGCGCATTTTTATTCAACAAGTAGACAAACCACTGAAACACGGTTTTCGCATACTGTGAATTCCCTGTTGCCACAACCAAACACATAATGTTTATGAATCGTTCAAAATGCAGATCACAATGGCAATATCTCATATGTGCAGCAACATATGCAATAAACTTCTGCACGAATTCTTTTTCATCCAACAATATAAACTGTGTTTCGAACCGTGCGCATAAAACAATTCCCATGAAGTTTTCCAGTGTGTTTAGGTCATTGTCCAATTTACAAACTGCGTTTTCGTTGTTTTGATACACCAAAATGTTTAATATTTTATTGTAAATATCTTTATAAACATTGGTGGTGTTTGTCTGATGAATTTCTTTAATAATCGCCTCTTTGAAACAAGGTAAAAAGTTCAAATTCTTGTTGGATTTGAAACTTTTTATGCTTTTCACGTGTTTAATTGCTATTTCTTTAAACTTTTGTGGTACACAATCATTCAACAGGATGTACTCGTATAATTTCTGACATTTTAAGTCATCTTTCATTGTAGAAAATAAGTCTACTGCTAGTTTATCAAATTTTTCACATCCCAGCATACATTTTGTGGTGAATAACGTTTCAAATATCAGAAACATATCATTTTTACATCTTCAATTTGTTTTGGGTGTTTTTGTTGAGATTCTAAACAATTAACATATATTTGTAACACAGCAATCTTCAGATTTAAATTGCTGTACTTTAACACTAACAATAAATTCTCCATTAAAGCTATGGTCATTTCTGTGATATAAAACATATCTAACATTTGCACGGCGCTGTGGCCGACGATTTGTAACACAACGCCTTGCATATTCACGCAATCGGATTTGTTTTTCACTTCGATTGTCAACGCTTTTAGTTTGAGCGTTTCTGCTAGGTCTTCAGGCACTTCATGAAGGAATACTTTTAGTCGTACGTCACCGGTGTAATTGTTTTGTGCGTATTGGTTTAATTGTTCGAGAACTTTCACGTACTCCGAGATTAAATCGTAATATATAAAGTCGTGCATTTGATGCAGAATTCGATTCTGGGCTGTTACAAACGACTTTTGAAGCCTTAAATTTAAATAAATTTAAATAAACCGTTTTTTACATTCAAAAGTTTCTAAAAAGAAAATATTTTACCTCTGAATGTTGGGCAATGTTGATAAATAAAAAAATTGTCCTAGGACCCAAGACGTGAATTCTTTCTTCTTTTGATTTAATACGTTGAGTTCTTCGAATGGTACGTGCGGCATTTCAAACACAAACATTTCGCACAGCGCTGGTTTCTCAACCATTATGGATAACCTTTCAAACAACTTTTCAGTGCTCATTGTATGTAATGTATCTATGGTATCACTAAGCATTTTCCAGGTGGCTAGGGCCGGAATGGCCTGGAGATAAGTGTGCTCCATGTTTAAATTAGTAACTATGTTTTTTATCGTACAAATCACATATTAAATTAGTGTTTTATTTCGCGTTTTTCAACCGCAAAACATAACAAGAACATAACCTGAATGAAATATACGCTTGCGGCGCTATAGTCGATTTTCATTGGGTGCATTCGCGTTGGACGCTTACGCGCTGTGAGCGTGCTTACATGTCATTTTCATCGTTCGACTTGGCGCTGTGAGTGTCACATAAGTACGCTCATGGCTGAGTGCGAAAAGCGTGAGCGCCAATTTTTATTATCTGTCAAAACGAATGCAACTTGAGCATAAGCTAACCAAAAAAATTCATTTATTTCTAAATTGTAGTTCAAATGAGTATTACAATACTCCCATTCCATGTCATTATCACTATCTTCAATCATATCAAACTCATCACTATCATCAGACTCATCATCGATAATTTCTAATAAATTATTTATTATTTGATAAACAGTTGCCATGTTGATGATTATTGACGCTCACAATATCCAAAACGAACGAAATTTATTTATTGATTCTAAGCGCCTATAGGCCATCTCGAACACTAAAAATTTGTGCTTATAAGCGTGAGCGCTCACAGCGCGTAAGCGTCCAACGCGAATGCACCCTTTATTTGCCAGAAACTAGTTTTAGTTAAGATTTTCAACATTAAAGTAAACAAAAGAAATATTTATTCTTATTTTGAAGTTCCAAGTGTAATTTAGTCAAACTTTACAGTTTTTGGTTTTTAAAATTATAAAAACTCATAAATTTGTATTTTGAATATGGTTTGGTTCCAAATTTTGTCAGCGGAACTATTATGTCGCTAGTATCGCACATTTAGTCCGACTGGCGGAGCCATATTGAAACTCTTTCTTGTTTCCCTTTGGTCTGGTGACAGCACACAGGTTTGTATCTTTTGATATTTTAGTCATCCTCAAGTGAAAACTAGTGGTGTGGTGTTGAATTAATCGTGGTAAACTTGTGCATCGATTCTAATTGTGATTTTTTTCGTATTTTTCCCGGATTCAGGCCAAGATGGGTCGACGTCCAGCGAGATGGTAAGATACTTTACATAACCTATTAAACATTGCTTATAACTTCTGTTTTCGTATTTCAAATATCATTTAACTTATGTTTTATAGTTTGAGTGAAATTTACTTTATTTTCATTGTTTTGGATATTTAATTTAACTTCAAATATCAGTTTCGCGTCGCTTTTATATGATAATGTTATGTTTTGTGGTGCAATATTGTTCAATGATCGCATTTCAGTTACCGCTACTGCAAAAATAAGCCCTACCCCAAATCACGTTTCTGTCGTGGTGTGCCAGACCCGAAGATTCGTATCTTCGATTTGGGCAGGAAGAAGGCTTCAGTTGAAGACTTCCCTTGTGTGTGCACTTGGTGTCTGATGAATATGAACAGCTCAGCTCCGAGGCCCTTGAAGCCGGTCGTATTTGCTGCAACAAATACCTGGTAAAGAACTGTGGTAAGGATCAGTTCCACATTCGTATGAGATTGCATCCGTTCCACGTTTTACGTATCAACAAGATGTTGTCCTGTGCTGGAGCTGATAGGTATGTCAAAAAATGTAAAATAATGAAAAATCAAATTTATCATGTAAAAATTCTTTTAAAGGCTCCAGACTGGAATGAGAGGTGCCTATGGTAAACCTCAAGGTACCGTCGCTCGCGTTCGCATTGGTCAACCAATCATGAGCGTACGCTCTAGCGACCGTTACAAGGCGCAGGTCATCGAAGCTCTGCGTCGTGCGAAGTTCAAGTTCCCTGGTCGCCAGAAGATCTACATCTCAAAGAAATGGGGCTTCACTAAGTTCGAGCGCGGACAATACGAAGAATTGAGGGACGGAGGTCGCCTGTCCCATGATGGCTGCAACGTACAGTATCGTCGTGAGCATGGACCATTGGCCGCGTGGAAGAAGGCGCAGGTGGTCGGCTTCGGCGGCGAGAACTGTTAAGTTTTCATATTTAACAATAGAAAAATGAATGAAAACCAAGACGACTGCAGGACGATTTAAGGGTAACCCATTTTTTAAAATTCCTTTTCCAGGTCCTGAAAATAAACCTTCCAATTCCAAGATGCACTGTGGTGGATCCGATTAATCAAGAAATAATCCTTTAGTTTTTTTCCATTTTAATATTCAATAATCATGAGAAATACAATTGCTTATAAAATTCAAAATGATTTCACATCCTTAATAGTTTAATTCTAATTATGCTTGGATGACTTGTGAACTAGTGGTGCTTCTGTTCATGACAGTACACGCTTGTTCTTTGGCTTGCCAGCAATCGTCCCAATAAGTTTTGAGGCGATTGTCTTTGTTGGCACAAAATTCCTTGAAGTCGCGCATCAATTTCAACTGGAAATTGTTATCGACTGTGGGATTGGTCCTCCAGCGTTTGCTCACCATGTGATTCCATGCCCACAGAAAACCCATCTTAAACATATGCGCATTGTACAAGCATTATGATTAATGTATTTGTATGTATTTTTAAGTTATCACCTACCTTACGCGAGTTATCGTAATCATCTTTATTCTTCCCGCTGACGTGACGCGTAATATAAGCCTCGTGAGGGCTGGGAACAACGTCCAAGTGCTCAGAGTACTTTACTTTCGTGGCGTGGCTCATACTCATCAAACGCCTCTGCTTGGGAGCCGGACTGGTGACCAGAACGAAAACAGTCCCGGTACAATGAATATACTGATGCTCTTGAGTCGCAGCGGTGTTTTGCGGTTCCATCAGACACTGTATAAACCCAAACTTGGCTACAATAGCCTCCTGTAGTAAGAAGATGCGCTCGAGCGTGGTTTCTTCGCGGAATTCCTTAAAAATACGATCGGCGCCTTCCAAACATTTAATATTCAACGGGATGAAGATTGGTCCTCGTAATGGATCCGATTTGTTCGAGTATGGCAGAGCTAGCGGGTCATGCGGTATAGGAATCATCTGTAAGCCACAGTTTTGCTGCGCTTTGCGTGACCAACCATAGAGAAGTTCATGTACAATAGATCCCGATGCATTCAACCACTCAACAACCATCTCGAATGCTTGATCGGGTCTAAAAACGGTTTGATACTTCGCGTGTCCCCATTCTACGCGGTCGCTCTTGTTTAACAAATCAATTTCAAGATGTGTGCTTTTAAAAGGCGAAGTAGAACCCACATCAATATCAATTTGTTGATACATACTGCAGATATCATCACACAAAAAGTGTGGTACACCGGGTTCTTCATCAAAAGAATTAGCGGTAGTTGGACTGCTAGGAGTCATTCCCCAATTTAACGCCGGTCGCACTTCGACTTCAACCCATTCATTTTCGAAACTCTTCAAGTCACCTAGCGGCGCGCAGTAATCCTTATCATCAGTATCCACGTTCACGATGTAGTAGAGGTAAAACCCGTAGAGGAAAGGCTTTTTGAAGTCTCCGGATGCGTGACAGATAAGTTTTTCATACTGCATTCCGACTAAAATCTAAACATAAAATGTAATATTATTAGGGAGGCATGATTTTTATGCGGTGTACCTGACAGGCGGCTTCAACCGAGTTTACACCTTCCATACGAGTCAACAACCAATTCGCGGCATCTGCAGACACAAATGTAGCGGTCGGGAGACTTTGATGCATCGTAAGGAAACCAACCCCCGTGATGGGTTGTTTCATCGCGTCTAGGATTTCTTGATTGGTTGCTCCTGACTTCAAAATAGGTTCCTGATTACTACTGTAAGTACATAATATATATATTTTAAATTTGCGCATTTTAAACGAGATTTGAGTCTTTACCTATCTTCGTTTTCAAAACTTTGATTTTCAAGTTGTTGAAAGTCCACTGCGGGTGACACGCGTCCGCGTTCCATAACTTTTGAACCAGACCTGTTTAACACATTGATACAACTTGTTCTTGCATATTTTGTAAGAAGTGAAAACAAAACATGCATATGTTAGTTGTGTTAACGACAAATACGCATTACGCACTACAGAATGAAGAGTTAAATTATATTTTGAGTTAGTTGAGTGTGAGTGATAAAGTGTGCATGTTACCTAAAATTAGATGGTGCATATCGCTCACCAGCGCGACTATTAGCGTTCTGAAAATCAAAACAAAAACCAAGTAGAAGCCAAAACCGATAAAATAAGTGAAAATCTAATATATACAGATGTAAGCGACAATAAAATAGGTGATTAATGCATGTCCAGCCTGAAAATTAATGTTGAAACTCAAGCGCAACACTATTAAATATCGAGGAATAAAAATATGGTACAAATGAAGATAATAAACTACCACACAAGGTGTGTACGGTTTGAAATCGGGGGATGCAGGAGAATAAAATGGCGGAGCAGAATATCGAACCTTGGGCGAGGACGATCCGGTAGTCGATTACTTCCCAAGCGTTCTCGGAACGGCGAATTCGTTTGACCTGCATTCTGAAACATACACCCCACAGACAGATAGAAACACAACATATAAAAAACAATCACAATCTAATCAGAAAAAGAAGTACAGTAGAACTGAAGATTTAAAAACATGGCGGCAATACAGCAGCCATACACTCCAATTACATTTGTTTCTAGAATACAAGTAAGTTATTAACATGCGAGAATAAACAAGAAAGAAAATTTGCATCTGCAGATGACTGTTAATAAACTAAATGGGTGAGAAGTTAAACTGCTGAGTTTGATAATAATAATTAAAAAAAAAAACATTAATCTACCTGCAAAGTTAGAACTGCGCTCATGCTATTGCGCCTCGGCTGGACAAATAAGGGCAGGGGCAGAGAGTGCTGGCCCATGGCAACGCTTATTGACATCTACGCGACAGTAACGCACGAATGCAGCGGGTGCGCAGCGCCATGCATAAAGAAAAGAATGATCAACAACAAAAAGATACAATCAACATCTAAAACTAAACACACAGTCGTGCGCGAGGTGCTAAACATGCGCAAAAATAAAATAAAAATTCATCAAGTTAATACTAATAGACATACCCTTGGCTTCTTGGTAATACCGGCGCGTTTGAATTTGTTTACCACCGTTTCGATGAACTTCAGGAATCCTTCGCAGATCTGTTGGTGATCAGTCGGACTCGCCATGTTGTAGATATCACAATTTGGTGCCCCTTCAATGATACGTTTCGTCGCTGCGTTGTTTAACGGTATCATACAAATCCTAAACCTATAGAGATGTTTTTTTTATATTAAAAACGTTTTATTTATCATTTTAAAAATGGCATACCTCCAGAATTTCAACCCATCATCAAGCACATAGTCAGTATCACCACGTGTGCAGATATAATGATCCATGTAATTCCAGTTGAAATGTTCCAACTTTTCTGTTGTAAAAGTCGAATATGATTCTTCGTATGTCTCGTGATATGGCGCATAGAATCTGTATCTGTATTGAAAATTAAACCCGGGATACGGATGTCTTGGGCGGTACCGTGTGACAGAAATACTGTTTCCAATAAGGGCGATTTTATGAAACAGTCGGCCGATGCTTAGGACATAAGACTCGCTTGATTCGGATCCGCGTTTTCGTAATAAGGATCCACTTGCGCTGGATGTGGTACGTTGTAAACTCTGCTCGCGTTCTACGACAGGCGGCATGATAACTAACTGAAAACCTTGCGCCAATCGCTGCGAAATTAACTCTTTGAAGACTTCAGCAGTTGTTAGAGGTTTTTTATAAATCGCCCGCTTTTGAGCATATTCAGCATTGACATCATCCGGGAGCAGACTGTAAAGTGATTCAACGTAATCAATTTGCAATGAGCGTTTATCCGGGAAGTAATCCGTTGTGATTGGTAAACAAGCCGAAATGGTTAAACTCTTCCAATCCACTCCTAGAAAATTATAATTTATTATATAAAATTGATTATTGTTTATATGGATTAACAAGTAACATGCAGTGCAAGTGCGTGCAAAAGATGACGGAATAGAAACCGGTTAAGTGAAACCACTCCTGTGCAAAACTTAATCAAAACAACGGTTAATATACCACACTAAGTAAATGGTTAGTAATACATCAAAAATCAACGCTAGATCGCTACGAATGCAACAAACTGCAAAGATAGAAACAACTACGGCGTATCTACGAGTTCAACTTGTGAGCAGAAAAACAAGAAAATTGTCATAAAATGCGTATGCGTTCGAACCTATGAGGACGTCGTTGACGGCTTCGCGCGCGCCGACAACAATAACACCATTTCCGTGCGGGGTGAGGAACATAGTTCGATAGCCATGGAAATAAAAATCAACATCTTCATGTTACATTCCTTTTTGCGACAAAACTGGTTACTGATTGTTACGTAACACCATGATGGATAAAATATTCGTTATTGCAGTTAATATTCAGTTGCAAAAACATTATATGAATATTAAATGATTAGTTACTATAAGGTAGGAAAATATTACCGGTGGTTAACGCTGGCGTCCATTCCTGTTCACCGGTAGCACCCCAAAGGAAAGTTAAAGTCCGTGATGGATATTTCGTAGTGGAATGTGAGCTCGGTGTGTTTCCAGAGCGTTTTTTACAATCTAAAAACGTGATATATTAAAAACATTCATAAAAATATTTGTAAAATGTTTACATTCTTGTAAAACAGCACTTGAAAGACTTCGTTGGTACATATGTGATCCCATGGTACTACCATTGCGATTTCTCTCCGGTGAATGCTCATAATCACTTCCGTTGTTTAAACTACCAACGGTCGCTTCTGATTGGTTTGCCGGGACAGCTTGATAGTGATGTTGTTGAATCAACACGCCAGTTGGTCCTTTGGGGAAAATGTGCGTCCAACGACGACGATTGCTTGTAAGTTTAATGGTAACATGTGATGGATCAAATGGATTTATTAAAGCTCTTGATTCCAATGGTGGTGAACCCTCTGAGCCTACGACCATACGTAATGGAGGTGACAGTTCTCTTTCTTGTTGAAGATTCCAAGGTTTGTCTAATCACCCAAGATTTATATTAATAACTAAATCAATGAATACAAAATTAATTTACCTTCTTGTGGTGATACCAGTGGACTTATTGCCGGTGCGATTGTTATTGGCTGAGACCGATTGTTATTACTACTGGAAATCGTTGAATGCTGAATATCAGGATCTGACATTTTGCGGCGACGGAATCTCTCCGCTGGATCCAATAGTGTTCCGCATGTGCGTTTGTATTTTCCATGTTTACTATAACTTTATAGAAAACATTTTTACATTGAGTATTTAAAAACGTGATTTATAGTATTGATACTAACCAATCATGCACAGAATGTAATGTTGGAAGTTGAAAAACCTGCGCATCATACGCATCGTAATCAAAATACGAATTATGAATATATTCCTCATCTGGCACCAAATTACATATACTAAAATCATCCTGATCGGAATAATTATCCATCATCGGTGGTACTTTAATGCGTGGTACAAAACTAGAGTAAGCTATCTTTTTATTTGTTGAATAAAACGATAGATTGATCCAATGCGGCATTGAATAATCATCTGGCACGTTTAGATGAGTGTCTTTATTATGAAACTGCAAGAAAATACGTTTTAAATATTTTGCTGAATATTTAAAAAGTAGTGATTAATTACCTTAAGTAATGGTACTGCATGTAATGGTTGTTCACCAACGCAAACCAAATCACTCCCAACGCCATTATCAATTATCCGTTGCTTGGTTATATTAGTTAATTCTCGATCAACTTCAAAAACTCCAACCCCGGAGTTATCACAACGCTGAGTTGACCAGTACGGTCAAAACTTCTATCTAGATAATGTTTCTCGAACACATTTAACGACATATTCAGAACTTCAAGAAAATTTCCTTGTGCAGCTGTACTGTTAGTAGCTTTAGGAATAATCACGTCATCTTTGGCATGGTATTCCAGAACAAGTTTGCGATATTCAGAGAAAACTCGTCTAAGCTGGACGAGAACAACACTCCAATCATCGTATCTCTCGTTTTGTATGACCACTCGATAAAAGTCTTCATAATACCGCCCTTTGTAATCTTTCTGTAGACATTCTCGCATTGATAATGGAAACTCATCCAACGAGTTTGCTTCGTAAAAGGTTCGTGAAAATAACACAATGGTAACTTCGTGATTACTTCCGTTTTTCTTCCATTTTGTAAATAAATCTGTTAGGAAGCTATTGACAGCCTTTTCAAAGTAAAGATCTCCGTGGATATCAAAGTCCCACATTTCGGTGCTCATTTGTAAAAATAAGTAAACCATTGAAGTTGATGATCTGAAAACAACTTTTGTATCGTCGGTAATCACACCACAGGCAACACGATCGCCCTGTGACCACATTTCATAGACTTGACATCGCACGGCGCCTCCACAAAATTCCAACTTTTTATTGATATAAGCACAAGTGTTTGTCTAGAAGCATAATAAGTAGAATAAGGTTTTTGCTTGTGATGTTAGTTATAATTGCTTACAAGACTATTCTTTAGCCTCCACATCTCAGATCTGCCCATATATTGATCTTTGAAAGTTAATTCCACAGAATCTAAGGCAACTTCTCCAGGATTTACAATTGCTACATTCACACAACTGAATTGTCGTAACTTAAATGTGGAAGCAAGACTTTGTTCAATGCTGATTGTGTCTTTGGCCACCTTTGACTGCAGTTCTTCTTTCATTGACTTGACCTGCAAAAGTAGCCTAGGATTGTCCTCCTCATTGGCGTGGTAGATCTCCACCACATCACCCTCTTTGGCTTCAGCATAATCAGCAATATTAATTAGTAAATCTTCATCACTGAATGTTCTTTGATGTACAATTAAGCGAAACGTTTTCATTTTGCTTTAAGATGAAAATTATTGATGTCACTAAGAAATTATATAGTTTGCATGCATAAATAATTGATTATTCTAGTTTCATTTTGGCAAATATCTAGAAAAACTAAACTATTCGTTGTTTATCACAACAAAATTAACTTTAAGGTTGGTTACATGTCAGTGTCAAGGTATTTAGTTCCTTTTGGTTAGAAACAAACTTAACAGATAAGAAGTTATGAATAATGTGTTGGTAAACATAATATTTATTTAAAAATGAGTTCACTGTTGCAATTACACGTATTGCATAATATGTATATCCTTGGGATTTTGTTATATTCATACTTTTAAATCAACAAATTCAAATTTTTACGTCGCGCCTCAAGCGCCTCTACTGGAAGTAACCAGAACCATTTTGGCTAACCTCTTGCTTCGTGCGACATTACGTAAAAACAAATACATTTCTCGTAAATTAAAGAGAATTCCGATTCTCATTCGGCGATAAAATGTCCGGGGTGACTAAATTGACCACCGGGCTTACCGGTTTGAAAGTTGCCAAGAACCCACATCACACTCTGGGCGTTTTGTACGGCAAAATCATGCGCACCCTCAACAAAATGCCTGAAGATGCTGCCTATAGAAGGTACACATCGGCTATTGTTTCCGAACGTGTGGGCATTCTGAACTCTTCCAATGATGTAGAACAAGTTGAATGTAAGATTGGCGCTGGGCAAATCGAAGAAGTGATTGTACAAGCTGAAAATGAGCTGGTTTTGGCAAGAAAAATGTTGACCTGGAAACCATGGGAGCCTCTGATTAAGGAGGCCCCAGCCACACAGTGGAATGGCCCCCTGCTAGCAAATAATCATTCTAGTTGGATATTTAAATGATGAAGTGTATTGTATATTAAAGTAAATATATGTTTAGCCTGAACAATTATATTTTGCTTCATTTATGGGAGTATATTAATCACAATTCAAAATAGGTTTCGTTTTATTGCTGCAATTTATCGCTAATGGTTGATTGCCTTTTACGACTTGCTCGATTTGAATTCGCACACAAAAAACATTTTGAAAAACTGACATTTTTCTAATTTGACTTCTATTTCTGGTTTCATTTAGTGTGGTTCTGTTGGCAGCTCTGGCGATTCAAACGCATAGCTAACTAACCCAGCCGAGAATTATTCAAGGTCGCTGTGCTTCGGCCAATCACAATGCGGGATTTCACGTAAATTTTGCTCGACCAGTATACGAATCCAGCCGTCAGCGCCCCCAATGCGGCTTGCCGGAAGCTCCAGACCGGATCACGGGGGAAGGTTGCAACTATTGAACAGATTTCTCGGTACGTTTCCTTTGTTTTCCATTGAATATGGCTGCCATATTTAGTTTAGATGTATGTTTTCGAATGTACGATGCGAGTTGGCGCAATTGCCGTGCGTGCTCGTAGCCGAAAAACGCGAAAACAGTGCCCGCGAATGCCGAAAAGTGTTTAGTTGTGTTATGGACCAGTTAAATTCCAGTGGCGCATTGAGTTCGAATAGAAAATGCTTATGTTTACATCGGTGATAGAGAACGTTCGATTCCGTTTTTGTTAGTTAAAAAGGTGAGTAGCATTGCAATTTTCTTTGCGAATGATAGCGGCAGGCAGCGTGAATGCCCGTGCCAGTGAAACGCGTGCGGAAAACGCACAGCAAACGTTTGGGCGCATGAGGTTATAATCCTGGACGGGCAAACCGAGCGACTTTTTTACCGACATCGTTTGGCTAGTGTGTTACGTTTTGGGAGCGTTGCACTTCAGCAGTGTGTGTGATACGAGACTTCCACAGAGTGTGTGCCCCAGGACGCCGTAACACAACCTCAAGAATCTCCAATACGCATTAAAGAGATTTCTAACTGGAAAGTAGATGAAAGCATGAAGAATTCCAATTAGACGTGATTGGAGCGTTGTTTGTTGTTGGTCCGCTGTCAAAAACGCTCGCTGTGGAAAAGAACTCTACCATCGCGAGAGCTGGGAATAAACGCAGCGTGCATTTTATCAATTGACGCTTTCGTAAAGGCATAATAAGCGTGTGCGTGTGTGAGTATGACAGGACGAGAGCAAGATCCGCAAAAAAATCGTTTCCAGTGAGAGAAGAATTCGTGCATTCGATTGGTTCAATGCATGCGTGCACTTTCTAAACGCGAAACAGCAGTGCAATTGCAAGTAAATGATCTTGCACATTATTTAAACATTGAATTGCATTGCATCTTGTGAAGCGCGTCGCGAAATTCCAATTGAACAGCGCGCGCCGCGCGACGTAAGTCACCGGCGAGAACCTGAACGACGACTTCGCCGGTTTTTTTTTGCATGCGCCGGGCGCCGTGCGTGCACCGCACGCCCACCTACACGCAAAACAAATCGATATCATTATTATGTTGTCGAGAGTGCTTAAACGCAGTCGCCGCTGGGCCGCTTTTCCAATCAATCGCACCGTCGATCATCGTTTTTATGTAAACTGCATTTAAACAATCTACGGAAATTAGATTAATGACATTTGCTGTATTTTTATATTCGTTTGTAGTTTGAATTGAATTTTGTGCGATTGTAGGTGGTTGGCGATTTAAATGGCGAAGCGATGCGAGTTTTATTAATTTCAAGGTCTTCCGCAATTCGACGCGGCCCGCGCCGCGCTTGTCCTAACTTTGCACGGCCGCGGCGCAATTATCTTTAGGCGTTTATGCGCGCAAGCGGACGGTCGATTGTAATGCCGAGATAATGTGCAATGCGCGCTGCACGATGGAATCGAGCGCCGAAATCGTTTCCCGGCACACGTTTATCGTCGTCGGTTGTTTCTTTCCTGTGTTGTTTGCGTCGCCGAGAGGTGTACGTACGCGGATTACGCGTTGTTTGTACGTTACCGCACACACCGGCAAACAAACACGCTTCGCGCGTGCTAGTATCGCGGCCATGCGCGCTGAGAATCTGCAACATTGTTTGGCGTTGATGTCATTGGGCGAAATTTCGTCGTATAGATTTTCCGCGCTCGCGTCGCACTTTTGTTTCTGGTATTATGTATGTTGATTCGTTGATCTCGTCGACGTCGTCGGCGATGATGCGTTCGGGCGCGTACGCCAGCGCACTCGTTTTTTCTCGTCGCGCAGCTATGCGGCCGCACACATAATCTTTTGTATTGCGCTACCGCGCTGCTGCCTATGCTGCTGGCTGCTGTGCGGCTGCATCTCTCGTGTGTGATGCACACGTTGAACACGCTCGCACCCGTTTTACCTTTCGCGGGCCTCAATTAGACGCGCCCGCTCGACTCTGGCGCGCATGCGCCGCGTCGGCTCTGGAACGACCTCGGTCACTGTTTGCAAGCCGCGCGGAGTTGCGGACCGCGCGCTTGCTCTGTTCTAATGTCATAATATTCCTGCGATAGGCGAACGCACCGCATGTTACATTACTTAGGCAATCGCTACAAACAAACGTGCGCAACAATCACGAATAATCGCCGGCGCGCCGATATGAATCTGCTTTTTAGCGTGACCCTCGACATTATGCCCCGCGCGTCGTTTGTTTGTTTGCGCCGCGTCTATAGAGGGCGTCTCAACTTCTGCCTCGCTTCCTGCTGCACTTTTGCATATTTTACGCATTCCTGCGCAAATATTTCTGATTGCGCTCGGAAGTACTCTTTGAGAGTTCCTTTTGGCGGTTTATGATGAGATTTAATGACTATTTTATGACTAGTTTGTCTGTTTCTTTGCAGAAAACGAGTTTGACCTGGAGGGTTGTGAAGTTGACCACGGCCACCAGCAGCAAGCGCCGAATAAACACGAATTTTGCCCGAATTGTTCGTAACAATGTCGACTGCAATGCAGCGCGCAGATCTGCCGATATGAGCGTTTGTTTGGAAAGCAGTAGCAACACAGTCGTGCTGCCGGCGCCGGTGGTTGGTAAAATAACGCCGGAATCCAATAAGAATGAGGATGGAGCGACAAATACGAACAGCACCTCCACCACCGCCGTTGTCAAGCCGGTCGCTGGTAGCGTGCCGACGAAGGCGGGCATCCACAATGTGGACCTGCAGGCGAAGGTCAACTCTAATACATCGGTAATCACCGTGGTGAATACACCGATTACTGTAGTCAAGAGTATCGGCGGTGCGGCCGTTGGTGGCACCCCATTTTCAATAAACCCCGCCGCTTCGAATCCATCCACAATTACTCTAGTGAGTACAACGCCGGTGGCAAAAGGTGACATCACCAATAATGGCGGTCTGCCTGTTGCCCCTGTCAATGATAAACAACAATCTGGCATTCATAATGTCTTCGTTAAAAAGAGCGCACCAGCCGAGGGCGGCGGTATTTCCGTGCCGGACATGCCACAGTCTCATAAATTGCTGACGGCGAACCCGTTTCCACCTACAAACGTATGTATATCATTTATGGTTGTGAATAGATTTTATTACTGCTTTTTGTTTTAGATCTTACAGAAAATGTCGCCTACTATCGCCAAGACGCAAAATGGTCAACGTGGTGGGAAATTAAAAATTCTTGGTCACCATATTGTGCAGTCGGAGAAACAATTACCACCTTCCCATCCTTCTACCACCGCTAATCCAGGCCCTAGCCATGTGATACTGAATAAGAACCAGCGCTTCTTTCAGCAAAAAATTGTGGGCAATGGTGCTACCAAGTACCTGACCAAACCTTTGCCTGATTCAACGGGCGCGGCTAAGCGCATTTTGTTCCATGGTAAGTCTGCGACGGCGGGCACGACTGGTGGACTTGAAATTAAACCAGTTCCGCAACCAGCGAGCGTACAACAGCAAAGGTCGGGAATTAAAACGATACCACCGCAGCGACCTGGTCCCAATAAACCCAACTATATAGGTAAACATGCCGTGCAGGCGCAGAAAATAAAACCGAAGCTCAAGCCCAAGGTGCCCGCTCAACCGCACACGAGCGCTACCCCTGTGGTGGTCAAGTCGCCAGTTCGTCCAGCGCCCGATCAGAGCGCGCAGACCATTTTTAATCAGGCACTCACTGCGCAAATACTCGAAACGCTCTCGGACAAGGATTGCGCTAAACCGCATCCCAGTAATTCGTACGGTATGAAGTATGAACCGAGTTTGCCTAAACCGGACCCGCCGGCTGTGTTACCAATGCAATTGGAAACACAAGAAGCAAAGCGTCGACAATTGAGTACGTTGGATACGCTCAGCTTTGTATGTCATGCGGTGTTACTGGATCATAATTACAACGCCACTTTGCCATCTGAACCGCCGCCTAAACCGGTGGTGCCGGTGCCTACCACACCGCCCATCAATGGAGCACAGCATCAACATCAGCACCCACATCCGCATCCGCACCCTCATCAACAGTTCTCTCCCATCCCGAACTATCCGTCAAATATGCCGATTGTGAAGCGCAATCGGACAACATCACAAAGTACGCCGGTGCTGTTGCAGCATCCGCACGAGGACGACGCTGCGTCCGATATCAGCGAGCACAAGGAGGAGAGTGAAGGTGAAGAGACTGATACGGCGCCAGAGGCCGAGGCTGTCGCCAACGAGGGCAACGACCGATACGGTGATTACGTTACGCGTTGTATCTGCGGTTTTATCCACGATGACGGCTTTATGATCGAATGTGATAAATGTAAAGTATGGCAGCATGTGCGCTGCGTGGTGAAGACGAAGAAGGTACCGGACGATTACTCGTGCGAGGAGTGTGACCAACGGCCTGTGGATAGGCAGAAAGCGCGATCATTGCAACAGCAGTGGATGCGCGAAATTCAAGAGCGCGACGCTAAGTTGCGAAAGGAACAGATGGCGATGTCTGATTCGGATTCATCAGATAATGAAACTCAGAATAAAAATCGACGGAAGGAGCCACCGCGACGACAGCGGCGCGATTCGCTCAACAATCGAGCGCGACCTGGTAAGCGGAAGGAGCGCAAAATACCTAATAAACGCGCCGCCAAAGCAAAACCACCGGCGAAGAGCGATGACGAAAAAGTACCGCAGATTCGGCAGTGGATCGAAAACTATGAGGAGGCCATGACGAACCATTACTCGCCGGACTTGCGCTCACGGATATCCAGTGCGCGGCTTAACGGCGCGCATTCGGAAATACCTGGCGGCGTGGATTTGGCTGTGAACAAGTGTAGGGTGCAAGCGAATCCGGCCGCCACTGTACGATTCCTTGTGGCGTCGGTATCGCTTCCGATGGGTACGCCGGTGATTGAGCTGCGCGGAAAGTACATGCTCTCTACGCAACATCGATCCACCACACGACAGCAGCGACCCGGGCCGTTCCTCTTCTTCCATACGCTGATCAAAGACACTGAGGTGTGCGTAGATACGCGCACCTATGGAAACTGCGCGCGGTTTGTGCGACGCAGTTGCACGCCTAATGCCAAGTTGCAACATGTCTTTGAAAAGGGTATTCTGCATCTATTTATTGTGACCACAAAGAGCGTGGAAAAGGGATCCGAGCTCACGATTCGCCATGAAAGCCATGATCTAGCCGCGGCACAACTTACAGAAGTTCCGTGCGCTTGCGTTAACCCAGAGTATTGTGCTCTTATCAAAGGCTATCGTAGGCACAACGGTGATCTTCAAACGCCACCACCACAAGAGACCAAGAAACGGAGGGGTCGCCACAGTCGAGATCCTCCGACGTCTCCCCCAATTCAACCTCCTGCTCCAACAACGCCAACAATTACAGATCCACCTGTACCGGCAGAGCCTGAACCCGAAGTGAATGAAGAAAATGCAAATCCTGAAGTTGACGAAACCAGAAAGGATGACGCTGAAGAAGTTCCTCCGGTGCCTGAGCCGGAAGAAGAAAGAGAAGAAGTTGCGGAACCCGAGAAAGAGATTACTGAGGAACCGGCGGCAGTTGAACCTCCTCCTGTAATAAATGAGGAAAATAATGAAGACAGGGAGGAGGAGGAAACTCCAGCTCCCAAAGAAACGCAGCCGCCACGGCAACCTCGTCACATTTCCACGCGGAGGGCTTCCAGGCAATCGCAGGAACAGCCTGAAACTGGAGCTGCGAATCATCCTAATGATAAAAAGCCGATGTCTCGCGAGGAGCGAAAAATGGCGGCTATTGTAAAGGCCATAGAGCGACTAGAAAAACAAGAGTTGCGCCGTCAGGAGCACCAAGCGAAACAGGCAAATCGAAGAGAACCCGATTCTGCAAAGGAAGACGGACCTAAGACGAAACGAAGAAAGCGCAAAGGTCGTGCGCGAACTACCAGCACCAGTACGCGGCGCAACCGGTTGGACTCTGCTGACTCTGTGCACAGTTCTGATGATACATTGCTGTCACCACCCTCGGAAGCAGCGTCCCCATCGAAAGCAGCCGGAATGTTGCTTGCACTCGCAAATGGAGAGTGTCGGAAATCGCCGGATCGCCAGGATTCAAATTCGAATTCTGCGCAATCTTCACCTGAAACGCCATTGTCAGCGGCTTGTCTCATGGTGGCGGCAGCAGTTGAGCCACTGGAACCTGGCTTTAAATTTCCTAAAACGAAAAAGTACTCATGAACGAGTGGCTGAATAAATCAGACGTAGTCCAACCAGCCAGTGCAATATCGCCGTCGTCACTCACGCCCAACATGGACGCTAATACTATATTTGCGTCTGCCACTGCTTCACCAGCAAAATGTCTCACCGCATTGGCACAGGCGGCAACTTTCTGTGACCAGCAGCGGTCTGGCAGCGCAAAGAAACGCTGGTTGCGGCAGGCAATCAGTGAGGATCAATGCGATAGTCCACCGCAAGCGGATGCTGTAGCGCCACCCAAGAAGCGTAAACTTCCAAGAGAATCGCTTTCGTGCGAGTCTTCACCACCTACAACACCAACAACAAACGCACCCTCACAGGTGGAGATAGTTACGCATCAAGACGAGGACGGTACGCCGCCAATAGAATCTGACGCATCATTAAGTGAACTAGTATCAGATATGCGGCAGGAGTATGGAAGTTGCATTCAGTTGGCGCCAATGGAACCCCCCGCTCGGGAGGCTACTGAATCCCCGCCACCTGTAGTTGAGGAAACTGTAATGGAGACGCGGGTTGTTTCGCTGGTGACCACGCCATCAGTTGACACCACTTCGGTGACATCGACGGTATCATTAAATCCCATCGTAACTGCCGCAACGACTACACCCAGTCGAGCGATTATGGATCCTCGTTTAGCGCCGAGGATAAGTACCAGTGAACTAGTTGGAAAAGTTGAGAAGACCTTAAGTTTTCTAGGCTATGAAGATAAGAAACAGTCGGAAGCAATAACTCCAACCAAACGAAAGGTAATTGAAGGGTATTTAAAGATTTGTAAAAGAAAATGTGTTTATTTTTGGTATATTCTTATTGCAGTTGTCAATCACCGAGTATCGACAACGAAAGCAGCTCAACAATAACGAACAGTGTGCGTTGCTCGCAGACGACGCGGCGTCCATAACAGAGGAAAGCAATTCGTCGCAATCTCCGAAGCAGCGGACGCGATCAAACAGCGTTAGCAGCGCTACATCGTCGTCCACATCGGAGGACGAACAAACCAATTCTTTAAGTCAATCAGCACCCGTAAATGTTAAAGGTAGGGTATACTATCAGAATCAAAATTTCAAAAACGTTGACTAATCAACTGTTATAGCGCTATCAGCATTCAATTCGGAACCAACCGAACTGGAGAGGCAACGGGAGAGCAATTTAATGCGATTTAAACTTGCTCTCCGAATGCCTCTTTCTGATCAACCAAAAAATATTGGTATGTTTGATTTTCAGGCGCATATACGTACGTTTTACTTAATAAAATTGGCCTTTCTTTATAGTGTTAGATGTTGACACGATTTTAAAGAATGAAATCCCAACACCGACGAAGACATCGTTATCGTTGGCATCGCCAAACTTTCCGATTCCAGGTCGGGACGAGTCTATGAACTCGAATGCATCACTGGAGAAGGTGCTGTCAATGGAGGAGACGAGCAATTCGTTGCCTCCGCGGTTAGAGCCCGAAATTGACTTCACCGACGAGAAAACCACGAAAATGACGAAGAACATCGCCGCCAGTATGGACGAAGAGACGCAGGACGGTGGTCAAGATCAACTTCTTGAAGAACGAAAGGTGTTATTTTACACGCCTGACGACGAGGAAGCTGCTGAAGGCTCCACGTATGTGCCGCCTTTCAACAATCCGCTTTATCCGAATACAAGCTACACCTATGGATCTGTAATCGGTGAGTGGTGAATAATAATCACCGTGTTCAAATGAATTCTAGATCATTTAAAAGTTCTTTATTTCTTGTTTCATTTGTTTCAATAATGTGTTTATATTGCTAATAAAAAAATAACGTTGTATTGTAATTTAATGCATTTTTCTAGATGACGATGCGCCTTACGAAGGTCGAAATCCATCGCCGCCACCGAATTTGCGGGCGAATCCGTCGTAAAACCCAGTGAGACTCGATTCGAGTTGAATGAAAGAAAGCTTTAAGTTGCCTAGCAACGAACATTTCGAACGCGCGTTGCAAAGCACAACACAAAAATCCCACTCCACCCACATAAATTATTTGATCCCAGTGGTTTTTTTTTGTAATTAGCGACGGCAAGCGATGCGAGTATATTAAAGTACAAAAATACACATGATACGGAAAAATTACACAACGGTCGATCTCGAGTTTTACAGTTAATATATAACACGCTAATTTACAAGTAACAGACATGCAGAAGTGCAGTAATGTATTAGTTTTGTTGATTTTTCTTTTTCAAGCATAAGACTATTTTTATGTTTATTATATTATAATTGATAATGATATTTGTAAATGTGGTATTTTTAGTTTTTGCATATACATGTATAAATAGTACATCTTAAAACACATATATTTTCTAGAGAAACACAACTTTTATGCACACGCTGATACGACACGATCAGAACAAATGTATAGACGAAAGCGTTGCTGTTACAATTAATTGTCAGAATTGTTAATCTGGAGTGTTTTCATTTGTGAATAATGTGAGTGACGCCGACCGAACATTTCGACGGAAACCAATTGTTAATACATATGATAAAATATAGATCGAATTTTGATTCAGAACACTAGATTAAATAACCGTTTGGGTAGTAGTCTCTAATAGCGTAGGTAGATTTTTTTACAAGGCAGATATGCATTGAGTGAAATTTCTAGAAATTGACATAGTGTCGAACGGTAAAAGCGCATTTTGTATTGTTTTCGAGTATTCCTAGAGTCTGTTTAATTTTTGTTTATACTGCATAAGAAAACATTCACCAATGCTTAATTGCGATGACGAGAGTACACAAGTTGATTCTTTAAGTAAACATTAAAACAAATGGTACAAAATTATTAAATGAAACATGCATCACACTTCTAATCCAACTTGCATTTTATATTTGCGAAAACGCGTGTAAAAACTTAGGCAATTCTTAAAGAATCAAATGTCTCAAATATCTGTATATTTTCGTATTGCTCGAAGCGCAAATGAATTGCGAGCGTCGAGTTGTAAATTTTATATAAATCGAAAAATCAAATATGGTGTGGAGAATGATGGGGTGTGAAGATGTGCGACCATCAGAATCGATGAATTTAGCGACGGAGAATCATTTTGTAAATTTTCACATGTGCAATTCAAATGATTGCGCCCTATGCATATACATACTGATTAATTATGCTCATGTTGAATAATGCGACGCATATAAACTAATAGTTTTCATGAATACTTATTAATCAATTTAGAATGTGACAAAGCAATTGTTAATTGAAGTTTAATTGAACGCTAAATTGATTAATTCACAGATGTAATATATATTAAACAATTAAGACTCGATGATAGTGTGTGTAGTTGTTACTTTATGACTAATATTCTTCTTGCAAAGTAACATCGACAATTACATACTTGAAAACTTATTAATTCTTTTGTAAGCTTTTGTAAATAGTGTATTCATTAATTTTTAATTCATGATTGAATAGTAATTGTTATAAGTGACAGCTGTAAGCGAAATTTTATAACGACATACAACCAGGAATCGAAACTCAATAGTAAATTTAAATAGTAATCAATAGGACAGCTGATTGGTGCTCGTCGTGTTTCGGAAGCAGTTTCATTTCATTTACATTTTTCATCTTTATTTAAATGCATGATTAGAGTTAACATTTCGAAGAACAGAAAGATTGTTTTCTGTTGCACTGCGCAACGTCAATTTACAATATGTTTGTGTAAGGAATAGATCACTATTGATAATTCAATTTAAATTCAGACTATAACAATAGGCGTAGATTGTAAAACCGCAAACAAACGAATGATAACTTAATGATGATACACGGAACGGTAGAGTGATTAAAAGTTGCTCGAATTTATTTAATTTTTATGTTATTTTTGTCACAATATACTTGTACAATTAATTTGGGTTTGCCAATTTGCCTAGGACCGATTTCAATCGATTTTGTTTGGTTTTTACTGATATTTCGAAATTTCATATTTCTTGGCCAATACAACAATTGCCATCAGTGACGAGTATGTTTGGTGAAACGGTTTGTTCCGAATGTTTTTCATATTGTTTTCTTTTCCATTATGTTATCCTAAATTAAGGCGTTGTATAAATGTACAAATTTTCTTAAAAATATTAGGAAATGTTTGAAAAAACAAAGGATTCTTTTGCGATATTTGAACAAATTGGAAAATGAAAGTCAGATACTCAAGGAAGGCGATTATTAGTAAGGTGTAATGAGTATAATGCCTTTCACTACATCAGGCAGAACAGATTGAAGAGCGATCAGTATTAATTACAAATTTAAGAAGTGTTTAACTATGATTTTGTTTTAGATTAATGATACAATAAGTTCAAAATGATGTTTTGTGAGAAGACGCCTTTTATTGATAAGCCAGCGTTCTGTGAAAAGAAAAAAACATGAATTGGTAATTCGGCACTGCGATATTACTTTTTTTTTTTACTTTTGCATTATTTTTAATTAAAATTAGATTGCATCGCTAGCAGGTGATAATGATGTTTCGAAACCGTGAACACTTGATGAGAAATCCGTATCGGCGAGTCGCGTCAGAATTCATAAATAAATTCAACTTTTCAACGATTTAATTAATATGATTGAATATTAAGGATAATGAATATAAAACTATTTTAATATATTATATATTATTACATACATATAAATATTATAAATACAACATAGTATAATATATTATTATAAATATTATAAATATTGGCTGTACATAAATATTAAAGAAACAATTTGATGTTATAATTAATTAATACAAAATGAATGAATACAAAAATAAATATTACTAGTTGTTTTCTTGTCTATTTCGATCCGTATGTATTAAATTACATATTTTACACAGCGCAAGGTGTAAACAGATTCCAACATTTACAAGATTTGTTTATGTTTATTGTTAGTCTGTTGCGCACTGTTGTGCGGTATGCACGTGTTTTGTCCGTCCGAAAACCTTCGCAATGTTCCCGCGTTTTGTGAAATTTTAATCTAGTATTAACATTTAAATAATTATTTATCGCCTGTGGAACTCCGAATTGAGTAGTTTTATCCCTATGCTCTCGTGCTGACTGTTCCCGCTTGTCTGATATTTTCCGGCGGCTTTGCTTGATTTAAGGGTGTTGCACCTGAACTCAAACTCGCAGAGAAACCAGTGTTGTCTCAGATTGTAAGTATTTAATTTCATTATCATTTTTCTAGATAACTTTTGTGATTATCACACAAGTTGACCCTCAAAATTGCATTTTTAAGTTCGAAGGACTAATTTCTGCTTGTTTTAGAGATTTTGCACCTGAGTGTGACATCGTAGATGGACCATTCTTGTATCAGATTGTAAGTATTAAATTTCTTTATCATTTTCCTAAATACCTTTTTTGATTATCTCACAAATTGACCCCCAAAATTGCATTTTTATGTTCGAAGGACAAATGTTTTATCCCTTGGGAACCCTACGAAAATGCCTTTTTTGTGTTTGTCAATACTCTAATTTTTGTGTTTTAGGTGTCTAGCGGACGAACGCGATGCCGTAGGACAACCATTCTGCTACCAAATTGTAAGTATTAAAATTCTCTATCATTTTAGTATACAACTTCTGTCGTAGGGCAAACGTTCTCTCAGCAGATTGTATGTTTTAAAACTCTTTATCACTTTCATCTATAATATGTGAGATTAGCGGAGAAACTAGAAAATTAAAATAAAAGTACGGTAGTTTGATTGCTTCAAATCACATACTTTCTGTTATTGCGTTGCTGTTTTCAACTTACGAACATAGATTGTCGCCTCTCTAACTGTGGGTCGGTTATCAATTGTCGTTCTTGTTTAGTCTGGCCTAGTCGTTCGTGCGCCGTAGTGTGATGTGCACGTGTTTTGTTCATCAAACTTCTTGACAATTGTTTGCGTTACTAAAGATTTTAATTCTGTAATTGAACTAGAATAGAACGACATTTAGTAATAACAGACCAGTATGGTGGTTGTTTGTAGGACGTGCGTGGTGGCCGTCGGATAGGTATGTTCGCGTGGCTAAGAATATTTATTGTTCAAGTATTAAATTTATTTGATTGCACGCTGCTGTGTTTATCAATCGTGGATTAAGTTTTGTTTCACCTGTGCGCGCGTGTCCGTTGGCAATCAGTTATCGTTTCGCGCATAAGAATAACTTTGATGTCCAGACAAAAATTTTGTGAGTGCACGCATGGAGTTTGCAATATCTATAGCTGAAGTGTTGGAGATGCGAGTATTTTAAGGCAAGTTTTTACTACTTCCGAGTTTACTAGCTGTCGATATTTTTTTTTATTTAAAAAAATGTATCTATTATTATTGTTGTCAATAAAACATAATGTGAAATTATAATCTCATGCATATTTCTTTGTGGTATCCTCTTTGTCGTTTTCAGTATTGACGTCTTAAGTCATATTGCGTAAAAATCTTATGTGCGTGGAGCGAGTGCAACATAGTTAAGTTGTGTTGTTGTTTTTAAAAAGTTCAATAATATAATAATATAAATAGAAGAATCAAATATTAATAAGATGCCTCCATTGCTCCCGGCCCAACCTACAGCTACGATGTCTCTGCGCTTCATCCCCGAAATTATCAGGCATATCAACAATTTTTATGGTGGGGGATCACCCCCAGAGAGAGGGAACTCCTTATAAGGACAATCCTTATAAGGTCTTGTAAAAATATTTCTAAGTTTTAAGTCGCCTCAAGAGAGGTGACACTTAAAAATATTCTTACAACTTCTGACCTGTAGCTGAAATGAAAGAAGGAGCACACAAATTACACAGGATACCTTAACAATTTTTATAGTGGGGATCATGCACTGAGAGAGGGAACTCTCTTAGAGACCTGTTCCTGAAATGATAGAAGAGGTACACAAATCAAAGAAGTCAATATATTTTACTATTTCTTTATTAACAATAGAATACAAGTTTATATTTTACAAGTCAACAAAATACTCGTACATGTCGCCATATTGAAACAGGACTTACGACCTTCTACGTGAGTGAAAATGGGAACAAATATACAGGGTGTTACATATAGAAAATTCAAAGTGCAAAGAAGAAAAACCTAAAACAACAACTAAAGCTAAATTTTCACGGACAACAAGAAAAACAAATATACAAGGTGCTACAAAAAAGAAATTACTACATCACAAAAAGAAAATCAATAGTACAAAACAGAAAATAGTCGGGAATACAAATTTAAAAAACTTATAATAGGAAATCAAGAAAAACAAACATACAGGGTGATACAAACAGGAAATTCCTAAATTTAAAAATAAAATACAAAGTTTAAGTAGAAAACGACCCAGAAACGACAAATTTAGTCAGTTTTACACTAGAACGCAAGGTAAAGTAGAACATAGGGTGATACAAGAAGAAAATTGCTACATTTTACAGATATATTACAAATATTTTACAAATATATTACTCTCAATAATTAATTTCCAAGCTACGAAAATACGTTAAAGAGCCGGCAGATTTATGTAATAAAAATAAAAATGCAAGCAAGGAAAATTTCACGTTATTAAACCGATGATTGACATGACCATACTCTGCAGGTAGATCCAAGTCGCATCCGACGGCACGCATCTATTTTACATTCAATTTTAGATAAATATGAAAGTATAATGTAATAACGTTTACAAACTTACCAGTGCATCAGGTAATCATAGAAAGTACTGAAACAAAAAAACAACAAGTGTGTGAGAACTCGCACTATGATGCACACTTATTTAAATTTGTTTTGAGGGATAATGAACCTGTACTATTTTAACACACAATTTTCCCGGAATATCCTGCACACAAGACAGTCGTTAATTCCTTAGCAAAACAATCTACATGTCTGTTGTCATTAGGTGCCGTTAGGAATGCTCATTTTTAATCAATAATAAAATGTAATGTAATCGGAATGAATGAAAGAATGATGCCGAGCCGCGTGCAGGTAAGAACAGACTGAAGCGGTCGAACGTTCGTAGCATGAGAGGCAGCATTGCGCACGTTTATAGCGATATAAAAACTTGTTTATACACAAACCCCGATATGCGTGTGGAATTGAAATAGCACATTTTTGAAGTGCACTAAAATAAAATAAAATATAATAATTCATTACATCAGTTGTTAATTTCAGCATTCGGTTCGCGCGTTATACTAACGAAACTACGAGTACTATTGCGTATATGCGTATACACACAACTATCACTATAACTCGCGTTACGGAATTTTCTCGCAATAAATTCCAATACAGGGAGATTAAGAATTAAATTCTGCTTCTGGGAGAATTAATCCAAACCTAGTTTAAGACCGCGTTCGCGTGTTATAATATTAAGAAAGTACAATTCCTAGCGCTACGAGTACTATTGCGTATATGCGTATACACACAACTATCACTATAACTCGCGTTACGGAATTTTCTGGCACTATATTTCCATACTGGGAGATTAAGAATTAAATTCTGCTTCTGGGAGAATTAATCCAAACCTAGTTTAAGACCGCGTTCGCGTGTTATAATATTAAGAAAGTACAATTCCTAGCGCTACGAGTACTATTGCGTATATGCGTATACACACAACTATCACTATAACTCGCGTTACGGAATTTTCTCGCAATAAATTCCAATACAGGGAGATTAAGAATTAAATTCTGCTTCTGGGAGAATTAATCCAAACCTAGTTTAAGACCGCGTTCGCGTGTTATAATATTAAGAAAGTACAATTCCTAGCGCTACGAGTATTATTGCGTATATGCGTATACACACAACTATCGCTATAACTCGCGTTACGGAATTTTCTCGCACTATATTTCCATACAGGGAGATTAAGAATTAAATTCTGCTTCTGGGAGAATTAATCCAAACCTAGTTTAAGACCGCGTTCGCGTGTTATAATATTAAGAAAGTACAATTCCTAGCGCTACGAGTACTATTGCGTATATGCGTATACACACAACTATCACTATAACTCGCGTTACGGAATTTTCTCGCAATAAATTCCAATACAGGGAGATTAAGAATTAAATTCTGCTTCTGGGAGAATTAATCCAAACCTAGTTTAAGACCGCGTTCGCGTGTTATAATATTAAGAAAGTACAATTCCTAGCGCTACGAGTACTATTGCGTATATGCGTATACACACAACTATCACTATAACTCGCGTTACGGAATTTTCTCGCAATAAATTCCAATACAGGGAGATTAAGAATTAAATTCTGCTTCTGGGAGAATTAATCCAAACCTAGTTTAAGACCGCGTTCGCGTGTTATAATATTAAGAAAGTACAATTCCTAGCGCTACGAGTACTATTGCGTATATGCGTATACACACAACTATCACTATAACTCGCGTTACGGAATTTTCTCGCAATAAATTTCTATACAGGGAGATTAAGAATTAAATTCTGCTTCTGGGAGAATTAATCCAAACCTAGTTTAAGACCGCGTTCGCGTGTTATAATATTAAGAAAGTACAATTCCTAGCGCTACGAGTACTATTGCGTATATGCGTATACACACAACTATCACTATAACTCGCGTTACGGAATTTTCTCGCAATATATTTCCATACAGGAGATTAAGAATTAAATTCTGCTTCTGGGAGAATTAATCCAAACCTAGTTTAAGACCGCGTTCGCGTGTTATAATATTAAGAAAGTACAATTCCTAGCGCTACGAGTACTATTGCGTATATGCGTATACACACAACTATCACTATAACTCGCGTTACGGAATTTTCTCGCAATAAATTCCATACAGGGAGATTAAGAATTAAATTCTGCTTCTGGGAGAATTAATCCAAACCTAGTTTAAGACCGCGTTCGCGTGTTATAATATTAAGAAAGTACAATTCCTAGCGCTACGAGTACTATTGCGTATATGCGTATACACACAACTATCACTATAACTCGCGTTACGGAATTTTCTCGCAATAATTTCCATACAGGAGATTAAGAATTAAATTCTGCTTCTGGGAGAATTAATCCAAACCTAGTTTAAGACCGCGTTCGCGTGTTATAATATTAAGAAAGTACAATTCCTAGCGCTACGAGTACTATTGCGTATATGCGTATACACACAACTATCACTATAACTCGCGTTACGGAATTTTCTCGCAATAAATTCCAATACAGGGAGATTAAGAATTAAATTCTGCTTCTGGGAGAATTAATCCAAACCTAGTTTAAGACCGCGTTCGCGTGTTATAATATTAAGAAAGTACAATTCCTAGCGCTACGAGTACTATTGCGTATATGCGTATACACACAACTATCACTATAACTCGCGTTACGGAATTTTCTGGCACTATATTTCCATACAGGGAGATTAAGAATTAAATTCTGCTTCTGGGAGAATTAATCCAAACCTAGTTTAAGACCGCGTTCGCGTGTTATAATATTAAGAAAGTACAATTCCTAGCGCTACGAGTACTATTGCGTATATGCGTATACACACAACTATCACTATAACTCGCGTTACGGAATTTTCTCGCAATAAATTCCAATACAGGGAGATTAAGAATTAAATTCTGCTTCTGGGAGAATTAATCCAAACCTAGTTTAAGACCGCGTTCGCGTGTTATAATATTAAGAAAGTACAATTCCTAGCGCTACGAGTACTATTGCGTATATGCGTATACACACAACTATCACTATAACTCGCGTTACGGAATTTTCTCGCAATAAATTCCAATACAGGGAGATTAAGAATTAAATTCTGCTTCTGGGAGAATTAATCCAAACCTAGTTTAAGACCGCGTTCGCGTGTTATAATATTAAGAAAGTACAATTCCTAGCGCTACGAGTACTATTGCGTATATGCGTATACACACAACTATCACTATAACTCGCGTTACGGAATTTTCTCGCAATAAATTTCAATACAGGGAGATTAAGAATTAAATTCTGCTTCTGGGAGAATTAATCCAAACCTAGTTTAAGACCGCGTTCGCGTGTTATAATATTAAGAAAGTACAATTCCTAGCGCTACGAGTACTATTGCGTATATGCGTATACACACAACTATCACTATAACTCGCGTTACGGAATTTTCTCGCAATAAATTCAATACAGGAGATTAAGAATTAAATTCTGCTTCTGGGAGAATTAATCCAAACCTAGTTTAAGACCGCGTTCGCGTGTTATAATATTAAGAAAGTACAATTCCTAGCGCTACGAGTACTATTGCGTATATGCGTATACACACAACTATCACTATAACTCGCGTTACGGAATTTTCTGGCACTATATTTCCATACAGGGAGATTAAGAATTAAATTCTGCTTCTGGGAGAATTAATCCAAACCTAGTTTAAGACCGCGTTCGCGTGTTATAATATTAAGAAAGTACAATTCCTAGCGCTACGAGTACTATTGCGTATATGCGTATACACACAACTATCACTATAACTCGCGTTACGGAATTTTCTCGCAATAAATTCCAATACAGGGAGATTAAGAATTAAATTCTGCTTCTGGGAGAATTAATCCAAACCTAGTTTAAGACCGCGTTCGCGTGTTATAATATTAAGAAAGTACAATTCCTAGCGCTACGAGTACTATTGCGTATATGCGTATACACACAACTATCACTATAACTCGCGTTACGGAATTTTCTCGCAATAAATTCCATACAGGAGATTAAGAATTAAATTCTGCTTCTGGGAGAATTAATCCAAACCTAGTTTAAGACCGCGTTCGCGTGTTATAATATTAAGAAAGTACAATTCCTAGCGCTACGAGTACTATTGCGTATATGCGTATACACACAACTATCACTATAACTCGCGTTACGGAATTTTCTCGCAATAAATTCCAATACAGGGAGATTAAGAATTAAATTCTGCTTCTGGGAGAATTAATCCAAACCTAGTTTAAGACCGCGTTCGCGTGTTATAATATTAAGAAAGTACAATTCCTAGCGCTACGAGTACTATTGCGTATATGCGTATACACACAACTATCACTATAACTCGCGTTACGGAATTTTCTCGCAATATATTTCCATACAGGAGATTAAGAATTAAATTCTGCTTCTGGGAGAATTAATCCAAACCTAGTTTAAGACCGCGTTCGCGTGTTATAATATTAAGAAAGTACAATTCCTAGCGCTACGAGTACTATTGCGTATATGCGTATACACACAACTATCACTATAACTCGCGTTACGGAATTTTCTCGCAATAATTTCCATACAGGGAGATTAAGAATTAAATTCTGCTTCTGGGAGAATTAATCCAAACCTAGTTTAAGACCGCGTTCGCGTGTTATAATATTAAGAAAGTACAATTCCTAGCGCTACGAGTACTATTGCGTATATGCGTATACACACAACTATCACTATAACTCGCGTTACGGAATTTTCTGGCACTATATTTCCATACAGGGAGATTAAGAATTAAATTCTGCTTCTGGGAGAATTAATCCAAACCTAGTTTAAGACCGCGTTCGCGTGTTATAATATTAAGAAAGTACAATTCCTAGCGCTACGAGTACTATTGCGTATATGCGTATACACACAACTATCACTATAACTCGCGTTACGGAATTTTCTCGCAATAAATTCCATACAGGGAGATTAAGAATTAAATTCTGCTTCTGGGAGAATTAATCCAAACCTAGTTTAAGACCGCGTTCGCGTGTTATAATATTAAGAAAGTACAATTCCTAGCGCTACGAGTACTATTGCGTATA